TTATTAGAGACAAAGTTGGAAAATTAATCTTTAATTTGCCTTGAAATCCCAAAAAAAATCCACATTTTGAAATATTTCTCCAAACCTGAAAAAGACCTACATTTTGAAATGGATGGAGTAGGCTACAAACTCAATGAAAGCAATAATCACTTTCGTTGATTCGTGGAAATTAAGGAAAACAAAAACATTTTGTATGCATTGGGGGAATGACAAAATCATCCAGGGCTTAATTTGTTTTTGGAAAAGTGGGTGGTTAGTACGAAAAACGAAGAGAATGCATGCTGTGTATGGTAATGCCCATTATTGTCAAACCCGGAAACTAGTTCAGAAATTCAGACACATTCAGAGACATTAAGAGAAATCAGAGCAGAGCCATCACAATTTTAGACCGACCCGTGCTTTCCACAACTTTTGATTTCAACGAAAATTACTTGAAAAAGCACAGAGTCACACACATAGGACAGTTTGGGCACATATTAGCTCTTTGACGAATTGGTAAAAAAGAAACAAACCCATACAGAAATCAAACTTGTTCATGTTATTATATCAACACCTTTTAAGGTACCAAACCATAAATCAAAAACCACACCGAAAAAATAGATCGAGATTTGATAAACCAAAATAGATGGATGACCAAAATCAATTTCCGCACCAACAAATGACTACCAGATCCACTATAAAAAAAAACAAATCTCTACTCAGAAAATGGATCTTTTGGTGAAATCTTCATATTTTGTAACTTCAAAACTATCTGGGAGAAGCTTTTTTTTTTTTCCGAAACCAAAGATTAATATCTTCCTTCGGAAAGAAAAAAATGAGGAAAATCACAAAATGGACTAAAACCTTGACTAAGCTAGTTGATCTGTATGTAAACGTAAGTAAGCCGTAAAACAGCGCAAAACTTGTCAAAATTTCCATATAAACTTCCAAAGCAAAGATTTGACATCCTAAGAACTCAGAAAGACTAAAATCTGACTACCTTCGGTTGAAAATAATAAAAAACAAACCGGCAGATCCGAGTAGAGAAAAGCTGCTATTTCTAAGGACTAAGAAGGATCAAAAGGAAAAATGGGAAAATGTGAAACTGAAAAAAGAAAAGGAAACTGTGATGGTTGGAGAAAGAAGATAATGAGGGGAGAGAGATGAACAAAAAACCAAGCTGAAAAGAGTGAGAAGCAAACAGGGATATGTGCCTTATCTGATGCTGCTGCTAGCTAGTCTATGTATATTGTGGGAGCTAGGTTTTAGTGTGTGAGTGTGTGTACTTTATGTGATCATTTTTCTGGTTTTTAAGAAAGTGTACTCGAGTACACATTAAATGAGTACACTTTATTTGATCATTTTTTCTGGTAATTAATTTCTGGTTTTTAATGTAGGAGCTAGGTTTTAGTGTGTGAGTGAATTGTTAACCATTCCCATCTTTGTTGTCGGTTCCACATGCCACGGTTACATTTCTGGCCTCCGTTTTTTCACATCTTGACCAATATACCCTCTTGTCCCTCATGCACGAATATTTGTGACTCTCTCTTTTTTTGAAATGATATCTCACAAATATTGAAATGGGGATGGAAGTTATTAATTTAATGGACACTACATAGATATACTCCATAAATTGTATGTCACTTTAGATTCTGCACGTGAATTACGGAAACAATCATTTAATAATTAATTTGTGTGTTAAATATCTATTTTACTCATCATTGATTATTTTGGAATTATAACCAAGGCTACATGAAAAGTGATTAGCATCATTTTATTAGAGACAAAGTTGGGAAATTAATTTTTAATTTGCCTTGAAATCTCAAAAAAAAACCCACATTTTGAAATATTTCTCCAAACCTAAAAAAACCTACATTTTGAAATGGATGGAGTAGTCTACAAACTTAATGAAAGCAATAATCATTTTCGTTGATTCGTGGAAATTAAGGAAAACAAAAACGTTTTGTATGCATTGATTTTGGTCTGAAGGGCAGAGAAAGGAAAATGAACAAAGATTTACGTACGACTCGACACAATAGCTAGCTAATTATAAAGGTTTCGTCCCTTGGGGATTAAGAAAGCTGAAATCACGACCCTTCCAGCTTTTAGGTCCAAAAAAAAAAAAAAACCCTCAAACATTTCAGAATTCAGACACTATTTCTTTTTTTTTTCCTCCATAAGATAAGAACATTATTTAAACACCTAGAATGTAAGTTGAAGCAAAATGTCCAATCTTTCAACAAATCAACATTCTTCAGAATGAGAATAATTGAACCAGATGTTTTTCGACTTTCAAGATCGGCGTGAGCTTGAGCCGCCTCTGACAATGGATATGTATGATTACCCTCACTCTATCAATAATTCCTCCGAAGATGAAATGTAACTCTCTAGTAAAGGTCTTGTCAAGAATAAGGACTTCTCCCCAATAGCACACAAAGGTACCGGGTCGGGTGTACAGGATGATTGTCCGAAACACACCATGTATCCATGAGGTTTTAAGCAAGCTAACGAACCATGAACACCAAACAACAACAAATATACAAATGAATAAAATGTCAATGGTGGAAGCCTCAAATTCTAAACATACATGTTTGGATTTCAGTTACATACGCCAAATAAACAGAAAATAAGGTCATCACGATTGAAGATATTTTGATTTCTCGTAATAGTGATTGAATTCCAATGAAAAAGACTTGACAATTTGCATTTTTATGTACTCTCCCCGTCTTATAATTTTTGTCCAGTTTGGGTTTTCATTTTTAATTCAAATTGTACTAAAAGTAAAATCTCAAATTAGACAATAATTTTGGGACATAAGAAGTATTTACTAACATGATTATCCACATCATACTGTGAGATATGGTTTACAACATACTAGTAACTTTATTTATTCATCTAGTGAAATCGTACCTTTTAAAATCAATTTAAAGTACTTTTACAGGGTATTATATTCCATTAAATTATACGCAATATTGTGCATGTCATGCACGTCATCTCTGTAAACCTTAATTATATTACAATTGAGAAAGATAATAATATTAATAAAAAGGCAGTTTACTTTGTCCAAAATATAGTACATACAAGAGACCAAATCAAATTTTCCTATTCAGGTCATTGGACTCATACGTAACATCTATGCTGCTATTTCATTAGACAATTCAAGAAGTCCAGACAATCTAGGTTAAACTTTATTACACACAATACGGGAAAAAAAATATTGTACATTTAAAATGGATAAGCTTCTTATTAAATATATATATATATATATATAAAACCAATAATAATATATTAGAAGCCTTTGAACTAAAAAAATAAAATTGAAATGGGAAAAGAGTGATATTAGAAGAAGCCCATAATTGGTGATAAAAGCCACAGAAGAAAGAAGGCGAATTGCTAAGCGCGAATGAGGACGAAAGGGTAAATCGGTCAAGATGTAAAAAAGGGGACCAGAATAATCCTGGGATGCAGCCGTAGCACGTGAGAGCCGACAACAAGGATTGTGACGGTTATCAGTTCTCAACTCTGATTCGTCCTTTTTTTTTTCTTCTTTTTCTTTTTTTTTGGTTTTCAAAATTACATTCTTCAATTTATAATTCAAAAAAAAGAAAAACTGATTAAAAACCCCAGAAAATGAAATTCCCTTCCAGTACACACAGTCACACACTAGAAGACCTTAGCTCCCACAATATACACAACACCCAGAAAAGGCACAGATCCCCATTTCTTCTCCTTCTTTCTTCCACCCTTTTATTTTCCCAGCTTGTTTTTCCGTTTATCACTTTCTCTCTCGTTGTCTTCTTCTCCAACCATCACACTTTCTTTTTCTTTTCCCTTTTTTTTTCTTTAATTTCTCACGTAGTTTCTAAAATATCTATTTAATCACCGGCCGTCCTGTTTGCTTAATTATTGTTCTGAGAAATGAGAAACTGACAGCCATTTTCCGTTCCGATCCTTCTTAGTTTTCCCGACTACCAGCTTCTCTCTCTGATCTCTGTATATATTCTCCGATCTACCGGCGGTTTTTGATTATTAGCCTTCAACCGAATTAAGGTAGTTAGTTGTTTACTCCTTCTCCCTTCTTCGGATGTGAAAATTTCGCTTGAAAAAGTTAATGGAATTTGGGGAAGTTGTTGCGCCGTTTACGGATTTATTATACTCTTGGCTACTGAGCTTGCTGGATTAGGGTTTTACTACATTTTCCGGGTTTTCTCCATTTTTTGAGGGAACATTTCATGCCGTTTTGATTTTGAAGGCTCCAAATGTGAAGGTTATCATAAAAATCCTTTTTCTGACTAGGTTTTTTTTTTTTTTTTTTGGTGCAAAAATTAATTTTCTTCTTCTTCTGTTTTTGGTAATATATCCACTCTTTCTGTTGGGTTAAATTTTTTTGGATCTATGTTTTGGTACTTAAAAGATAGTATTGAATGAAGAACTTTGGTTTCTTACTGGGATTTTATCAGTCCGTCAAACAATTAATATGTCTCCCAAAATGTGCTGTGTATGACTGTCCTTTTTTTTGAAGCAGTTGTTGTTGTTGAATCAGTAGTAGCGGAAAGGACACTTTGGCCTTATTTTGTGATCGCCAGTCTCTGCGACCTGCTACTGATGAAAGTCTGAAAAGACTAATGTCTGGGTTTTTTTTTTTTTTTTGTATGATATGATAGTGATCCTTTTTTGTCCCATTTATGGCTTTATTTGTACCAAACTTAGAACACATGCTCTTTATTTTGGGACTCAAAACTCCCCTTTTCCTGAAACAAGCCCTTGATACTTTATTCTTTCCCAACTTCTTACCTTTTTTGATGATAATTAATTATGGCAGATTCTTACTCTTATATTTCGATTTCGTTGAGTTTTACTGTTGACTAAATTAATCTGGACTCTTTACTTTTCTAATATCTTTTGTGTTATTTTCCCAACTTAGGCCTAAAAACGGTTTCTTCCTTTTTGCTTTCTTCTGTTTTGAAACGTTTCTGAATATTATTTGCTGGGATTTGTGTATATGATTGCAGATCTAATAGATGATCATGGAGACCTATCAACGACGGCGATTCCGAAAATCCAAGGAAACCGGCTCGGTAAAATTCCATTCTTTCCACGTATGCATGAATTAATTACCAGGGCCACCACCAATTTTACCTCTCACCCTCTCTCTGTCTCTCTCACACACACACACGTACTGAAAACAAAGACCTGTAAAATTCATGCCTTTATGGGGATGAACTCCTCTTGTTTTTCTTCATTCACAAGCACACGCGCTGCATATCCGATTTTGATGGTCCAGAAAAACCTCACGCGCCTAGACTCACTGAAAAGGTGCTGTCTTTTGTGGTCTAGCATAGGGGTCATTATGAATAAAGTAGTAGCTTGGTCGTGTTGGCTGTTGCTAATCAGAAATCACAACTGATCAGCTAAAAGTTAAAGAAAATCAAATCTTGGGTGATGATTTTGTTTGTTGTCAGCCCAAACCCCATGGTTGGTTGTGGTGAAAAACAAATATCAAAATTAGGGTCTAAAAGTAATCACAATAAAGCCACATCACCATCAGCAGCATACATGTATATTTCATCTCTTGATGTTAACTTTGAAAATTCAATATATATACAAGAAATGGTATATTCTGGCTGCCTTTTCAAACTTAATTAGAGGCATTTGGTGCGTGTCTTTGTGTGCCTTTTTTTGGTAACTGAAAGAAATATGATACGTGTATGTGTTGCGTTTCTGGTGGAAACTGAGTACTGATTCGCTTTTTCAGGAAATGGAGCAGCGCAACAGCTGCAAGAACGGCGTCCATGGTAACCCTCCAGCAGTATTGTTCCCCACGTCTGACCGTAGCCCAAAGTTCCAGCTCAACAGTAGTACGTTGCCCCACTGGGTGTCTGTATTCAGATAATAAAGGGTTTTCGTTTCTTTTCCAAATTTCATTTTCCTCATTCAAATCGAGATTGGACTAATAATGGTACTGGAAGTTGAACAAAAGTTTTAAACCATGTTTTCTGATGACGCTCTCTTTTGGCACCCAGCAGATGGGAATTCCGAGATCCCTTTTGGAGTTTATCAATTCAACAAGAATCAAGTGGAGGTGGGCTCCGTTTATGAGATTGATCATCTTCACTTGCCTCCAAGGACCCCTATACAGCTCAGGACTATCCGGGTTGCAATGGTAAATAAATTCGTTGAAACTCCTCTTCTTGATTAGCTTATAATTAGATCATGGCATTTTTTGCTGATAAACATGAACCCCATCTGATATCTGCTTTACTGTATTCAGGTGAGTGAGAAGACTGAGCTAAATGTGGCAGTGAGATATCCGAGCATGGATTCCCTTCAGACTTACTTCAGCAATATCATCGAAGAGATGTACCCAGCCTTAGATGAGAAATTTGTGATGGGAACAGCACTTGCAGCAAAAGTGCTCCGCCGTCGGGTCCCTTCTCAACAGTTTGCCGAGAGTAAGCATTTGAAGAGCTTCTGGTTAGTCAACGCTGCTACAGTGGATGCGAGTGAATCAGACGACAGTTACAAGAAGGGAAACTTGTTGACGGAACTGAAATCCTCTGCGGTGGTTCGATGGGGCATTAGGCGACAGGTCAAGTTTCTGGAAAGGCATAAGGAAAAAATAAATGACAACGTCCAGTCTTCTTCCAGTCTCTATAGTAAAGAAAGTATGAAGACAAAAGCTGAAGACGTTGAGAATACAGAAGAAACAGATGGTGATGACGAGGATGAAGAAGATGAAGTTGATCATGAACAAGAGGATGATGAAGATAATGATGAAAGAGAAGATGATGATGAAGAGGTGCCTGATGATTCGGATGAAGAAGGCCAGGAGACGGACAGAAACCTCAAGAGAAAGAGATATCGGCTGAGAAACAGTACTCGAGAAAATACAAAGAAAGTCAAGGTTGCAAAAAAGAAGCAGCAGCAGAAGAAGAAAACGATAAAGAAGAAAAGCAGAGGAAGAACGAGCAAAAACCGATGCAGAGAATTAATGGTGATTGAGAACCCAAAAGACAGATGGTCTGCTGAGAGGTAAATTGGAAAACTGACATTTTTTTTCTGTGGCCATGACCTTTTTAATTCGTCCAGATTTAGTTCAGTTTGAATTTCTCCTCACCCTCTGTTTCAATACTAATCAAAGGTACAAGCTTGCAACTCAGAACCTATTGGCGGTGATGAAAGCAAAACGGGCAACAGCAAGCCACCCAATTCTGAGGCCTGATCTGAGGGAGGAGGCTAGGAAGAAGATAGGGGACACAGGGCTGTTGGATCATCTTCTCAAGCACATGGCTGGTAAGCTTGCACCAGGTGGAGAAGAAAGATTCAGGAGGAGGCATAATGCTGATGGTGCCATGGAGTATTGGTTGGAAAGTGCTGATTTAGTCAGCATCAGGAAGGAGGCTGGTGTGAGTGATCCCTTTTGGGTTCCCCCACCTGGATGGCAACCCGGTGACAATCCTACTCAGGATCCTGTTTGTGCTAGGGAATTGAAGCTGCTGAGAGAAGAGATTGCCAAGCTTAAAAGGTGCTAATGCTAATTTGGTCTAGCTGATCATGAAGGCTAAAAATACTTGGGTTTCCTTCTTTGACTTCTCTTTGGTTCATTTTCCTCTTGTCATTAGGAATATGAAGGATATGGTTCCCAGAAAGCTGTTGGAACAAGAAATCGAAAAGCTAAGAAGGTGAAGTAGAGAATCTTCTTAATTGTACTCTAATGTTGCTGTTATGCTTCTTCTCCTTGTTGCCTCCTTAACTTGCTTACTTAATTGGTCAGAGAGATTGGCAAGACTAAATCCAGCAAGCAGCAAGAGGAAAGTCTAGCCATTGAGCTCTATTCAAATCCTTCTGATCTCAGTCAAAAGTTAAAAGAGCTTGCCTATTCATTAGAAGCTGCAAAACCTGATATTGCTAAAGCACCCGGGTCTCTGGTACTTATATAATTTTTTCCACAAAACATATTGGTCATGACTGAATTCTTCTTTCAAGGAACATTGGCCTGACCTTACAGTTGTTACATCTTTTTGTGGCAGGAAAAGTACAATGAGCAATTATTGGTCATACAAGATGTTGTTATGGGGATAGAGGTATACTCCATATGCATAGTTGCATTTAATGGTTTCAAGTCAGTGATTTTGATTCATTTATATACCCTTGAATATTGAAACTATATATGTACTGTCTAAGGTTAGCATTCATTCACTGTTGTTGAAGGATTTCCTAATTTATTGCTAGTCCAATGATTGATCATGATGTCCATGGATGTTATTAAATGCATGCAAAAAGAAAAAAAAAAAAAAGAGTATATTACTACCATGAACAATAATTGGTCTTATGATCTGTTGTCAAAGGGAAAAAAGTTTACTCCATATACCACCCATAGTTGCCTTCAATGGTTTGAAGTCAGTAACTTTGAATTAATATAGCCTTGAATGTTGAAACTAGTTGTATTGAATTCATTCAATGTTGCTGATGATTTCCTAATTAAATGATCCTAGTAGTACAATTCTTGATCACATTGTAATATTGTATATAATAAATGCATACAAAAAGTTGAAGCTTTTTCTCTGGTGATCTACTTGCACAACATTGACTACTGGGACTGACTTTCACTGAAATGTATCCTAAAATTCAGGACGAGATAAAGAAGCTGTTGCCACAGGATGATCACAAAGGGAAAGAGAAGTCCAAAATGGCATTAATGGCTGTTGATAAAAAAGAGAAGCAGCAGAAGCAGGTTGAACTGGATTATGGGAGAGAGGAAGAAGAAATGGTAGACATAGTAAGTGTGGGGCAAGCAGAGGAAACAGCTGCAGCTAAAGCCAAAAGAGCAGCAGCCATGGCAGAGGAAAAAGCAGCAAAGATAGAGAGGCTGAAGAGTGGGTTCAGGATCTGCAAACCCCAGGGGACGTTCCTTTGGCCCAGCAGCATGGCCCGCAACAACACCGTAACTACGACCACCACCACTACCACCACAACCAACGATGTTGTGGCTTCCCCTCAGGTTGTGGTCCAATTTGAGGATTCTTTTGTGGTCCCTACCCCACCTTCTGTCTCTTCCTCCACCGCCTTGGCTCCCCCTCAGCTGCCTTACCACCACCCTAACACCGCCGCCGCCGCCTCCCTCCGTCCACCTTCCCCTGTGAAGCCTTTGGCTGAGAGGCGTGCAGTTACCGTCACGGTTTCCACCTTGTCCACTGAGAAAGGGGACAACAATTACTCCACCACAACTACCACTACCACCAGCACCAAGAACAAGTTTGACCCTTCTTCTTACATTAACCTGAATGATGTCCCTTCTAATCCTGCTGTTGGATTTTCTGGCAACCTGTTACCTATTGTGATCCCCCCGGTGAGTAATCACTATCATACATGAATGATTTTACATCCATATATCCTCGTTTTCTATTGTAATAAAAAAAGATGGCTGCTTTATGTTGGTTAAATTTGAGGCATGCCTTTCTGTATCAGGTGGTAACTGATGAAGTACATAAGAGAAGAAGTAGATCATTTGAGGTGCTTTGTGGAGATGTTGGGTCAGCAACAAGTGGTGCAGTGAAAACTCCAGACAATTTTGTGCCAAAGAAACTATGCAAATCCCTTTCTACAGCATCATGCTTGTCCACAGCAAAGGATATGGGTACATGGCTTGCTTTGGCACCTGCAAGTTCTGCATCTGAGGATTCCAGTTGAAAGGTTGAATGGGAGCATTGGACACTATGACTCATAATTGGCTGATTCAAAGTCTAAAGATTTGGTCTTTAAATTTAGTTACTTTTTTTTGAGAGAAGTTTGCTTTTGGAAATAAGGCCAAGGGGATACCAAAACCATATATATATATATGGCTTCTTTCTCTCTGCTTACTAGTACCATTACGTCAAACTGAGAAAACTATAGTATATGCGCCAGTGCAGTTTTGTTACTTTTTTGTAGTTTGCGCTTTTCAGCTGGCTTTTACACATCCTTTATGATGCGTGTAATTGTGTTGTTTGGCTTGAAGCACACATTTATATATTCTACCTTATTTCAGCGTAGCACATTAGGCATGTTGCATTTTATAGTAATGACTTCCCCTGTTCCATAGTTCCACCAAATCAAAAAGAAGACTTTTCTCCAATTCGCGCCTAATCAGCTACCTCATTGAAGGGAGAGGACTTGATTGTTTGGAGCGAAATTCCGCCATAAAAAAAATCAGATCCTTCATAATTCATGTTTCTGCAATCTAGCAGCAGCTGCCGACTGATACAATTTGAATAAGAAAATAATCACAATTTTGCAGTGAAAGTATGACAAGACAACCCCATATCCTGAAAATTAATGCAGTTTAACAGCGCGTTTACAAGCTTCCTCAGATCGTCCTCCGTGTGTGCAGCACTCAGAGCTATCCTTAACCTGGTAAGGACAAGAATAAAGTGAACAAGTGTCAACAGAAAGTATGACAAAATGATAATGAAGAAAGCCCAAGTAAAAAAGAACAAGGATTTGGTGATTAAACTGAGCAGTTAAGCCAGTTCTACAGAGATAAATAACATGATGGCAAAACTCTACAACCATAGCAAGAAAGGCTCTTTTGCCATCTCCACATTCGTACAAAAGAAAAAAATGATGAAATTATTGTAAGCTACTCTACTGATCCAGCGATATAAAGTTATTAGTGCAATACTAAGTCGGTGTTGATTAAACACCATGTACACATTAAGAACATCACTGAGTTTAGGATATTAACTAACCTGCATGAGTTTGCAGGCACTGTTGGGGGCCTTATAGCAGTTACATGAAAACCAGATCTCAGTAGATGCCTGTTTCATCGAATTAATATGTTTGAGTAACCGGAGACCTAGTCAACAAAACATATGTAAAGAGAGGGAGGGGTAGGTGGAGCGAGGGTCGACCTGCTAGCTTCTAGAGCCTTTGCTTCACTCCCGACAATGAGGGAAACAATGGGACTTGTTATCGGAATTCCTGTCAAGGCTCGGAATTCTAGTACACGATTCCAAAGGGCCTTTCTACGCCATGTCTCTTTACTTGCAACAGCAACAGCAGCTGCAAAAGAAATAAGATCCCGCCATGTAAATGCTAACAAAGTATATTCAAATCTCTCACATACTCTTTTCAAAGCACTTTTTGTGCAACAACCCATCTGGAAAACAATAAAACAATACGATGTATAATGCAGGTAGTGGGCACAGTATTTAGCACAGATAACTAATTATCTTATGCAAAATCAATGTGGATAAGGTGGTGCCTTGCAAACTTCTCAACAGACGATGCAATTTAAAATCACAGATTGTAGTAGAGAAAATGGATTGAATCACTCATTCTATGTTATAATTCAAGCTCACCATTGGCAGCTGCAACAATTGGCACTGGAGTAGAAGTTGAAAATATAAAAGAGCGACCCCTCGACTGAATCAACTGCTTCCATTTCTTGCTGTTCAGTTTTTGGAATTAGGGGAAACTTTGTAAGTCTAAACATCGCAATGTACCAATGATATGAAAAAGATAGTTTTGTTGACAAAAAAACAAGATGTAAGTAATTTAACTTGTCAATGGAAGTATTCTACTCCTTTCATTTGCAAGCACATGTACTCTATGGCCCATAGCTATTTGGTTCAACAATAACACTCCCATATTCTGGGGAAGAGTTCTCTTTGTTCCCTAGAAAGAAGCTTCTGATCCACTCGAGAAAATGAAATTTATAAAACTAAATATTCAGCAAGCCAGAGAATATAAATGCAAAAAGGAAACAAATTTTGTTCCAATATAAACAAGTTAATGACTTGCAGAAATAGGTCAACCAAGAAATCCTTAACCCAATCAGACTACCATCAGCAAATTAAGTGGCAACAAGGATGCTTTCAAATATTAATCACCTGCATGCTATAAATCCACCGTGGCAACCAAATGCCTTACTCAAGGTGCCAATGCATATATCAATTTCTTTCTCGCAATTGAACTTCTCAGCTGCACCACCACCGGTTCTCCCACAAACCAATGTGCCATGGGCCTGAATGTTGGAAAATGGAGACAAAAGAGTATTACGGATTAATTACTTCTGAGCATTCAAACAAAACAAAAGTTTGTAATGTACGAAAACTTAAAAACTCTTTGGATAATCTTTATAGCTAACAATTTATGAATTATAACGACACAGTAGATATTCCTTTTAAACCATACATCATATTTCAGTTTTAGCAAACTTACATCATCAATTGCCAACAAAAACCCATGCTTCTTGCGTAGCTGCACAAGCTCAACAATAGGTGCAAAGTCGCCATCCATGCTAAACAAGCTGGTAAAGAAGGCATTAAGAATATCAGTTTGCTTTGAAACTATTATTCAGCAATTGACAAGCAGAGTAAGACATAAGGTTAGAGCACAAATGGTTTAGAAACGAGGAAAAACCAACTTGTTGAAGGAATTTTGTTGCTTTAACAGTTGCCTTTGCACGACTAAATAAGTGTCAAATTAATACTGACAGGGGTAGCATCATTCATATGAGCATTTGTATCCCTCCATAAGACAATAAGATGCACAAACTCATTGTTAGTGTTATATTCATTGTCGCCTACCAACTCAAGATGAGAAAATGAGACTCTACCAGAGACTAAACAAAAGTAACAACTCCACATCATTTAACACCACTACAAAAGTGGCACAAATATTTTGATTAAGACATAACTTTTAGTAACTTTAAGAATTCATGGAAAAAACTAGATTTACATTTAAGAAAAAATGATTAACCCAACAATTCGCGGCAGTTACTGCCAAAAATAATTAACTGAATTTAGTTTGATAGCAACATTTTCCCCTGCAAACTAAAGAAACTAGATGAATGCACATCCATTTAAAGAATATTTTTCTGTTGTTCTCGTTAGTAAAGCAGCTTAAAACTCATAATGTGGTCCTTCACAGTAGACTGAACCACAGAAACATTAAATTTGTTCGCAAGATGGTTAATTTCTACAGCCATTAAATCGACTTGGAGGCCAATCATCATAATCATTGGCAACACAAATGACAAATCTAAATGAAAAGATTTAAGTATTTGCGTAGAATTATGACATTTTTGCGAGGTATGTTCTGAACTGCAGAAGTAAAGATCAAGTGAAATGACTTACCTATCGGTAACAACTACTTTCTTCTTCATTCTGCAACTTGTTCTGTTGAGCATAAAATCATTGTTGTAAGGAAGAAATATATGGTGGAATATGAAGCAAATAAAGAGCCTCAAACTAATAAAAAAGAGCCCATTAACTTACAGTAATGTGTCAAGATGCAACATGTCACAATGTCTGTAGACATATGTCACACCATTTGCTTGCTTCTCAGCTAGTCGAATACCATCAATTATTGATGCATGATTAAGAGAGTCTGAGAAAATGGCAACCCTATCATCCAGAGCTGGTTTTTCCCCTGCAGCTAAGAGTAGACCAACACTTCCCAATGCTGTCATGAACGCCATGTTGGCTGAAAAGCCTGTAGGACAAAGAAGGCAATCCTAATATGTAACAATAGAACAAAAGTTTATCAGTTTAAAATCCAGGCGCATGGTTCCTAGAGTCATCAGCAGTCTGAAGAGAAACTAGCATAATATCTTAACGACAAGAGTACATGTTCTATAAAAGCTATATCCCGCTTATTTACTAATGAAGTATTAGAGTTAATTTTTGTTAACTTTTGAAACATTAACACCAACGGCATATTGAATCATGGGATATCACCACACTAACATGGTCTGAACATATGTATTCAATGTAGTATCAAAAATTCGACTTGGAAATAGGAAAACGAGCAACCAAAGCCACAAGCAACGAAAGGATCATATGTGAGACGTTTGACCATTATTCACCATCATTACCACTACTTCTAATGCAAAAGAAACAATATGCAAATTCATCTATAGGATCTACTGAACAAAGCGATGAAAAAAATTGGGATACCTCCTTCTTCTTTAGGTATGCCAAGGAAGCCTCCAGCGATCTGTGGTAATTAGTGTATCCACATATTAAAGCAGAACCCCTTGGTCCCATTCCATGTTCCTGAGCTGCCTAAATCTCCAAGCAAATTAATGAAAAATGGAAATCAGATCAAGTAAAATACCTCAATAACAATTTGCAAAATCGAACAAGCAAATAAACCAATAATAAGACCTTGGCAGCAGCCTTGATAACTGTCGGGTGTGTACTCAAGCCCAAGTAATCATTGCCAGAGAAGATCAATAAAGTCTGGAACTTTGCACAGGAAAGTTCTGTTCCATCATCACCCTCGCCAATGATACTACTCTCCAAGTCATCTCCTATTCAATTTCCAACAGCAATGCATATAAACAAACATAACGAATGAAATAAACAATATGAAATAACCCATTAAAGCCTTTTACTCTGATTCCTATACCTAACTGGTTTTCTTAAACTATACATGTAAAAGAGACCTCAATCTTACCAAAAGTCCCAAAAAATAATACTACATTGTTCAATCAAACAAGTGACTTGGGAAAAGCAAGCTAAAGGAAAGGAGTGGTACCAGAACTGGGAATGTCTTGAAGCCATTTGTGGAAGGTGGGTTCTGAAATTTGGACTTGCACAGAGGCCCTATCCCAAGAATGCAATCCATCATAAAAATGGAACTCATCGGACTCAATTGGGTTGGATGAAGCGGATGGTGTAAGATGGACGGGTCTGAGGGAACGAAGCAGCTTCAAAGATTCAAGCTTTGAGAGCGCTTGGTCGACCCATAATTCCCAAGAGCTCACCATTTTTCTCCACTTAATGTATGGACTTAAAAATACTTCTCCACTTATAACCTTTGGGTGTTTGATAAATTTCGATATTTTCGAGGGGATGTTCACAAGTCCCCCGACTCAGGAAGAAAAAATGGGAAAGAATGTATTGAATGTTAAAGATTTGGGGTGGCAATCAGCCCACAAACAGCCCTGCAACTGGAAAGTTGCTTTGGTGAACGATGAGGTTATAAGAGAAGCCACATTTGCTAACGTTAAAGGCGTCAAATGAGAGTCCCGAAATTAACGCCTTCAACCTTTGTTTGGACTTTGGACCAAGGAGATCTTTCGATTGATACGTCTTTACAAATTATGTTGTCACTATGTTTTTTTGGTGGCAAAATTTGCGTTCATACCCAAAGTTTTGGATCTATCGTCAATTCTATTCTATTAATTTTTTATTAACCAATTTTGTCCTTACTGTTTGAAATTTTTGTCAATTCTGCCCAATTGCACTAATTTCAGTTAAACTTAACGGATTTTCATTAGTTTTTAACCAAAAACACCAGGATAGTTTTAGAAAATTGTAAAAATAATCCTAAAATATAAAAATAATAAAATAATCCCTTTTTATTATCTTTTTCTATATAATTTTATTTCTCTTTATTACTTTTCGTAACTATCAAAATATATTATATGATCTTTAAGAAAAATAATTATTTATTTTCAAAATCTATTTTTCATGTGCAACACATGTGATTTAGGTTGAGGGATAACTTTGTCATTTTAAATTTTTAAAATTTAATTTCTTTTTTTATTCGTCTTTTTTGAGATTCGTTTTCTTATATCTCCTAACTTGTATATATTGATACTAGAATAATTATTAAATTTTAATAATTAATTTGCGGTTTTATTTTATAGATTATAAAAACTTTAACATAAAGAAAATGAGGAAGAAAAACTTAAGTTGAAACAAACATGACAATTAATATTTTATCATTCTAAACCACAAAAAAAAAACCTTAAAAAAACTGCAAAGAAAAGTGTTTTCTCCTTAACTGCCTCTATTTAATAGGTAAGTTACGAAACATAAATTTTACTTGATCTAGCCTAAAATGATTATTTTGTTCTTTGTAATAAAAATAATACAAGTTATGTAGTATAATTTAGTAATTATTTAGCTAAAAAATACACGTATTTATCTTTTTCATGAAATTTAATAATTGTTTATGCAGTCTAGCAAACCGCCAATCGGCAAAAAAAAATTATTAAAAAGGAATAAAAATAGTGTTAACCAAATTTACAGAAATGCATCGTTGTGGACTAATTAAATTAGCACATTTTCATGTTTTAAATGATTGTCTAATTTTTATATTATTTTTATTACACCAAACAAAATAATTATTTTAGACTAGAGTAAAATTTATATTTCGTAACTCACCTATGAATTAGAGGAAGTCAATGAAGAAAGACTTGTCTTTACAGTTTTTTTTTTAAAGATTTTTTTTATTTTTGTTTAGAATGATAAACTATTAATTTTCATGTTTATTTCAACTTGATTTTTTCTTCTCTATTTTCTTTATGTTAATTTTTTTATAATCTATGAAATAAAAAGGTAAATTAATTATTAAAATTTAATAATTATACTAGTATCAATATATACAAGTAAGGAAATATAATAAAAATAATCTAAAAAATAACAAATAAAAAAATAGAATTTAAAATTATAAAAATTTAAAATCACAAAATTACCCCTCTACCCAACTCACATATACTGCATATGAAAAATATATTTTGAAAATAAATATTTTTTTTTCAAAGATCATATAGTATATTTTGATGGTTGTGAAAAGTAATAAAGAGAAACTAAATGAAATAGAAAAAAATGAATAAAAAGGGACTATTTTATTATTTTTATATTTTTAGGGTTATTTTTATAATTTTCTAAAACTATCGGAGTGTTTTTGGTTAAAAACTAATGAAAATTCGTTAAGTTTAACGGAAATTTGACCAATTGAGTAGAATTGACAAAAATTTTAAACAGTAAAAACAAAATTAGCTAACTGGAAATTAATAAGGTAAAATTGACGATGAGCCAAAAACTTTTCATACGCCAATTTTCCCTTGTTTTAGGTAACATCATCAAGGCCACCTTTGACATTGGTCACCTACTTTCCTAACACTTTTGGATGTGAAATGAAAGTTAATACTCAAAATTGCTCAACTTTTCTTGGTTCAGGCATCAATATGTGTGATTAATCAACACTGGAAGCAGTTAGAATGATATTGGCTGAGATAAGCGGCACCTTCCATATAACTTTTGACGTCTGACATTATAATATTTTTCAAATATGTAGTAAGAAGGAAAATCGTGGGCTCCCTTTTGTCTAATAATGGCAACCAGCTGAATGCATTATAATGCATTTGATCCAATCCAATTCATTAATTAATTCTATCCGATCCAGTACTAATTGATCACTGAACAATATTTTATTTAGCTACATGGCCACAACTACGCTGTCAATTGACTCTAGAAATTGGTAGTGCATAAATAAATTCAGCAATTCAGCTGTATCCATCATCCCTGATTCATTAGTCCCATCTATCAGAGAGAAGTTTGTATCCATATCTACAACTGAGAGTGTGAAAGAGAGATGTCGACGATTCGCCACTTCTCCATCTTCCTCCTACTCGCCATATTCCTGCTTACTCCTGCCACCGCAGATTCTTCGGTAAGTGAGTCTTTCATCTGCATTTGATTCAATACTTAAAGGGTTAATTCACTTTAGGAATTAGGATGCAGATCCCGTTGACATCTTTTTTCCCATTTTGATGATTTGATCTAAATTTGTTGACCATCTTTTGATTTGCGCAAATTTTAGCTTGTATGTTGAATGATCATGTAACACATCATTTTTCAAAAAATCATAAGTAGGATTGGATTTCAGATTTTGGGTTATCATTTTCTTCATCTACAAGTCTAGAGTAATCATGAATTTTTTTATTTTTATATAGCTTTTTATACTGCTACTCATCAATCATCAGCATCAAAATTTTTAATGTGATTTTTAGCATTGTCACCGAAAGTTCAAACTCCCCATATCTTGATTTTGAGAAATGGTTGATTCGTGATCCCTGAATGTGACCATTGGATCCATGGATCGTTTTGATTTGGGTGCAGACCGATTGTGTGTACACTCTTTACGTGCAAACCGGCGGCATCATCAAAGCCGGAACCGACTCCCAAATCAGCGTCACTCTCGGCGACGCCAAAGGAAGATCAGTTTGGATCCCAAATCTCCAAGATTGGGGTCTCATGGGCCCAGACCATGACTACTACGAGAGGGGAAATCTGGACATCTTCACTGGACGTGGGCCGTGTATCTCTTCACCTATTTGCAGGCTCAACTTAACCTCTGATGGATCAGGAGCCCACCATGGCTGGTACTGTAACTACATTGAAGTCACTTCTACTGGGCCTCACAAAGCTTGCAGTCAATCTATCTTCTACGTTAACCAGTGGCTGGCTACTGATGCTCCTCCTTACCAGTTGACTGCCATCTTGGACGGATGCAAGAGTGACACTCCCGATTTGAAACGACGGAAGGCTGGCCCGTTCGTTGTCGGGAAGTCTCCTGCCTCCGCTTCTGAATAGCCTCCTTTCTGAGATGAAACCCACACTACACGTGCCCTTTTTCTTCCACTCTTTATCGTTTTGGTTTGGTCTCATTTACATTTTGCTCCCAGTACGATGAGTTTTGAATTTCACCAGAGTTATATGAGATGATGTTGTTCATGCAAATTGCTACTTGTGAGAATGTCAACGTAGGCCCTTGAGCCAGCCCGTAACAAGTCTGGGAATAAAAGTCCAATATGCTTCCTTTTGCCCTTTCTTTGATTTATACTAGGCTTTGGTGTTGCACTTTGTGCAGTCTGAGGTGAACGATAGCCCAGAGACGCTTGAGTGTAGGTAAAACATTCGCAAAGTTTATAATGAAGTTCATTCCATGTATAAATTAACACAAAAAGAACTACTTCACCAAGATTTATCAGTCGTTAAATCCCTTCTTGGAACTAATTGAAATTATAATCATATATTACACACCAAGCTTTTTTATTTTCTTCGTCATGTTATATTCAAGTTGCTAGTGCACGGTTTGCATTGACGGATATCAAGGATAAGGCCTCTAGTTCGTCTCATTCGAAGGGTGATTTTAGCGCATTAATGGATCACCTGAGTTGAAGATTTTCAGTCACAAGCTAAAGCAATGAAGAAATTGATAGTTTGGTCTTTCTCCTAAGTAGGTGTATGGATTTACTGGCATTTTATAGGGGAAAAGAATGGTTCCTTGAAAATGAACCAAACACATGCAAATATAGTTCGAAGTTATAACTCAAAGGTGAGTGCTCATATACAATATAAATCAGATGTAAAGAAATTAATTAATTGTTCGAAATTCTGAGAAAGTGTGAAGAGTTATTTACACATTAACAATGGCAAGGCTAAATACCAAACATACAGTTACACCTATATTCTCTACGCAGTTATTGACTTATTTCATGTACCATTTCACCCTTGGTTCTTCTCACCTTGGAGGACCATTCTCTGACTTTATATATAAGTGTGCACGCTGGTTAGAGCAGAGAAAACAACTGATCTAGCGTAGTATAAGAGCTTGAAATCTGCAATTGAGATGATAACGTTTGAAGCTTAATTCAAGGCATTGCAAAACTAAACACAGCAGCCCAGTCGTAAGCATCAATCTCATCAGTGCGGTAACTTGAAAACCATTAAAAGTGAAAATAAATATCAAAGGGTTCCAACCAAGATCCAAAGATTAGTGTACTTACAGAGATCACTACCATTGGCCTATAATTTACATTCAACTTAATTTGGTCATGGTAATGCCTCTTCCCTACGTACAAAAATAGTTCAAATTTCTATAAGATACATTCACTTACCCGGTTCACAGTCTCTTGAGGTTATCTAAGCCACTTATCATCTACCAATTTTTATTTCTATAACAATCACAATTCAGAATTTCTAACAAATTAGTATCGTCCAAAAGCAAACATACAGGTTACAGGTTTGCTGGAAATGAAAGGAATCCAGAACATCTATCTCAGCATATAAAATAAATCATCAACATGGCTTTGTTCAGTCCGTATATGGCTTGTTCTGCTCGATGAGCTCCTCTCGACTGTTATCCTTCTCAGAGGAAAATGCGTCACTCTATTTTCCCAGTGACTTTTTCCTGCAAGACAAATTGGGATAATAATACAAAGATCACAGACATACAAATACGTTTTGCAAGGATCTAAAGCATCCAAAGCAGTAATAGCCTATCCCTAGAGTACTCTTTTCCTCTGTAGTCTTAGGCTTATGAGATATGAATGATTTGAGCCTACAAACATAACATTTAGGACAAATATATACAATTAGAGATCATATAAAATCAGTGTACCTTTGAATAATTTATGTGGCTAAACTGTTTACTTAAAAACTTCAAACTATTTAAAAGATTTCTAAACAATCCCATTTGTAAAAACTGACAACCATATGGATCATGATGATTACAGATCATAGGGGACCAGTGTACCATTGCACAGCTCATGAGGCTAAACCCTTCAGCTTAAAAAATTCAACCTATTTAAGAGTTTCTAAGACTTTGGAACTCTAAAGTTCCATGTTACGCTGACTTAGCCTTACATATATAGCAAATCTAGTTCCTCAAAACAACAATACAACTCCACAACCCTCCATCGACCCACATCCTCGGTAATCCAGAAAGTGTTAAATATACTACATTATGTAGTTAGTTACCTTTTGTTTTTTAAATATTAAAATAAAGAGTAGATGGTAAACTTAGAGCATTTAGTACTAACGTGGCCATAATTTGTAGGACCTTTTTCCTGATGGGTGTGTTCTTTTTTGCAAATTGTAAAGATCGCCTTGTTGATTTGCATAAACAAACAGGAAGTGGTAAGGGATTAATATATACAGTGGAAAATTAGTGGGCAAATTTTTTTGTTGCGGTAAGAATAATATATGGCTTGGTTTGTATCATTTTCTGAAGTAAGGAAATGTTTCTTTCAGACCAAAAGACAAACACATCAAGTACATCGCGTTCATCAAAACAACTTGATCAATCAATCAACAGAAAAATAATTTTTACAAACCGCCATCAGCAGCCAATAATCACCCAAAATTTGATTAGAATACAGATGATTCATAAAGCAAATACAGATGAAGCAAAGGATATTTACCATCACTTTGCACGTTTTGCAGCCGCCGTGCTTATGCCGTCTCACCGCCAGTCCACCATAATCTCATGGATACTCCAATCTGCAAGAGGGTTGGATCGGGGTCATATTCCAGCTCATCCGGCGTCGTTATCGAGGAAGGTTTGGAGGAAGAATTTGACCGAGAAAAGCATCGGCGGTGGCGGTGGTAGGAAAAGATGTGGGGACGGCTACTACTACTTATAATACCATAAACTCTATTTGGGTTTATGCAGATTGTGATTGGAATTGGAGAAGCAAAAGCATAAGTTTCGTCAGATAACGATAACGGAGCAGAAAGATTGGAGATTGGAGAAGACACGCCCACATAGCAGCAAAAATCCAATTTTGTGCGAGAAGCAAAGATGGACAAATTTCTTTACCATTAAAGAAGAGAAGTGAAGCATCGAAACACGGTGAGAGAATAGAAGAGAAGGGCTCACCGGAGGAACGACAGCTGTGAAGGGGTCACCGGGTTCAGCGTCGCCACGTGGCCTTGACCGACCGGCCACGGAACACAAACTGGTGCTGACCGGTGAACTCCCCCTTTATATTAGTTAGAAGTACAGTTTCATTACAAATTTTTTTAAAAAATGTCAGATTTGCTTCACAAAATGAGTAGATCTCTCAGCAAAGTGCCAGGTAAATTAACAAAACACCCGACGGAATTTTTACTCCACAATATATAGTTGATGATAGTAATTAATCTATGTTCACTGAGTAGTCAGTAGAATGGAAATGGCTTTTCTGAAAGTAAATTTTTGGGTTCTCTGGACAATTCAGCCAGAAAGAATAGCAATAAACTCATATTGATTGGCCATCGCCTTGAACTGTCCAATCAATTTCATCTTGTTTCGTTTCCACAATGATGGTAGTTTCTTCATAACCACTAAAAAGATAAGTGAAGTTGTCTTTAGTTCCTTAACTCCGGTGAATACACATTTTTGTTTATTGACTTCTGTTGGAGAACCAGGCTGTGCTACCAAAATGGTAATTATACGTAACAGCTTCTTAGAAAAGAGTTCTTATCAAACCTAAGGCTTTCTTGATCAGGTAACCAAAAACACATAGAAGCACGGGCACAATCTCGCAAAATCTGTTTTAATGCCTCAATTCTACTTGTTGCACCTTACTATCGTACTGAAATTCCGGAAGTAAAGGCCAAACGGTCATTTTCTCAAACAGTGGTAAACCTGTTAAGGACTCAGAATACAAGTTCCCGGTTAAAGCAAAACACAGGATTAGTCGTTCCAGTGGACTTTTCAAACATTTCTATAGCTCGGGATAAGGAAAGAAATAAAGACCACGCACCACCATGTTTGATTGCTATAAGTTAGCCATGTTTGGTTGTTACCCGTTTGTTAAGGCTACTCACTCTCCTTGGCAATATACCTACTAAATTCCCAAGCACTACCATCTGTCATGGCATTTCACAAACCACCCATTAGAAAGAAAATACATAAAAATGAGAAGGTAAAAAAAAAAAAAAAAAGTCAATAAAGAAAGTAGACCCAAAGCTGTTTTGAACAGAACTTTAAGAAGCTCTCAATCAGGATTTTTTTTTTTAATTATGGATCATCACTCATCTCTCACATACTCCGTTACAGCAAAAATGCATGCCCCCCGAGCCCGAGGTTCTGCACGAGAACGAAATGGACTCATAACATGAGGATAGAAAATAAGCCAACACCACTTTTAAAGGCAAAACCAACGTTGACAAATCTCTAATTGATGCATAGAACAATGCTAACAATCATTCCAGCTTCTTTAAACTCATAAATCCCTGTAAGCCCAAAAAAAATCACTAGTCGGCCCTACCAATGGAAAACTAACAAGCCATAAATGTGTAGCTACTGAGATGCATATATCATTTCAGTCAAATGCTTAGAATAATTAACACTTTCTTATTTTTTTATGAGGCCACAACTTAAAATAAAAGGTTTTCCAGCTCCTATGACAATTACAGTCCATGCGTTCCAACAAAACCCAGCCCCAAAAACCACAAAAGAAAAGAGAGAAGGAAAAAGAACAGATTCTTATGCGGTAGATACATGCAAATGGAGCTATCAGTATGAACCGTAGTTGAAACACATAATCAACATTGTAATAATATGAAACTTCACATACCCAGCAAATTCAAAAACGAAGAAAACATCATCTCCTTGACAAAAAGTGCTGAGCTAGGCTGCTTTCAACAAATATAAGCTAGATCTTGGATTACCAAAGTAAAAGTTAGGGTACATATTCAACAAGAGACTATGTTGGAAACTTCAGGAGAAAAAGAGACCCGATGAAATAAATAGAAACATCAGAATGTCAGTAATAGTAAGGAGAATAAAGACAGTAATTGTAAAATAAAAAAGTTTCAAACTCATATGCTGAAATGGTAGCAATCACCACCCAACGCCAAAGGCTCCTACAAAAAAGGTAATCAGTACACATAACATTTCAACAGATACTAAAACTTCCAATCGTGATGCGCTGCCATCTTCACTCTCTGCAAATGTCACAAGAGCACTGCAAGGTTAAAGAGGTGAGTCCCAAACTTCCAACAAGTAAGTCATGGCAAGAGGTAAATATCAGGTTCATAACTTCCCCAAGAAATCTGCCTGTAAAAATATTACAATGTAAAGAATGGAGAAGCATTAAGATGGATAAAAACACTGTTATAAGACAGTAATACAAAATAAAGCACATTCAGATCCTGACATCTCATATGCATTAAAATAACGGTTGAATCCACATATTAAAGGGAGCATGCTTGTTATTGCAAGCTTAATTAAGTTTATTCAAGAAGCCAAGAGAGAACTGTGTAGAAATATAGTTACGGATTCCATGCTTCAGTGCCTAGCAAACACTTAACTAATCCCCCAGCAAAAACAGGAAGTAGATGTTTAAAAAAATCACACGAACATGCATTTTCCAACAAAGAGCGGATAACGTAGGCAGGCTGGTAATCACTAATAATTACCCTTCAGAGGATATGCACCTATACATCCTGGCATGACAAACTTGCCCGAGGAATGACATTTCAGGAAACGCTAAATCTATTTACCCCAAGGTCCCATTATTTTTAACCAAGATTTTCAAATATGCCTCCCATCTGTAAAACATTACTCCAAAATCCGTTAGTAGTTAGTGGAGAAAAACATTTGCCATAAAGAAAGGAAAACGCATAACATAGTATCAGGAAAAAATGAGGCGCCTGTTGATTCAATGATATTTCAATGACCAATACAAGATCAATTTGGAAAAAAAAAAAAAAGAGTTTGAAGATCTTACCTTTTGCCTTAACCAAATTGTAGAGCAAGGCATCATTTCATCTCAGCCATGAACTTCTCATACTCAGCGTCACCAGCAGATGGGGCAGGTGGAGGTGGAGGTGGAGGTGGGGCGGGATTGGATGCCCACGGCACATTGCTCACACTCTGCGACTGGTCCGCACCTTGAGACACAGTAGGAGGCGGAGGGGGTGGTACCATACCATAATAACCTTGATATCCGTAAGAAGTTGAATATTGTGTATTCGGAGGCATAGTGGTAACAGAATTACCATAAGCATAGATAGGGGCAGATTGAACAGGAGTACTCTGAGATTGGACTCCAGGAGGGTAATTTTGAGCATCTGCAGCGGAAACATAGTTCTGCTCAGCAGAAGACACAACTTGAGATGAGCCATTGGAAGTAGGTGTTGGCACTGGAGGAGCATATTGTATCCCATAAGGGGGAGGATACATGGCTGACCCGGGAGGAGGAGGGGGGTAAGGTGCAGCATAAGGAGATTGTACAGGTTGCCATGGAGCTCCTGGGTAGGAGCCAGGGGGCACAGTTGCTATTGGACCACCAGTAGCATATTGCTGTGAAGGATATGGTTGAGTAGGCGGAGGAGGGTATGAGGGGACAGATGGAGCAGGAGGACCTGGAGGCACAGTGGCTTGGGGAGGTTTACCAGCAACTCTCACAGCAATGGTTCTTCCATCTAAGCGATGACCATTCATGCCAGCAATAGCATTATTAGCCTGTTGAATATCAGCATACTTTACGAAACCATAACCTTTACTCAGGCCACTTACTCTGTCCTTGATAACCTTAGCCATAACAATTTCACCAAAGGGTGAGAATAGGCTGATTAAACCATCATCATCCAAGGTAGGGGGCAAGTAACCAATGTATAGGTTGGCTTCATCGAATTCCTTGGGCTTGACTAGATTTGCCCCTAGGCAAGCTGTGCCACCATTAGCACTGGTGTTGGTTGTGCTAGTCCATGGAGGATTGCTTCCAGAACTACCAGGACCAAGAGCCAGCGTTGGACCACTTGGTTTAATAGAAGACTCAGGAGCAGTCCCACCCAACTCAGCTAAGAAGTTTTGATATTCATCATCCATCTTCTTGCCGGTGGTATTCTTAACAGGGCAGTCTATGGTAGGATGTCCACCATCACCACATATCTTACATAGAACGTCACTCTTAAAAGTTGAAGTTTTGGATGGACAAGCATACTGCCTATGTCCAGGCTCACCACATAACCTGCAAAACTCTTCATCCCTAATGGTTCCATTCAACGCCGCAAGTTCCCTAAGCTGTTGTCTCTTATGCTCATTAAGTACTTCGTCAACAGGTAGCAAGAGCTTTTGCACCATTGCAGCAGCAGCCTCGAGCGACTCCTGAGTCTCAGCTTCCACCAAAACATGCAAATCTTCATTCTCAGAGGGATCCGGTTTCAGATCCCTTTTCTGCTGCAATCTGCCTTCTTTCACAGACCCTTTACCCCTAATGACAATCTTAGCACCAGTTTCTTTCTCCATTCTCTTTTGAGTATTTCCTCTCGGCCCAATGATCAACCCAATAAAGTTATACCCAGGGTACTCCTTCATGGGAATGTAAAGTTTCTTCTGCAGTTTAGGGGGCCTATAATCAGATGGGGCCTTAAAGCTAGGGTTTATCTTGAGCATTTGGGCTATTACTTCTTGCCTCTCCCTGTTCAACTTCTCACGGGCACGATATTCCCTAGTGTTAATCCTATGCCCCAAAGTATCATAAATAGGTTCAGGCGAAGGTGATCTAGCGCCTTCAGGTCGATCATCTAGAAGCGAACCAGATGCCAATTTTGCAGTAATATCAGTGAACCTGGTATGAAGGGCGTGAAATTCAGGATCGAGTACAGCTACAGTTAACTGCAACGGAAACGCCGGCTGCGGCTGATCGTCAGACCACCTGGACTTCCTCTTCCTTCCGCCAGTTCCATCGCCCCCTCCAGTCCCGGTCCCATCATTGCTGGACTCGCTGGGAGGAGGATCCCAACGACTCTTGCGCTTTCTCCTGCTGGTGGTCTCCTCTTCCCCACCCGACTGGTCCTTGTCGGTGCCGGTCCCGGTGCCGCTGTGCGTGTTCGTCAAGCCGTTTTCCGATAGCAAGGGCTTCAGAACTGGATTGCTCATCGCTGCTTGCGCATCGTGAACCAGATTCTCGGCCGGGTTAGTGTTATGGTCCGCAGAATTGGGGGCTTCCTTCGGGGCATGGCTACCCCGGTAATTCTGGTAATACGATAAATCTAGGGTTTGTATAGAATACTGCGGCGGCGCCTGGTTGTAGGAGTATTGAGGCTCAGATGGTTCAGAGGGAGATGCAGGAGATTCAGATTCGGTGTAGGTTTGCAAAGCATCCATTGCGATGTGAGAATTTTGGTGTATGAATTAGGATTGAAGAACGGATGAAAAGAATGCCCAACCGGAAAGATCTTGGATTATTTATAGGGAGATCCGGGTCGGAATTGGATTAATAATCAAGTCGGGTCATTATATAAAGTTATAAATGTTTTCTTGAGATCTGATTCTTAAAAGCATAGTCAGCACGGCGGAATTTCCATAATCCCCCGAACCATTAGGACTCGGTTTCGAAACTCTTCTAGGTCACATCTTTTTCTCTATTTTTTTGACACATCTCGATCTTCCTCGTCGTTTTCCGTTTGATTTTAGCTCTGAAGCTATCGGTTTGAAATTTAGCAGTAGAATTCCGGTCATCCATTGTTTCGATCTTAGCAAAAACCGTTTTTCCGTCATCGGAGCGATTTGTGTACGCCATGGATTCAGATCTAAAGACCGTTTCTTCTCCTAGAAAGGTCTGCACAACCATTGTTCAGTTTCAGCTCTATTTTTGCTTTCGTTTCCTAATTTTTTTCCCAAGCAAGCTCAAGTTTTCATATATTCATGCTTACAAAATGATAATTTTGATTTTCTTAGATGAAATTTAAACCGAAGTTACCAAGAACTCCGAAGAAACCCCTTACACCGAAGAAGTACAGAAATCCCTTTGGTTCCTCTATCCCTTTCATTTGTTTCTTTTCTCCTGTGAAGTAGTTTTCTTTGTTTTTGTTTTTAATTAAATTATAAATTGCAGAGAGGTTGGTGGAGCTGATGACGATGGAGATGATGGCGAGATCAATGAAGCTCTTCTTCGCAAAGTTAACGTAAACTCACGCGCTCTCTCTCTCTCGTTGATTGTTTTTTACCGGCCTCGTTCATATTTGATATACTACTACTAGCAATGAAGTAGCATTCTGTAGCAGATATATGTTTTGTTAATTAAATAAAGTAAACAAGTTTAGAGGTTTTGTGTTTTTATTTTATTTTTATCTTTTTACTGGGGGGTAACTGGTAAGCAAGGTAATTAGTAAATAATATGCTGGCATAATTGGAATAATAGTTGATTATGATGGCCTTTTTTCAGTTGAGAGAGTAGAGGTAACTAATTGAATTGTGTTTACAGGATCATTTGTCAGGGAGACGACCTCAAGCTAGCAAGAAATGTAATAGCTTAAACTTTTTCCTTTAGAATTACTTCTTTCCTTGCACTCGGTGTTTATCCCCCCGAATTTTGAACACTAAATTTACTTTTCAAAGAAACGACCATGTTGCAGCTTTAAAATGATCAAATGGATGAACCGTGTTGAAATGCTCTGAATCATTTATAATGCGATAAATCCTTGAGGAGATTTTGGTTTATTAAGGCTACCACCTCACACACCTATGTTTGAAACTTTCAGCTTCTGTTGAAGTCGTATTCACTCAAGGAGTCGCATCATCTTCTCCAAGGATGCATAGCATAGCTAAGGGGGAGTCTGGGGGCACGAGTGATGACATAGGATCAAGTGACTTTGCTGAAAATACTAGTCAAATCCTTTATTTGCCCCCAACAAGCACCGACTGTGTTGTAAAAAATGAACCAAGCGCGATGGGTTCTATGTTGAGGCAGAAGAAAAGAGCTTACAAAGAGCCTTGGGTATTAGTTCTTATTAAATCTCTTTGATCTTATGTCTGATAGAGAGAGTCTAACAACTATGCATATTCTATTTAAGAACTACTAATTGATTCTTTTTAATGTTCATTATCAGGATTACAACAACAGCTACTACCCTATTACCCTTCCACTAAGAAGACCTAACTCTGGAGATCCAGGTATGTCTTTAATCATTTCATATCCCTATCACATCTCTTGCTAAACAGGCCTTTCAAAATTGGTGGTGGTTGCAAAATGTGAAAGTAGTACTGCATTAATAATTTAGCAAGATTCACTATCTTTATCTCTCATTATGTGAAACCATCTACTACTATTAATGGGGGTAAAACTGCCGTGTATGACATATTGTTAACAAAATTAACACAACTTCTACACCCTGAATCGAAATGTTTTTTCCTTCATTTGGTTTAATTTGAACCCTAAACTATTGGATGATTATTCTTATTGCATTGAGTTTCCTTTCCTTTGTGTTTGAGGAATGTTGAGAAATTTTTGCTGTTTAAGAATTATATTGTTTAAGCATTATATGCTTGTTGGAATGCAGAGGTTCTTGATCAAGAGGAATTTGGAGAGGCTGGAACCTTCCCTGACTATGATGAAAGTGCTTTACATTCTGCTTCAGACCTTGGTCTGATGGTGGGTATATTTACATCTGTATTTCTGGATTATTTTTCCCAAGCATTGTCAGGACAAGTCTCTTTGCTCCAATTAGCTTATTCAAGGTACTGGAAAAGGCTTAATAGTTGTTTATGTTACGTACAGGAGGAAGATGCTAGAGCTAAGATGCTTTTTCTTCAGCTTCCTGCTGATCTTCCGTTGGGCCAGTGCCCCGCTACTGCAGCTAGCAAGGATGCATCTGGCATTTTTAAACTTCCAGGACATGCTTCAGCAGATCTACATTCTGTAGAGAAAGCTGGTGGTTCTACAACTCCCGGAACTGTTGCTTTGTCGAATGGAAATGGAACTGTTGCTTCGCCCAAGCGAAAGGAAACGGTTGCTTCATCTAAGGGAAAGGGAAAGGGAAAGGAAATTTGTGTCCCCACCTCAACGATTCCTGGTGATGTAAAGGGAAAAGAGTTTGTGGACAAGTCAATTTCTTCCGGGGGGGCAAACTTTGCGAAGGGAAGTTCCGAGTTACCAGTCGGACATATGGGCAAATTGTTGGTCTATAAGAGTGGTGCGGTTAAGTTGAAGCTTGGAGATATTTTATATGATGTGAGCTACCTTACTTTGGACCTTGAACCATTAACTTCCTTTCTTCTTGTACCGTCTATTCTGCATCATCCAATTTCACTTATGAATCCTGGCTTTTAGAAGTGTTCGTTCTTTTTTTTTTTTTTTCTTTTTTTTGAAAACGTTGGTTTCTCTTGAACTGCCTCTATATTGACATATAATTGAAAGCCTACTTCAGCATGTTTCTTTCCTGGTTGTTTGTTTGATATTAACTTTGCCACTCCATGGAACCTTGCAGGTCACTCCTGGTTCGGATTGTATCTCCGCACAGGATGTTGTGGCAATAAATACAATGGAAAGAGACTGTTGTGTGGTGGGAAAACTTACTAAGCGGGCTGTCGTGACTCCAGATGTCGATATCCTATTGGATCATCATGTGATTAATATCTGATGCTAATTTGTGATTAGTCTGACCTAATAGGCGTAAATGGGGAGTGTGCATTTAGTCTGATGCAAGTGGATTCTGTGTTTAATCTGGCCAAATGGTAGTGACATTGGTGTAAATGGGTAATGTGCCTTCGTATTAGTACTGGATGATGCCTTGTCTGACCTGATTGCACATGAGATGAGACTGATATTTGTCATCTTTTTGGTTGCTGATGCTCATAAGTAAAAAGCGGAAAAAAGTAAATCAATATTTCACCCAAAAAATGTCTTTCCATTTATTATCGTTAGTCGAAGAATGTCCCAAAGTTTTGACAATCCTTCAGACTTTTGGAATATATCACCGAATCCTCTACACTCTTTTCAAAAACCCTACTAGACTGTTTCAACCAATCAAACAAATATCAAAGAGTCCCTTTTCTATGCTATGCGAACCCGAACCAAATGTATTTAACTAAACAGTTTTTGCCCGAAGCCCCTGGCAGGCTGTGGATGGAGTGTAGCGATCTCCCCGTGTTTATTTGAGAAAATTAACCTTCCTCTGTACCTTTCTCTGAATAACAGTTTCTAAACGCATGACGGATCTAATTTATAATTACAAGCGTAGTGTTACAAGTTGCAGGCTCCTAATAATAAAGCACTGATTCTGGAACTGGAAATTTGAAAACCAAATTCAACTGATTCCCTTACATAAATTAACTGTACAATCATCATTTTGGAAACATAAAAGCGTACAACATGGACACTGCAAGGGAGCAAATGCCACTGGTTATGTCGTCAAATTACCGTCATGCTTTTGTTCGAGCAACCACCACAATAAGCATAACCACGACCGACAGGAAAAAAGAGGCTCTGAGCTTATCTTCAAAAGGATCTGGAGTTTTATTAGCTGTCTTCTCATCTTCTTCAGTATGAAGCAGTTCATTAACAATTTTTGTTATCTTCTCGATGAACTCCTTGACTTTTGCCTTGGTGTTGATAACTATCCACTCCATAAAGCTTTTTGCCACGTTAGAGGTATCATTGTCCCCATCGTCTGACTTCTCCGAACGACTCATATCTGAAATAACAAGCCAGTCTTTTAAGAAGCAAAGAATCCTATGATAGTGGCTAAGTACCATAATGAACTTAAACGAGAGAGCATTTGAATGGGAAAATAAAGGAAGAAGGCATAAATAAGCACCACACATGGAATTTGTGGTATTAGGAGAGAACCCAACCCACAGCATGACAGTCTCCCCTAAAAACACATTCCAGAATAACATAATAATAATTGTCCCATTCCAGCACACCTTTTTACATTTCCAATACAAAAAACACTTAAAAACACACTAAAAAAACGAAACAAACATACCCACGACCAGATCTTCTAACCTTTTATATATCATTACCTAGTTAATTTTACAAACTAAAGCAACAAACTAGCCTCTGGACTACAAAAATCATTGGCACGAAACCATCATTTAAATTATATCAATGAAGACAATTCTAACTTCTTACTAGGTTTTATAGAGATTACACAACCAGGAGTCTATCTGCCAGGCTGTTCAAGGAAGTGGAAAGTTCAATGCATATAAGATGATATGAACGCATGACAACCTCCAGGTTTTTTTTTACCGGCTGTATGCTTAATAACCCAACAGAATCTTTTTTTTTTTTTTTTGGTGGAAATGTAAATATATATTAACACATCACCAAAGTGAGAAATCAGTACATGTTCAATTTACATCTCAACTAAGCCTACAAAACTGCAGAGACTGCCTACAGAAACATAATGCATTAACACACCACATAAAAACACGCTTTTTCGAACCTGCTCAAAGCCAAACAGAAACATATAGCATACAACATGAAAAACTGCTCTAAAATCTCAATTTCCTTCTGCAGAATCTAAAATAGCCAAAAACCCTATGTTTCCAACTCAAAACTAAAACTAAGATATTAGTGGTTTATGTATTTAGATGGGTGATTCCTGTTTTTCTCTTTTACCATCAGCATCTATTGCTTGCTGAAACCATCAGAAAAAATAGTAACCACCCACAAAGAACATGCTTTCCCCTCCTCAAGAAGAGGCCCACCAATGTAGTGTTTATGCTGAAAATACCAGTTCAAAGTGATATATGATCAGCTCGTGAAAGGAATCTTATGATTCAGTTCAAAACAGACAAGGTCACCAAGTAACTAACTAGCCCTGCGAAATAACTATTTAAGAAAAGAAAAGTAATATATTTGCTAATTTCTACAAGCTTTACAAACCTGGATTGAATGAACCTCTCAGCTCCTGAACTACCTCATTATTCAACACAGCATCCCAGACAGCTCTATCCGAGGACAGTGACATGACCATTCTCTACAAATGGGAGCAATCAAAGTCTTTCAGCAAAGAAAGATTACCAGAGGAAAACTAGCAGACAATTTTCAACTTCAGCTCACGAGATTGAAAAATCTAAGATAGCAACTGAGCCAGCCATATTGACAATATACCTGAACAGAAGGCTCATTCCGCAGCAAGGAGAACGCATCATGTACTCTGTCATATCCACGAGCCTGCAACACACTTGAGCTCCAAAGCTGATAGGGTGGCTCTACCCAATCCAACTTGGACCCAAAAGGAGAAACTACTTCGTTGGAACCGGTAGGGCTAGTTATATTATCAACTACTTCTCCATCCAACATGTTAACAGATCTGTCCATGGAAAAATATGTAGGAGACCCTGGTTCGAGGACCCTGTAATAAATAGTAAAAACAAAAAGAATTATCCTTGACACCATCTCAATAATTCTGAAGAAGAAGCTAACTAGTCATCATAAGGAGAGTTTACAAAAGAGTAACTGGCAACTGCATCAATCTTTGAGGTAAAACCTATTTGTTTCCTTCCAAAATGAATAGTCATTCAGAGAGCATAGAAGATGTAAAGCTCACGCTTCCACAATCTCCGGCAAAATTGCATACCACGATCATCAAAGCATATATCTCCCTTGGTTCTTCGGGTAGTTTATGATAAGAATTGCAATTTCAAGCACGTGGTCTAATGACTAGTTCCAAAATGATTGCAGGAAGAAAATGGCTTTTGTCCGTCCATTTGATGCAAAAAAATTTCCACTATCAGACCAAACAAAATGGATTTGACTAGTTGGAGGTGCAAGTGAATCAGGAAACTTCTCGTCCTGTTTCTCAACATAATATCAATGTCCACATCAACAGGAAAAACAGTAGAGAAAAACTTCCAAGTCCAGATTAATACTACTTAATAGCATAGTGAAAATTAGGAAAACCACAGCAATTAAACACTCGGCACAGTTATCCTTAGCAATCTACCTCTCTCGCTTCGTATTTCCAAATGGATGAATAGAAACTTTGACAAACAATCATCACTCCAATTGCATAAAGCAACTAAATTTGGCAAATTTGTAGAACTAACTGAAAGTAAGAAATTGAAGAAATTACTCTTTGAGTGCAACAACTGCATGCTGGACTTCCTCCTTGGAAGGGACGGCGCCAAATATATAGTCATCGTACACAACTTGTGCTCCGTCGTCCTCCACGGAAACCCAATCAAAGGAATCGTCGGAAAAAGTCGGGGAGGAAGGCCAAGCAGTCGAAGTAACAGAGATGGGAGGATGAATCGGGGACGAAGTTGAGGAGGAAGAAATCGTGAGGTTGGGACCCTTGTTACCAGCGTAGATAGCAGTAGTGGAACTTTTTCTACCACTCCGGCCGCCAGTAGAACTGGCGGCGCCGGAGTGTGAAAAGGGTTCTTGGGCTGCAGATGCCCGGACGGCCCTCTGAACAGACCGGAGCATTTGGATACTTCCGCCGCTGCCACCACCCATTCCGCTGCTACCACTGCCACCACCCAATGCCCTTCTCATATCCCTTTGAGAATTTGGGGAGATTATTTTTTGTTTCTACTGAATGGGGTCTTATCCGGATATTTATTGTTTTTTATTTGTTTGTTTCCTTCTCGTTGGATGAGTCTTCTTTCTTTTATTAGATTATTACCGTGTCAGTGGGTGACTGCGTGTGCGTGGGCAGCGGGTTTCGGAGTGGATTTTATTTGTAGTATTATTTTAGAGTTGAAGTACTACTACTAGTATTTGTTCGCCAGAGAAGAATATATGTAATTGTAAACAAAGTCTGCTTCTGGGAGAAGTTTACAAAATGCAGGATTTTGCACTTTGAATGGTAGTCGTATTCTTTTTTATCTCATGCATTTTATATTGTCTAACTGGAAATTCTAGCATTAATAAATGCATTAATAAGGATCATAGAATTTGGAAGTTATTGAATTTTTATAAGAGTCTAAATAAAGAAAATACTTATTGAATTTTTTTCCCTCAACATCAGATTACTGTGTACTAGTATGTTACTAGCAGTACTAGTCTACTAGATGATCTCTCACCGAATGTGAATATAATTTTGGCGGGGATGATAAAGTCCAACATTACAATCAAACGGAAAGGTGCAGCTTTGGCCTACTTGAATAAGTTAAAGACTTAAAGCTACCTTGAATTAATGTTCCAGAAATATCCAAACATGGAATATAAAAAAATCTGGATGTCATCTTCTTTATCCTAAGTCCTGACTCTTTCTTCACGCTACTTATTGAATGTCTTCCGCTCTTAGAGAATGTAGGGTAACATTTTTGTTTTAAACATATAAATCACCATATTAAACAGAATTATTAAAATGATGAGAAATGAAATATACTCTCTTGCTTCGAGGAATGAAGTATTTGGTAACTTAATCCGCTAATATTTTCACGAATCGCTCATTTCTAAACTCGTCATTCTTATACCATCTTTCTTTTACTCCCTCTGAGTCCCTAAAAAAATAGTCAACGTTGAGTTTGTAAATTTGGACTAAAATAGTACAAATTTGCAAACTCTCAATTTGCACTATTTTTTTTGGGACTAAAATATTACATTTTTAGCATGGATATTAGAAATCGACATTCCAATGAAATTGTTACATGCATACAGCTTTTTTTAACACAATAACGCGAAGAAAAAAATCATTTTTACGAATCCCTTGTTTTAGACGGAAAAAATAAAAAAAAAAATAGTGTACAAAAATGAAAATTAAAAGAAAAAAAGAAAACAAAACAAAATCTACAAATCAAAAAGAGGCTTTAAGAATGGATAATCTTCAACAACACGTTAATACCAACACAGAATAGTGCCTACTTGACGACATCCCGATTAATGCCCGCGAGAATAGAAATAAAAAATAAAAATAAATTATCAATGTCTCTATCTAACGTCACAGCACGCAATTATTAAATGAGAAAAATACAATTACCAGATTTTTTTTTTTTTTTTTGGATATGTTTCAAAATTTTGCAGTCATTTTCATGCAAGGGAAGAGGCCGTTTAAGAATTGCGGTATAAGCCTGTTATGATTTATGATATTTGAAATGAACAGAATAAATCATAATAAAAACAATAAGGACTGGAGGGAGTACGTATTAATTCTCAAAATTATTGGCTTTATTAACAAAGAACAATAAATAGTTTGGGTGAGAAGTTGAATTAGATGAAAGATACTGGGATGAAACTGAAAATAGATCGCAAAGTAAGACGAGGAATTGAAGATGACCCCTTTCTTCCTCGTTGTAATTCCCCAAGCCTTTGTTTTTACCTCTACTAAAAAAATTACTGTAGTTCTATCACACAAAATTACAAATTCTAATAGTGTAGCAAACAGCGGCACAGCCGTAAACATTGGCGCCTCAACCGCTCTCCGGCCAGGCCCATCACCGTTGGCTTATCCGCTGTTTTTAAATTCCGACCAGTCTCCTTGGAGCACTTTGCCACTATCTGGTTGTTTTTGAGCAGCAAGCACCAGCTCCACACGACTCCTTGACTGAGCTCGTCTCCGCTATCTCTCTCGGGCTCTAATTTCAATCATAATTTGCGGAAATAAGCCACGAAATCACAGGAGTAATAGCAGCAATAGAATGTCGGAAAATTCAGATTCTTCGGATCAGCCGCAACCGTTGATTGAGGGTGATCCAAAAACCAACCTACCTCGCACTTTCAAGTATTTGTTAGGTAATACTTTTCTATTCTTTGTCTTCTTTCTACTATACATACACATGTGATTGTGATTTATGATAAACTGATTCAAATCTTCGAATTATGGTTTGTAGCTACGCAATTTTTGTCTAGGGGAATACCGTTTATTTTCAATTCATGGATCGTTCGCCACCTTACCGAAGAAGACTACGCGGTATATTTCTAGGCATTCTCTGTATTTTTTTTCTTCTCTTTCTAAACGGACATTATTTTCTGTTGTTTAGGTAATCTTGTTATGTAAATTGACTTTGTTTAGTTGTGTGACCTAATGCCCTGATCCTATTACATTTGTCAGAGTGGGTGTTAAAGACTGCTGTTAGGGAGGATTCTTTCTCTTTTTATTGCTGTTAACTTTTTCTACTTGGGAGAGCAAAAAATGCTAAAAATGTAACTTTGGAACCACTGACAGTGTGTCTATCCATAACACTTCTGAAGGAATGAAGGAACTCGTAATGAAGCGCAATGAAAAGAGATATTTGGCCTTAGGTTCTTTCTTTTTTTTTTCACATTTTAGTTTCTCTGAGCTTATGATGGTGATTGATGCAATCTGGGAGTTTCGTTCAGCCTGTTATCAAAAATTTATGATGATGTGTACTCCAGTGCTTGTAATTTGTCAGGTGGTAACACTTTATATACACTGTCAATTAGAAGAAGTTTATTCTAATTTTTCTATCAATGTCCTACTCGAAAACTTGTTCCTTTAGATATATGTCAAGTGACTCAGTGTTTCTTGTTTTTTTTTGTTCTATTTATTTTTTAGTTGTCAATTGACATTCCTCTATGAATGATGTTAAACATAACCTTTCTAATATTTTTCAGATTTATGCTGTACAATTCCAACTGTTTGTCACCTGCATATTGTTCCTCAGTCGAGAGGGTTTTCGCCGTGCATGCTTGAGGGCAGACATTAAATGGTACATCGAAGTGCTTAACCATATCTTCCATAACTTTAAGTAGCAAGAATAACATTTTAGTTATTGTAATTATTTCGTTTGTTATGTCATTCTATGTGAGATTTTGAATATTTGGCTTGTTATGTCATTCTGTCTGACATGTTGAATTTTCATTTGTTATGTCATTCTATGTGAGACGTTCAATTTGTGGATTGGTTGAATATTACTTTTCATAGAAGAACTTTGAGATGAGATTGATTGTGCACATTTTCCTTCTTTTAAATCTGTCTGGTAAGTTTGCAACATGATAAGATTGATGTCGAGAAAATCTTGAAGTTGAAAAGGGAAATCTGTGGAAGTGCGGATGGAGATTGACATCTATGAACTCAACATATTTGCAATCCTCTGGTGTCAGCGGAAGAATTTTTATCTTTATAGCTCTCAGAAATTTGATTAGGATGCCTTTTACATGTTACTCTTACCTCATGTGAAGTATAAATAGTCGTTGAAAATTATTCATTTTTTGAACAAGACTACGTGAGGAAAGTTCGTGAATGTGAAATTGAGCTAAGGTAAAAGTACAAGTGAAAAAGCCCTTTTTCTAATGGGGAGCAGACCGAAGGAACTGAGTGATTGTGTGCCAACACCTTTTACTTTAAGAAGTGAATGGTACTTGGTACAAGCTTGCTAAGATTTTCAGAAACCAAAACTCTCATTATTATTTATGGCATCATAATTATGAAAGATTAATTTACTCCTGATTCTTGTTGAATATTTGATTTTTGCTATTACTTTTGATCTTTGTATTGTTAGAGAAAATACGAAACTCGCAAGTGCTCTTGATTTCAAGTGTTTTATTTTGAATGTGAAAGGCTGAAACTTGTTATCTTATTTGCAGTGATGGAACTTCAATGACAGGAAATTTAGCACGACTTCTGACAGTAGCATGGTTTACTTTTCCCTTGGGAATACTTTTTACCGTTGCTGGTTCTGCATTTGTTCTCTGGTGGCAGAGCTTGAGTTACCACAGTTCATATGCACAAGCCATCTTGATTAATGGTGAGAGGAATTATCAGTTTTGCGAATTCCAAGAAATGTTGCTTTAGTCAGTTTCTATGAGTTGTGCACTTATTGTTTTAGAAAGATTTTACTGTTTAAAGGACAAACAAGAAAATAGATCAGTAATTTGCATATCATGTTTTTGCTAACTAGTTGTTTTGTCAAGATAAAAGTATGTTCTGGTGATTGGACTGTTTCTGAATATCCTCTAATGTTATCATACAGGTTTTGCATGTGTCCTGGAGCTACTAGCTGAACCCTTTTATATCTTGTCTCAGAATTTGCTCCTCCTCAAACTGCGGCTAGTAATAGAATCTCTGGCTACCCTTATGCGGTGTTTAACAACATACTTTCTCATTGTGAAGGAAATTGACATGGTAATCTTTATGTACCAAGCTTCATATTATTTTGTTTCAACGGTACTTATCTAATGAAAGTTCTAGTTTGGTGTCTTATTATACTGCTGGCGGGAAGAGTATGGAAGTCTTATTCTCTTTGAATCTTTTGAAGCTCTTGTCATGAGATGTTACTTTGCAGATGTTAACCCTGTCCTTGTTCTTATTTTCAGGAGAGAGTTATTGTCTTCGCGTTGTCACAAACTGCTTATGGAGCTTCTATATTTGTTGGTTATTGGGGTTACTTTCTTCTGAATCAAGCATATAAAGTATCAGATCTTTTTCCATTCAGGTGTGAGACAAATAAATGAGGTGTCAAAGTTAGTGCTGAATAATTATATACCTTTGTTTTCTGGACCAAAAGTGTTATCAGTTACTCTTGTATACAGACTTGCTCTTTCCGTTTCATGTGGTTCACCTTGGGTTATGATAAATTTTCAGACTGTTTTTAGGACTTCGTAATGATTGTGATGTATCACATACCGTTACTGCATTGTTATGGGTATTGCTAGCACATGTAAATCCTTGTGATGAAAGTAATTATACACATAATATAATAGGCGCAGAAATTTTGTTTCCCAGGTTTTAGTAAAGATTCATTATATATATGACCTGAGGTCTCGTGCAGTTTCAAATTAGTTGTTTATTTATCTTATCGCACTTGTAACTAACAAATTTTTTTCAGTGTAGGAAACTTGATGAATCACGATCAGCAGCTCGCATATATGTGTAGGTTGTTCACCTTTCAGTCCATTAGGAAGTTGATTCTTCAAGAAGGAGAAAAGGTGGTCCTCGTTTGGTTTGACACTCCATTTAATCAGGCTGTATATGGCCTCGTGGAAAAACTAGGTACCGTCCTATAGTTACAGAATGTGCATGGCATGTACAATTTGGCTTTTTAATTGGTTTTATGTGAGGATGGAATTTCTGCTGATTTATGATAGGAGTAGAAATTATATTTCTAAAATACGACTCAGAAATAGTTTCCTTCTATTTTTCAGGGAGTTTAGTGGTGAGATTAGTTTTTCTGCCATTTGAGGAGAGTTCTTTTGCTACCTTTGCAAGGTTCGCATCAGGTTTAATTCGCTATCATCTTTGTTCATTTAATCATATAGGTCACAAGGATTTAATTTTATTGTGGGAATCCCCTTTAATCAGTTTACACGTTCCTCATTTTTTATTTGGATTCTTTCTGCAGGTGAATCTGCAGAGAACAAGAGAAAGTTGGGAAGTTGTTTAACAGATGCTTTGAAACTTGTTTTACTCATAGGTATTTTTTCTCTGTGTCAATACTGAAATTTCTGACTTGTAGGCTGATCCAGAATCAATCATCCCATGCTATTGTTATATGCATCACTAGTCTGTAGTGGCGATTAGCCACAAACCCGTCTCTCTGTTGGATGCTTTCAGTTGTCATTTGCTTAAGTAGTTCCCTGTTTTGATTTGTTCTTCCTGTAGGACTCGTAGTTGTAGCATTTGGACCGAGCTATTCTTACTCTCTCATCAGAATATTGTATGGTCAAAAATGGAGTGACGGAGAAGCTTCGACAGCTCTTAAATATTACGCACTCTATGTTGTTGTTTTGGCTATGAATGGTTTGTGACATTACTATATCATAATCAGTTCTCAACCCCAGATATTTCTCTGGATCCCTATTCTGCTATAAGAATAGAAATGAAAACCTTTCTTTCTTTTGTTTCTTTCCTGGCAGGAACATCTGAAGCATTTCTGCATGCAGTTGCGACAGAGAAAGCACTCAGACGGTGGAATGATTCTCTTCTTTATTTCTCCTTGATTTATGTAGTGTTGAACATATGTCTGATACGATCAATTGGTGCAGTCGGGCTGATTCTTGCAAATATAATAAGTATCCTTTTATTGCGGGCAGCACCCCGTGTTAGATTTTTTTTTTTTTTTAGTGGCATGCCCTACAATCCTTTACTTTCTATGTCATATATTTTGGAGAATATCAATTGGTGCAGTCGGACTGATTCTTGCAAATATAATAAGTATCCTTCTATTGCGGGCAGCACCCCGTGTTAGATTTGTTTTTTTTTTTTTTAGTGGCATGCCCTACAATCCTTTACTTTCTATGTCATATATTTTGGAGTAGTTATTCTCTGATAACCTTTTCCCTGGAAAATCGCTAAATTTTGCCCAATAGATTACTTTTAAACCAGCTAGTTGATGAAGAGCATTTTTCTCAGGCAAGGAATTTAATCCCAGCCTGCACAGAATGGATTAATTAGTATACTGCTGAGTCCTGATATCGAACTTCTGTATTGATTTTGTGTAGTAAGCCTTGCCGACTGAAGAATTCCTTAACCAGACCTTAGATATGATATTCAGGATTATTTACTCGGCAATATTCATCAGGAATTATTTCGAGGTAAAGTTATTCAGCTACTGTTGGTAATTTGACATAAAGGTTAAAAGTTGATATTTGCCTATATCTTTTGCAGGGTTCATCATTTTCTTTCCGAGGATGCTTGCCCTCGGGCTGGTCCTTTTTGCTTCTTTCAAGTGTAGTTACACAGATCTCAGAAAGGGTGTTCTTGGACCCTAGTAATTTCTGGAAGACATTTTGTGTTCATGTCTGTGTGGGAATTTCCTGTCTCTCCACTGCTGCCATTTTCATGTAACCATTCATTCATCCTGCCTGTATCTAGAATATCAACTGATGTTTCTTTCAAAGTTTAAACCAGTGTCCAACTGAGATTATAGTTTTATTTATTGTTATTATTACTATTTTTTTTTTTTTATGATGGTGTATTTTGCTCATGAACAGTTATCGTGGTGAGAGGCTTTTCATCAACAAAATGATACGTTCCCGGGCGCATGCCGATTGAATGCACATATGGTCTATGTTTCTTGAGGTAAAGATAGGTCCTCAATATTCTACGTATAGTTTTCTTGCCTCCCATTAATGCTTCTTTCGTCTATCTTGAAGTTAGGGGCATTCCAAAGGTGTTGGATCTATGGTCGTGCAGAAAATGTATTGGTAATGACGCCTGGCCTCTTGATCATATCAAACCCCACCTTCAAGGATACAATTTGCAGCTCAGCAAACATTAATTTCTCTAGATTTAGTAAGTTACAGAAGAGAAACCTGTAAAAATTTTAGTTCTGTTTAACATTTAGTTCCTGCTATAATGATATTAATAATATTTACAATGAAAGTATAATGCAGTTCTTTTGGTGCTTCATTCTATAACTACTGCTGAGTTGCAACTTGTAGCAAGTTTTTTCCCCGAGGAGATTTTGATGTTCTTTGGAGGTTCTGCGTTAGCCTTTTGACTGCTGAGATTTATGTTTTCCTTTTTCTTTTTTTTTTTTTTAATCTTTGATACTGCCTCTCTAGCTGTCAGCACTAGTAGGCAGTACATAAATCTCTTAGGAAAATGAGTCTATATCTAGTTTGTGCATATTGCTTCACGCATTTGCTCGATTCAACTGACTGGGATAGATGGCACTTACTCTGCCACTATCCACGTCAATTGCCCAGTTAGATACCTCTGCAATTTAGAAAATTCCATTATAAAAGACGCTTTATTCTGGTGCCGAACCCAGCTTTCAGTGCACTTATCATCACCAAAAATAAAAACAAGAAGAAGAAAGTTTTGAAAACGTTGTGAGGTATCTGATTGACAGCAACTTTCACTACAAATGTAATGATCAGTCGTCCCCCTTTTTCTGAACAAGAAAATCCACCAGGGAAATGTCGAGATGTATACTTTCACTGTGGAATGTTTTGCGCACTTGAAAGTTTGGATGAAAATATAACGTTGGATTGATGTAGCACTCCTATTCTGTTTTTTTATGAAAAAAAAAAAAAAAGACAGCGAATGCAGGCATTTTTATTTGTTCTTTTATCTGTGTGCTTGGAACTGGATTTGATCCTGCATTTGAGTGAGACTGGTTTAAGGAGAAGATCGTCGGATTAGTTCTAATAGTACCATTTAGCATTTGGAATTGGATATTTGGATATTGTCCGATTGAATATGACTGGCAGTGTCAAATACCAGCTGGAAGTAGCAGCATACCCACCGCCAAGCAATTATGAAGTTTGAAAACTTGGGTTGGTGGTAAAGTAAGGAAAAAAAGTGGGGGAAGTGAAGTTGATGATGGAGGAGTAGACCATCGAGTGATGGTGTAGAAGATAGACTAGCATCCAACTCCAAAAACTAGTATAAATAAAACAAAAACAAACAAGACTTCCAATGTTCTACAACAGCATGATGATCCTTTTTGAGTAGTTTTTTTTTTTTTTTCTCTGAAAAGATTGGGACTCACGTAGTGGAATGTACCAATTCTCACAAAATAGATTACAACGCGTTACCAGTTCTTAATGCAGGTTCTACCCTGATTTTGACCCCTTTTCACTTTGAAAATTTTCACTTGGTATCATTACCACTCTGTAATAGTGATGCTTAAAGAAAATGACTGCTTAACCAACACTAAAACAATCAACAACGTCCAAACAGGAAAAGGGTTGGTGAAGGTTTTTTCCGGGAAAAAACCGACTAACGAGCTCCCAAGCCGGAAAAGGATGAAGACAAAAAGGGGTGTAATTTTCGTCATTACTATTTTCAGGGAGCAAGGATGTTTGTCCTTCATTGACAAAACAAAATTTATATTGGTGCTTAAAACCACCCCAAAACCGAAAAGATGAGTAATGAAAGATAGGCGTAGTTTTATTGGTTTTTCTTTAATTATTTGCAGTATTCTTGTATGATTAAGAATGGGACATGGATATAACTTTAGCTGTCTAACTTGGCATCTAATTTAAGCGAATTCCGAGATAAATACTGGCGGATATGTCAGGTTGGTTAGTTTCTATTGCTTTTCTTTAACCTACTTTAGAAGGTCTTTGAATCATTATTCGGTAGTCAATTTATATCATATTCCCACATTTACTTTGAAAAAATTGTGGAGCTTAAAGATTTGCATTCCAATATTGTATGCCCTTTGGCCTTCTCCATTGAAAGTATCTTTACTTAACAGACAACAAAACTGATAGAACATGACATGTAATCATATTGTATATGGACCCCCTTCCCTTTATATTGTTATCTCTTCGTATTTATCTTGGGTTTAATACCACTTTTCCCGTCTGGTAATTTTCAAATGTTCAAAGTGTGTGATTATGGAATTAGGGATTTTTTTGGATCACATGGATACGTTAATCATCCTCTTAAACTTCTAATCACCAAAAAAGTTGATCCATTTAGTTCCCACTAGTTCATCATTAAAATTCCATTAGTGCGTATCAGCAATAAAATTGGCCTTTCTCTCTGGCTTCTTCCTCCGTTTGTGGTTATTATTACATGTAGTATAACGTTAAAATGTTATCACACAACGGTGATGTAATAAGTGAATCTGAATTGAAGAAACAGTGAGCAAAATTAAGGCAAGTAGTAAACGAATGCAACCATAATTTAGCATTTTAATTTTTGTGTTTTATTCAAAATAAGCTACTATTCAGCCAGCAAAATCACTATGATTTTATTAACATCACTTCTGTAGAGGCACTAAGTAAAACCCAGTAATAATTCTTTTAGTGGATTATTGTGTGCATTACTGATGGCTTTTCTAAACTTATGGAAAAGCAAAGAATGATGTTTGAGGAAACGTAAAGACTACTTAATATATCCAGGCATAATCTTAAAAGGAATTAACTAGCTCTATATAGAGTGGATTAGGCCAACTTTCAGAAATGAAAAAATGTTGTAGTGTGGCAAGAAACAGTGATGGAAATCCTCGTTTGTGGAATTTTTTTGAGTGAATAAGAATTTGAGTTAATATAAGAAGGAAGGAAGGAAGGAAGGAAGGATGTGTGTGTTAACTCACATGCCAAATTCTACTAACCTTCTTAAAGGCCAATGATTGTGTCTACCACAATGGTGAAAATTAAGGGTCACAAAAACATCATGGTTGAAACTTTGGAAATTAGATAGGTGGTCTTTTTCACCCTATTGTCATGACCCATTGACCCATGAGCACAGGGGCACCAGTAGGGATGCACTGGGGGAAGACGTGGGTTTCGGTGCAGAGAGCCAGAGCCTACTACTCACTCTACTTGCCTTTTGGATTCTGGAGTCAAACTTAACCAGTTTACTGCTGCGCTTTATCTCAATGTGTGTGTGTGTGTGTCTTCTGAAGGTCAACATGGTCATTTGACTTTTCCATGTAGCTACGGAGGTAGCTCGAACCCAAACTCAAAGACCCAAAAGCCAAAACAACTTGGACTAAACATATTTGAACTTAACGTCTAATAACACAGTATCCACCACTTGTATTCTCGAAGTTAATTAACACCTTATTTATGGCATTGAGCTCCAACCTACGCTCTCTGGTAATTTGTATACGTACGCATTCGTATTAAAGAAAGAAAGAAGAAGAAAAAATCGCTTTCCTGATTGATTTTTATGCGGATTTCCACACAGAATTACATGCCAATATTCCTCAAAGTTAGAATCGGGTCAAATATATTTTTCGGTAACCCAAGGAATGCGACACTTGTTGGTGATTTTGAAATTTCGAGAGTGATTTGAGTCCACCATTTTATAAAAATACACTTAGGAGGATGGTCAGCCATCACCGGAAGTAGACAAATCTAACCCCCCACCGTACGTTCGATTACGACCCTTCCCCCCATTTTATTTCTTTTAATTTGTAAGAAAAAAAGAAAAATTGGTGATATTTGGCCCTGAAGAAAAACATGAAAATATGAGACCTTCAAATTATACACAACAACAACATAATCCTTTGTTGGCCCAAGAAATCTTTTTTTCCTTTTATGCAGTAGGACATTGATGTAGTATGGTGCAACCAATACCAATCTGACATCCACCTCCACGCTCCCATTTTTTTTAGTATTTTTTTTTTCAAAACGAAATTGAAAAGAGGTATTTTGGACTAAAATGTGGACCACATGCCAATTATTGATTAATTAATAATTATACCAATTAACATGCGCCATCGTGTGTATTCAATAAAATAACCCCCTGCGTGCAACAATCGAGTTCATCATCATGCAGTACCATTCCATGTATATTTTTAGAGAGATCATTTGTGTATATGAGCATAATTACATGCATATATTGTAGTATTTGTCTTAAAAAAATAATGAATGACGTGACATTTTATCAGAAATGAAATGTTGTAAAACTAATATTTTTCATGTTTTAGAAGCTTAACGTTGACTCTTTTTCAGGATACAAGTAGTGATATGCTAAATGAAAAACATCAAACGATCAATTATCACTCATTAATTTAAAGTTTGTTTTTTGAACCGAAAAAAGAAAAAGAGTGTTCGATATAGTTCGAGACTTTCGAGTGGTAAATTTCACGCGGGGGAAGTAGTAGTAGTAGTAGGAGGAGGAGGAGGAGGACGAATAGCATGCTCATCATGCTGAAGTGGGGTCACCACCTTCACGCCATCAAAATTTAATGGGCCACGTATGACATACCACTGATGACAAAGCATAATAGGAATGGGCTTTTTGTAGTGAATGCCTGAACGGTATTAGGGAGACAAAGCTTTCTTCTCGGGCCACATTATCAAAAGTGACCCACCATCTAGCCCTGGGCTATTAGGGCAGCTCCTTTCCTTTCAGCGGTCCTGCTTTTTCTGCCCTCCTCTCAGACGCAATTACGCCTGGGTATTATTGTCATTTAACTCAGTTTCCCCCTCCTCCCAAAAAAAAAAAAAAAATACATATAAAACCGTTATACCTAAAATACTTTAATAAGTTCTTCAATGTTAGCTCTCATTCAAAAAATATTTTACTGTGACATTAGTCTGTAACTAATCATATGACTTATGATCTCATTTATTGTGACATTAGTTATATCATTGGCACGGGTTTAATCACTCACTATTAATTACGATGTTGATGTTAATGATAAAAACATATTCGCTCCAGTCCTTATTATAAGACATTTTAATTTCGTCTTAAGTTTCATCTAGGATGTATTTTAATCGAAATAAAAATCTGAAAAAAAATTTCATAATAATTAAGAGAACACAAAGAATATGAAAATATATTTTTAAGATTTTTTTCAAATTATAAAAGCATCATAGGTTAAATCTATGACGAAATAAAAATGCCTTACAATAAGGAGCGGAGGGAGTACATCAATTGTTTAACTAGTGGAACACAAGAATGACATAGAAGACTCGATTCTCTTATACACAATAAGAAAAAAGGTCGAATATATATTCAAATTTTTACATATGTCTTTCGAATACATACTTTTTTTTTTCGTCTCGCAACAATTGTGACGTTCATTGAAAAGGAAGAGTACGTATACAACACAACAGTATAACAGGGAAAAAGCCGAAAAGACAATCTTCCCAATATAAAATGCCAGTATTTTGGTCAATATATAATTATATCAGAAGGCAAACTGTTGAGAGAAGAATGTTGCCGGTACGAGGCCACACAAAGTTGCAAAAATCATGGTCAATTATTTTGTACAGTGGCCTTGTGAAGGCTGCATGCATAGTGCATGGTATTATTCTCATTAATAAACCCAAATGCTAGCTGGGATCATCTATCGGAGCAGCAAATGCAAAGCGGCAGTGCAACTGAAAAATCACACTTTGTGCTAGTAGGCACTAGGCAGTAAAACGTTTTGTAGAGGCTCCAGAGAAGATTACCCTACATAAATATACTCACTCTGCGCCTTTTACTCAATTACTCTTTGTCCTGCACCCCCCTAATACGCTTTTTACCCTCCGGACCCCTCTTTCATCACATGCAATCAGCCAATCCAGTTAGGCTAATTACTGTAACTAACTGTAATATTTTCCATTTTATAAATTGGTTCAATTAGTGAAATGGTACAGTTTCATTAGGGTAAAAGTTTTGCATTTTTGGGTTAAAGTCCATTTTTTTTATATAGGTAGAACTTAGACGTTTCCCCTCATTAAAAAATAAGTATGATTAGACAAAAAAAAATAAATTGGTGTATTATTAGACAATTAATTACACACAGTTTAAAGGTAAATAAGCTAGATAAATTAATAGAGTATCCTTGACCAGTATTTCTTTCGAGGATAATATTGAAAATTTGATATAAAAAATAACATTGGAATTAGAAAACATTACTTATTTTTATTAAAATTTATTTATTTTGCTAAAACGACACTTATATTAGAATGAAGGGAGGAAGTGTGATCGGTATACAATAAATAAAATGAAGTGTGTATACCAGTATATGTGTTGTTTGTGTAGTTCCTTTCCTTGGTTTGCTTAAGAATTCAGCTTTGCTAGCATAATTAATTCGTTAATGGTGTGTTAATGAAACCGTGATATTTCTTAACACACTTTAGAGACATTAATGATGCAAAGTAGCAACTGGTCATCATTCGAAGAGACTTAAAAGTCAAACGGAGGGGAAAGCGCGGCAAGAATACATTGAATAAATGTGATTGTGGTAGAGCAGCCCCTCATAATTAACAATGGGGAATTTGTTATGATCATTCATCGTGTCCCATGTTGTGGAATTTGGCTGCAAAATGCTTCTTCGATGTTAGTTGTTTTTTTTCACTCATTATAATTGTTACTGATTCGATTAGCCGTTTTGCAGGGGTGTTAAATGTTTCTGCAACAGGGGAAGCCCCTCATTACTTATTAGTACGATGAAGAGAGCTTACTACTTCGAAGAAACTAGAGTTAATATACCTCAACCGTTTTCTGGTGTCTTTTGTACGATCTCATTATATATAGGTGCATTTGCATTATACAGTCCATTTCGTGTATTTTTGTCTCGCTGGATGTTACTACAACTATTTACGTACAATTATTGTTTCACGTAGTTAAAACTTTATGTCATTGAACAAGCCGGTGCAATGAACTGATGTATTATATTTTTGGGGCGAATAAAGTATCGTGAAATAAAAATAGCCTATATTTTATTGATTTTATGCATTATTTATTTCAAGGTTACTGTTAAGGAGTACTCGGAAATGGAACCAACCCTTTGAGCTTGGCACCTCATTAGAAGTTTAATTTATGTGTCGAGGTACTGTTGATATTAAATCATTTAAGCTTAGCTTGTAAGAGTTAAATTGTTTGTGTTAATAACAAAATGCCGGTGGACAGAGAGCACACAAGTGGTTCGTCACTCTATTCTTTACCTCTTCGATGAGTTTCTATATCAATCAAAGTGGTTTTGATGGCATGGAAGAAATTTATTTTTCACTATATAAGTCGAGTGTTCGAAATTCAAAACCAATATAGAATAATATAAAATTTGTTTATAGCTCTTTCACGCATTAAAGTGTCTATAACTCAGCAAGTGAATTAGTCACTGTTACTTACAATAAACATGGTACTACACGAGAGAAAAACAAAAAAAGAAAATTCGCGTCCAATGTTCTATCACATTTTATCTTTTTATTATTCATACTTGCATTGTGATAAAATACCATGATGGAGGTTTAGCTATTCACGTGATATTTGTTCCTCAAGACACAAATTCGCATACAAGCATCGAGCAGGATTAAGGAGTGATTACAAAAGCCGTATCACATGATAATGGGTATGCAGTTTAGGATTATTGCGTTAGGTACCCATATCCATGTTATGCATGATTACTGTTACTGGAAAAGAACAATTAAATGTGTTATTTTGGGCAATCATCGCACCTTGATATTAGCTGGGTATCTAGGCTAATGATAATTAGATTTGGCAATTTCAGTTCAATGATTCAGATGAAAAAAAAAAGAAAAGAAAAGAAAAAGAGCCAAAATGGTGGTTTGATTTTGCGTTAAAACCATCTTCATGGAAAGCGTGGTCCTCTACGTTAATGTCACATGAACCATTCTCTCCATTGATAACAGAAATAAAGAAAGAAACTGAAACGGGGGAAAAAAGAAAAAGGCAAGAAAAAACAAGCAAATTGAAACGAAGCCGCAACAGTTTTGGTATTGTTTGGTGGGAAATTGAGATCACTTTCTCGGATCCTGCGATACAAACAATTGAGCCTTATTGTCCAAAAAAAAAAACCCAAAAATGAAAAATACTGTCCAAATTAAGATAAAGGGAGTGAGGAATGATGAAAAGTGGAAATACAAAAAAAAAAAAAAGAAAAGCAAAAAAGAAAATCCCAAGAAAACAAAAAGTGTCATAGCTAGTGTACTCGTCCTAGAGAGCAGACAAAGTTGTGTACTCAGAAAAAAATAAAATAAAAAAATAAAGGAGAAGAAGCAAAAGAAGAAAACAAAGAAACAAAAATAACAGCAAAAACTGCATCCTTAAATTTATGAAGTAGGGGATATAGTTGGGCTAATGTAGGAGAGTTTGTAGACTACAAAAAAGCACTGTTTTTTCTTCTTTTCTGCAGATAAGAATTACCAAAAGAAGAACAACTAGTACTGATCTGTGTTTGAGTACACTGTAGAAGAAGAAGAAGAAGAGGAAGAAATGCAAACAGCAGTACTATTCTAGTTTCTCTTTTTACTTCTTTCTTCTCTCTCTTCATCACTCCAAAAACCAAAAAAAAGAAAACCACCCACTGAGAGGAAAGAAGCTAGTAAGTAGTAATAATCATCATCATCATCATCATCATCATGAAACACCATCAACCTCTGCTCCCAGCACTCCAAAAAAGCTTCTTTAGCCACCATCAAAACATTTCTTCCCTTAAATTTGCATCCTCAAACCAACCCAGTTTCTCAGTTTCCACCACCACCATCCCACAACCATGAACCACCGCCACTTTTACGTTTCTTTGTTCCCCAGGGCGGCATTCCTAGCTGTGTTGTTTCTCCTTTTTCTAGGAATATTCCCTGCCAGCTCCTCCTCCTCTGCTGCCGTTACAACTTCTTCCAGTTTACCTCTTGAGCTTATTTCCCTCCTTTCTTTAAAGTCTAATCTCAAAGACCCTCTTAATACCTTCAAAGATTGGGATCCATCTCCGGCCTTCTCTCAGCCGGGTGTTCCTGTTTGGTGCTCGTGGTCCGGCATCAAATGTGACAAGAAAACAAGTCAAATCACCACCATCGATCTTTCCGGGAGGAATATCTCCGGTGTGTTACCGGCTGAGATCAGATACTTCTCCCACCTGCATCATTTGAATTTGAGCAGGAATGCATTTGATGGAATCTTACCGCTGGCCATTTTTGAATTTTCTTTTCTTAGAACACTTGACATTAGCCACAACCTTTTCAATTCCACATTCCCACCTGGAATTTCCAGGCTGAGGTCACTCACTCACTTTAATGCCTACAGCAACAGCTTTGTTGGCTCTCTGCCTCAAGAAATCATCCATCTCCGGTATCTCGAGTATCTCAACCTCGGCGGCAGCTACTTTGAGGGTTCCATTCCGGCGAGTTATGGCAGTATTCCGAGGCTCAAGTTTTTACATTTAGCAGGGAATTCGTTGACTGGTCCAATTCCAGGTGAATTAGGCTTCTTGAGTGAGCTTGACCATATTGAGATAGGCTATAATGCCTATGAAGGTGGGCTTCCATCTCAATTGAGCACATTAAGGAACTTGTCTTATCTTGACATCTCAAATGCTAATCTTTCGGGTGAGATTCCATCGGAGCTTGGTAACTTGTCAAAATTGGAAACTCTATTGTTGTTCAAGAATGTTTTTCAAGGTTCCATTCCCGAGAGCTTCTCCCTTTTGACATCTCTACAGGTTCTTGATTTGTCTGACAATCTGTTAACCGGTCCAATTCCAACCTCAATTTCAGCTCTGAAACAGCTTACCATGTTGTCCTTAATGGACAATAAGTTAACAGGGGAAATTCCAGAAGGGATTGGTGAACTTCCAAACCTTGAAGTCTTGTCATTGTGGAATAATTCACTCACTGGAATCCTACCACAGAAGTTAGGATCAAATGCAAGGCTACAAAGGCTTGACGTTTCTTCAAATTCGCTGTCTGGTCCAATTCCACCGAATCTCTGCCTAAGCAACAAGCTGGTCAAGCTCATCCTTTTCTCTAACCAATTTATTGGTGAGCTTCCGCCATCTCTCGCAAATTGCAGTGCCTTGAACAGGGTTCGAGTTCACATTAATCGACTCAACGGCTCAATTCCTTTGGGTTTTGGATTCTTGCCAAATTTAACTTACATGGATATCAGCAGGAATAACTTCACCGGGCCAATTCCAAAAGATTTAGGAAATGCTGCCATGTTGGAGTTCTTGAATATTTCAGTAAACTCATTCCGAACAGAGTTGCCCAGAAATATATGGAGCGCACCAGGATTGAAGATTCTCTCAGCCAGTTTTGCTCACATAATCGGCCCAATTCCCGATTTCAAAGGCTGTCAAAGCGTTTACAAGATCGAGCTGGAAGGAAACAATCTCACGGGAAGCATCCCATGGGACATTGATCACTGCGAAAAGCTCATTTCTCTCAACTTGCGAAACAATTCGTTTACAGGGATTATTCCCTGGGAAATATCGACGCTTCCTTCCATTATGGACGTTGATTTGTCACACAATTTCCTCACCGGAACAATCCCTTCAAATTTCGGCAACTGTAGTACTCTGGAGAATTTCAATGTGTCTTACAATCAGCTCACGGGGCCCGTTCCCCCGTCGGAATCCACCTTTGCGAGCCTACATCCGTCGTCGTTTGCTGGGAATGAAGGGCTCTGTGGTGGGGTCATCAAAAAGCCCTGTCGGGCCCAGGGACTGGAAGATGGGGCCACCGAAGTCCGGCAGCAGCCCAAGAAGACCGCCGGCGCCATTGTCTGGATCATGGCCGCTGCATTTGGGATGGGCTTATTCGTTCTGATCGCTGCCAGCCGTTGCTTTCACGCGAGATACAGACGGAGATTTTCCGGCGAGCGCGAAGCCGGGCCGTGGAAGTTGACCGCGTTCCAGAGACTGAATTTCACTCCCGAGGACGTTTTGGAGTGTTTGACCATGACAGATAAGATCATCGGGATGGGGTCCACGGGGACGGTTTACAAGGCGGAGATGCCAGGTGGCGAGATCATAGCGGTGAAGAAACTATGGGGAAAGAACAAGGAGACGATCAGAAAAAGAAGGGGAGTTTTAGCGGAGGTTGACGTACTAGGGAACGTGAGGCACCGTAACATCGTCAGGTTACTTGGGTGTTGCAGTAACAATCAGTGTACGATGTTGTTGTACGAGTACATGCCTAACGGGAGCCTGGATGATTTACTGCACGGTAAAAACAAGGGTGATAATTTGGTGGCGGACTGGTTGACCAGATACAAAATTGCATTAGGTGTTGCTCAAGGGATTTGTTATCTCCATCACGATTGTGATCCCGTCATCGTTCATCGCGATTTGAAGCCTAGTAACATTTTGTTAGACTGCGAGATGGAAGCCAGGGTTGCCGATTTCGGGGTCGCGAAATTGATTCAGAGCGACGAATCAATGTCTGTCATTGCTGGATCTTATGGTTACATTGCACCAGGTACGTAATTAGCTCTAGATTTTCATACATTTTAAGAGTTTACTCCTATTCATTAGCTGAAATCGATCAAATGGTTAGTTACATCAGGCCTTCAATTGCATTTTTATTTATTATTTTTTGTGGGGGTTGAAAATTAATGACGTGGGTAAGGGAGTGATTGGAAACTGTTACATCCAAATAATTCTATATATGTGGATGAGAGTCCGTACGTCATGTCGGTTTGTTCGTTTTGTTGGGTGACGAGAGGGATGATGATCCCCGTGTTTAACTAACCTGGCGTGTCTATCGTGGTGGCCTTTTTTGCACGTTATATTTTTAAGTGGAAAATTTTATGGAATTTCTTGTCGTATTCTGTATAAAAATAAACAATTTTCAAAACTCAAAAGGGGGATGTGTTGGTGTAACACCTGAAAACTTTTCATTAATTCCTTCTGTCTCTCACGTTGGACAACATAAATGCATAATCTAAAACCTTAATTCCCTCCTTGATAATTTTGAACTTGAATAGTTGAATCCACTAGGCCTAATTAATAATGTTGTTGTAATTTTTACTGGGTGGGTTGAAAACTTGTAGTATTTGTGCAGTAAGTGTAGGCTGCGCATGGTGTTTTTTTTTCTCTGCTTTCTTTTTGGGAAGTTTCTCGCCGTGATTTGCTGCTTCTCTTCCATAACGCCACTATTTAGGCGTGGCGACACCTTTTGCTTTATTTTCCTCACTTTTTTCCCCTCTTATTTATCTTTGGTCCCACAATTATTTTTTTTCTCTGATCTTTGCCTATCGTGCTCTGTTTCAGTACTTGATTTGACTCCTACTTTTCTTAATAACATTCCTTCCCAAGTATCCAAAGTCAAAATCATTTGGGCGGTTTTGATTTTTCTATGCGATTTTTTTTTTTAATGTTTTTCCTAAAAAAAAAAAAAGTTGTGAATGATAATCAATATCTCTGTTTTTCTTTTGCTTTGCAGAATATGCTTACACATTGCAAGTGGACGAAAAGAGTGATATTTACAGTTATGGGGTGGTGTTAATGGAAATTTTGACCGGGAAAAGATCGGTGGACTCGGAATTTGGCGACGGAAACAGCATTGTGGATTGGGTGAGGTCGAAGATCAAACACAAAAATGGTTTTCTTGACGTGTTGGATAAAAATGCCGGAGCTTCATGCGCCTCCGTGAGGGAGGAGATGATGCTGCTGTTGAGGGTGGCTTTGCTCTGCACCAGCCGGAATCCGGCCGACCGGCCAACCATGAGGGATGTTGTATCAATGTTAGAAGAGGCCAAGCCTAAGAGAAAACTGCCTGGAAGTGGTGGTTTAGTTGGAGGCCACAATGGCGGCGGCGATGATATTCCTTTGCCGGAAAAACCACCGGCTATAGTAGTTGAGTGTTAGTAGGATTTGGTTTTTTTTTTTTTCGTTCTGAATTTAAATTGTGGGGATTGGTATAGGAAGTCAATTTTATTTTATTCTTAATTACCTTTGACTGATGTAGTTTCCGAGTCTGGTCGATTCTACTGGGTAGAGGCTATAGCATATATCGAGCCTGTAGAATATCAATTTATTGTTATATGCTTGCAAATACTGAGTTATGGATGATTTGCTTGAACATAGATTTTGAACATTTTACTTACGACTTGTGACTTCAACGCTTCATTTGATCGATGATTTATGTATCAATGAGTACGATGACGACATATGATCCATATAGCCAACCTTATATAGTGAGGAAAAAAAAGACATCTAATTGTTGTTGTAATTCATGAGTTTACACTAAAAACGAAGAAAATATATTAACGGTGTAATCAGTTTACTCGATTGTAAATCATACTCCTCTTATCCCCAAATTGTACAATATCCAAAACAATCATTTTAGAACACTTGGATTATAAAAAATTTTGGCCAAACAAGTTTGAGTTGTTTAACAAATAAATATTGAGTTATTAATGGGTGTAATAACTCCGGCCTCAAATACAAGCAGTGAAAAAGGATAATGATAAAGAGTTTTGGCCTTATGGGGGGGTTGAGTCTTTCACAGTTGATACCTAGTTACCTTACCTTACTGGTTGTTAAAGTAAAAGTGGTAATGCACAGTTGATATTAAAGTGATTCAGCTTTGCTAAAGTTGGTAAGAGAAATGTGGCAGTCGCTGCATAATTACAGTCTAAAGATACTCTCTTCCCGCACAGAGCACAGTGCCCATAATGTATAACGTTTTTTTGAACACAAATTTTGATTCAAAATTTATCTTTTCTCTATACTGCAAAAAAAAAAAAGGGTTGGAAAATTTCAGAGTGGGAAGACGGTACAAGTTATTCGTAACTTGGTACACTTGGCCTGATATAAAGGGCTAAAATGTCTCAAGCCAATGTTTGACTATTAGTCGCTACGACGCCAAAGTAACCCTTAGTCTAGTGGATGAAGTTGATCATTGTAGACCGCTCAGCTAGCTCCATGCAATGCACCCTCAAACTAGTCTCCAGTCCCTGCAATTTGTGATCCCAAACTTCAGTCTATTAGACATAAAGCATTCCAGTTAACAACTTAGCATTTCATGTGATGAAACTGAGAATGTGACGTCGAATACACCCTTAAAACTCAGGTGCTGGCAAATGGGCCGACAGACGAAAATATATTTTTCATCTTTCATCTGAATATCCGCAAGACTGTGACGACCCAGGCCATCCAAGGAGGCCCAGGCCCAATCATCAGCAAACCCGACAAGTGATTTGTGAAAAAAAACTCACCTGCAAGGATGCAACCAGTGCCAAACTGTTTTCGAGCTCGCTTATGCATTCCTTCTGCTCTTTGACTATGATTGAAAGTTCAGTTAACAGAAAGCATGCTTGTTCGACCTAGGGATCAAAATAGATTCCATATATTATTAGTCCAGATTAATGAAGAAAAAAATAAATAAACTTGTTGCTAGAATGGGGAAAAAAAAATTCATATATACCTCGTCTCAGAAAAATAGTTCACTTTGTTATACTCTTTGACTATTTTTGTAAGACACAAGAAGTATTTATTATAGTTGTCGTTGATACAGTTACATTGCATGTTTTAAACTATGCCGTATAAATACATTTTGATAGTCACCTATAAATGACATGTTCACCTTTGATTCAATGTTTCTAATCGTTGCTTCTATGTTATCCATCACTTTCGTCGCCATCCCAATTGCATCCAGAATTGATGTCACATCTCCCTGAAACATAGTAAAAAAGAATGAAGCAATTTAACTTCACAAAAAAAACCTACATGTCCACAATTGCTCCAACAAAATGGAGCAGAGTATCAAAATTGGAAAAATTGCAATTAAATTACCTTGGCGCCTTGGCCCAACGGAAAACAGAGTGAAATGATGGACAATTTTGTAGCCAACCTTCCAACAGCTTCAAAATTCCTGCTCTCAATTCTTGCCCATTCTCTTAACAAATGAATCTCGGAGCTGATAATCCTGTACAACTTAATCTCCAGCTTCAACCTCTGCAATTCAGTCCTCTTCCCCACAACAAAGCTTCTCATCCTGGACATTTTCAGCCAGGCATTAAACGACTTCTTCTCAGCATTTCTCTTCACAGCAGACATTGAAACCTCAGCTCTTGCATTCACAAACCTCCACTGCAAAAGCCTGTTATGCATGAGTCGGAATTGGTGATATTCTTCTTCTTGAACAGGGGACACTTTCTTGATCTTATTGCTGATGTATTTTAAAACCCCACTCACTGTTACGCCGGTAGTACTACTAATGCTTCCTTTTCTGCTACTACTACCGGAAATCAAATCCCTTTTCAATTTTTCCGATGTAGTGATCACCGGAGACTTGGGCACTACGGGAAGGGGATGCAGAGATCGGCCGGGTGATAAAGCCCAGGCTGAAGGAGAAGTACTGGCCGACCGGCATCGCCTTGGTACCGGAGGCTCCGGTTGACTTCGTACCCGAATTTGAGCATAATCATCCACGCTTTCTTGAAGCTTCTTTTTTTTCGTACTCGACGTCGTCGGCTTAGCATTAATCTCCACAGATTTGGATGATGATTTTGAGCTGGAGCGTTTCAGGGATGCAAGCGGCCCTGATTTTAAATCGCGCATTATTCGAGTTTGCGCCGGGGATGAAGTTAATTGGTTTGCTGGGGATTTGCCATTTCTTTTCTCCATGACCCTGATAGATTTAGCAATTCCATGTACAAACACTGCTACGGGTTAAAAGTCTAAGTACCAAGATTCCAAGTTACCAACTATAATTGGAGGAATGATTTCTTCTAAATCTAATGAATTAGGGAGTCGTTGGCACGTCTACGGTAATGACTCTGTTTTATGTTGGTTCTTAACTCAGCTCAGGTTTGCCGCTTTCTACTTTCTACACGTCAATTTGCAGATCAACTAACCCCAAGCATTGAACCGACGCGTTTATTATAAGCTCTTTGTTTTTTTTTTTTTTCTAAAAAAAAATAAAATAATATGCATTTGTATTGTATAGTCAGCCAGGCACCAGACATGGATACGTGTGATCAATGAGGTTCTGCGAGAGAGTACTATTTATCTATCATTTGGAATGGTCTAGTCAACTTTGGTGATCAATATAGCTCAGTTTTCGCTTTTTTATTTTTTATTTTTTTAAAAAACTATCATTCACGGGGAAAATGAATTGCAAAATATAGTACGACTTCGTAATATACATAAATTATGTGTCCATGCCATCTTTTTTCGAACATCACATATTAGAATCCCTGTAGAATCGGTAAAATCTTACAAAATCGTTAAAATATTTTGAGTTCAGGATTTTAGTTGATCTCAAGAAATTTGGGGCCTATATGGTTTTTTTTATTATTATTTATTGGACTGGAACTACTATGGATTTTTTTTTGTTTAATGTGTTAAGGTTTGCTAATTTAATCAATAAAGACCATGCAATAACAATACCTATGACGTTCGGTTCGGTTGAAACGTGCAATACCTAAATTCTGATAATCGTATTTGGAAATAAACAAATGGCAATGGAAAGTATTTCTAAAATTACACCAGTAATTTTTATGATATTAGCTAATAAACCAACAAATTTGACAACCTTTTGGTGTTATTTTACAATCTTACGATACGGTTTTATGACTCTGATTCTATAATTCAAGACGATTCTATGGAAATCTCAACTTTGCGGACATTGCTGCCACAATTTTACCGTATAAATTAATAATAATTTTTGAGTATTATTACTTGAATAATACATATATAAGAGTTCATCACTTTGGATTCGTACCACATACCAATTTGCATCGTTATTAGTAGCACTAATGTTGTATACAATATACATTGCAATTTCAATTGCACACTGATATTCCCAATTTGGTGCAAACAAGAATTGACAATAGTAGTAACGGAGGGAACAAATACAGGGGTCTTTTCCCTAAAAAAATTAATTAAAACAAAGGTGGACAAATTTAAATTTTTCAGAATATTTGTGGACAGGAATATATCCCACGGATTTCCGAAATCCGAGTTATAATTAAAATTGAGAACGCGGATTTTCGAAATCCGAATCTACATTTAATAATAAAATAATAATTAAATAAATTTTGTTGAATAATAATTTTAAAAAAATCTTACATGAACAGTGCCGTTCGGATTTGCGTAATCCGAGTCCCATTAAAAAATAATAAATTGAGGCGCAAAATATTTGATTTGAAATAAGGATTAAATAAACAGTAGTACTCTGATTTCCGAAATCCGAGTTCTCAAAAATAAAAAATAAAATAAAATAAATCAAGGCGCGAAATTTTTAAAATCAAAGAACTGGAATACCGTAATCCAATTACATGTATTAGTGTTATATATTATTTGTATGTACTAGTATTATGTAGTACATTAATATTATTACTCATTATTATGTAGTACATTAATACTAATACCTATCATTATTGGTATTAGTGTTACTTATTACTGTTAAATCTATTAGTTATTAGATATTATCATAAATTCAGTATAATTTATCTGTATTAGTGTTGTGTATTATTTATACGTACTAGTATTATGTAACACATTAATACTATTACTCATTATACATTACTGGTACTAGTGTTACTTATTACCGTTACATCTATTAGTTATTAGATATTATCATAAATTCAGTATAATTTATCTGTATTAGTGTTGTGTATTATTTATACGTACTAGTATTATGTAACACATTAATACTATTACCCATTATACATTATTGGTACTAGTGTTACTTATTACCGTTACGTCTATTAGTTATTAGATATTATCATTAATTTAGTATAATTTATCTGTATTAGTGTTATGTACTATTTGTACGTATTAGTATTATGTAATACATTAATACTATTATCCATTATACATTACTGGTACTAGTGTTACTTATTCTTTATTACATCTATTCTTTATTAGATATTATCATTAATTTAGTATAATTTATCTGTATTAGTGTTATGTACTATTTGTATGTATTAGTATTATGTAGTACATTAATACTAATACTCATTATACATAAGTGGTATTACTGTTATCTATTATTATTAAATCTGTTAGTTATTAAATATTATCATTAATTCAGTTATAATCTATATGTACTACTGGCAAATAATCGCATTTTCAGAATCTGAGTCAAGTAAAAAATTAAATTTTCAAAATAAGGCCATAGGGTTTAGGGTTTAACTTCGGATTTCCCAAATCCGAGTGTTACTTATACTCGGATTACCAAACTCCGAGTGTAACCTATAAACGGATTACCAAAATCCGAGTGCAACATATACTCGGATTACCAAAATCCGAGTGTAACATATACTCGGATTTAGGGTTTAGGGTTTAGGTTCGGATTTCTAGAATCCGAGTTTATCAGGAAAACATGGAAGATTCGGATTTCGAAAATCCGATTCGTGTTCAAAAAATTACCAACACTTGTACAAAAAAAAATTTTCCTCAAAAATTAATATTTTAATCATAAAGTCGGATTTCAGAAATCCGAATTATGATTAATTATGACAGATGAAATTTTACTTAGTTTTAGTTTTAATTAAAATGAATTCGGATTTTCAAAATCCGTTTTCTATTAAATTCGGATTTCCGAAATCCGAGTTTACCCCAGATTCGGATTTTTGAAATCCGAAGGATATAGATTTGTCCACAAAAATTTCAAAAAAGTTAATTTGGTCAACCTTTTTTTAAAGAAAATTGTTTAGGTCAAAAACTCACAAATACAGTACACTCATCCTGTAATTTTTTCGAATTTAGGGGTTGAGACTATAAATTACACTTTCACATTAACCGAAAAAATGGGGGAAAATTACACATTTACACCCTATGCTTTTGGGTTTTCCCTGCTCCTCACTAGCATATGATCACACCACAAACCTGTCTTCCCGCCATTTCTACCATCATCTCCTTTCCTTCCTCTTCTCTCCAGAGTGCCCATTACACTTCCGTGGTGGGAGGGCTCCACTACCAACCGCCGTTCCTTCTCCCCCGCCAAAAACTCCGCTAAATCCCCCGCCCAATTCTGTTAATTGTAAACCCTATCAGTCTATTGCCTTTCCCTGAGAAACCTAACCGTCATCTAAATGGCGGAGCCTAGGGTTTATCCGACCATGAGGCCGAGGAGTATTCGTGCTGGGATTATCTCGAAGATTAAGCTACAGGACTTCATGTGCCACAGCAACCTCGAAATCGAATTGGGTGATCACGTCAATTTCATCACCGGTCAGAATGGAAGTAAGTTACATTCCATTCCTGTCTATTCTCCTGCTTTCTCTTTCCCCTTCACTTTCTCATTCACACACGCTCGCTTTGGTACTATACTTGTATAAACTCACTTCACCGCCTTGCGGGAGGCTGAAATTCCGTTGATTTTCGTGGTTGTATTTTTGTAAATTTGCCATTGATACGTTTGCAGGCGGGAAGAGTGCCATTCTGACGGCATTATGCATTGCGTTTGGATCCCGAGCAAGAAGCACACAACGGGCTAGCACCATGAAGGATTTTATAAAGACCGGCTCCAGGTTTGTTATTCTCTTTTTCCCCCAGCTGTCATAACATCTTTTTATTTGGTTATTCGGTTATTTTTTACTGGTGACCACTTGCTCAATTATGGATTCATTGTTTTTTTTAGAGGTGTGAGGTGGGAGGATTCATTTTTTGCTTTATTGTTAATTCTAGAACTTTAATTACTCTTTCCCATTTGGTATGGAAAGGTCATTTCATTTCTGTACTTTGTCAAAAAAGACATAAGATATCTTTTTTAAACATGCGATAGGTATTCCTAAGAGTCTTAAACTTTGTTTCAGTTCTGTTCTGATATTCTTCTACCATTGGATGTTGTTTATGTCTCACTGAACACAAGTTCTCATTATTTGGATATTCCTCTTTTTTCAAGTTCGTCATTATAGTTTCACTGTTTTTTGTCTTGTTTCAGTGCTGCATCTGTCCATGTGGAGATAAAGAATGAAGGAGAAGATGCTTTCAAGCCTGAAACTTATGGTGACTTGATCATCCTTGAGCGGCAGATTACACAATCATCAACAACTACCATTCTGAAGAACTCTCAAGGTTTCTTTATTATTATATTGAACTTGTAAATGTTTTTCTTCATGATGGCTGGAGAATGTGTTATTATTGCGCTGTTATTGGGCTTTTATGGGAAAGTAGGTAACGATATGCATGTTCACCGCAATTGGAACAGTGAAATGATCATCATTTTTAAGTTTACTTTGTTCATGTTTATGGTGGTGTACTATCCTCACTTTGAACGAAGCCAATATCTGTTTATCCTCCCCTCATAATTTAACTGCTAATCGTTAGCCAGTGAAAAAGCTAGTTAAAAATGTAAACCTCTTTTATCGGACTTTTGAATTACAGAATGCACGAAGAGGAAAGTTCCCAATTTTTTATTTGGAGCAAAAGTTGTTCTTGTTGTGCTCCTGACTATGAATATAAAGACAGAAAGCAATTGGTCAATGTAGTAGTTTTTATTTGGTATTAGCCTTTGTGGATGCTTGAAAATATACAAGCTGAGTGTTACTGATTTATTTTTATCATAAATATATCATCTGTTTATATGATCTTATGTATGTTATAGGAAAGAAAGTGGCTAGCAAAAGAGGTGAACTGGACGAGCTTGTAGCTCATTTCAGCGTATGTTTCCTTCACATGTCTCAGTACTGAAAATGTCTCATTCCCAGCTGCTAATTTCTTCTCTGTAATTTTTGGAATTTCATTCATTGTTACAGATTGATGTCGACAATCCATGTGTAATAATGAGTCAAGATAAAAGCCGGGAATTTCTACATTCAGGCAACAGCAAGGATAAATTTAATGTATATGATCTTACTATCTGTTTTGTTTGCTATTTCTTTCTTTCTTTTTTAGAAGTTATACTGGGTTCGTACAAGATCTTAGTATATTTTTATTTGCACCTGATGTTCAACATTGATTGCCTGTATGTTTTATGTCACATACTTTTTGTTTGTGGCTGATTTCCACTTTGATACTAATATGCATGATTTTCTCGTAGTTCTTTTACAAAGCAACTCTACTTCAGCGGCTGGGGGATTTGTTAAATAATGTTGACAGAAACCTCAACGCAGCTGCTGCTCATGTTGGTGAGATGGAAAGGTCATTGGGCCCCTTACTGCGGGAACTTGAAGAATTGGAAGCTAAAATAAAAAGCATGGAACAGGTGGAAGAGATATCCCAAGAGGTACAACTGTTGAAAAAAAAACTTGCCTGGTCATGGGTGTATGATGTTGACAGGCAACTGCAAGACCAAACCAATTTGATTGAAAAGCTGAATCAAAGAATACCTACTTGTCAATCGAAGATAGATCAACAGAAGGTACTTTGTGAATTTGTATTCAGAGCTATGTTGGTAAAGAACTCTCTTTCTTATGTGTCATGCAAATCTTTTTCTTTCTAATAAATAAGTTTGAGTTGTGGTGTCTTTTAGTGTTCTCCATTCATTTATGTGATGCAGACTGGTAGTTTTTCCTTCAAAACATTTTTATGATTTGAGCCTTATTATTTTCATACTTCTATTGCACTGCGTCCTCATTAAGTACATCTGGAGAACTCTGTAAGCTTTATTGTCACACCGTCTTTATGAGAGGGCAACCGCTGATGGCTATCAAATACTTATCTGTTGGTACATATTAATATCATGCACGTATTGCAATTCTCCAGCAAAGTGGTTAATGTGGTTACTGTTTGATTATCTTTTTTTCCCACCCCCTCTCTCTAAATGAGGTAGAAAAGAAGAAGGAAAATGAAAGAGAATAAGAAGTTATGATAATCTTCTATTTGCGTTGTAGTAATTGGTTTCAGTTGAAGAAGCCCATTGTGTTGATGGCTGTAAAGATTAAACTTCTTTAAGCTCCTGAAACTGTATAATTACTTGCATGATTGAGTGGGTGGGCTTGACAAACTTTTCTTCTTTTCTTTTTTTTTTTTTGTTCAAGTGTATTAACTAGTTAATTGATAGGAATGCATGCTGTTTGATTTTTTGACAGTGCAAGATGGATGAATTGAGTGATCGGATAAAAAAGAAGAAAACACAAACTCAAGAACTGATGGCGCGGGCATCAGAAGTTAGAAGAATGAAAGATGACATGCAGCAGAGTCTTGAGATGGTAAAACTTATTATACTTCAGAGAACATCATGTTCTTGGTAGTTTTCATTGTGATAAGTAAGGATGGTGGTCCCCTTTTACTCTTGGATTCTTCTAGTTGAAACTCTAATGGCTTCATGCTTTTAAAGTGTCAAGTTTTCATGAATGTTCTGTGTATATCTCTGTCAATATATGTTTTTTTTACTTGTGATTTTTCTGTTCTGGGATCTTTTCTATGGCATCTTTCTGTTTATTTAATTCATCACTCTGTGTTAATTGCTAAATTTAGCGTTAAAATGGGGTATTTTTTTTGGGGGTAAATAAAATGTGTATAATTACATGGCTTATATTTACTGGATAGGCCGTGAAAGCGAGGCTTGAGTTGGAAAGCAACTTGCAGCGTAAAACCAAACAAATTGAGAAAATGGTTGAACGGGTGAAGGCTCTTGAGGTGCAAATCAATGATATGCAGGAGCTGCATTTGAAAGATACCCAGGTTCTGATTTTTCTTTCTCCTCTGGTGTGTTTTTGTATTATTTTAAAGTATGTCATTGGCGTCCGTGTTGGAATGTTATGTTCAGGTGGTTGTAATGTTTGTAATAAGCTTTCTTAGAATACAAGTCAATGCTTTATAGCTCATGCGTGGAAGCTTTGCTACACATGCTTCATGTGGCTTAGCCATCACTGATATCATATAATTGATACTATGTGACTAAGAAGCTAAAGATTAAATCTTTTTTATTTCACTGTACTGTCTAGTTTGAATTCCCCAGGTAAGAGGCAAATTTAACGTGTACCTATAAGTTTAATGTGTTATTATTGGCTGATTTTTGGGTAGCTGGATATTTGGAGATTTTCGTAAGAAGAAAGGGCTTTGAGTATATACCAGTACACCTTGTGGTTGCTATCTCCATTTGACCACCCACTTTTCTGTAGGCAGAGGCGTTAGAGATGGAGCAAAAACTAAAGGTGATTCAAGATGAAATTGATGAAGGAAACGTGCAAATGCAAAGGTTATTCCACTTCTTTAACATGGGGGCTTCTAGCTTAATGCTTGCCAACAGAACTCCTTCCATCAGTCGCTCCACCCCATCTTCAGATTCTCTTTTTGACACTGCAGATTGGAGAAAGAATTAGAGTCTCTACAAACAAGTGTAATCATGTTAAAGGAGGAGATTGCAAGCTACACTTCACAGGTTTGGATCCATTTGTAGCTCGAATAGAAGAGCAATATTTTGGGTTTGTTTTTCTTATTAACTCTTCCACTTTCTTAATTTTAAACCTCCTTCTTGGGTATGCATACTTGAATGGAAAGACAAGGTTGTGTTTTAATGTACAAGTATTTACTTTGGCCACTTTTATCTTTTTGCCTTTGACTTAGCTTAAAGTTCATATCTGAAAGTCACAGTTGATGTTGCATAATACTAATGCTCAGAAAATTCCTACAATACTGAATGTTATCCTACAATCCTTGTGGACATATTTTATCTTTCCCATTCCATAAGCATGATTATATAGCTAAGATGATTTGTTCCCTGATGTCCTCAATGTAACATCTCCTACTGCCTGTTAAAAGTTAATTGCCTGTATTACTTTTCACATGGATAACATGATACGGATTAAACGTGTTACTGAAGTAAATTCTGACTTAAATGATCGTCGTGCGGCACTTTGTGCTATGTGCAATCAAGCATGAGCATTATTCTCCCCCACCCCCCCCAATCCCTCCTCATATTCTTCAAAGTGTTCACTTAGCTGTGTTATATTTATTTATTGTCAGATAGAAGAGAACGAAAAGAAGCATCGTGATTTTTGTTCCCAAATTCGTGATCTTCGACAAAATCAAGCCAATAAGGTGCGGTTGACATATACATGCTTCTCCATTATCGCTTTGTCTTTTGACACAGCTTGTCATTGGCATGAATTGGGGCCATATATGGAATTATTTACTCTGGGCTTAAAGTAATTGAATGATTTTCATTTTTACTAAAGCGTCCCGTTCTAGACTTCTAGCCTCTGGTTCTTCATAAAGTTTTATTTCAGGACAGGTTTTAGCTTTTGGAGGGAACAAGGTGATCCATCTGTTGCAGGCAATTGAGAAGCATCATCGTAAATTCCGAATGCCACCCATTGGTCCAATAGGTTCCCATCTGGTAAAGTACTCAAAGATGGTTTGTTTGGAGTGTAATAGTTCTTCTTGTTCCTTTTTTTCGTCCTCTTTGATTTTTCCATAATGCAGCAGCACAATGGCGAGTTATCTTTATCATAGTCTTTGTTTTGTTTTGTTTTTTTTTTTTTTTTCCCTTTCGGTCTGTTTTTGCTATAAAAAGCTACAATGTAAACTAAAACTGAAAGCAAACCAGTAGGAACCTTTAGAAACCTTGTGATTGAGGACTTAAGGTTTTATTTAAGAATGTCTTAGAACTCCTTCCTAGCAACCTTTAGGGTATACCCAAGGTTGAGTTGCATCTTACCACCCTTGAAAGACAAAACCTGTCACAGATAATTTTAGTCTTCACTGTCTGAACTCTACCCTCGTGAGGATTATGGACTAAAAATACTAAAACCTCAACCTATTAGAAATCACTCAATAGTTTGTGAAAAGACAAAATAAAACTCTTACTTTGAATAATGCTAAGAAATAGGATACCTAAAATAAGTTTCAGGGGATTTCCTGCAAGCAGGGAATTTACTGAAATGGACCCTTGACAACTAAAAAATAGAAACTACTGAAAATAACACAATAAACCTCTGGCGTTTGAAACTTGAATAACAATAACTTGGCTGAAGTTATAACACTTGTTTCTTCCAGGGATCATGATGACCCTGGGCACAAGTAAGGAAGAACTTAGTAGTACAGGTCTTCGGCCCTCTCTTCGGCGTCATTTTGTTTACTTCTGCCGCTGTTATCATTGCTTATTTTGGACTTTGTGTTTCTGGTTGACAATTGCTTAAGAGTGAGCCCTCTCCTATGGTTATTTGATTGGATTCCAGTTTAGCTGAATTACGTGAAATTTTGCAACTGCTGGGTCATTTTCTTCCTTTGTGCATGTCAATAATATGTCTTCTTTCTCACTGAATTCTTGGTTACGTCCTCTTTTTCATTTCACTCAATGCTTATGAAAGTATAACATTTTGTCTTAATTTAAGAAAAGGTATTTACGCCCCTCACTTTGCTTCTTCCAGCTTTATGCCCTTTTAGACATAAATTTTTCTTGGCTTATTATACTTGTCCTTCCTCGTGCCTTACAGTTTTGAATTTTAATCTGTGCTTAAGAGTTCCCGAACACGATTTTCTTTTGCCTTTAAATGGATAAACTTGAATTTCATTGAGCTATTATGGTGCCGAGATTAGATACTACTTGCTGATTCATTTTTGAATGTTGTGCAGACATTGGACTATGGTGATGATTGGGGTATCGCTGTTGAACATGCTATTGGTGGATTGTTTAATGCTTTTATTGTGACAGATCATAGTGATCTACATCAGTTAAGAGCATGTGCCAAGGAAGCAAACTACAATAACCTCAAGATAATCATATATGACTTTTCGCGTCCCAAGTAAAGAACTAGTATTTTGAGGGATATATCTGTGTCGGTTCATTGTATAGTTCTTTTTGCTGAAATGTTTTCTTTTTGTGCAGGTTGAATATCCCTAGGCACATGCTTCCACATACTAATCACCCAACTGTCCTTTCCGTGCTACATTCTGATATGCCTACCGTAATCAATGTTTTAATTGATGTGGTAATTTCCTGATAACATTTTCATACCATTATGACCTAAGTAGCTCATTAGACGCTCTCTGTTTTTGCCCCTTTTCAATTGCTTTGTTGCTCAATTTATAACTTGCATATTCCTTTCTTGTTTAAGAGTCTTATTATTGTTGCTTAATAGTGAGTTTTACCTTTCTCTCATGGTATAGATTCTGTTTGCAAGAATCTTCTTTCGTGAATGCTTGGCCTTTAGCGGCATCTTTAAATAAATTACAAAAGCTGAAGGTGTTTGAACATCTTATTCAAGTGTTTTTTTGTAGGGCAATGCTGAGAGGCAAGTGCTTGTCAAGGACTACGATACTGGAAAGGTGGTCGCTTTTGATCAAAGAGTTCCAAATTTGAAGGAGGTGTTTTTATCGGATGGGCGTAAACTGTAAGATGGATATTAAATACGTGTACATTACAATTTAGTTCCTTCGGTTGATCTTTTGCCATTTTTAGTATTCATTTTTTGTTTACAGAGTTTTTTTTTTTCCTTTTTCAAATTGATTAATTGCTAGTAACGATTATTTGTGGCTAGCGGTCAGCTCTATGTGTGTTTATCACAGTTCAGAAAAAGCGGTGAATGGTAGCACCCCTAATTTTCATAACAAGCTGGGAGTGATTTTTTGATTTATATGAGAAGCTGAGGGATCCTACTGTTTTGTGTCTTGTACTTTGGCTCAATCCTTGTTGTCCTCTAAAAGCTTGAAAAATTCCTCTTGCTTAAAGTATGTATTTCTTGAACGAATTGTTCCTTCAGTTTGCTGTTTATGATATCAGCGCACAGACTACCAGCGGTGTACTTTTGTTAATGCATAGGAGTGCTTTATTTATCCTTTGTCTCATCCATTTTAGTTTCCGCTCATTTTCTGACCTCGAAGTCATTTCTGGGCAATTTGGCTAGTTGTCGTGATTGGTGAAAGCCAATCTTTAGTGAAAGTGTAATCTTATCTTTAGAAATCATGCGATAAGAACGTAAGAAAGTGCATATATGTTTATAAGTGATGCTGGTTTGTAAATGAAGAGTTTCATCTCTATGAGGATGTCATTTCTTTCTGTATTGCATCTTTAGGTTTTCGCGTGGTTCAGGCCAGAGTACTCTTCCCGCAATGAGGAATATTAGAGCTTCTCGACTATCCGGTTCTTATGATAAACAGATCAATTATCTTGAAGGACAAGCTGCTCATGTGAAGCAGCAAGCTGAGGAGGCGCGAAAACTGAAAAGAAAGAAAGAGGAAGAGCTTCGATTGGTTGAAAATAACCTTATGAAGACAAAGGTGATTGTCTTATTTGTTTTTTGTTGTTTGTATCTGATTGCCATTCAGCTAGTTGCCTCTCTCTTTATTTAGCAATTGTGCCTGTCCTTTGAGCTATTTACAGCACAAGTTCAAAAGTTACTGTTTGCACTAAAGTTGTAATTTTTTGTTTGAAAAAAACAGAGGTGGGCAAAGTTATTGAAGACTACAGAATCTTGATGGCTTTACTGAACTAAGAATTTAAATTATTTGACTGTTGCTGTCTTTAGGTTTGGACATGCTACTTTTGTTGTTTCACTGAGGTGGTTGCTGTTATTAGATAATCTTACCTAACTGCGGCATTCTTTTTTGGGGCATTGTCAAGGAAAAGCTTTCTTTGTATTATCTTAAGCAGCTCAACTTATGCTGAAGTGAGTTTACAATGGAGAATTAGAAGCCCTTTTTAAGGCGGCTTTCTCCTGGTTTGCTGTGTAGACTATTGTGTTTCTAACTTCCTTTAGTCTATTGCAACTACTTCTAGTTCTATGTTTGTGTGCTAGGTTTAATATGTAGAGGTGTTATTATTCCAATGGTTGTTTTCTTCGATTCTTTGACAAAATCAAGTTGAAAGGTTTTTTTTTTCTATTTTCTTTGTGTGCCAGTTGGTTTAAAACTTTAAGTCTATGACTATTAAGTGAATCCAATGACCATTGTTTTTCAACTCGATTTTGCCAGAGGCGATGCATGGAAGCAGAGCTGTATCTGAATTCCAAGGAAAGGGAACTGCAAGGTACCAAGAGTTTATATGCTTCAGATGCAAGTGCGTCTCCTACATCTACGATTGATGAGCTTCGTCAAGAGATTGCTGTATGTTCTCCATACCTATGTTTATCATGTCTTCTCATCATATTGTCTACTGGTGAAATGTTCAGTCTTCCTTTGTTTTATACTTTTCCTGCCGTAAACCTTGTCAAATACATACAGAATATTGAAGCTGAGAAAGAAGGGAGGGAAGTGGAGCTTGCAGAGGCTCAGAGAAGAATGAGTGAAGCAGGACACAAGGCTAATAGTCTGAAGTCTTCTTTTGAAAAGATGTGTGGTATGATAATTTTTATGCATACCTTTGCAGTTTCTTCACGACCTTATCTAATTCGTTTGAATTTGTGTGATTAGAATCTGCAAAAGTAGACATTGATGCGTTAGAGGAAGCTGATCGTGAGCTTACATTAATTGAAAGGGATTTCAGTGAAGCAGAAAGGGTATTTTGTATTTCAGGCTACCAATATGAGTATAAATGTAAGGACTTATCTGAAATTCTTCTTGTCTCACTTTTGTTCAGAAAAAGAAATACTACGAAGAAGTTATGGATGGAAAGGTCCTTCCTGAACTAAATGCAGCAAAGTCACAATATCGTGAGCTTGAGGATATTCGTAAGGTGTTCACTAAACGCGGTTCAATCTTCACTATAGAGACCTGTAGGCTGTAGTTTTGCCTTAGAGTCCAGAGCTCTTACACTTTTTTATCGTTCTCTGTGCTTCCATTGCCATTATTAGCATCATTGTTTTCTCAACGATTATCAGATTAATATTATTTTTTCTGTTGTTTTTATTTTACTCATATGCGCAGGCTAACCTTGGCAATCCTTTTAGCAACTATGATAGAACCGTGTTAGGATTTCAGTATCTTTTGGTTTCTTATGGCAAAAACCATTTACAGTGGCATTGAGGAGAGTTGCTGAAATATTGCAGGAGAGTTGTAGAAAAGCTTCCATTATATGTTCAGAGAGTGAAATCGAAGCATTAGAAGGCTGCATGGAGGGCAACCCTGAGCAGCTAAGTGCTCGATTAAACAGGCTAAATCAAAGACTTGAGCGTGAAAGCCAGCGGTAAAGTAATCTGGCCATTTCAGTTAAAATGTCCTAGTATTCTTAATTCTAATAAACCCTCCATGTGCAGGTTTCACGAGTCCATTGATGATCTTAGAATGTTACATGAAAAAAAACGTCGGAAAATTTGGAGAAAGGAGCAAACTTACAAAGCATTTAAAGACAAGTTGAATGTAAGATATCGCCATTTTTTTTTCCATTTATGTTGCATATTTACATATCCAATGCTGCTAAAATAGATGGTGTTTGCCTTTAATCTTACCGTATCATTTTCTGTTAGTGAATTCTTTTCTTGTCCTAAATTTCATTATGCTGTTCTGTTTCGGTTTGATCACTTGCCAAAACCTGTCCGTCCTGGCACATGTACCTTTTTTGAGTAGGAAAATTTGGCACATGCATCTTTGGTCGTACTTAATAGCCTCTCTGTTGGAAATACATTAAGCAACATCTTGACCCGTAGAACCAACAAAGTTGGAAATATCCTGGGTATGATGATGATGTTGTTGTTGTTGCTTTATCTATTCCCAAATTTCATGGTCTTTTTGATTTATTACCAGTAGCGTGGCTCTTACACTTGTGTGCATTGGAGAACGTTTATGCTTTGAGAAAAGTATTAAAGTTATAAGTAGGAGAGACAGAAGTTGTTGGAGGCTTGTCAATTTAAAGTGGATGATCATACTTAAGATTGTGGTTGGGTGGGCAAAGTTGCCGGTTATGGTTCATCAAAGTAGTTACGGAATATGATCAATAGTTAAGATTGTGGTTCGGTGTGCAAAGTTCATTCTTCATAAGTCGGTCATGGTGTATCTAGAGAAAGACCAATGATATTTTTTATATCAGATTCTTGCAATGGTTGTAAACCTTTTATTTGTGGATCTTTTTTGCAGTGCTTATCCTTCACTAGATTCTTTCAATTTATATATTGAATTACCATTTTTTAACTGTTCGAATTCCTTCTACTGTCTTGATCGTTTTAGGTGTGCAGGAAGGCCCTAGAGTTGCGTCAAGAGAAGTTCCAGAGGAATGCAACTCTTGCAAGGCGGGAGTTGACATGGAAGTATGAAATCTTACCTTTTGCTTTACTTCCCCTCAATTTTTTATGTTCCCTTGTTAATAGCAACCTCTGGTTGATGGATTTCCTATAGATTTAATGACCACTTGGGAAAGAAGGGAATTAGCGGTAAAGTTGTAGTTAGTTATGAGTCACAGACCCTCTCCATAGAGGTACGCTAATTGTTTCAGTATTATGTTAGCTGATGCTTCTATTTTTCATATCCCGGTTTGGTTCGTTCGTTTTTGCCTAAACTTGCTGCTATTCTTTGGAGTAGTCAATTTTTGTTGCTGATCTGCTTTTGGCATTCCTTTGTTAGGTAACGATGCCCCAAGATGCATCAAATAGAAGTGTTTGTGACACTAGAGGGCTCTCAGGTTGTGGCCTTTCTTTTTTCCTTCTTTGATGACTGATAATTTTAGAGTCTAAATCAAGGCACTCGTGTTATTCGTTGATGTTTGTACTTTCTTTCATGTTGAGGTGTTTGTAACCTAAACCAAAATATTCTGGTCATCTATTAGTGGCCCACACTGTTCAAAGTCTTGGCTTAGGGTTTAGAGGTGAATGTCAAATCTTTGAAGAACTATAATTTATGCTTAAAGTGGTTTTGGTTAGATGCACTTGCCATGTAACAATGAAGATTGCACAATTGTCCAGTTTTTAGGCATCAAGCGTATTCCTCCGAGGCTAGGCCTCCAAACCTGATTCGCTGCATCCTATCACTCAATCTTTTGCTGCCGTCCATAGTTAATGACGTGATGATGATCAATAATTAAAACAGCCTCCTCTCTGTTTTTGCTAGATGTGTGTAATGTATCAGAGATTCAAGAGTTATTGGTTTTGGAATAACAACATTTCCCGTTTAGATGCTGGACTAAAAAATATGGTTGCTTTATATAAAAATTGGCTGATTGATCTGTAAAATCTTGGCCCAGGAATACTTTCTTATAACCAGTTTTTATTTAGACTGCAAGTATATAATTAATAAAGAATATTGCTGTCTTAAGATTGTTTGGTTAAAGTTAGTTTTTTTTGGTTAATATGGGATCACCCAAAGTTCCAGCCAACAACTAGCCTTTATTCCATTATGTGGGATCATATGCCACCATCCATTAAGGTTTTGAATAGATCATGTCCTTTTATATACTTTCTTTCATTTCTTTAAGATATTTCACTTTTTTTTAATTTGAATTGATGATCATTTGTTTTCTAACAGTATTTCAGTCCAAACAAGTTTAAGCGCGTCTCTCATTTTCTAATGTACTCGTGCTATTTCTGAAGTTCTTGAACATTGGCAAGAAGGAAATTTCCTATCTATGATGGCTGTTCGTCAATTTTCATTTTTGTTTGTCAACCTCTGATTCTCTAGAACTTTTATTTATGGTTTCTCTGGTGTCCTGTCTCACATTTGTACCTGAGCTCAATTTTTTAGGTGATAAAGAGTCTTTTTGCAACCACTGAGCACTAGTTTTCCAAAGTTGTTTCCTACGTAAGTGAGGATCGTGAAAGAGTAACCAAAAGATGATGTGTTTAGTAAAATTTGATTATTTTAAACGAACATTTTGGATGTAAGATCATTAAATTTCAAGTCTTCAAGAGCATGGGCTATGATCTTCAAAAAGAGACTGCTTTTTCTTTCTTTCTTTTTTTTTTTCCCCTTTTTGGATGGATAGGTTGTAAATGCCACTGGAGATATATTTTATTCGAGCTTGTTGATCTTCTTAACTTTTTTGTAAGATTGGCATGCTCTAAATGACTTTTTTCTTTTCTTTTTTTTTTCTTTTTGTTTTCCTGTTCCGTTTGCTTATTTTGCTTTTTGGCTCTTTTATTTTGCAAATTAGGTGGAGAACGTTCCTTTTCCACATTATGCTTTGCACTCGCTCTTCACGAGATGACAGAAGCTCCTTTCCGAGCAATGGATGAATTTGATGTATTTATGGTAAGGCCTATGATTGCAAATTTACACAAGAATTTCAAAGGTTTATGCTAACGTTTCATGTGTTATTGCATATATATATATGGGAAAAATTTTGGGGGGTAATTGGCCACTTAGATTTTTCAGCCAAATATACAAGGAATATTGGGGATATTTGGACTCAAGCTAATACTTATTTTAGCTGAAATTGGGTGCGTAGTGTAGAAGTTTGACATTTTAATTTTGGTGATGGAGATTGGTAAGCATTCTGTTGTAGGATGACCTCGTTTCGTTGGGAGCGGACTGTAAAAGTTTGCCATTCTATCACCTGGTTTCGTTGTTAATTTTCTGAATGTTATGGCTATTTTAGTTTACAAATAAAAATTACGCAGCAAACTCTGTAGACCAATCTCACATTAAAGCAAATATTCTATGATGCTTTGTTATTAGAGGGAACCACTCTTTATCCTGTAACACTGGGGTGGACTTTAAAAACATGATCACCTTGAGTGATCTTACTGCTGTCACAATGCTGAACAATCACTGATTATATGGATAGTTTGATGTTAATTAAATCTGTTGTTATCTCAGGGAGATTGGAAGTGATAAAGTTACATGATATTGATTCCGTCGTCTTGTGTTGTCATGATAGTACTGTAGAGTGGCTCCCTATGTTTTTTTTCTAGAGTAGCATTCGACTATAAGAACCAGCCAAGTAGGCCAACTATGCTTGGCACCGATGACAGATATTTTCATTCCTATGAATTTCGCATACTCTTTATGTACTTGCTGGAAAGCTACGTTGCAATTCTAGTTCCATTTTTGGTCTAGCTGAAGTAACACAATATATGTTTATGTTGGACTTATATGGCCAAGTAGATTGAAATTCTGTTCCGCTATGATTTGCGATGGAATTAGTGATAATCTTTCTACTGATGAAGCATTACTGGACTTAATTGTTCAACTCTGCTTGGGTGAATTGTTTGTTTATGGAATCATGGACTTGTGGTCTTTGCTTGTCCCTTGTACATATGACTCTCTTTGGAATAACACAGGATGCAGTCAGTAGAAAAATAAGCCTTGATACACTTGTGGATTTTGCATTGGCACAAGGATCCCAATGGATTTTTATCACGCCTCATGATATAAGGTAAATTTTGTGCTTCAATGGCCTGACTCCACTTTGCTTAATTGTTATATATATATATAGTATTGTTTGAACACAAGAACTGCGAGCAATCTTCTTACTTTTGAGTGATGTCATCGAAGTGTTAGCAGTTGCATGCCATTTTATGGCTGGCTTAAGCAAATGATTTTATGTTCTGTTTGTTCAGTATGGTGAAACAAGACGAGAGGATAAAGAAGCAGCAGATGCTTGCGCCACGGGGATGAAACTTTTGCCGCCAGCGATTTTGTGTGACTGCGTAGTATACATGCATATTATGTAATATAGAACGGAGAGAACCTGACGTTTGTTGAGCAAGAGAATTTTGTTGGCCTGTGAATCCGAAGTTAGATGATTGCCTCTTATTATATTTAAGATCGCATCTTTATGCCATCAAAATTCTCTTGCTTTGAATCAGAAGTTAGACGAGGTTTGTGGCACACAAGTGTCAAAAGCATATTGTAATCTCTTTTGCCAAAAGCATATTGCTCTCAAAAACGTTCTTCTCAGCAATGAAATTTGTAACTCCAGTGTCCCTTTGTATCCGCGTGCATTGCATTTGAAGATATGCTTTTTTTTTTTTTTTTTTAAACTTTTTCTGTCTTCGCTGCAAAATGAATGTAAATCCCAAAGTAAAATTAGAAACATTAACGTAGAAACTGCTTGGCTGGGCCCAGTTAGCCTTTTATTGGAAAACGGCAATTCATGACTTTCCAATAAAACAGAATTATAAAGTGATAATACTAGTAAACGACGTTGGAGGCTGGCATCGGAAAATGCCAATTCAAATTGGGGAAAGTGGCGCAACAAAATAATTTTTATATCCCTTTCTTTTTGAGTTTTGACCCACATTTCTAGTAGACCGTTGGGTACAGTACACAATCTCAACACCAACTCAAAAACGCCGAACGGTTCAACTGGCAAACCACCCCATCGGAGGAGACGCAAGAAAGGGATCCACTCGAAGATTTTGATTCTGCAGAAAGAGAGAGAGAGAGAGAAAAAAATGAGGATTCCCAATATTATTTGCAGAGCTTCCTGAATTAAAAAAAAAAAAAAAACCATGTCTTCTACACCTGAAAACTTCTTCTTCTCTCTTGGCAGCTGAAAACGAAGCTGTGGGGAGCGGTCTGAAACGATGTCGTGTACCCCTGAGAAACCAATTAGTCACTCTCCATTGAAGCTATGGAGCAACAACAAGAAAGCTCTCAACAAAATCTTCTTCACAATGCGTCTCCAATCTCTCCCCAAACACCCTCCTCCTCCAACTCAACCCCCTTCTCCTTGTTTCTCTCCTAATCCTAAACCCAACAAATCCCATGATTTTGTCTTCTTGCCGGAGCTCGTCTTCGACAGAACCTCTCTCCTTTCTGATGATATTCTTCTCAAAATCCTCTCTAAGCTTCCTGCGACCCAGAGGAACTCTAATTCCTTGGTTTCCAAACGCTGGCTCAATCTCCAAGGCCGTCTCGTGAGGTCCGTCAAGATACTTGATTGGGACTTCCTTGTTTCCGGCCGTTTGTTTTTCAGGTTCCCAAATCTTGTTCATGTTGATTTAGTTCAAGGGTCTTTACTATCTCCCAGAAATTCCGGTACTTTGTGCAGTCACAAGTTTGTTGCTTTTTATGTGGATACTGATACTGATACTGAGCCCAGTCGGTCTCTTGCTTGTGAAAGATTTTTGCTTTCTACTGATGACGTTGATTCCGGGTTGAGGAACTTAGCTAATGGGTGTCCAAATCTGAGGAGACTTGTGGTGATGAATGCCAGTGAAATGGGGCTATTGAGTGTTGCTGAGGAGTGCCCTACTTTGCAAGAACTGGAGCTCCACAAGTGTAACGACCAGGTTCTTCGAGGAATTGCTGCATTTCAAAATTTGCAGATTTTGAAGCTGATTGCCAACTTGGATGGTATTTATACTTCCGGAGTTTCAGATGTTGGGTTGACTATTTTAGCCCAAGGTTGCAAGAGACTAGTGAAGCTTGAACTAAATGGCTGCCAGGGAAGCTATGATGGGATTCGAGCAATTGGACAGTGCTGCCAAATGCTCGAGGAATTGATTTTGGCTAATCATCAGATGGAGGATGGGTGGCTATCGGCTCTTTCTTTTTGCGAAAATTTGAAGACACTGAGGTTTTTGTCTTGTAAGAATATTGATCTGAATCCCGGGTGTCATGAGCATTTGGGATCTTGTCCTACGCTTGAACGTTTGCATTTTGAGAAATGCCATTTGAGGGATAAGCAGAGTATCATAGCACTGTTTATCGTTTGTCAAGGAATCAGGGAGCTTATTTTTAGAGATTGCTGGGGCTTGAACAATGAAGTGTTCAGCGTTGCAAGTAATTTGAGGTAGGCATTTCATCGCCTTAATCATATTTTCCTTTTCTTCAAACTGCATTCTTGTTTTCTTTAAGTTGATTGTTAAACCATTAAAGTTCCAATCTTTAGTACTCTAGTATCTAGATATGTACACTAGTCTGAAATATACAATCAGTTTGGCAGGCTTAATGCAGATAATTTGGAATGGAAAGCACATAGAATGAGTTTCACAATAGATCAACCTTCTGTACATTTTGGAACTGTATCCCAATAGATCATGTGTAATGTAGGCAGTCATCAGATGTTTAATATGTTAATCGGGTTAATGCAGGAGAGTGAAGTTATTGTCATTGGAAGGTTGTTCAGTGCTGACAACAGCAGGTTTGGAGGTGGTGGTTTTATCATGGATGGATCTTCAGAGCCTTAAAGTTATGTCATGCAACAAAATAAAGGACAGTGAGATCTCCCCTGTGTTGTCTTACATGTTCTCTACTCTTGAAGATCTGCAATGGAGGCCAGATACAAAATCCCTTCTTGCATCAAATCTTGGTGGAACTGGCATGGGAAAAAGGGGTGCTAAATATTTTAAGAAGACTTGTGACTGGAAATCTCTCCCTGGTTCTCAACCTGAAATGATGCTGTCATTCACCTTCAAAAATCCACTCTAATTATTGTAAAGCTGGTGGAATCTGTAACTTTTTTGTTCCCCATCATATGTAACCGCAAGTTCCCTAAGGCCTAACATATATATGTATTTGGTGAACCTGCAAGTTCCCTGAGGCCTAATGTCGAGTTCAGTTCAGACACAAAATCGTTTTATAGGAAATTAGCATCCCGAAAAAAAAGATCAGCTTCTTGTTTGATGACAGTACTAATAATAGATGGAAGATTCTCAAATTCATACTTGCCATTGAAAATTCGATGTGTTTGACCGTATTTTGTGCTTCTAAGTTCTAACATCCGAATCCGGTGCAGTTTTGTATATTCTGACCTCACCAAGACAAAAGCTTTGTTTTGGCTTTGCCACAACAGTATCATCACTCATTTTTTGCATTCGGATAGGATACACAGTGGGCAAATCACTGAAAACAGAGTATATAGATTAGAAGTAATGATACACATAATCGACCAAATCATCATTATTAGTAAAAGAAAAATATTAGTCCTAATTATTGGTTTTAGGATCTTTTTTAGTTTGAATTTCCAAAAAGGTATTTATAGCTATCGGCAGCCACTGTATATATTAACTGTTGAGCACTTTAACGTGAAAAAGGGGAGAACTTTTTAAGACAACATCTCAAATTATATTCCGGCAGCAAACAGATAAAACAACAATTACTGCTTTGCGGAGCAAACATAAGCCAGGAAAAGAGGATGAAGAAGGACAAGGCCGTTGCAATTTTTGATTGCCCTAATACCGGGCATGAACACGATTACGACGGTTATGGTGACGATGAAGATTTTGATGATGAGGCACTTTCTGGGACGAGATCAAGAAGGCCCACAAATGGCAGAGCAGTTGTTCGAGTTCCCAGTCGAAGCGGCTCTTCTAAATACGACTTCGTTAAGGTTGATTGCTCCTTCTCTTTTAGCCAAAAACCCTTGTATGCTTTTGATTCAATGTTATCGAAGATGGAATAAAGGGTCTTCCTTTGAATTTTGTTTTTTTCTATTCAGGTTAAGGTATGGCTAGGTGATAATGCGGATCACTATTACGTCCTCTCCAGATTTTTGCTTAGCAGAATGCTCACTGTTACTAAGGTTTCACTTTTACGATATTCTTTTAAGGATTTTGTTTTGCTAGAGAAGTGAACTTTGATGAAGAAGTAGTGCCTAACTAGACATTAACTAGTTGTTTATTCGTACTCTCTCTCTCTCTCACACACACAGAATAAAAAAGAAGGTTCTTTGAAGGAAATATACTTCCAGATAGAACAGGATTGTAAGATATTATGAAGGAGAACATTTTCCTTTTCTATTATATTGGGACTAGCCATCTCATTATGGTTCACCCCTTTTGTTAGGAAATTAGGTTTTCTAGTGTTGTTACTTTTGATAGTGTTGTTACTGATGATGATAGTGTTGCTCATTTGTAGATTCCTAATCACGTCGCTATCAAGATTGCTCTCGAACTCAAGAAGCTCCTCATAGACAATAGCCTATTGGATGTGTATGTCTCCATGTTTTGTTTTTGTAGTTCCATTTTCGCTTCTTTCAAATGGATTCTGCCCTTGTTGTTTCAGAGATTTCTCATTTACTTTTTTGGTTCTCCAGTTCCCAGTCTGATCTGGAAGCAAACTTGTTTAAGGTATGCTTGTCCTCCTGGCATATATTCTTTTCCTATTATCTGTACTAATGGATGTCGCCGTTTTTACTTTACCCCGTTCATGTACCTTTTGTGTCCACCATATATTTAAGGACTAGATCTTGCTCGTTTTTTTTTCTGGGCTTTTTAAAGCCAGAAGTTAACATGCTATTCTATTTACAGCTAATGGAAAGGCGTGGTTATGGAGCAGAGTACATTAACCGATATAAGATGATGACAAGGTTGGTGCTATCATCATGTAGTCTGCAAGCTTTCATCTATATCTCGTTCTGTCTATCTTTTTCAAGTCTGTTGTGGGACTTGTTTGGTGACACAATTTTATAAATGATTTTCTAAAGAGGTTGAAAGCAAAACTATTATCGTAGTCCTGCATTGGGTGACTGGTCCTCCTGCAGCTATGTTTAAGGGTTGTGAAAGCTGCGCCCTCAATATTTCATTTTGGTATACATTAGCTATTCCGAAAGTATAGTGTAGTAGCTACTTACTTCGGTATAGAGAACAATGTTTCAACCTTGCTTGGAAGAGATTTGCCCCTTACTCTCCCGTCACTACCAACTTTATTCCAAAGTCAACAGGTCTTACCTTGGTGTTCTGTATACATATGCTCTCACCTGATCCCCCTTTCGAAATCTATTTGTTAGTATAGAACTGTATTTGGAATTTTACTGGCATTTGTGATAGTGGAACGGAGGAAGGAATATTTTTCTATTAAAAAACGAAAAGGGAAGAGAAAACATAAGTTATCTTAAATTTAAGCACTGTTTTCTTTTAATGTTTACTCCTTGGTGTTTCTGACTTTTGCTTAGATTTCATCATCAGAGAGTACCTCTTGTTATTCTCGTCTGTGGTACTGCATCTGTGGGGAAATCTACCATTGCTACTCAACTTGCACAAAGGCTAAACTTGCCAAATGTTTTGCAGGTTAGCCCCTTGTTCATTTATTATCACCTGTAAATATGTACATAACTATATGTGAGATTTTTGCTGATTCTTACCTCTTGCAATGTCTCAGACAGATATGGTTTATGAGTTGCTGCGTACATCAACCGAGTATGTTTCTGTTAGCGAATTTGTTTTGTCGTCTGAATTACTAGTTCTAGTGGAGTAAGTGTTCATTTAGACTTAGAGCACTTATATACGGTTCATATCATTTCAGTGCACCATTGGCATCATCTCCAGTTTGGGCACGGGATTTCAACTCTCCAGAGGAACTAATTACTGAATTTTGTAGAGAGTGCAGAATTGTTAGGAAAGGTAATCTCTGTTAGCCAAATAATTTCCCCTTCACAAGGAAATGGTCCATTTAATGCCATTGGCTTGTTTTTGGTATAGGTTTGGCTGGTGACTTGAAGAAAGCAATGAAAGATGGAAAACCAATCATCATTGAGGTGAACTTCACGTGTTGGCTAAAAACTTGGGTTTCTTATGCGTAATTCAACTGATACTTTTGTTCCTTATAATGTTTACAATCTCGGGCTCTGGACTACTTTATCTGTGACTGACACGGTCATTTTGAAATAATATTTTTACATTAGAAAAGTTAGTGACATGCTAGATTGTTATGTTGAAAATTATATTCCAAGAGAAATGTTTGAAAAATTATGGGCATCTTTTAGTTGTAAAGAATCTTTTATTCTTATTTCAATTGTACTCTCTCATGTGTGGTTCATCTTCACTTGATGACTGTGGTCATGATCCATGACAGGGAATGCATTTGGATCCGAGTATATACCTCATGGATGAAGAGAGCAAGTCACCTAGTCAGACACAAACAAAAGGGGAAGAGGCAAACCCATCAGATCTTGGTGGGAAGAATGAAACACAAGCTTTGAATACTTCCAGTGATCCACTAACCTGTAAGGGGGAAGATATTGATTACTCCCATAACAGCAAACAATCAGGGGCAGAAGTATGTGCTGACCAGTTGAATAAAGTTACTAAGCTTCTAGAATCTGTTGATATAGTTGGAGCTACTCCTGGGGAAAAAGGTAAGAGCTGAATTAGTTTTCAGCTACTTCCTTGTGTGGATTTCCTCTATACGTATTTACTTTTCTTCAACGCAGGTGATACCATCAAAGCTCCAGCAGCAGATAAAATCTCTTCTGCTAAAAAAGATAAATCTGGTGCTGAACCAATAATCATCCCTATAGTCCTAAAAATGGCTGAATTTGATCATAAGGTGTGAAATTATTTCTTTTTCATACTGGTTTCATCCATGATGAGCAATTGACTAGTAATATAGTTCACAAAAAAAAAAAAATAAAAAAAAATAGAAATATAAGAATAGTAATGGCTTTGATAGAATTGCACTTTGGTGTTTATGCAAAACATGTAAATACCTGCTACATAATAGCTTGTTCTTCTTATCAAAATATCTTATGGTTGTTTAGAATCTGAAATAAGAAGGAAAAGAGAGAATATGGAAGTTTAAATAAAGCTATTCAGAGCAGATTTTTACTGCATTTTTTAAATTCTGATCAGTTTTCTGTAACCAGTACCGGTGACGAATCTTTTCTTCATATGCAGGCTTTACTGGAGGAATGGATTTCCACCCATACAAACGTTGACAAATATCAGATCCAGGTGTGTGTGTGTGTGTGTGTGTTTTCTTTATACTTCTTGTACTCTTTATCACTTGGATAGAGTGAAAAAAAGTAAAAAACAAGTGTGTTTGTTTTGAATTCTTCTAAGTTCTTAAAGTTTAAAACTGGATTCCTTTAACCTTTATTTGGATTCATTTTAGGATAAAGACAAGTTAGTAAGCAACTTGAAGACAATTCAGGATTATCTTTGTTCATTTAAGTCCCGGGTAAGCTCCATTTGGTAATTGTCCTTTTATGTTCTGCTGTAATATCTTTGGATGTAGGAGCTGTAATAATTACCTTTATTTGTATTACGTCAATGCGTGCTTAATTGTGTTTGGTCCTCTCTTCCTGTTTCAGGGCTTGACTGTTGTCAACATATCAGCTACAACGTTCCCTCAGACACTAGATTGGCTACACAATTACCTCCTTCAGGTTGGTAGAAATCCAGGAGAGGGTATTTGGTCAGACCATTCCCTTTTGTCTTTAAGTTACTGTCTTCAAGCAAAAATTGATCTTTAACCTAAACAGTAATGCTAAGAGAAACACCTAATGTCTACTCCTGTGGTTGACTTATTCTAAGTATGTTCTTCTACTTTCTCCTCATTGTACAGTGCATCGAGCAAGGCATAATTGAAGAACCTTCTGGAAAATAGATCATTCTCTGTCACTTAAATCAGGTATCTTATGCCTTGACACCCTTTTCTTGCTGCATAGGTACGGTAATTTTGGTTGTAGTTGGAATGAGAAATGATTATGTTGATGTTTACTTGGCGGGAGAATAATAAATTCTCTACAAGTGTCATCTTTGCAGATCAATGGTGTGCAAAGAAACGTAAATCTTGCAGGGTTAATTAATTGAATTCACAAGCGAGTGCTATAATTTCGTCTAATTAGTATGTTTTCTGATCTTGTATCAGCTGGATAGTGCTGTCAGCTGTGGACAACGAGTTACGGGGATGGTAGTGGCTTACGGTTATGCCATTAGCATTCTACTATACACGCCTAGAATAATAGCAACAGTTGAAACCCCAGAGCATGGCCTTAAAATCAAAGGATGTATATTTCATTTTTCCTTTAATGGGGGTGTCAATATTGTATGTATATTTAGTACGAGTGATTTCTGGTATTTTCATGTGAACCATTTTTTTTTGGTACCATCAGTTTTTGTAACTTAAAAGAATGTATTCTGGGATCGGAGATCCATTCCGATGGTTCCCTCTCAAGTCAATCTTCCATTGTATTGGGAAACATTCGGGATCCAGTTTTCAGATTGGCGTGCTAACTCCAAATAGCATTTGATCCTGGCTCTGCTCGATCTCCTTTTTGTATCTTCATGAAAATTGAACCAACAATAGGAATCAATGGTAGGAAAAGACAAAAAAAAAAAATGCCCCTTTTTTTGGCTCTAAAATTGGAAGAGTCTATCTAGGTTGCCGAGTAGAACAAAATTTGTCACGGTTTAATTACACAGATTGTAGTCATACCCAAACAGAAAGATCGCCTGTTAGAAAACACTAGAAAATATTGTGTGCTTTGTTTTTTTCTGGGGAACTACACACTACATATGTTCAAAGAAATGTACAGAGGACCTATTATGGCTGGTAAAATTCAGGCAAGGATGACCTAAATCTCATCGTCCCAAAGATCTTGAATGGTCCGATAGGGACTTGTGGTTTGATTAGTGAGAAATTCTCCCCTCATTATCTTCCACTCTTCCATCCTCTGAATTTCCAACATGTCATACTCGTCCAATTCCACCTCAATGGCTCCAATGTTCTCTTTCATTCTTCTCTGATTAAAGCTCTTCACTATCACACTCACTCCTCTTGACATCCCCCGTGCCAGCGCTACTTGTGCCGGAGTTGCATCGTGTTTCAGGGCAATGGATTTCACTACCGGATGACCCACCACCGCCGTTGATCCCCAATAATTTCCGGGCCCGCCCAGCGGAGAATAAGCACTCACGTGGATACGGTGTCTCCGGCAAAACTCCCGGAGCTTCCTCTGCCTCCACATCGGGTGCATTTCCACCTGATTTACCGCCGGCGGAACGGTGGCGAAACAGAGGAGTTGTTGAAGCTTTGATGTGGAGAAATTGCTGACCCCGATACACCGGCACAAACCCATTGCCAGGCATTGTTCCATCCAGTACCAAGTGTTCTCCATGTCTAGATCGTCGAAATCGGATTCCTCCGGCACCGGGTTGTTGACGCCGGGTTTCAATTTCACGGGCCAATGGACCAAGTACATGTCAATGTAGTCCAAACCAAGCTCGTCAAGTGTTTGTTTAAGTGCCGAAACGGGATCGTGGTGATCACTGCTCCATAATTTTGAGGTCACGAAAACATCTTTCCTTTGGATCACCCCGTCAGCAATGGCTTCTGTTAATGCTTTTCCTAACGCCGGCTCCGACCCATATATCTTTGCGGTATCAAAATGCCTGTACCCCATCTGTTACCACCATCAAAAGTATGTATAAATTAGCTTAAATTCCCAAACATGGAGATGGAAAGCAGGATTGAATACAAGGTTGAATAATTAAGTGGAAGTAGTAAGTTACCTTAAGTGCCTGTCGGACGGCAAGCTGGGTGATCTCTCCGTCATTGTCGTCGGAGTACGTTCCGAAACCAACCACCGGCATCTTTACTCCATTGTTCAATCTCACCATCCTCATCCTGTTCCTCATTTTGGTTTTGTTTTTCTCTTCTGATGAAATTTGAATTCTAAAGCTGCTTAATGTTTCTTTCTTTTTTTCTTTTTTTTTTTTGTCTTTCTCTTGGTCTCACTTATGGATGAAGTTTGCTCTCCAATCCCAGGTTATATATATATATAGGCTTGAACTCAGAGAAGTCAAACATTATTATATTCCTACTGCTTACTAAATTAAGTGAATGGACCAACTTAATTCCATAAAATATGGAATCTGTAATCTTCAACAGAATTATGCTCATTATTAATGAGTTAGGGGGTTTAGGACGGCCGGGAATTCAGTTAGAATTAAACTAGATTAATAATGTTGAGGAGGGCTCTTCTGCCACCGCCAAACCCCGCATTTCTTGCCATTTCACGTTATATTTCTGTCACTAAAGTATTAAAACTTTTTTTTTTAAGTGTAGTAGTAATTAACATCATTGAGTTATTCACTGGCTAGTGGGGATTTTGTGAAGGTTAGGCACGTTGCTGACATTTTGTAAATGGCCCGCCGCCGACTCTACAGTTGCCGCGTGGCAGTCCACCACCACGTCCATTGTCAGTCAGTCAGGATGAATCATAAACCTTAGTTTCATGCTGCTTGCCGGCGCTGAGAAGTCAACCCCCCCTCCCATCAGATGATGTATATGTTGTGCAATACAGTATACACTAGAATAATGGGCGACGAACTGGGAATCTTTTAGGTTAGAAAAAAAAAAAAAAAAAGAATAATTCTTAACTAGTTGACCGTCACCATTTTGATGATAGGAATTCACGATAAAGTCAATGTCTTTGACTTCCGTTTTCAGTGGAAAAACGGCCGTCCTTGTCAGACTGCTAAAAAGTCAACCGCCACATCGCGTAGGCATGTTCAACAGAATCAGCGAACTCAACCGCCATATCTTCACCCCACAACACAAATTATATCGTCGTCGCTCATTTAGTTCTTTTAGTATGATCATTTTATGAAATCTGAACTACCTAGTAGTTAGCTACCATAAGGAGTTTCCTTGAGCGGTGTTCATGAACTTCTGTTTTGAAAGTTGGGGACCGGGGATATGAATTTTCATGATTCTAGGGAAATTTGACTTGGCTTGCACTAACAAGAAAGTCATGAAATGTTGTTGTTGGGGAGTGGTGGCTATCGCTGTCGTCCGAACGTTGTATTTGGTCTGAGCCGCTGGTTAGGCTGCTATGAATTTTATCAAACAACAATGATCGATTCACAAGTTTTCAACAAATACAGAATCTTTTAACGGCTCAAAAATTCTAGCTAATTATACAGCAGTAGCTAGCTCCATGATTTTAATCAAATTTAGATTAATACTCTCTCCGTCCCGTCCCAAATGATTGTTCACTTTAAATTTTTATTTTCAGTACAAACACAAATTAAAAGTAAAAATCTAAACTGGAAAATTATGTTAAGTCAGATAGAATATTAATATCTAATATGCGTCGACATTGAAGTAAGCAAATGTGCATTATTCCTTCAATCCCAAAGTGATTATCATATTTGTTGTATTTATATACTCCCTCCGTCCCAAAATTATTGTCCATTTTGAGATTTCACTTTTAGTATAATTTGAACTAAAAATGAAAACCCAAACTGGACAATAATTATGGGACGGAGGGAGTAGTATATAGTACAAAAACATGACAATCATCCTGGGGACGGAAAGAATAGTAACATTATTCCCAAATTCTTCGTGCATGGAGATTAAAAATAGATAGATCATAGATGGAAAGCATCTCGTTGATAGAATTGTTTCCAGGGAATATAGTAGTTGATGAACAATGACTTATTCCCCTCCATTAATCTATATTGAATTCATCCGAATTTGGATGTGCCCTTAATGTTCATTCTTTTTTCTAATCTTATTAATTCAAAATATCTTCTTTTGAAAAAAAAAAAAAAAAATTAGTGTTATGGAATGATACTGTGATCAACAGCGGAGTGGAGCGAATCCTTGGGAATTTGATATTAAGGAAGGATGGAGGGATGGGTGGGGGAAAGCTGTCAGGGATCTTCTGGGCGGCGATAAGCCTAGAGAAGTCACAAGAATGTGTATGTGTTGTTGTATACTAACTCCATAGGAGAGGGACTTATTAAAATATGTTGAAGATGAGTCATGTGATTTCAAGATTTGGGCACGTTCTAACTGATACTGCTGCCATCTTTCTCTCACCCACCTCTGCCGCCTTCTTCCCTCTCAATTACTACTGTTCCCCAAAATTCAAGTTAGAGCAGCTGTATCATTTACAAACGAAATTGTAAATTTCAAAAACTACTATGAAGAGGTTACTTTAAACAAAATTACAAGCTGGACTTTTAGGATGCGAAAAGCCAAAAACTCCGAAAAGTATTGTCCTTTCAGAAGACTTCAGGGTGTCCAATGCCCCTTCCGCTTCCTACTTCCTGAAGCTAGAAATCTTGGTTCCAAAGTCCAACCCTAAAGATTCTGGATATCAAAACTTATAAAAACTACTACTCCATATTATCATAAGGTCATAGGCCACATGAATTCAACTCCACTAATCAATTCCGTTTGACATTTCGAACATGAAAATAGAAAAAAAAAGAACTCCATCTGGGACGGCACGCAGCACAGCCGCGGCTCAACATGAATATCTCTGGTCATTTTTTTGTTGCCATCAATTAGTTCATGTATTAATTGTGTACAGCTTTGTGGATTGGCAAAATTGATCTAACATGACATTTCTATATCTGATAGGACTGCTGTTCCAAAAACTACTCTATGTACAACAATAGAAACATACCCGATGTAAGCTATTGGCCTTAAAAATACCATTTTGGTCTTAATTCCAGTTCTTTCTCTGTCAATTCCCTGAAATCATACCATCCTGCCCCAGCTCTGCCCACCGGCATTGGAGAGCGAACAAAAATCTCCACCGGCTTAGGCACATGAACATCCAAAACTAGATCCTCTCCAATTTCCTCTAAAATGGCATCAGATGTACCGAGTGACAAAACTGGCTCCACCGCCATCCATCCCAAACCTGATATAGCCACATCGCAAGCCGGCCTTCATATAGAGAGGGAAAGGGAGATAAAGAGAGAAAGAAATTCACAGCATTAGTCAGCATCAAACTTTCTGTCTAAGAAGGACAAACAATTAAGCGGCAGGCGCTAGGGAATAGCTTATAAGTGGTTTCAAAATACTTTATATGGTACACGAATACATTGTGTTACATCAGCCTCACCTTGCAATATCTTTGTGATTTATTCGTAATTGACGCTTTGTTTCAAGCCCCATCCAATCATCTGTGTTATCTTTTCTGCACGGAGGAGTCAGCAGACCTCCAATTTCTTTCTGTAGTGAGAAGACAAGCATCATCAGAAAACGGAATGAAACTCAACCGTGATTAGCAAAGCCACACTTATTTCGACAGTGGATATTTACGTGCTGCAAAATATACATGAGCGAACAGTTTGAGATGACACAAAAACTTTGTAATGTTCCAGTAAACATTTATTTCCTAGGCCACAAGAACTAGAAATAAAATTTACCCTATAGAATTCATCAGCTTCTTCAGTAGCAACAACATGAATATTCAATGCTTTGGGTCCATAAAATATGAACCGTGCCTCTGGCAAAGCCTGAAAAGTGAAAAGAAGTTCAAAACCGCCTGCCAAAAAAAAAGCTACTGGCCCATGCAGCAAATACAAGAGAAGATAAATGTATTACCTTCACAACGTCAATCCTTACAAGTCCTCCCCAAAAGATTGAGAAACCACTCAAACCATTTAGTCCAACTTGGTCAGCAATCAACTTGAGTTTCCACGTACCAAAGAATCAGGGGATAAAGGAAGATCAGATGGTGCAAATGAAATAAATATAACGAAATATCAGAAAACACATAAAAAATAACTTACAGGGAGAACACGACCTCTAAGCCTACTTTGGGGAGCCAGGGCAGGAAGATCTTCTGCAGGAACCACAGCCGCTTGCCTGTGGTGAAGATGCACACCAGGTGTATCATACAGTTTCTGAGTGCAATAAGAGCAGATAGTTTAGTAAAATGAGAAGATCAAACTATGTAAATGTTGAGGAACAATGAGATCTGTAAACAATAAGACCCTACCCCTCCACCTAAGAAAGCATCAATCTGGATAGGACCCAAAGTAGTCCCAGGAACAGCAGATTGAATTGGTTTGTACTTTCTTGCTGCAGCGGCAACTGGGTCCTTGTACGACAACGTTTCTGTTTTATGGAATCAACCATATCAAAAAATCAAAATGTCAGTAATGTGGCAAATCTGTGCTACATATGCATCAAACTTCATAGGAAAAATCTCATCTCCAGCTAAACCATGTTCAGTAGCTTCATGAAAAACATCACCTTTAAAAGACTTAGCACCAGGATTAGTACAACTACAACCTCCAAGATATTACTTTTATCAGTTATTAAATTCAGTAACTGCATTCAGTACGATGTTAAGTAAGAACAACTTACTTAATAAAGCATTTATAAATGCAGATTTTCCAACATTGGCGGAACCCTGCAAGATCACACAAGATTGATTGCATTGGTAAAGCGTATACAACTAGAAAGAGCTATTAACAAGTAAAACTAAGGCCAAAAAAAGAACTGCAAGTTAGATTCACTTACCAGAATGTACACATCCCGTCCCTGCAATATACAATATTTAACTTAGTGATGTGGAGAAAACTAATCCTAGAAGGTGCGTCATCTAAACCTCTATTTTAAAAGCCATAGGAAGTATATTCAGAGTAAAACTTGAAACACAGTAAAAAGCTAACACAGGCAACTTACCTTTTTCTCCTTTTGAATTTCTGCTACCACTCCAGAAATTCCAACCAAGGACTTTGAGCTTGTAAGATGGACACTCAGAACACTGAAAAACATCATCAAGCCATCAAGACGACTTCTTTGGTTGGATAATGTAACATATTTAAACCTCTTTCGAAAAGCTGATTATTATAGTTGTTCATTTAAATTTTTTCTGCCATTTCACATTCAACTGTTTCAATTAGTTTCATGCACTTTGCTGATGTTCGGCCTATATGTTCCTCTAGGTATGATCTTATATAAGTGTATCAAGTAGCCCATAACGCCAAATGCTATTTGTTGAATCTCATGCTTGACACAATATGGGAGATGCAATCTGTGGAACTAACAAAATCATGTAACTAAATTAACTACTTACTTAAGCTTTTTCTTCATGGTAGCTTCCACAACCCAATCGCCAATGCAATTGAGATCAGTGTCTTTAGGAAGAAGATCAACCTTGAACATAAAAAAAATTTAAAAAAAAAGTTGCAAACAGTTTACAGTTCACTTCATGATAAGATTAACAGTAGCAACAACAGCAACACATAAGAAGGAAATATCTGCAATACCTTAGTCACCACCAATATTATGGGATTTGCACCAGCGAGATCCCTGACATGTGCAAGAAAACTGCCATTGAAGTCTACAATATCAACCTACAGATGATAGTAAGAAGAAACAAGGAGAGAAAGAAAATGCTTACTGTATCACCAATAACTCTCAATACTAAATAATGCAAAAATGAACCGGACGAAAAGTGACGGATGGAAAAGAAGTTTATCAACTATGAAACTGGCAAGTGCTCTTTATGACAATAATCTTTAACTGATTTCAATAGGTTTATATTGTGTTCCCATGATACTCAAAGGCCAAAGAAACCACATTGGTTTGATCAATATTACATGCCATATAAAGTGCAACAATAAGAAAAACAGGTAGTAACATACGAACTGTTCCCTACTCCAAAATACGCATCTGTCAAAAATTAATCTTGAAGAGTTCTAACGAACACAACTAGCAGATATCTGTTTGTGTTTGAAAATTATGCTAAAATTGATCTTTGAGAGGATAACTTCTACTGATACAGCATTTTTATTAGATTTGATACAATTACCAAGAACAGAAGTATTAATCATAGGGTATTACACCAAAAGAACAATTAATGCATATGGTTCAAGAAAATGATTTTCACCAGTAGGCTCACCAGTTTGACAATCAGGGCCTTCTCATAACGCAGATGAGAGAGTTTTTCACGAAGCTCCTCAGCAGAAACGAATTGCTTTCCTCCAGAATAACCCCCATTACCCCCAACAGCAGTAATCATGTGTCCATGGGAAAGAAGGCGGCACCTACCACAGAGAACAGTTCTAAGCTGACGATGCTTCTTCTTCTGCAACCAATATACAACATAGGCTTCAAAACCCCAATTTAGGGCGGCAAATGCACTCAAAAATAACAAGACGGAAAAAAAAAAGAAGAAACAGTTCCAGAAATTTAATTTGGAAACAGGAACTGAGCAGAGACTTTCATACTGCATCAGATCATACTTAACCAGTGAATCAATTATCTCACATTCCCAGTATAAAATTCAGAATCCAAATCAAATGTTTTACCTTTCATGATTTCAAAACCCAACTGATTTCAGCTAAGGTACTAATGGAAACACAGACAACCAAGTGAAGCAATTGGTCACCGCCTACTTTAATCGCATAAGAAGTGAGTTCTTTCCAAAATTTAACTCTAAATTAATCAGTACTACACATCAAAAAGTAGCATCAAACATACCAGCTGGTAAGTATCCGGGTCTACATAACCCGGAGCATCGGTTTCTGAAGTCTGCAATGCAGCTCCGCAGCCGTAGCAGCTGGGGAGAACCGTAGAAATCTTCAAAACCTTTCCTTTGTCCTTTTTCTTCTTCTTTCTGGTGTTAGCCATAACCATGGCCGAAGTGGCCATAGACTGCTGGCGCTCGAGAAATATTTGCCCAGGCGTCGGCGCAGCTGCTCCAGAGCCTTCGTGCTCCAGTAAGCTACCCGGGTAACCATGAATTCGAGCACTTGTGGGTTTTGTTTCTCGGTCAATTTGCGGTTCAGAAGATTTACACTTGACAATAAGAGTGGGTTTTGGAGGGTTAGGTCTGAGGTTATCAAAATTGAGCTTCTTGGTAGGGTTAATGTGTTGAGGGAAAGGAAATGGAGAAAGGGCTGAGAAGGAAGAAGATAGGGCCAGGGCTTTAGGCGCCATTTCTTCACTCGAGAATTGACGAGAAGAATTGAATTTGCAGACTTATCGACATGAGATATATTACTCTTCTTCAGACACTCTCAGACTGGGTAAATTTCATATTTGAGCTAAAATGGAGGAATTGACCATTTGATATTTCAAGTTGCTCTGTTACTTTTCATACTCTCCTTTTATTTTCAAAATTTACCGTGCCAGTATTAATTTTCGTAATTTTCCTGAATTGGGTCAAAAATGATGTCAAATTGTCTAATTTATTCAAGGAGAAAGCATGAATGTTCATTGCCCAATAACAGTACAAATTATTAGAGTAATCAAAAAAGAGTATAAACAGTGAACATCAGTTCTTCTAAACTAATGGTTAAAACATTCAAACAAAAACACGGGTTCACCAGAAATGATGAAGATACAACAATTGCCTTAACGTAAATGCAACACATTACTACTAATACAAATTTCAATCATCAATTCATCATCATAAGTCGCCTAATATTAATCCAAACTCCTAAATGTCTACTCTTACTACTGACGGGGATCAGTTGGTTGTGCAATTAAACTCTTCCATCTGCAGTTACTGTAAGAGGATCCTGAGGGGAGGAATGAGCAGGGAAAACCACATTATCATACAATAGACCAGCAATGGCTGCCCCAATTAAAGGTCCAACCCAATAGACAGCATGATTCTTGAAGCTCCCTCCCACAACAGCAGAGCCGAATGAGTGGGCAGGGTTCATTGATCCACCGGTAAACGGCCCTGATGCCAATATATTGGCACCTGCGATTAGGCCAACTGCCAGCGGTCCAAAGACCCCGAAACAGCCACGCTTTTTGTCAGCCGCGGCGTAGACAGTGTAAACCAAGACGAATGTCATAACGCCTTCAAGCACCGATGCTCCAAATCCAGTCATTTCAGAAGGGATTATCCCGTGAGTCGGAATTTGCTGCCGTACATCAAACAAACAAGAAAAGGACAAAATGATCACTATCTGAATTCTGAAATATGCAATGTAACCATCATAGATACAGGGGAAATGATTGAAATGGCAAGACTAAAATGAAACCATTAACGGTAGTTTGAAGGAAGAGATGGAAAATTAACCTGTCCAACCGTAGCAACTTTGATGACAAGGCAGGCCATGACAGAGGCAAGCATTTGTGAAATCCAGTACATGATTGACATTGGGATGCTGATATGGCCTCCAACCGCCATGCCGAACGTGACGGCCGGATTTACATGGCCACCGGAAATATTAGCAGAAACAAACACGGCGACGGATAATGCGAATGCATTAGCAATTGCTACTGCCACCAAACTCGATGAGTCTGGCCCGGCAACATTTCCAGCAGTGAATTTCTCTGATACAAAAAAAAACAGTAAGAACATCTTGACAAATTGCTTTACATTTTATAGATTTTGCATTACAACAACAAAAATTGAAAAGGATTAAAAGGGACTAACGAGATGAAACGGCGGAACCAACAGCGGCAAAGACATAGAGGAATGTAGAGATAAACTCGGCAAGATAGGACCTAAGAGCATTGGGTGTCACACAGTGGCCCAAACGGGAAATCAACGAAGCCATCGATGGAGATAATGATGAAGATGATTAATCACAAAAAAAAAACAAAAAAAAAAAGGATTTGATCTTAAGATCGATCAATTCTTCTCTTACTTATAGTTGTTGATGGATGATGATAACGTTGGAGGGAGTTAAGGGTGGGGGAGAGTTGCAATGATTAACTGGCTTAAGGGAGTGGGATTTCAAATTTTAACCGCCATTACACGTGTCATTCCTCTAATGGCTGTAGGATTCTCAGGTCTTTTTTGTATTTGTCTTTGGATCTAAATACACAATTACAATTACACCCCTTTTTTGTCCGCGGCGTTAAATTCGTAATTTATCGATTAGAAAATTGTAGGCTGCAAAAAAAAATCGGAATAACCAAAGTGCCGGACTTTGAAAAAGTCAAAATTAGAAGAGGAGTAAAAAATATGGCCTTCCAGGAAAGATGCACGTGCTTCTGCAGCTTATAATGAGTTCTACTTGACCGACGGACGAAGACTCTTCCACTCTCTCCGCCCAGAATCAAATATAAGTATTAAAAGTCTAAAAACTGAGTGACGGCAAAAGACTTCGCCGGCTAATTCCCTCCCCCGCGGCAAAGAGGTAAACTCTTTCTCCCTTTTCCTTTTTTGGTTTTTTACTTTTTGTGAAATCGTTGCTCTTGGAGTTTCTTGTACTGAATGAATCTCTTTAATGTTTATGAGTTTGGATTCGATTGTTTGTGTTTTGTGTTCTTTCTTGTGGTTGTGGATTCTGCTTTTATTCAACTCTTTGTCTCATTTTCTCAGTTAAATCGGATTTAAATGCTTTCTTCCATAAACCATTTCCGGGTTTTTCTTGTTTTTTTGTGTTATTGTACCGTTGCAAAAGCCAATTATAATTGAATAGATTCTTGCTGTATGCTTGGTGAGATTTGGTGATCTATCCAGTTTTTGGGGAGAAAAAACAGATTATTCTATTGATTGAGCATGTATATATCCCACATAACAAGATATTGACACTAGTTAGGCATGGTGGATAAGTTCAACCTTTGCTGCTTTACTATTCAACAACTGATATTTCTTTGGACGATTCAGATGCCCAACGATGTGGAAAATCCAGAAGATGGCAATGCCGCCAAGGCGCAGGTTTTGACCACAACTACCAATCCACCAACCCCTGAAACTGAGTCAGCCTGGTACAGTACTATCCTTCAGCAAGCTTCTGTTTATGGCATCGCTGCAGGGTACTGCCTTTCAGCATCATTGCTTGCTATAATCAACAAATGGGCTATCATGAAATTCCCTTACCCCGGTGCACTGACTGCATTGCAGTATTTCACCAGTGCTGCCGGGGTCCTAGTTTGCGGGTGGCTTAAATTGTTAGAGCATGATAAACTCGATCTTCTCACAATGTGGCGGTTCCTGCCTGCAGCTTTTATATTTTACCTATCCCTTTTCACTAACAGCGAGCTTTTCCTCCATGCCAATGTCGACACATTTATAGTTTTCCGTTCTGTGGTACCAATTTTTGTTGCTATCGGAGAAACACTATTCTTGCATCAACCGTGGCCTTCGCTGAAAACATGGTCATCACTAGGGATTATATTTGGTGGTAGTGTTATCTATGTTATGACAGATTACCAGTTCACTATTGTGGCTTATACCTGGGCTCTGGCCTATCTAGTTAGCATGTCTATAGATTTTGTGTATATCAAGCATGTGATTATGACCATTGGTCTCAACACATGGGGTCTTGTTCTGTACAACAATCTTGAGGCTCTGCTATTGTTTCCTTTGGAGCTGCTTGTAATGGGTGAGTTGAAGAAGATAAAGCACGAGATGGTTGATGAGTCTGATTGGTACTCTTTCCAAGTGATCTTGCCGGTGGGGCTGTCATGTTTGTTTGGATTATCCATCTCTTTCTTTGGGTTTTCTTGCCGCAGAGCCATATCTGCTACTGGATTCACTGTTCTTGGTGTTGTCAACAAGCTATTGACAGTTTTGATAAATTGGGTAATCTGGGACAAGCATTCAACATATATTGGCACAGTCGGGCTTTTGATTTGCATGGGGGGTGGGATACTTTACCAGCGGTCTACAAGTAACAAAGGCAAGGATGTAAAAGAAGCCAAAGCACAAGTAAGTGAAGAAGAACAGCAGAAGCTGCTGGAATTGCAAAGCAGCTCAGAAAACAGTGGCATGGATAAACTAGGTACAAACTCTGGAGAAGCAAAATCATAGAATGGAGGAATGCTAAGTTCATGTACTGGCTCAGAATCACATTTTAATGTTTTTCCACTTCTTATTACTAGTTAGCGACGAGTATATGAGAGGAGTATTAAAGGAATTCTTGCTTCATTGCGACCAAAGTATAGTTATGTTTGATCATGTCCCGCTTTTATTTTTGTGACTACCTTCTTTCTGCGGTTGATTACCTTCTCGAGAGGGGGAACCATCCTTTAAATGTTCTTATTTTCAAATGATTAACTCTTGCTAACAAATGCAAACACCTAGTACATGAGAAAATCACCTAGTGATTCTCAAACAAAATAAAAATGATAAGTACTTAGCTTTCTGCAGTCCTCTCTTTTGAATCTGGACTCAGTTCCTTTTATCTGAGTGGTACTATTGCATATCTGTTGTGAATAATGATTATTCGTTAGCAGAGATTCATTGTAACTTTTCTGAAGAACAATGAGGTAAACTATAGAAACTGTCTATACAGACTTCCCCATTGGGTATTGTACTGCAGCTACCAGATTTCAAAGAACTGTTCATGTGCCAATACCCGAGAAGATTTCAAAGGAGAGCTGTTAATGCGATTCCACATGGGTATCTTATTTCAGCTACTGTATTTTGTTCTTGATTTCAAACTTTTCACAGTACGTAACTGGAATTGTATTTTGCGAATAGAAGGTAGGTAAAACTCCAAAAAATAGAAGAACAAACTTTAGAGTACTGACTAATTTCAAATTGCAAATTCAGTACATATATATATAGAGAGAGAGAGAGATCATTCACTATATATGATAAACTACCACAATGATTCTCACTTAGTGCTCTAAATAAGGTAATTCTTAAAGCCTCTCCGACAAAGTAGCCTGGTAAGCATTCTCGTTTCACATGGTGATGCTACTACAAAGCTTGCATCTCTAGGGTAGTATGGTTGCCATCATTTGAGGCGGATGGCGTGGAATGTTGATGATCTCGGCCAGCACCCATCTCTTGGACTGGAGGAGGATTAACCATGGTCATTGGCACTGCAGCATCATCTGACAAGCGTCCTTTCATCTCCCTATGCTCTTGGCATAAAGCACACCAGTGCATGCAGCAGTGTACCATGCAGGGGTCACATGGTGAATTCTGCAGCAACATAATCCTTAGCACACTTACAAAATTTTTTACAGGCAAAATAGACCAAGACATTCATGTTTCAGAGGCAGGATCAATCTCAGATTAAAAGAAAGACATTTTCACAAGTCTGCACCATGTGAAGAAGGGCAATTCAAAGGGAATTAGACACAAACCAGTGTCGGGTACATTTTCCAGGATGCAGTAAAATGTGCCAGATGTAAGAAACAATTTTGAATTCACAAATCCATTTATTTGGAACAAATCAAGACAAAGAAACCACAACACAACAAATTTAAGTTGATCGCAATGGATTATTAAGCTCAAACAAATGTTGAATCCAACTTGATATCTCAAACAACATAACAGAGAGAAATAAGAATCACCTTAAGATGATACTTCTTCTGCAGAGATTGCCGCACAAGACCAGTGTATATTCCACACATCCACCAACTAAACAACAGCCCTTCACAAATGAGGAATGATGTGTTTGGATCAATACCATTAAAAGCTGCAGTTGCGACAGCAAGTGCCATGCCACCCTCGACAAATATAGCATGGCAAACACAAGGAGTGGTCCAAGGAGTATCTTCTTTCAACTTCTCTATGTTACGTCCAAACAAAACACACGGGCAAAAAAGTCCAGTCCAGCCTATCAAAGTTAAAGGAAAATATTCAGATTACAAATACTGATAAAAAGTCTGCACACAACCAAAATGGAGTGAGATAGAGAGACATACTGCAGAGAGTTCTAAAAACCTAAAGTCTTGTTTAGCAATCCGAAGATTTGGCAGCCTAACAACATTAAATGCAAGATAACTACAGGGAAATAAATTATTGCAATCCAGAAATTATAGCAGAATAAAGTACACAAATAATGCTTCAAGAGCTTCAATAAGCAAAGCACTGCAATTATTTATGATACGGTTGAGTACAATATTTAATTTTCCGCAAACAAGAGATCTTCATCTGCATAACATAATGGAACTTAATGGCAGCGTGGACCTTGAATTAAAACTGGGGACATTAAGTCAGAAGCGGATTAAATTTTGAAACATGATACCGGAGTAAAACAAACTCATTTCTGAAGAAACAATTAGTCAAAATCAACCATAATTTTATACTCCTTCAAGCAAAAAGAAATGCCTTCAAGCAAGAACATCTACAAAACAACAAGAAGCTGAGAAATACAGGTCAATGGCGTTGCTGATTCCTAAAAGACTATCAGAAATCCCATCAGGGTGAAAAGTTACAGTTAACTAGAGACACATGACAAAATGGATGACAGAATCAACAAAACAATTTGGCCCAAAAAAAACCCAAGAGGTTGCACAAGAAACTCACAGCTTTCTGTATCTTCAGCACAGCCACAAATCCCTGTCGTCCATGGTTCATCTGCAGGAGGCTCAAAGCTTTCAGGCAAAGCTTGTCCACATTCACAGCATTTGCGAACACGCAACTACACATAAAATCAAGGAATAAGAACATCAAAAATGCAAAATTAGTAAAACAAAAATAGTAAAGCAGAGTCCAGGACATAGTGTACACTCCTTTAGCACCTCCAGAGAATATAATAAATGGGTAAATCCCATTCATGGAGCAGATTAACCTCATCGGAAAAGAAATTAAATCTATATATTTTCTTCCCAACCTCCCCAAACAGTCACCAAAATTCCTAACCCCTATGAAATATGGAAAGATGAAAGGCACAAAGCTTAGGTCAAAATTATGACCTTGTCGCCAAACAAATCAAAATGAACAGAAAAACAGAAAGGGATCAGAATCTAGAGTAAACTTAGCAATGTAGCATAAATTTAAGAACCTGAGGAACGTCAATGGGTTGATTGAGTTCTCCGGGCTTAATGTCCTCAGCAGGAAGGGCTTGATCTTTAGACAACTTCACATACTTTGACGGATGATCATCTCCCATCTTCTCACTCCTCCCCAATCACAAAAACCTTGCAAAAATTAATTTTCAATTTCAGGGGTAAAAGAACAAGAAATTGGCACTAACAAGAAGCCCTCTACATCCAAACGGAAATCAGACCAAAATATATCAGAAATTAAAGAATACCAGCGCACAAGCAGTGAGCGAAAATTTCTTCTTACCGTATTAAATCCGATGGGAAAAGTGTTTGTGTTATTTTCCCTTTGAAGATTTTGGTGTGTAGCTTAAGTGCTAAGGACGAGTAATTTCGGGTGAACGACACCTTTAGTGTGAGTTTCTAGGGAGGTTTAATAACGTGCAACCGACACAAAGTGTTTATAGTAGTTTTTAAGAACTTCTAGTAGTAGTAAAAAAAAGCTTCAGAGGACAGTAATTGCTAGTCAAAAAGCCCAGAGAAACGCGGTAATTTCGGATATTTCACCCCATCCTTTCTTTTCTCATTTTTATCTCTTTTCTTCTTTTAGCTGAGACACAAGTAAATCGTGTATTTTCCATGTAAATCCCTATTCAGACACCATACTTATCGTTTAAATTCTGCGTGTCTCAACTTTTTTTTAATATCTTTAAGGATTTCTTTCTCTTTTGTCTTTCTCTTACTTAGAGTTTTTTTTTTTTTTTTTGGAAAAGTTCTCTTTAGTTAGAGTAGATTCTAAATGAATATAACAACGCTGAAGGGGGAAAATAAACAACGCTGGTGGGGAAAAGAAAAAAAATAAGAAAGAAATACAGTAGTAGTTTCTCTTAAATCGAACAAAATAAATGATCCTTCGAGTTCTTAACATAAGGTATTTTATTTGTCCTAAATTTCATATAGTACGTATTTTTAATTGACAAAGAAAATTTAAAAATATATTTTCACATTCGTTATATTTTCGCATTTTTAAAAAAATTTTAAGGTTTTTTCGTCAATTAAAAATGTGTACTGTGTGAAATTTATGACAAATCAAAATGCATTATATTAAGGACCGGAGGCTGTATATAGTAGTAGGAATATAAAGTGACATCTCAAAATATAATATGCCATTAAAAATTCTGATATATAGACGGTGGACCTACCTGACTTGAATCCGGATTAGTCGGAGTAATGATTTCAAATACAGGGTCGAAAAATAAAAGAATAAATAAAAAAAAAATCTGATATATCCTCAACCATTCCACTCTACCTTTCAAAATTCAATTGGAAACTTGTTTTGGGCCAAATACACCAAACAAAACACGAGTGACGCTAGACCAAAAGTCACCAAACTCAGGGCCTTCCTCCCTTGCGGGATTCGACGCCATAAATACGATTCTATCCCCTTTAAAATAGTACTAAATTAAAGACAGACTTCTAGTGATACACTGACATCAATTGTATTTTGGTAACTTATTTGCAAGTCATACTTATAGTGTAGAGAATGCTAAAATTTTGGACTGAGATATACCTAGGTAAAGCAAATTGCACATAGAAAACACTTTGCATAATTGGAACGCTCTTGTAATTGATTAAAAAAAAAAAGTCTCTGACGAAGACGAATTTCCGTGTCTTTCCTTTCAAAGCTTTGGTAAATTGCATACATAATCATAAAAGGGAAAATTTATAAACCACTTTTTTCTCATGCATGTTTTTCAACTGAATAAGTCCTTATGAGTAATCTAATTAAAAAAAAAAAAAAAAAAATACTCCTATCTGGGAATGATACATCAAGAAGGCCAGTTTCTGTACCATCCAGCCCAAGCAGAAACCAAACCACTAATCCCAAGGGAAACAGCATGACAGCAGAAAGGATTTGGTTCAATATCAGCCAATGCAATTATAAGGTCTGCAACATTAGCTGCTACAGCCATCAATCTCATCACCCTATCAACTCTGATATTCTTCAACTTCTCCTTTACAACTTCAACATCCATCTCTGGATTCTCTTCTTCTTCTTCATCTTCACTACCCTTTTTATTATCCTTCATTAAAACCAGCTTCCTCTGTGCCTTGATGCCTTCCCTGATGAGTATAAAATCAGACACAATGAAAAATACGTAACCGAATGACTCACCGAATGCGGATATGAAGCTCATCCTCCGGGCGAATTTCGCATCCAACACTCCGATTCTGGATACCCAGAGGAAATGGTCAAAGAAAAAATAGACCATTTCCCCTGCATTTGCCAGAACGGCTAAGAACCTCAGGGCCGGAGTTGAACCCGGATTCCTCCTCAGAGCATTGAAACCGGTGAGGAATCGGCCGCTCCGGAACGCCTTCCGGCTCAACCCGGATGCAACTTCCCAGTTCTTGGCTCTCTTGGCGAGTTCAGGATTCGTGGCTTCCAGGTGCCAGTGGGCGAGCTTGGAAACGTACTGAAACGTCTTTACCAGCTTATCAATTCCATCTCTCTTTGCAAGAAAGATCACTAACTTGTCCACTGTGTCATTCATGATTACTCACTCAACCAAATGAATTCTTTAGGATGATGATAAGCTAAGCTGGTGGGTAGAGTTTAAGTTGGTGCACAATTCTTACAGATGATGGGAACAAAAACAGAGGAAAAATTGGCGCTGTGACATATTGTTAATTAATCAATTAAAACAAGACAAGTGACTGATGGCCACAGAATTTTTTTCGACTGGATAATAAGGAATAAAGTATATAGATGGTTGGACCAAAAATTTGTATACTCTACGAAATTATTTCCATTGCATGGAAAACCATTCAAAAAAAGAAAAGAGGAAAAACTTAATTGTCTTTTTATTTGACAATGTATTTAAATTCAATTGAAGACAACCAAAAGAAAAAAAAATGTATTGCAGAATAATTTTGCACCAGAGAAGCATTCTTGGCAGCCTAGAGTTGCGTAACATAGCACCGAATGGTGTCCATAACACTGGCCAGGTTCCTTAACAGCTAGAATGATGCTATGCACCAGACTCACCGCTAATAATTTTCACCAACACGGACAATTCTGTTTAATAATTTAAGCGTCATCTTGAGAATCGAGTCGTGTCAGAGTAATTAGAATGTCGTACCTTTAACTGCAGTTTATTACAGACACAGAAAACATGCAACTGAAGGAAGAATCAAATATAATCAACAGCAAATTTAAGTAGGTAGGAAACCTACCATTATCGGCTACGGAGAAATACTGTGTAAGAGACACACGCAAGTAGAATCTTCAGTTACTAGTACTGAACTCTTCTTTAATAGACAAGTAGGTTCTACCTGTTGTAATTGTATAAGTACCTCTAAAACATCAATAGCTGCAGTCTAAAAAAAAATAATTCTTCATTGATCAAACAAATATATTTATATATAAATATTTTTATATATCTATTTTATTTTTTCGTTGTATGTTTACCAATTATCACCAAACTAGATGGAATAAACGCGCTTCGCGCGTAACTAAATATTTTTCAAAATTTAGTGTAACTATACAATAATATTCTAACTCTAGGAAACCAAAAACACACGTATACAAAATGAACAATAGAATACAATCAAATTTTTACATAACAATCTATCCCCCGACGAAGAAATTTTTACATAACAATATTCGCGCGTACGGTATATACATAATAATATTAGACAAATTTTATAAAAGAAATTTGTTCATAATAGACAAATTTTGACTCACGACTACATTACAAAATCTATATTATATAAACGTGGCGATTTTGATTTCAACGACATAGTATTCCAAATGTGAGTAGAAAAAAAAAAAGGATATATGAACTAAGTAATAAAATACAATCTAATTTATGCTTCACCCGGAAAAAGGAACAACCTAAAAAGGAAAAACCGAATCAAGATAAAAACTAAATAATAGAAGGAAAAAAAAAGATGAAGATGAAAAATGAAAAATGACTACCTTCAGGAGACTTGTAATGCAGAGGTCACAAAACATAAAAAGCAAAGACTCTAAGAAAGAAAAAGAAAGATACGAAAAAACTCATACACTATCTAGGATTATATATATACTGAAAAATTTAGAATACAAGGAAGAAACATACTAAGGAATTCAATAAGATTAGAATCAGCATAATTATTTTTTGGCTTATCAAATCCACTTATTGATGAGAAATGAAAACATAATTTAATAGGAGGGAGATGAAAGGTGAAAAGTCTACAAAATATAATGCAAAGAACTATGAAATTTAAGTTAAAATCGTTACAACTACTTTTGTGATGTATCAAATTCTAATAATAATAATAAGTAATAAATTATCATAAGTTATGTATGTTTCATTCTCTTCTAATATTTAATTTTCCACTAAACATTAAATTTCACACAAATACAATGAAAAATCAAATAAATATAAGAGGAAGGACTACCAAAACCAAGATTACATTCCCCAATTCTATATATTAAGAGAATAAGCTTTTCGGACATGTGTCGCATAATGAGATGTCCAATCAAACAATCATAAAAATCAAGCCTAATTAGATATAGTAAAAAAAATTGGTAACTATTTAATTTAACTTATTTACTCATATATATTTCATTAATCAAGGTAAATCAATACATAATAATTAGTTAACATTAAACATGGTCCGGGCGTATGGCACATCAACCGTGATTTTGAAACGTTTCTAAACGCTTTCAGAATTTTCAAAAAAGCACAATAAATATCATTTCCAAATATAACTTCCAAATTTATGGCACATCATGATATGATTTTAAAATTCGAAAATAATGAGATTTAAATTGATCACTCTAATTCTCTCCCACATCCGAAAATTAATAAATAAAATTTATTTTAAAAATTATGGGTAAATTAACCAAAATAATATTCCGTCCATATTCACAAACTCCCCAAGTATATTAATTAATTGCTCCAAATTCTATCAGTAAAACCTTAAGTTTTAACCTATCCACAAAATCATATAATTACTCATCTAAAATATTTACCAAAAATATCACATAACATGTTAAACCCTACGACCATAGTTATCTTATGTACTATAAATAACCCAAATTAGAGGTCGTGACAGCAGTCTGATGCATAAGTAAAGTCAATTTCCGTCCCGTTTGAAAGGTGAATTAGCCACTTCAGGTAGTTCATCCTTTTTTTTTTCTACAATAACTTTGTGTTGCAGATTGATGAGATGACTGTATCGCTTATTTCTACAATAACTTTGTGTTGCAGATTGATGTGATGACTGTATTGCTAAGCGATGTATAAACGATACCATACATCATAATAAAGATGTCGTTCCCATTTATATGTTCTAACATATTACATATGTGTTACCACATTTAATCATAATAAAGAAAAAATGTCTGGCCATTACAAATTTTCGTATTTACTTACTGTTTGAAATCTTTTTTTTTTCTAAAATTTAAAAGATATATGTGCCGTGTTTTTAATATTCACTTTTTATCAATTTTTCCTGCACTAATTATGCCGAAATATTTCCGCAATCCGGGCAACGGACGGGCCCACAACTAGTTATAATATATGTTGATAAAACAGTAAGTATGTAACGATTTAACAATTTTTTTGGGAAAAAAACCCCTTATAATTTTACAAGTTTGTTAGACCAAAACGACGTAGTTGCCTTCCTACCTCCAACAAATAGGCGCTGACAAAAAGAACCTTCACCCGGCACAACTCAGATTCGTAATTTGCCTTCGTCTCTTTAACTTATGTATTATCCGATGAAAAAACCCTAATTGGGAGGAGTGTACATAAACCCATTCGAAAAACGCAAAGCTTTTTAACATCCTTCCTCTATATATTGAGAGCTTTACTGTTATTGTATAGATTCTCAATCCTATACTTCCCGAAACTTCAACAATGGATGCCCAAAGAGCTTTGCTTGATGAACTCATGGGAGCAGGTGAGTTGTAATTTATTATTCCCCTCAAAAGCATCTGTTTGGGGTTATTTGTAAAATGTTGTGATTCGGTTATTTTCGTTTGATTTGTTACTTTCGTCTAGTTTTACTGTATTCTGGGATTGTATTAGAAGCGCTTGGCGCTAGGATCTTGCTTCTGTCCAACTTTAGCTATGGGTTAGGTGAATTTTAGACGTAGTCCAACTCGCGGTTCTAGTATTGTGTGTCGGGTTTGAGACGTTTGTTTTTCTTCAGAAAGTTATAATTTTTTCGGTTGCTAATGGTTATTAAAGATTCAGTTTTTATTTTGTCTTTTTTTGGTTGTTTATTCCTCCTGTGTTTTCCCTGATGATATATGTCTTGTTGAATCTGCAGCTCGTAATTTGACTGAAGAAGAGAGAAAGGAATATAGAGAAATCACCTGGGACAGCAAGGAAGTTTGCGGCTGCTATATGATTCGATTTTGCCCCCATGATTTATTCGTAAACACTCGGAGTGATTTAGGTGAGCTACAGAATATGCCTACCTTTCCTTTTGTGTTTTTACTTTTTAGTCTAGATTTGTATGGAGATTTATAGGAAGTAAGAAGAATAATCCAATTCATGGTTTTAAAGACAAATGTGCATCAAATATACTGGGTTTATGATGTGTGTTAAGCATGGGGGACAATGAGATTCTTTGCCGGTTAATATTTGGACTTATTTGGTATCTTTAACTTGCCTGACGAATATTTATCTGTTCATTTTCTCAGGACCATGCCCTAAGATCCATGATCCAAAGTTAAAGGAAAGGTATGCAAAAGATTCTCTGCAGGAATCATATGACCTTCATATTATGTGTTGCTATTCAAACCTCCTTTTCTATCTTTTCTCTTCACCATGTTTAGAATTCTGTCATATTTTTAGACTTTCTTAGGTAACAAGGCTCCCTATGGTTTGTAAGCTCCTAATGGTTTTGATGGTAATGGTGATTGGGCATTGTCTATTATCTGCACATGTAAACACAGTTGAATTACACACGTTATTGTGAGCTTTTATAGTGGGACATTTGGTGGCAGAGGTAACATAGGGACAAATTCCAAAGTTTCTTCTTAATGGGATGAAACCTTAAAGCTATCTGAATATCAAATGAATGTTACATTTTAGAATTTAAGAAAGGTGGCTAATACATGCTCGGTTTCTCATCCTGAATTCAGTAGAGCTCCTGGTTTATCGTGATGTATTTTCTGTTTTTCTGATTTCTGATGGGATTACTTACTAGTCAAATAAAGATTGAACATTGATTAATTGTCTTATGTTTTCTCTCTATGTTACGCTTAAAATTTTTCATCACAAACTCTTTATTTGCTTATCTCTCTGGCTTTTAAATCAGGCATGTGTAGCATGTGATAACTCTTTGAGGAAATTGACTGGGATCCCTTTTTGCTGACACTTATCATGTGAAATGGTGTTTTGTCACTTCTTCAAATAAATATTTGTATGGAATCCGTGTTCTCTTTCCATGAGTGGCATCTTTTTTACCAGATTCATGATTGTGATGAAACATTCTGCTTTTTCATAGTTTTGAAGCTTCTCCAAGACGTGACACGCATGTTCCAAAGTTTGAGGCAGAACTGGCCCATTTTTGCGAGAGGCTGGTGAGTTTCTAGCATGAAATGTTAAATGTGTTTTCTATATGAATAGTAAATAGAAAGTGTGCTCAGTCGCTTTCTTATAACAAATTTTCAGCTGGGTTTATCGTATTGGTCCATAAATTTGAATTTTTAACATGCACAAAACATATTTTAGGTCATGGACTTGGATAGGCGAGTTAAGCGTGGTCGAGAGCGCCTTGCTCAGGACTTGGAAGTGCCTCCTCCTCCTCCCATCTCCACAGAAAAATCTGAGCAATTAGCCGTTTTGGAGGAAAAAATAAAGAATTTACTGGAACAGGTGGAGTCGCTTGGCGAAGAAGGCAAAGTTGATGAAGCTGAAGCACTGATGAGGAAGGTGCTGTGTGCTTCTCTTAGATGTTTTATTTCCCTTTGATAGTTTGGAAAGCTATTGTGGACTAATTTTTGTTTACAGGTGGAGATGCTTAATATTGAGAAGGTGAGCTTGACACAGCAGCCTCAAGATAAAATGTTAATGATGGTACAGGAGAAAAAGATGGCTCTTTGTGAAACCTGTGGATCGTTTCTTGTTGCAAATGATGCTGTTGAGAGAACTCAATCTCATGTCACTGGCAAGCAGCATATAGGGTATGGTATGGTACGAGATTTTCTGGCAGAGTATAAGGTGATTATCCAACTGTGCTTCATGTTTGTGTGTATTATAGGGAGAAAAAGTGTTTAAGCACCCATACTTACTTGACTTTTTATTAACAGGAATCTAAAGAGAAGAAAAGGGAATCGAAAAAATTAGCAGCTGAAGAAAGGAAGAAGCAAAAGGAAAAAGAGAATGAGAGCAGAAGTGGAAGGAGCGGGTCCTCTGACAGGGATCGATATCGTGACCGTGATCATGATAGGGAACGAGACCATTACAGGAATGATGGCCGTGATAGATCTCGAGAAAGAAATGGTAGAGGAAGCCGTGATGGATTTAGGGGAGCAGATAGGAAATACACTAATGCCAGGATTGGAAGAGATAGAAGCAGGGAAAGATATCGCCAACGTGATCGTAGTAGGTCACGTTCTCCTCTCAGGCATAGCAGGAAGTCCTCTGGGAGTCCGGTTCGGTGATATGGACATTTATGTGGTCGGTGTTTGAGATTTGAATGAGAAGAGGTAGACTTTTTAACCACTCATAAGTTTTTATGACTGTTTGCTTCTGGAGTCGGGTGCTATTGTAATCATGGTGGAACTGTTTTTTGTTCTCACAGCTTTATTGAGACTGTACCGTCTTCCTATCATCAATATATTTAGAGAGAAAAGGTTGAGGTAGGTATTACTTCATTATTGTAACTATTTAATGATCTACTTGGGCTTCAATTGACCTAATCGTTACTTGGATCATACATGATATGTGTAGTGGTGTGACTCTTCTTTATGGGATCGCTTCTTTCGCAAATAGTTATAGAACAGATTCTTTTAAGTTGCATGGGTTTACTGCTGCTGATGGAGATAACAATTTGCCAAACTGTGAGGTAACAAGTAATTTTGATTTCTTTCAACCTCAAAAGACTTGAAAAGAAATGTTTGGGCTTTTCCTTCTTTCTTTTTTATTTTTTGGTAAACTTTGGCCTTTCTTTCTAATTGCTCATGATCCTTCAAATTTTCTTTTCTTCATTCTTCATCCTAGGAATGTTACTGAGCTCATTATAGGGATCTGCATAGGTTGTCTATGGCATGTTGCATGATGATTTGTGACAGATAGGTAACCTCCTCCTTCCTTGTTTATGTGCCTTTCGGTCCGTTCACTCCATGAGTTGAACTTTGCAGGCACCTCGAAGATGAAAATGCAGCTTGTTTAAAAGCAATCTTGTTATGATTAAAAAAAGAATAAAGAAATTGTTAAAAAGAAATATATTCGAATGAAATGAGTTGTTTTAATGGAATGCTAATATTTCTGGAAACTCTAGTCTGGTCCTTCATGTTCATTTTCAACTTCATGGATTGATGATGATGATGGGAATGAGGATTTTTTGGGTGGGAGCCTTAGATGAATCACTATGTAGTCTAGAGCAGGGGGTGTTTCTTCGAGACTGTCGTTTGGTGGGAACAAGTGCAGGTTCCTGCCAATCGTCAATGGCGGCCAAATTGTTCTCGATGTCATCTGCAGCCCTGAAGACTGGGGGGAGTTGTACGGTGTTTTTGAAGGATAATACAGGAGTTTTTGCTAGTTGTTTTCTGAGTCACTCTTTTTTCTTAAAAAAAAAAAAAAAAAAAAGTCACTCTTTTTTCTAATATAACAGCCCCATGAAAAAACATGACTATGAGTTATTCATAAAAAATAATGAATGACTCAATAAAAGATGGCCAGGACTGTTGGAAGTTGGAACCAGATCAGTTGTCCATCTGTTACACCTTCATCATGAAATCTGTGTTTTGTTTTGGCTGAGTGTCTCACACTATCATAAAAACTGTGTTCTCTTTTGCGCCCCCTCTCTTGGGAAGGTGTTCTGTTTCGCCTGAAGGTGAACATCAAAGTGAGATTTGGAATTAGAGTGTATAACTATTGATTCTCAAGAACCAAAAAATTGGGATTTTGAGTTTTAGTGCCTAAAACTTTGGCAGTATGAAAAGCCTTTACTGACCTTAGACAATTAAATCTGTAAACATTTCCTAGAACTCAGAATAATATGATTAGTGGGCTGAAGTCTGTTTCCTTTGTTTGCATGTATTTTTGGCATGAAAATCGAAAAGGACTACAAAGCAGTCCAAGCCTCAACGGTGGAGTGCAGGGTGTTTGCAAACAGTACTGTTTCCGCTTTTTAATTCTTAATCACGTTGTCTGATGTATTGTAACATCCACATACGTTCAATACTTCGATGAGAGAAATTTTTGGTCCCCGCAACATGCTTACTTCTTTTTCCTTTTTCTTCTCTCTTCTTTTTTATTATTATTATTTTTTATTTAAACTCAATTTCCAAATTGTCCACATGTCGTTACATCGTATGGAGATTATCACAATCGGTACAAGGGAACTCCAGTTTCCCGCCAATAATTAGTAGTATTCCTTGGTAGAATTGTAAATATTCCCTCCGTACCAAAATTATTATTCGGATTGTCAAAAAAATTGTCTCAACATTATTGCCCGATTTGACTTTTTATAAATTAAGTTACAAATATACCATTTAAGAAAGCAAAATTAACTAAAACTTTTTTCTTCATTTGCTGCCCACACCGTAGAAGCAAAATGATGGTTCTCCAACTCCATTATTTTCAACGCACATCAAAGAAGCAAACAACACACAGAGACAGCAAACGATGGCCCTCCGACGGCTCCAAGCCACGATGAAGATGTGAGAGCGGTTCTCGGAAAGGAATATCAAAAAGAAAATTCGAGAAATTCCGACGACTCGAACCGACGGCGATAGATCGATGGACATTTCCGGCAAAATAGAAATCTCATCTCAATCAGAGCATCTACTTGAAAATCAAAATAAGAATTTTCTCCAAATTCGAATCAATTCATCCGAAATTTGATTTGGTTGGCACAATTAATGGTCTCCAGTTGAAGAATCTGTTCGATTAAAAAACTTCCGATGGAAAAGATTGCCTCCATAAATACCAAAATTAAAACTTAGAGGAAGAAGATACTCCAAATTTGAAGTTCTTCATATTGGTTTGATTATGGTAGGTACTGACCGAAGAACGATTAGAAGTATTGTTCTTGCATTTGAAATAGGGTTTTGGATTTGGGGGTAAAGTAAAAAAAAATAAAGAAAGTTCTTTTCTAACGGTTAAAACATTTATGTATGCAAGGTTATATGTGGAATTTTATGCCAAAATTTGGTTAAGTTTGACCAAAAATAAAATCTTGTATATCAATAAAACTGGACAATAAATATGAGACAGGGGAGTAGTATCTTTCTTGTCCTAAAGTTGTTATTTATTTTCTTTTGTAATATTCCCTCCGTCCCAAAATTATTGTCCAGTTTTGCTTAAATACAAGATTTTATTTTTGGTCAAACTCAACCAAATTTTGTCATAAGTTTCCACATATGCCCCTACATCCAAAATCGATTTCGCCGGCCAAAGAAATTGGGTTTCTTCGCTTTAACTCCAAAATTCAAAGACCAGATTCAAACGCAAGAATCACCTTCAATAATTCAATCAGGAGCTTATATTTGAAACCAATTTGTAGATGAAGAAATTCAAATTGGTGTTTATATGAATACAATACTTCTACTTCGCCGGATCATCCCTTTCCAGCGTAGATCGAACAGAGTTCAACCGTAAGCCATCGCCTGTGCCAATCAAATCCAAATTTTCGGATGAATCGATCGATTGCAATGATTCATATGAATTAGAGTAAGATGTTTCAGATGAATAGAAATCATAATATACACCTCAGATCCTCAGCCGAATCAACATAAAATTTAACTTCATCAAAAGAAATTCTAACAAAGTCAATGTCCAGATCTTTTCAAGAGCGTTGATGTAGGAAGAAGCTTCAAGACAAGGAGAAGAATCAAACCTTAGAGATGCCCAGACCTTCACAAATCCGACCACCTCATACTCCAGCGGTGACTGTTGCACTTGTTTTCGGCTTTCCGCTTGGAGAAAATATGTTCCAATTAAATTGTTTTCTTTCTTGACTAAAGGGTACAAATGTAACTTAATTCTTAAAAAGTCAAATCAAACAATAATTTTGGAACAAAATTTTTTTAATAAATTGGACAATAATTATGGAACAGAGGGAGTATTAATTAAACTAAAAGTAAAACAAAAATTTTAAAGAACAAGAACCGTTAAAAGACGTACAAGCTTAGTGCAAATGCAAGTTGTGTAGTAATACTCCTTTTTTTAAGTTCCGACATTAATTTATGTCCGCATTACCAAAAACGACTCAGGAAACCTAATAAATAATACTCCCTCCGTCCTATAATTATTGTCCAGTTTGAATTTTCATTTCTAGTTCAAATTGTACTAAAAGTGAAATCTCAAACTGGACAATAATTTCGGGACAGAGGGAGTACTAATAAATAGAAAAAGGACAAGGAAAAAAAAATACAATAGAAAAAACAAAATTTCTGCACTAGGAGAAAAGAGCCAAAGAGATAACTACATGAGATGAAGTGAGACACCGGATTGAACCGGGACATGGAATGTACGACATTCTATAAAGAATTAAAAACGTATCTTGCCCTGAAATACAACTCTGGTGCATCATTGGTCCAAATTCACCCGCCTCATCTTGCAAACAAGGTTAGCTGTAGGAAGATCAAGTTGACTATCAGAAGATTTGACTAGGTCCTTAAGCTGATCCCTTGGGGTGGATAAGCAAGTGTGAAAAGTAGCAAGGACAGGAGGAGGCGGCATTGACAGAGCATGAAGGACACTGTTCAAGTACTCGATATCAACAGATAGCTGTTGAGCTCCACGATCTGTTAAATACTGGATACCGCGGAGCTGTTCCATGTAAAGGGCAGCAGCACCCTCTGCGACCTTTTTAATGTAAAAAATAACAAATCAGCCCACAGCTCTACAAATGAAACCTTAATCAGTCTACTAGTATTATTTCATGTAGTTACCTTGAACATCCATTCAGTTGCAAAAAACTGGGCCTCATCACCATTGGCATCATTGTTGGAAATGCCCTCAGCAAGTGGTTCCAATTGCTGAGGCAAAGTGAGAAGATATTCACCAACACTGATCACATAAGGCTGAGGGGATGCACTGAAATGTGGGAGAGGAAAAGCACTTGGTTCATCCACAGAAGACCACACTGGCAACCGAGACAGGTCATTAAACTGCTGCCGTGCTTTAGATATCAGGACATCATAAACAAGTTCATTAACTGCATCTGCAAATGCTGTGACCCGGCTAGAAGTAAGGGGAAGTGCATGAAACCGGGGATCTTTAGACTGCAAGAAGCAAGAATAACTTGTTAGCAATGAAAGATAAATTTTGGTCAACAAACTATGAAAGATTGCGTAGTAATGTCCCTCTACATGACGGCAAGCATTAGAGGGGGAAAAAGTAGCAGTCGAAGAAGAAAACATGCAATCCATCTGATGTAATACATCCTTCAAAAACTAACTGGTAGTTGAGTTTTCCTCTGAATGAAATCTGCTAAATTTAAACATCAAGCACTCAAATTTTCCAATGATCATCTGATATCTCTTACCTACACTCCAGTCCTACTCGTTAGAACCCCGATAAGAAAAAGTATCATATTCACACCCCCTCCCTCCCCGCAAAACCCCAACCAAAACACACCAAATTCATTTTTCTTTAAAGTTTCATGTTACACTACCTGCTCAAGTAAGTTGAATAGCTTCCGAGCTTTATCAGGGACATCCACAAGTCTTAAAGCTGCCATATCCAAAGCAGCTCTCCCAACTGAAGAAAACTCTCCACTTTTTTCATCAGTGACTATATGTAAACGGTTTTGATCAATGCTAGAGCCAAACACCGAGAGAGAGAGATTTGTATTTACTCTAGCAAGAGTGGCGCGCAGAGTAGCCTCAAAGACTGAAGACCTGCTAGACAAACTATCTGCAACTGTGAGAATTTGGAGTGTAGCTTGGACAAAAGACCATTCCTCCTCGCTCGACAAAAAATCTGTTTTGCGTGCATGAGAAGTTCCATCCTTTCTGTCTGCTCCAAGATCCTTCTTTGGGCCAACTCCATCTGCAGAATCTACCCCACAAAGCGTCCTCAATGCTTTTAAAATTTCTTGTAAAGCTGATATATATTGTAACATTATGTCATCAAGAACAAGGATAAGCTCGTCTGCCTCGGAACCTCCTGTGAAGTTGATGCATCTTTCAACAGCCATTTCAAGAAGTATAATAACCTGTGGGATGGACTCCTCCATTCTTCGCACTGCTTCACTAAGTTCGACTCCATGAACACCAACAAAGCGACTAAAAGTAACTCCCCTAAGATCAAGTCCGGCAATTTCACTAGACAGTACAACACGCTCCATTTGCCCATACCTATAATACAAGCGAGTTAGTAGTCATTTATTACAAATTTATGGCAATTGAAATTTATGAGTTGTTAGACACGACTCCATGCAAGTAGTATAGCAGAATAATGTCGGAAAAATCCATTTCAATCAGCTTATCCGAACACATTGAACCATTTCTATTGTAAATTCCATCTCACTTTAAGTAAGCTCAATAACAATCTATCAGATATAATTTTCTACAACAAACTCAGGATGTACATCCAAAGGGCGTACCTTTGTTTAAATGATTCATATGGCAGGTAGATTGACTTCATTGTATCCAGCAACACTTTAAGATCAGCATTAGAAAACAAATGCTGAATGTTACGAGCAAAGCTTCCCGTCATGTTGTGTAGTTCTATCAGTGCATCCAAATGCTTGCTTTGGACTTTGACACCTTTTGGTAGATCTGCTGATAAGATATCTAAGACACCTGAGAAAAGAAAAAGATAATTCTTCAGTATCAATATCCGACGATTATTCATATTCTTCATTCCGTGCTTTTGACAAATAGTAGTACATCAGTGTTTCTTTTTTACTAAACTCCACCTACATCCTAAAAAACATCCTTAGGGCACAAGGTAATCAAAACTGCCTAGGAAGGCAACCAGTCTGATCAACTGAGATCAAAGCACTGCCAAACATGACATCCTTAATCACCAATTGTCAATAAGATAGCCACCCCTCAAGCCAATAAATAACACCTTCAAAATGACATTAAAGGAGTTGGCATGAGACCTTTTGAGAGTGCTTTAGTCTCGGGAATTACATCGCCAGTGGCAAGGTTTGCACGAGATACAAAACTTTGGCCAATAACCGTCATTGTTTCAATCAGTAGCTTTGGAACTAATGTTCTGTAATCTTCCGGAAAAGCTTGAGAACACCTGAAGAATAAATATAAGAAACATCCACTTTAACTTTTGAATTTGTGTCCAGTTAACAGTTGGAAGATCAGTTGTGAGAAGTAAATACTATTTCAATATTTCAAAGCATGAGCCATACCACTTCCACTCTTGTTCCAGGTAAAGTAGCAATTCATCGTAGAAACTAGGCAACCAACTTGAGAATGAAAATGTACTTCGATTTGACTGGGAATTGTGACTAGTTGGGAGCTTCTGCATTTCATTTTTTTCATTCGCAAGCTTGCTAGCCTGCTGTCGCAGATCAAACTCCTCCCACAGCTTTTTGATAGTCTTAAGGTGCACTTTGGTGTAGTGAACTTCTAAGGACTTGAATCTCCCAATAGTAATGAGAATACTCCGCATATCTTTGGCAACATCAACCTACAAAGCATTATGAGAAAATAAAGAGTAACATAAGGCCCTCATAATCAATCACGCACTCAGAGGACCGGCATGAAACAAAGAATCAAAATGAATGTGACCCGAAATTCATACACAAGGAGCATCCCCAGAAGAAAAAAGAACAACAACAACAAAAAAATCAAATGAAACAGATATTTGCTTGCACCTTGCGGTTGGTCAAAGCATCTGTAAGGCGAGGTTGCACCATTGAATCTAGCCTGTCTTCCAGGACTTCCAGCTGCTTTCTAACATTAGCAAATTCAGCAACCTGAATATTTGGCATGATTTTAAGCCAGTTAACATCAATATTCAAAGTGACCCTCAAAACTAATACCAAGATCTTTATAAGAATTATAGGCTCGCATTGCTGACTAATGCTTACATACCTCACCGACTGCGGATAAGCAGTGCCTCATGTTAGCCAAAGTCTCTGCAGCTCGAGGAAGATCGCCACTTGCAAATACATCCTCCACTGTTGAACTTAATTGAGATAAACCTGCAGCATCCTGTCACCCGTTCGATTCATCTAATTAATATGCGCCATTGAAAGTAAAATCCAACAAATGATTGAAAAAAAAAATGGGGAAAATAATCAAGGTCTAATCTGGATATGAATTGACCTGCAATGTTTCGTAGGCAGCTTCCATCCTCCGTTTAACAGAATCAACTTTTGCCAGAGTTGTTATTGACTCCGCTGATGATCCTTCTGCCTGTTCAACCAAATCTTAGAGCAGGTAACTATTTGTTTTGATTGATTAATTGTTCTTTAATCACGCAAGTGGCAAAATTTGACCTTAACGAGTTTCTGGAGGATAGAGGCGACGGAAGAGCGAAGGGAGAGGGCATCATCACGCAGGCGAATGACGTCACGAGTAGCCCGGGGGACGCGGAGAAGGGCGGCGGAACTTTGTTCTTCCAGTGAGGCGGCAATTTCTTCGGAAACCATCTGGAGCTTCATCTCCAGATCCACCAAGTGCTTGTCCAAGGGATCCTGTGGGTGGCGCGATTGGCAAACCGCATTTATCCATTTCTTGGGGTCGAAACCCTCGTCGGAGAAAGAACTCAGATCCACCATCATCTTTATGGATCACCGGCAGAATCCTCCACGATCTGCCGTGGCTTAGACTTCGTTTCAGTATTGTGAGACGGGCATAGGGGGTACCGTATAACGGCGGGCTTGATTCAACTTTTTTCCAGTGTTTATGACGGTTTTGAGTGAGCTTGAAGGCGTGAAGGCTGAAACTTAAATAATATAAAGCGTGAAGTTGTTGTAGCTTGATTGGCGAAGATTTAGATTGAAGCCGCAAGGCGAATTGGTTAAAGGCGTGAGTTGGATGAATAAAACTTTTCAATATCAACTTTCTCTTTTGGAAATTCACTACCCAAAAGAAAAGAAAAAAAAAAACTCCGCTGCAAATTATTATTCCGCTTTATATTTTCATTTCTAGTGCAAATCATAATTAAAAAATTCAAATAGGATGACAATTTTGAAATAAAAAGAATACTTTTTCTATGTCCCAAAATTATTGTTCAGTTAGATTTTTACTTTTAATTAATTGTCCAGTTCAATAATTTTGGAACGGAGAAAATATATAATAACATAACTTCAGAAAGTTTAACAAAAAATTTGAATTTCGATTTTGGTATGGCCGACAAATAGAAGTTGCACCAAACAGAATTTTAGCAAGACTTCTGAAAATTATAATGAATCATATTCTCTCTTTCTCTTATAAAAATAATCTACAGTGTAATACAATTCACAAGTGAAATGTGAATTATTTTCTAAGGCTGAGCGAATATTATTTTTCAACAAAAAGAGCCTGCATGAAGCTGAATGATGATGAATATCTCATTCCTTTTTACAAAGACTAGTTCTTCTTTCGCGCGACCAGTTCTTATATTGAATTGATTTTTAAATTATTGTGAAAAGTTCAAATTTTTTTAGCTCATTGAGTTGAACAAGTTCTTATGTTGAGTTCATGTATTTAGTATTCGTTCAATAAGTTTTCTTCACGGGCATGAACTCAATTTGAAAATAACTTAACAAGTTATTCCCAGAGTTTAATGTAAGCATTTTGAACAAATTGTAGGCGGTTCTCACATATCAACTATAATGATACCTTTCAAAAAAAAAAAAACTATAATGATACCTAACTAAAATATAGTTTTGATTGAAACAAAAAAAGACGGAAATATCATAACGCCGAAATAAATACTATATTAATGATATTGCTTTCACACAAGATGTAATCTCAAGGCTAAGTGAATCAAAACTAATGAAAAATCCTTCCTTAGGTCAGGTCATAAAAGAGCCATGCTAATGTCTATCATTAGTTTTATAATATTGTCAAAACCTCTAAAAAGATCCAACTAAATTAGCCTAATCTATATTCCAGCTAAAAGAAATGAAAGCTGGATAAATTAGTCCTTTTGTTCATATGCAGGGGATGTATCAAATTGAAAAATTGTATTCAACAAAACTGGTGCGCTGAAAAGATTTTCGGAATCTTGTAATTATAGCCAATGCAAAATAGTACCAAAAGATTGCCGTTGTATCCTTTAGGGTTTAGGGTATTAGGGTTTAGGGTTGGGAACTTAATTGCTAATCCCTCTCCTTCCTTTTTTTTTTTTTTTCTTGTGTGGCTCCAATGCCCCTATATAGAGCTGCCTCTTGAGAACAACCAAATATTGGAAATTACTACTCTTCATCAATCTTCATTTATTGAAAAGCTGCTAAACCATCTCGGGCATCACCGCATTAGGGTGAGTGGGTGAGGCTTTGCTCTCTTCGTTTTTGGAAGCCTGGTTGGCAAATTAAATAAATGAAAATCAGTTTATTAATTGATCATTATAACCCTGTTTTAAATTGTTAATGTCATGTTAACCTATTAACCAATCAAAGAGATCAATTTAAAATTGATGATGTCATATGCACTAATAGATTAATCAGATTGCTCAATTTAATTTCTAACCAATCACATTTAAGCTTTATAAAAATGATGTAAAAGTCTCTCCAATAATGGAAATCAAAAACATAATTAAGAACGTAGATCGTGGTGCAGAATGATAATAATTTAATTGCTAATTTAATTCCAGAGTCTCCACAATATTGAATTGATAATGTCACTCTAAAGTTATCATCTTTAACAGTGACCCACTTAAAATGCAAAACCACGTGCAAAATCATCGGCCCAAAACCAAAGCAATAATCCATGTGTCTCCTTTTCAGCTTGTTCAACATATCTTCTCCAAATAAGTGAAGTGAAGCACAAATCGATTCCACAACTTCGCTCTTCTTCACCTCTTATTTTCCCCCTGAAAAAAAGATCTGCTCACTTGAGTCCTCAAGATGGGAGTGGTCATAATTGATGGTTCCACCGTTCGTGATTTCGTCAGCAACGAAGCTGAGTTCAACAAAAGCACCGACGAGAAATTCGCCGACTTGGATCTCAACCACGACGGCGTCTTGTCCCGGTCGGAGCTAAGAAAAGCCTTCGAATCCTTCCGGCTGATCGAGACCCACTTCGGAGTCGATGTCGCCACGCCGCCGGAGGAGCTGACCAAGCTCTATGACTCCATATTCGAGAAGTTTGACGGCGATCACAACGGGACCGTCGATCTGGAAGAGTTCAGGAGCGAGATGAAGAAAATCATGTTGGCCATCGCTGATGGGCTCGGGTCATGCCCGATCCAAATGGTTCTCGATGACGACAGCTTCCTCAAGCAAGCTGCTGATCTCGAGGCTTCAAAGGTTTCTTCTTAGCATTCAATAGGACCTTTTTGCCTGTTGGGCTGAAAATAATAAACTAGTGAATTGTAGTATCTGATAACTTTTGTTCTTCTTCGGTTGTTTGGACTGGAGTTTTAATAATAAGCTTATTAATTTGCCATTTACGGTGATAATAGCTGTCAAACTCATCGGTTCGTGGACCATTTCAGCCAATTTTTTTCTGTCATTTCTACGGAGAAAACAGCTTGCTTGTTACTTCATTTTTGTCTAGTTTAAATGCCCGGCAGGAATTTGCAATTACTTCAATGATCAATTTTTATTTTTGGGGGGGATTAATTTCGCTAATCAATGCCTAATCCTTGCAAGAGAGAGAAAAAAAAGAAACACCCTTTTCTTCGTCTGCCTCCATTTGTATTTGCAACTACTCACCGATGGCTTCTCCAATTATGTCTTCTCCAATTACCTTAGCGCATGTCTTTTATTTGGGGGTTGGGTTCCTCATCGGCTATCATGCTATGGAGTCCGGATTATTCAATAAATATTTGTAAGACCCGCCTTCCCCCTGCCCCAATCTTATCGATTCCTTTCTCGTTATAATATTTTCTGATTCCTTTTCCTCTTTTTTGTTTGTTAGGCTTGATCCAATCGTTCCGTGGTGCAAGAAGCTCAGCCGTGGCCGTGGCGGCAACGGCGGCGGCCCTGCTGCTTGAGGGCTTTCACCGTTTCGTGGGTTCGGTTCACATCTTCTTTAAATATTTTGTGTTGGTTTGGAATAGAGTTGAATGTTGTGGGTTGGATTATTGTGTGAATGGTCATGTTACTTTTTAATTTTGAAAAGGATTTTAATCAGTTTTTTTGGGTAACTGTGGGCTCAATCTTCTTGTTCTGTTCCCCTTCCAATGTTGATCCTAGCTCTGGCACCGTGATTCGTGATGAAAGTTTTCTTTTTTTCTTAATCATTATTATTATTATTCTTATCATAAATAAAGAATATTTTGTATCCTTTGCAGATCCCCGGACGTGGGGTGGTTTCAAGGTGGTTTGCAAGACTGGTTGTTTGTCCATTTCCACACGCTTCCACGCCGCCCCCTGTTTGGTAAATTATCTAAATTAGTATCCCTATTCCTCCCCGGAGATGTTAGTTTGGGAGTTTAGAATTTGTCTCCTAATATTGTAATCGGGTAGTTTATGAGTAATTTGTTTCGAAATGTGAAATTAATTGCTCTAATCTATGGAATTGATCTTTCCTTGGAAACTATTATACCTTGATAATCTGATATTCCATGAGAAACTATTAAGATCATTATTATCTCGCAGTTCTGTCTTGTGTCGAGTTTGTTGTCAAGTGAAGTTTTTAATTACTCCTTCCGTTCCACGAAAATAGTTCAGTTTAATAAAAAAAATTTGTCCTCAAAAAAATAATTCAGTTTCACAAAAGTCAAAATTAATTAAATTGAAATGACTTAAATATCTAAAAGAATAATGATAAAAAAAACTATGTCCACTTTCTTTAATTTTCAATTTTTTTTTAGTTTTCTCTTATTTTTTCAAATGATTATATCTTTTAATACGTAAATAATTAAAAAAGTGTGTTATATATCAAATTAATCTACGTAAATAGATCTTTCCATCAAGATCCATTGTCAATATTTTTTGAGATAAAAATTTTGATTAAATTTAAGTTGTAAAATAAATGCATATGTAGTTAACTTTTATAAAAATAACTAGCTGGGGCATTAGTAAAGGAAGTTAGGGACATAAAATGAGTTGTACATTTGGTGTGTTGACGAAACTAAAAAAGTTGTACATTTTCAAATTAAACTATTTTTCTGAAAGGGAGGGAGTAGTAATTACTTGGATTTGTTGTCAAGTGAAAGTTCTAATTTCTTTTACTCTTAGTCTAGTATCGAAGGTTTTAATTTTTGTTCTAGTGTGTGTATGGGAAATAGATGAATAGTGTTTTTCAAAAAGAATAGAAGGAAAAGATGCTTCATCCCAGTTGGAGGTCATGGTCAATTGGTCATGGACGAACACGAGGAACAATAGTAAAAAGATCAGCAATTCCTCTTGATACACTTGGTTTTTGTTTTTTGTTGTGACATTAGTATTCTTGAATTATATTTTGAGTTTTAAATTGGAATTTGATGATCCTTTCCTTTTTAATCATTTGAAAAACAAAGTTTCATACTTTCATTGCACAGAAAATCCCCTAATTTAAGTTGTTTCGGGTTTAAGACATATATTTTTGAAATTGTTCCGACTTCCGAGTCGCTGTGGAGTTCGGCGGCGATAGAGTCAAATAAAGAGAGGGAAAAAAACATCTTAACTTTAGGTTTAAGGTCAAAATTAGAAGGGGAAATTTTTATTAAGGGCATGAGAAGAATAATAATTATTAAAAAAAGGCATTCACTTTATTAATTCATTGTTACTCCCTAATTTAAGTTGTTTCGGGTAATTCATTGTTATAGATGAGAAGAACCAAACATCATCAGTTACAATCATTCATATTACAAATTTAAACCAAAAAATAACAATCCAATTCTACAATGCATAATCATTGTCCTTTGAACCATACGCTCCCTGACTGTGAACTTCGTCGTTTGGGCACAAATATATATTGGGCCTAACTTATTCTAGGCGCTCGTAAGAAGCCTCATCGTAATTTGGGCTAGGGCTTCTAATTTTAGACTTAAGAACCCGTCGTCCAGAAGCTTCCAGGTCTATCTGGTAAACTCTATTCCCGCAGCGCGTGCAGCTTACTCGAAAACCCCCCCCTAAATCTTTAATCAAATCGCTACCCAAGCTACTTATTCCCCAAGTTTTCTCGCTTGTTAAAAACAGTAATTGGCTGAATTCCTCACTCAACTCAGAAACAGATAGACTCAGATCAGATCAAAAATGGTTTCCTCAATCGCTCTCAAGAGGCTCGTTTCCTCTGGCGTTATCAGCCGATCAATCTTCCCAATTCGCCCTGCTACTTACTCTGTTTCCTCGCGTCGGTTTAACACCAATGCTGCCCGCGATTGCGATGAAGACGATGGTCACTACTCTCTTGACGCTGATCGGCGCACCCGCTGTGCTCCACCGTTCGCCCATATCCCAATCGCCTTTCCAGGTGATTTTCTCTATCGACCTTGTTTTGATTTTACTAGATCTGACTCTGAATGTAGTGTATTATTAAGGTTCCAGTCTCAGAGAATTCCCCTAATTATACCATATTGTTGATTAATTTCGCTTTAATTTTTCCAAATGCAGATATGGATGCTGCGTTTAATCCATTCGGGATTAGGACCTGGAGGCCATTTCTGAACATGGACTTTCCGATGGGTACCGGACACAGGCGGCCCTACGCTGCCAAAGAGACTCCTGATGGTCTGCAGCTGAGGTGGGACATGCCGGGGATGGGGAAGGAAGATGTGAAAGTCCATGTGGAGGAGAACACTCTGGTCATCAAAGGTGAAGCACGGAAGGATTCTGAAGATGATGAAATCGAGCGGAGTTTCTCTACCAGAATTGACCTCCCTGACAAGCTGTTCAAGACCAACGCCATCAAGGCTGAGATGAAAAATGGGGTTCTCAAGGTCTTGCTTCCAAAAGTCAAGGAGGAAGAGAGGAAGGACGTGTTTAACATCAAAGTTGATTAGATCGACTTCTTGTCCTCATTTTGTGAGTGGCTAATTCCTAAGTTGTGTGAGTAACTGTAGAAATGTTTTGAGTACTCTGATCTGGTTTCGCTTTTGAACTCCATGATAGTAGTTTTTAGCAGCTATATTGGGTAGTATGGTATCAGATCCATTGCTACTAGATGTGATGGATTTGGAGAATTCTTGATTCGGTGGATGCTTATGGTGCCTTGTTAGTAGTAGTGCTTTAATCTCACTATTGCGTTGCTTTTCATTATCAATGGTACGGAATTTATCATAATGGGAGTACATCTCAATTGTTGTTTGTTTTCTTATTAGTGCATTTCCCAATTCCCGTGCTTGATTTTCAGCTCCAAAAGCATCAATTCGAATGTTTTTCTCTGTTTCTTCTCTCGGGCACGTTGTTTATTTTGATGATCCTCATTGAAGCTGTGGGCTGAAGGTTATGTATCTGAGCTACTTAATTCTCCCAAAACCCAAAACCATGGTTGATTGGGGCTACAGCTTGTTTAAAATTAGTGCATTTGTAGGAGCAATATAGCAAGGTAGTAACATTTGACCTGGGCTAAGTTTGGTCTGTGTGTGTACCTTGATGGGCCTGCTAATAAACTTCCAAGGTCAGTTGTATTCATATTTTGAACTCATAAACATTCATCACCAGGCCCCAGCTGACTTTGAAGTTTGAATGTCATCCAATTCCAAACTACGCACGTATTGTCATGTCCTGCCATTTTGGTGCATGCTAGAAAGTTCAGAGAGCCAGAGTAATCCAGTCACTTACTGTTGAGTTCCCTGGAACTTTGTGTGATTCATTAGGTTATCCATCAGTTGTCGATTCTTGATATGTTCCCAAGTCATAATAATTGAGAATGGTGGCCAATTTTGAGAGAGAGATTGAATATGAATGTTATGTGCAAAATTGTGCAATTGGATTGTCAATATTTGATTACGCCCCTAATGTCAGTTGTAGAATAACTTACAATGTGTATGAACAAACTACATCTCATTTTAGTCGGACGGGAATAGTTTGGATAGGAGACGTGGAGAAACTGGCCTTATTTGCATAAAATTATTCTGAAATTGGAACAGAGCACCCACCACCAAGTATCTTCACCCATGCTTTATGGATTTAACAGTGACCCCAAAATTTGTTCCTCGTTCTCCACCAAGAGGTTGTCTTAAGTTGTTTTTTTGCGTGAGGTATATCATCCAAGTCTCTATCCTAAACTGACCACAACAATCCAAAGAACGGAGGTAAGGCCCAAATATTGTGTGGGACTGTAAAATTTGAACGCATAGATAATGATCCAAAGACCCAAAACCTGCGTTCACCATTAGTCTTCATGAAGTTACAAAGAGCCCCACTCCAGGACTGATTAGCTATTGATAGATACCGAAAAATCTGACGCTAAAATCAAACAAATCTCGAACAAGGAAACTTCCCATGCTGGTGCTTCCCATAAGAAAGATTAAAATGGCGACAAATTGCAAAAAAGGGTATAAAACAAAAACATAACAATGTTTTACACTAGGGAAGGAAATCATTAAGTACCATACATGTGGCAAATCCTCGTGAGTTATGTCCTTTTGATCTGTACTACTACAATATTGATGGTGGGGTTAGGTTTAGTTACCATTATTTGTAAGTTGCCAAAAACGTATTTCATGATGTGATACAGTTAAATCGCGGCGAATGACCGATGTGGGACAAGAAAGTATTAACTTTCACCAATCACTAGTGTTCATTTTCATCAAGAAACTAGAGAAACCCAGTAGACCAATAATAACTCTATTAATTGGAAATAGTTAAGACCTGTTACTTTCTAGTGATAACTCTATTAATTGAAAACAGTTGCCTATATATAAATAGTGTGTAAACTTGTTAGAATTCACAAATTGAATGAAATGTTAACTCCTTCGCTTATTTTGGACCAATTCCAGTCAACGGATAAAAGAAAAAAGGATTAAAATTTGACAGGACTAAAATATTCGTAAATATATCAGTATATTTCAGATTTTTTATGTATACAATAGTAGAATAAGTGGGGCGATTAGGACGAGCAAATTTGAGAGAGCCAAGAATTGGGGGAAAAAATAAAAACAAATGATAATCGGTAAAATGGGACCTCCTATAGGGTTTTTTTTTTAAAAAAAAAAAAGAGACCCAAGAGAAAATCCACGGCGGCAAATCACCAGCAGAATCGGTTTTGGCGACGCCGGAGAAAGTAGCAGATGGGTCCCACCTTCATAATAAAGAGTCAGAGAATATGCACATCACGCAAAGAATTATACTCTTTTTGTTCTCCGAATATCCCTCTGCCCCCAACTCACACCCTTTGAATCCTACTACGCCGGCTTATGTCAATTGACTATTTTGCCCGCAGTCAACTTGTCCATTCCCTCATTGGTAATGCCGATTGAATTAACGCATTTGCCCTTCTTAGTATTTACCTGAAAAGAACAACACGTCGAGTGGAAGAAGAAAGAAAAGAACCACATTGTATTTGTCCACTTTGAGACCCTGGGATTATCTATCAGAAAAGTGGATTGATGGTGGGGTTTCAACGTGCAATTAAACAAAACCGCCATTAAAAGGCTACCTGCCCAAAATTTATGGCGTGCTTAAAAAACTCCCCTTTTTTCCTATTTCAAGCTTAATTTTACGACCTAAATTATATCTTTTAATGGACGGTATTTTCATACTATCTGCTCGTTTTTTATCGAGTCAGAAGGTGACGTGTGTGCAGTGAAAAAATGGACGCCGTGCGCTAGGTGGATGAATCATGCCTTCATGGTTCAATTAATTTTCTTCAGGTTGGTTTGCCTGCCTTTTTCCACTTTCTACGCGGATTTTATGTCCGTTCGTTCTACGTAATTTTTCAGCAGAAATTTTATGAGATGTGACAACTTGCTGTAAAACTTGGAGCCAGGTTCCAGAAAATTGCCTGGAAATTATAATATAATATATTGCACTGTACTACTAGCAAGTTCCAGTGATACCGATTAATCAGTCATCTTTAAAACGGACAAATCCGAACCAACCAACCCATTATTGGTGCCATGAATTCTTTCTCTTTCTTGGTTAACACAACATTGGTGACATAATTCATTTAGGAAATTGCGCTTTCTTTGCACGCAATTTCTTGTGCTGTTCATATCCTCGAATCAGTAGGTAGTACCTCAAAGTGAAGAGGAAAGTAATTAATATCGCTTCTTCTCCTTCCCAAAATACTAATTACTCCTTCCGTCTGAAATAATCCTTCGTGTCAAAAGGAAACGTTCACATAATAAACGTTCATATATATATAGGAAGTACCTTGATTACTTTATTATATGTGCATTCCCCCTTTGTTTTCTAATCGGAAACGAATGGGCATAATAAGCAAGCATCATCAAAAGAAGATTGTTTTTTAATCGTTTTATTTCTTTGGACACAGACAAGTAATTTAACAAATTTTCTTGTTCTATTAACGATTTATTTTGGGGAAGAGAAAAAACATTTCGGAAAGATTTGAGGATTCTTCTGCTTGTTGGATGTCGGAGTGACATTCACCATATCTTATTACTACTATTAGCAATGAAATTTGGTCTCGAGCACAAATATAAAACTCAAGCCCTTAAGATTTTTGGTACTGAGTGGAGACTAACTTTTTTTTTATGGGTTAAAAGTGTGTTTGTGTGTGGTTTTGATTACGCAGAATCAATACATGGATTTGGTGAGCTAAACACTTTAAACTTTTCTTTCCATTAAAATCAAATGGCACTAACTCGTCCGGCTTGGGCGAATATTTGAGCGGTTTGAATGGTTTTCAAATTTATTCGATTCGGATGTACTCCGTATTGGTTTTGGACCGATAAAGAAAACCACCGGCACATTTATGCTAACCCGCACGGAGCCTTTGTGAAACACCCTCACGGTCAAGCCCTCGCGCAGTGCGTATGCAGGCCAAAATTATAATTTCGTGAGGATGTCATCTCTCACGTGTGTTATTGCATTAGTTTCATAACATCCAACCTTTTTAGTAAAACTACTCAAATTTCACTTTCTATCTCGAAAAATATCACAACTCACAAACCAACTAATTATATGAATGCGAAGGGTACATATAATGGAGTTTTACCAAAGTACCAATATGTCTATATCATGACAACCTAAAAAGTTGCATCACCCCCTCAACTTAGCTGAAAATATTGTTGACTTCTCGTTTTTTTAATTAATTTATTTCTTTAGGTTCCAATAAAGTTAATAAACATGATTTTTACTTCGAGATGGTTATAGTACCACACTAATATGGAGTACATATATACTGTATAGACAATGTGAAAATAAATTATTGATATTTACACTACATGACAATATTCACTTCAAGTTTATTGGGTCTTTGATCATACTCATTCTGTGTTAAAATTATTGTCTAATTTACTTTTTTATTTTTAATGCAATTTATATTAAAATAAAATTTAAAATTAGACTATAATTTCGAGACAAACATAATATGTCCTCAGTCACCTTCGCAGTTCAATTATTTTTTGTGCAATTAAAAAAGTACAACGAAAAAGACATCAACGAAATAAGGGGAAATGGAGAAAACAAAAAGAATAAATAATAAATAAAAAATAAAAAAACGAAAAGGACGTCAACTTGGTTCACAAACGAAAAGTCTGAAACTGCACCTTAACCTTCAGGGGGCACATATGTCAATTCGTCAGAGCATATCAACCACGCGTCGGTGAATACAGAAATAGTGGACCTGGTTGATCTTAGGAATTACAAGGGGCATTAGTGTAAATTAAACAATCGCGATCAGTTTTCCCCCTCTTCCCTTTAAAAGAGTTGCCTTTCTCATAACGTTGGTGCTCTCTCACAGCCACCCCAAGTCTCAAAAGCATATTAAAGCATATGCCTTTTCTGGTTCGCTAAGCGACTTCTTTCTTACTCATTTTCGTCTCGTCTTCCCCCGAGAACCTCTTGAATAGAAGCAGATCAGCTGTCTCGATTGGAAGAATTAGGCCATCCATTCCGCCTCTTGTAGCTGATTCAAACAACGTAAGCTCTCTCTTTTATTGTGTTGTTCAATCGTCTTTGGATTCATGCCCATATTGTTAATGGATAAAGTGGATTTTTTCCTTCTTGAGCCTTCGATTTTGGGTCTGACGGCAATTGTACGCAAGTTATTGTTGGTGGGATTCTCTATGTCGTCTGGGTTTTAAGTTTCTTTTTTATTCTTTTTTATTTTATTTTATTTTAATGGGTTTATAAACTTTAATTATTCCTCCATCATTTTCTTGGTTTCTGCTACCGAACCATATATTTCGAGGTCCTGCTTCTTTTTTTTTTCTTCCAGTTTGTGGCGCGCTTTATCAATTTCCGTCTTTCCGATTCCTCTGTTATTCTTGTATTCGGTTGTAGCCATTAATTAATGTCCGGGAGGTTTTCTCACTGTATTGTCTGAGTTGGTTAAAGTTTTTTGCTGATGCTTTGAGCAGCGAAACCAAGAAGAACAGATTCGAGAGCCCCAATAATTATGATTTTTCTTAAGACTAACTCTATGCATAAATAAGGCCATTTAAATTTCTTTATCTGGTAAAACATATATTCAAGTGGCGTTTTGGGTAGGTAACTGTTTTTGGAAAATCCCTGTGCGAATAGCATGTCTAGGCAGGAAAGCTAATTTTATTGTCCTGCTATTTGAGTAATCTTAGATTGCTAATTTTACTATGCCGATTTTGTGTCTAATCGAATCAGTCATTCCTCTGTATTAGGAAATTAATCCTCATCAGATGTTTGTTTTTTTCTCTTTTTTCGTTTCAGGCTTGTTCTCTGTTTTCAAGGCAATCAATCAGCGATAATCTTGAGAGTTAAAAATCTAAATGGGATCACGAGTAGAAGAGACAGTGATGGAGAGTCCGGGCAAACCACCCGGGATTGTATTAGTTGAGAAAAGCAAGAAATCTCCTCTTTCTTTCCAGTCTTATCAAATCATTGTCCTATTAGTTACATTTATTGCATACACATTATACCATGCTACCCGAAAAACTACCAGCATTGTCAAGAGTGCACTTGATCCTGCATCAGGAGCTACAAGCACAAAAGAGGTGTTTGGGCTAGGAGATGGCTGGTCACCATTTGATGGTTCAGATGGCACAGCATTGCTTGGTGAACTCGATGTTTCTTTTTTGTTTGTTTATGCGATAGGAATGTATTTTGCTGGCCATGTGGGAGATAGAGTGGATCTTAGGCGGTTCCTGACTGCCGGAATGGTTGGAACTGGTTTGTTCACGGCTCTTTTTGGTTTCGGGTTTTGGACGAACATACACAACTTTTACTATTACCTGATCGTTCAGATGCTTGCTGGATTGTTTCAATCCACTGGATGGCCATCAGTTGTAGCGGTGGTGGGGAATTGGTTCGGGAAGAAGAAGAGAGGACTTATAATGGGCATTTGGAATGCACACACTTCTGTGGGGAACATTACTGGTTCCTTGGTGGCTTCAGCACTATTGAAGCATGGATGGGGTTGGTCAATGACTGTTCCTGGCCTAATGATTGCTTTTGCTGGTTTGATGGTGTTCTTCTTCTTGCCGGTTAGTCCACAATCTGTTGGGGCCAGTGATGAAGATAATGAAGTGCTCTCTCCCGTAAAGGAAGGAGATGAAGTAGCAGTACCTCTTTTGAGCTCAGCAAAGGAAGAAGTGGATGAGCATTCAGCAGTTGGATTTTTAGAAGCATGGAGAATTCCTGGAGTTGCACCATTCGCCCTTTGCCTTTTCTTCGCGAAACTGGTGGCTTACACATTCCTGTATTGGCTTCCATTTTACATCAGTCACACAGGTAATTCTAACCATCCTGGGATTGCATTTTGCCAACACCTCTGATTTCCTTGTTATATTCGACTTTAATAAAACTTTGGTCCGTGTTTGATGCATACATTAAACTTTGTCTCGGTTGTTGTGTTACAGCAATTGAGGGAAGGTACTTGTCTAGTGAAGAAGCTGGAAACTTGTCAACTTTGTTTGATGTCGGAGGGGTTGTCGGGGGAATCCTAGCTGGCCACATCTCCGATAACTTGAATGCCAGAGCCATAACAGCCGCAAGTTTTATGTACTGCGCTATTCCAGCTCTATTCTTGTACAGGAATTATGGTAACATCTCCATGGCAATGAACATCGTGCTCATGTTGATCACTGGCATTTTTGTCAATGGGCCTTATGCGCTCATTACAACCGCTGTATCGGCTGACCTGGGAACACATAGTTCACTAAGGGGAAACTCCAGGGCTCTAGCAACTGTTACCGCGATAATAGATGGAACTGGCTCAATTGGAGCTGCGATTGGACCGTTGCTAACGGGGTACATTTCAGCTAAGAGCTGGAATGGTGTTTTCGTGATGCTAATGGTAGCAGCTCTGATAGCCGGTTTGCTCCTAACTCGGCTGGTTGTTGCTGAGGTAGCAGCGAAAATTGAGGAGTCAAGGTCCAGGCCGCCAAGGACTTTTGCCGTTGAAGTGTGAATTGCGTGAGTAGTTCAACATTTTGTTCAGTGTTCTGTGTAATATAAGAAATGCGGCTCGAATCCTCAGATGATGCACATGAAGAGGGTCAGAGTCTTTATTCTTTTGAAAAACCAGAAGAAGGTGTTTTATGTATCCTTCTTCAAGGGTAGGAATTTGGAAACGGGGATCACACGTCAGTTGGAATGCAGATATATCCAATACGCAAGCGGGTGTACAATTTTAATCAACCGCCGACCGACATAGGATGAAGATATTGTAAACAATGGCAACAATTATAGAGGATTGTACAATTGTAATATTTTTGTGTATGCTTCTGGAAATCGTCAAAGGTTATCCGGAACGGTTTCTCTTGCTAAGGAAAAAGAGTTGGGAAAGTACTACATGCAGATGGCAACTTTCTTCCACCTTGAACATGATTCAGTGGCACAGTTTGTAATGCCTGGTTCTTTCATTTTTAGAGATTGGAAACACCGAATTCACTAGTTGCAGAATTAATAGAATTTCATTCCTCCCATCTACCTTCTTGTTCGAAGGAAGAAAATCCCCAGGTAGATAGGTGTGGCAATTGTGATCTGTAATTTATAGCTACACTCGTGGACAGGTGTACATGTACTACTCTTTCCTTTGTTATTTTCTTGTTAGTTTGCTATTGAAGTTTGACTTGTTGAGGGGCCAATCTTTCTAGCAGATTATGTCACACTATCGAGTAGTAATTAGTAATTAATAAATAAGTGTGTCTAGACTCGATCAGCATTAAGTCACGGGACGAGTTTTCATTATCATTTCACTTTCCTTAATCGACTGTTTCTTGACAAGGCAAGTTTCTACTATAAGGAAAAACCAGCTTAATCTACTAGCTTCTTGTCTTTTGTCCATAAATTTTTCTAGGGGCCTCGATGGGGTGTGCAGTTCCCTTTTGTTAAAAAAATAAAAAACTGCTGGGAAGGAAACCATTGAAAGAGGTAGTCGGGGATTATAAAGGAGCCTAATTCTCAATGATTAAAGTTGTAATTTGCATGTCGTATAGGTAGACCAATGGTTGGCTAGTAACTTGTAGCAGTACAAAAGGCTTTTGAGCACTTGGTTGGTAACACCGTAAAAATGGAGGTAGGCGGTAGAAAAAGGAGGAGAATAAGTTAACTAGAAACCAAAATTTCTCCAGTAAGAGCATTTTACAAATTACAAAGCAAAATTCAAAAATAGTGTAGTTAGAGCACGCCCACGAGTGGGACTTGCCAATACGTTACGCCCCCACATACTAATTACGGTGGAATTATTCTCCCAATCAGAAATGACGAAAAGAAGTTGAAGGGGGAAACCATTGCTGATCTGAATCAGCAAACAAAGGCGTTGCTTAAAGCGACTTTACAAAAGCAAATGCCCCACTATTAGTATGATCATTCCTGTTTTCCTAAAAATAAAAAATAAAGAAAATACACCAAAATTCAACTTTGGAGAACTCTATACTGAAGTGAATTCTGTAAGTAATGAATTATATGGTTTTTAATCTGTACCACTGGTTTTGTGTAAGACGTTACACGACCTTTTGTTTAATGGCAAACCTAACTTTCCAGTTAATCAGAATCAATAGTCATAATCAAACTCAAAAGGTTTCTAATTGGATTTTGAAATATTTCCTTATCATGAAATGGAAGGTTTACGAATCATTCTATATTGGACTTTAAACAAGTCTAGAAAAAGATTCTTTAAGTTCCAACCCATTCGATGTTAAGCCCAATCCACAACAAAGGCCCCCTGGATCCTCCAGTATAGAGTACATGAAACGCTAGTGTTTTCCCTTTCTCATCTCACAAACATTTTTCTAACGCAACTTCCTACATTTTTCAGACGAGCTTAATCATTTATGCAAGAAGGTGCAAATTTTAGAGCAGAAGAGTGAAGAGGCTCTCAGAAACTCACCAGTGAAGTCAATCTCAATACGATATGGCAAAACAAAAGGGCAACTTCAAAAAGATCAGGTAAAATACATGTTATGATTCTTGACCATGGACTTATAAGCGTAATGCTCGCCCACCAAGCTGATTTAACATAAACAACCACAATCAATCTACTCAATGATGGAAACTTACATGACAAATCCTGCTTGATGGACGTCACGTTCCCTATTTGTTTGCTGTATATGCATTCTCTTTTTGAAGAAATGAAGTATTCGTTAGACTGTGTCAGAACAAGAATTACAGCCTCCAAGACCAAAATGAAGCTCTTCTAGTACAAGTCCACAAGAGTCCACAACTGTATTTACAATCACTCATAACTGCAACAAGCTACTCATCCAGCAATCTGACATCAAGTGGCATTTCATGAGAACAGAACCGAAGTCAAATTTCAGATACGAACCACTCAAAATTGTCAAATACAAAGCCAGCGTTTCAATAGTTGAGGGTGATCTGTGCCTCACTAAAATGATGGTGAACAGTCAAGTTGAGAACCGACTCTTGAAATGTCATTCAATAGCCAACCCAACTTCATTATATATATTACTGTATCTTAGCAAAAGAATCGCTTGAAAAGGCAAAGCAAGCATAAAATCAAGTATTACATAAGTGGATTAAACCCTAATTACCATCAGCAATCATAAAACTCACAGCAAACGTTTATGGAAGCAAAATCCCATTTAGCTTAAATCACACGAGTAACACCATTCAGTTTCAAAAGAAGGGAGTACAGAATACTTCCAATTCACGCTGCTGGATGAGGTATACCCAGGAGCAGATAGAAGCAATTATGGGGGGGGGGGGGAAGGAACTTGTCAGACAGAATGCAACCAAAAATACAGATAATTAATTTTATGATTATCAAAAGATTGGATGAATGCCCGAACAGCCACAAAAGGCTTATCATCATCATCATGCCATAAAAGGTACATTCAAGTGATCAAGTCATTGGTCCCCTCTGGCTTACAAACTCGATGAAATACATGCCATACAACCTGGGTGCTGAAATTTATTAATAGTTCTGGAGCCAAGACCATAACCAAGAACAACCCACCATATAACTCAGAAACATTATGAGCAAGTCCATCAAAACATGTTTTAAAAAGGTGTGAACCGTACAACACTTCAAGAATATGTTCATCTCGACTAGTCTCTTATGCAACTATTGAAGTTGGCTACATTAAAGAAAAGGGAGAGCAGTAACCACAATTCTGCACTTTGACAACTATATGAAAGAAATGCAAATAGCAGCTTTCAGTCCTTAAAATCTTCGGCTTTTATGTTATTTGATGGACTCCATTCAGGAGAGTTTCTTTGGGGATCCAAGGCCGTTTTAACTTTTCAACTTCAAGAGGATTATTCACACGTAAATTTTATCAAAGGTTGTGACATCTCTATCACAATTATCAAATGGAAGCTGCAGAACCTTTTCATGTCCAAGCCACAGACTAAGCTTATGAGCAACAATCACAATAAAACTGGCCTAAGAAAGCAACAGTGAGGTCATTTCCTATCCTTCAAGTGAGATCATATCGGTGGAAAATCACCAAAGAAATTCTAAGTAATGATAAAGAGGAATTCAATAACACGTCGTGGATGATGACATACTAGTTGATCTAATAAAGCCAAGGTGTACCCCACGCCATAAACATAGTCTTTAAACAACGATCCAGTATCTAGGTAGACCTAATCAGCTCATACAAATTTTATCAGAAATTTAACGGAATTAGATTCTACAGAGGAAACTTTCGAGAGGATAGAAGAATCACCTAAACGTCGTCGCCGGGCTTCTGAGGCTTGCGATACTTTTCTTCCACAACTTTGGCCTGAAAGAGAAACTCGTGGGCGACCTTCCTGATATTGGGGACGTTGTAGTTCTGAGCTATGTATATCCCGCAAATTGCGCCGGCGATGAATGTGAAATTGCTTCTGATTATCCCCATACCGATAATAACTTAACAAAAATCCTTTTTATCTTACTGATTCTCTTCTGATACAAAAAAAAAAATCAATCAATTGATTTGATTATCTGCGACAAAGGTAAGGACTCTTCCTTGGGGGATTTTGTAGTTGGGATTAACAAACGCCGCCTACGAAGATGAGTTGGCAGAGCACGGCGGAGCACGCAGCCTTCAGTTACTAGTTGAAACAAGTGGACCTGTTTGCTACTTTTCGACTTGTTGGGGCCGGAATACTAATGTTGTGTCCAGTTTGTTCTTTTGGTTTTGGGCCAATGACACTTACAAAATATAGTGTTCTGTACCTTCGGTCGTCCTCGAGGCTCTCCTAAACTCTTTTTTTCTCTCTTTTGGCACCTTTAAACTTTCGATTTGATAACGCTAATTAATTGTAAATCTTGTTCAAACCGGTTTAAATTAAATTCTATACATTGATCTATTTAATTTTTATAGACAAATGGTACCTTCATTCAATCATACTTCGTTTACTTTTATTTTTCGCTTTAAGTTTTACACAACTATTAGAAAAACAATGATAAGATTTTAATTTTTAAGTTTATTATCTTTCTTGCCCTTAATTAAAACTATTGGAACTCGATAAAATTTTGAAATTAGAGAGTGCTGTAAAAATAAATAGTTTTCATTAATATATATTATTAAAAGTAGCGAGATAAGGGTAAAATTAAAAAATTGTACTTAATGCTCCAATTGAAATGAAGTGCGTTAAATTAAAAAAAAAAATGGATTCACCCTAATACGACATATAAATAAATATAGTACTTTGGCCCACCTAATTACAGTTATTTCATTTTAAGATACTAAATATTAGTATATACTCCCTCTGTCCGAAAATGATTGTTAAAATTCAAACTGGTTAATAATTTTAGGACGGATGAAGTTTATATTAATAATGTAGTAATGGTCCAAAGCACACCCAACTGGAAAACGAATGTGTGATTTAAGCTTGTAACACAATAGTCAATAATGGTACCTGCCGCTATCTAAAATGACATTTAAACCAAACCTCATAATGAAGTTTTGGTAGAACTCTAGTCATAAATTTTCAATTGTTCAACAACTTCTAAAATTTGAGTGCCTAATCGGATCATAAGAATGAAACAAGAGCTACTTACCACGGAGTTTTCGTTTTACAGTATATCTCAACAATTCGGGCAGCGAGGCACATAATAGGGACTGAATGGATAAATGATGAATATATGGACGAATAATAATTTTGAGACGGAGGAAATAATAACCATTTAATTAATTATATCATAACAAAAAATATTACTATTTTCACAACACTTATTGCTACAAATTTTTTATTTTTATTTTTTAAAGGAAGGATACTCTTATTTGTAAAAGTGCTAGCAAATAATACTAATAAATAGTAGAACAACCTAATCGTAACAATGTAAATGAAACCTAACACAAGCTCATAATCCAAAAATAAAAAAAGAAAAAAAGAGGCAAGTAATCGAATAAATAGATATAAAAAGTATTTCGGCCTTGGACCATTAACTATTAAAGACTAAATAATAATCGCACATTCCAAGATGTACCATAGGAAAGGGACAAAATATATAAGTACATTATTATTACAACTGATATAATACAAGTCAGTATCAAAGCTAAAGGATGATAATTATGACCATCTTGGCATTATTACTATGTTGCTTCTATTAAAAAATTGGCATTACCTACCTTTTATATTTTTTTTCTATTCACAGACAATTTTAAAAAGAATATAGTAATAATTTGATTAATATCATTTCTGCTATACAAAAAGGTAAAGTTGTTACTACGATGGTATTATCTTTATCAGTGTGGTTAGATATTTCATTTCCGGATTTTATTTTTTTCCCTTGTTTTTAAGGTCATATTAAGTTCTTCGCTTTCCCGCAAAAACTGACTCTTTACCTCTCTCTTTCTCTATCGTTCCACGCATTGAGAGGTGAAGATCGCTGGATTTTATTGCCGTCGCCTTTACACCGCCGCCCAAGATCGGCACCAGGTTCGATTTCTCCCCGTAATTTTTCATATTTCTTTTTGGGGTTAACTGTCGTTTATCCTCTAAGAATCATCCATGTTACGTGTATTAATTGTTGGCATGAATTGGTATTGGAATTGGATTCGTCGATTGAAGTTTGTTGCTGTGTTCAATCAATTTGTCGAGTGATCAGGTCATGCTCATTGAAAAGAAAAACAAAAATTACAAAAGCAACAAAAATGTCGGTTAACCCTTATTTTATCGTTTCTCCTTACAGTTCACGGCATCAGTTTATTCCCTGTTAATTTTAGGGTTATCGTGTTCTAATTGTTGGTTCTGTTGTTCTTTTCAAAATTTAATTTATATACACATGGAGTTGGAATTTGAGAATTTTGAAAATGATTTCATCTTCAACTTTTGTCGGTTAATTGTATTCTATAATTTTTAATTTATGGCTACACGTGATTTAATCGTTGATTGTTATATCATTTTTGAAGTTTGTATTCGTGGTGATATAGTACTGCATTTATATTAACACTTAGGAAGGATGGATTCTTTGATTTGGATGCGGACTTCAAGTTGACTTGTTGTCCAGATTACTTCTTAGCGAGTTTAATCAAATGATTAGGAGTTCTACCAGGACTATGTTGCAAGGGGGGCGGGTAGTGTGTAATTCTCTTGTTTGGAGCTTGAAAATATCAATCGGATGGCATATTAACTACATTTAAGACCTTCTAAATAGAGTGAGAACCTAATACTTGGACATATGTTAACTTCATGGCGACATTGTTTTGACTTTCATTGCTGGTATTGCGATTCTTCTAATTTTATGCTCTTTGCTTTCCGTGCAGGGGTGCTTTCACTTTGTACATTAACTTCCTAAAGTTGGAGGGATAGGCTGGAATATATTTTTTTCTTCATATTTTCTATACTTTGTATTTTCCTTGTTCAGTTTGGGGACAAAGGATCATGCTAACTTTTCACTCATGAAAGTCTTGGGTTTTGCTTGCTGCAATAATTACACATCGGTTTCCCATGGGTGTGAGCTACTTGTCCATTTCGGCAGTCTCGACTGTTTTGAGTTTTGTTGGCCTTCAAGTTTGGACAGTAATATCTCTTGAGCAATTAAGATCTGATGGGTTGATTGGTGACAGTTCCTTTAGTACTGGGAACGCTATCCATGCATTGGATAAGCTTTTTAGTTCACATGCCACAATTGCATTGGCCGCAAATTTTGCACTTAATGTTTTTATACTGCTGATTTTGTGTCTCAAGGTAATTACGCTGCGCCCTTCTATACGTAGTGTTTTTATGGAGGTTGATTGAATTTAAATGGTAATTTTATTGGTGAATTTTCATGATATTTTTGGGTCGTAGTCTCTGTTTCTAGCCCAAGATCTTTGCTCCATCTATTTTGGTTTTCCATTTTCGACTTTTATTTTTGGCTGTTAATTTCTGCTCGTTCTGTTGTTTCATTGCAGACTATTTTCTTTTCAGAGTTGTATTCATCTGAAGTTCGAAAATTAGTTGAACGCCTTATTAATTATGTTATCTACAAGGTAAAACAACTTGATCTGGTTTATGCACGTCACATTGTAATGGATGTGAAGTCCACCTTCGATTCTGCCAGACATTTCTTTTTATTTAACCAGGTTTCTTATGATAGGGAACTTTTCTTCCACTTGTTGTCCCACCCACTGTATTTCAAGCTGGCTTATGGTCAATCTGGTTGACTGTTCTCTGTTCATTGAAGGTACTTGCTATAGTTATCCTTTTCTGTGTTGTGCTGTGTATAGAATGTCTTATTATTTCACATAACTTATGCCTACTGAACAGATGTTTCAAGCCTTAGCTAGGGATCGGCTTGAGAGATTGAATGCTTCTCCATCAGTGACCCCCTGGACATACTTTCGTGTATATTCTGCCTTATTACTGGTTTTCTCTGTTGATATGCTATGGTATGAAAGACATATTTATGTTGTATTCTAACAAAAAGGTGCCAGCTTTTCCTGGAAGAAATTAACAAGTGTTTATCGTCTTGCAGGATAAGGTTGTGTTTGGCAGTGTACAGCACAGTTAACTCTCCTACATTTTTGTTGTTATTCTTTGAGCCTCTAAGCATTGCATTTGAGACACTGCAGGTAGCTTTATGTTACTTCTTGTGCATCTTTTTATTACTTCATCTTCAAGTATCGGTCAAGTAATACCGAACTGTGTGCCTGATTGTTTTGTTGGTCACGCATCTGTTCCCTGTAGGCCATCGTGATTCATGGATTTCAGTTGCTTGAAATATGGTTGCATTCTTCACGAGATGGTGGTAATTGTCGAATGTCCAAACTCTTTGATTTGTCTGCAACAGGTGGGTTCCTGAATACTGTAGCATATTATTTGAGTTGTACGTGGTCAAATTCTGCGGCCATCACTCCCCGTTCATGAAATTGTTTTTATTTAATTTTTACTTTTTTGGTTTATAAATGCAGGATCATTGGGGGAGTGGAAAGGCATTCTGAATAGGAACTTTGGCTTTTTCCTGGATATGATGACATTTTTTATGGCTCTAGCTCATTACTTGCATATTTGGTGGCTTCACGGCATGGCATTTCATCTTATTGATGCCATCCTTTTCTTAAATATACGTGTAATTGCTTCTTCTTTCAGTCATCTGAAATTTTGTTATCGTCACTGTTGGGCTGTTGGTTTGAGGCCTCCTAAAAATTTATACCCTTATATTTGCTTTCTCTGTTAACTTGGATTGTAGGCATTACTGAGTGCGATTTTAAATCGTATCAAGGGTTTTGTTAAACTGAGAATAGCATTGGGAACCCTTCATGATGCGCTTCCAGATGCGACATTGGAAGAACTCCGGGCTTATGATGACGAGTGTGCTATTTGTAGGGTACTATATATCTCTTCTCTTCTCTTCTCTTCTCTCTACGACAAATTCACCTACACTATACACTCAGATGTATTCATCGATGTTCATTTGGATTTAGTTCCTTAACCCTCCAAGAGTCTATTGTATGAACAGGAACCTATGGCGAAGGCTAAGAAGCTTACTTGCAATCATCTTTTTCATCTATCATGCTTGCGATCTTGGTACTACTAACGAAGTTTGTGATTACTAGTTCATTTGTGTTTGATTGGCTTGTGTTAAGAAAGTTTTGATGAGAGGAACTCCTAATCCCAGGTTGGATCAAGGTTTAAGTGAGAATTATTCATGCCCCACTTGTCGAAAGCCTCTTTTTCTAGGAAGACACGAACATGAAGTAAACTCTCGTGGCTCTGAGATCTCTGGGGATGAGCAACTTGCACGTCAAATAAGTGCTGGGCTTAATAGGGCTAATCTTCCAGGTCAAGGTCTTGCTACAGGAATCTTTCCGGAGCAGACTCAAAATACAGCAGAAGTTGGTGATTGGAGGTCATTTTTCACACTTTACTTGTTAAGGATTTCTGTGTCAATTTATTTCTAGGCCTACAGAAGTTCCAGTTTTTACAAAGCTTGTCTGGGTCTTGTATCAGCATATGGTACCTTAGGGTATATGCTGCATATAACTAAGATTATTTTACCTTCTCTGTATCATCAAATAAGTCTAATAAGATAGTATATTGTTGTTTCTTTTCTAGCTATAGTGTAGACTTTGCTTACTTTGTCATTTGCTTCTCTGACATGAAGATAGTAGGCAAATTCTATTATGTCTATGATGCTTAATCTATCATTCATTTTCCTGTTTTGAGTTTGACGCTGTCCAACTTCTATGAATCGCATACTTAAGACCCTGAAGACGAGTACATATAGAGTATTGCTCCTGACTCAGTACCCTTTTTCTCCCTTGCATTGAATAATCTCTCTGCATTCTGATCTCTCCATAATTTTGTGTAACTAAAAATTCTAAACTTGCACCTGATTGTAACTTTTCTTTTTTTGCTTTTCCCTTTCCGTTTATGTCTTACTTTTGCAGGGGGGCAGTAGTTGATTCAAGTTGGCTTGGCTTCGATGGAGCTGGTCCGTCTAATGGTGGCAGGTCTGCTGGGTTGGGGCGTGTTCAGATGATGATGCGGCATCTGGCAGCGGTTGGCGAAACCTATGCTCAGACAGCGCTTGAAGATTCTAACTGGAGTCTTTGGCCTATGAATCCCTCTCAGGCTGGTACATCGCGGTCAGCTGTACCTTCTAGTTCTGCAAGGTTTCCAGGAACTGCTGGTGGTGTGCAGATGAGAACTGCCACACGAGCTGTGAATGAGAACCTAGCAAATATACTTGCCATGGCTGAAACTGTCCGAGAAGTCCTGCCTCATGTACCTGATGAAATAATTATCCAGGTGTGTAGAACATATGTACATTTATATTTTACCGCCTTTGGTTGACTTAAGTCATTTACCTGAGTTTAGACTGGTTTCCTCAGGTTAGCTGTTGGCATTGCTTTACCCTGCATCTCAAGTGTGTCTTTAGTGTGAAAGTTATTACTGGGAAAATAAAGAAGTTTTTTAGAAATGAAAAAATAAAATATAAAAAACCTTTTATGTTTAAATTGTTTTTTAATATGTTATTGTCAGTTAATTCTCCTTAACCAGTAAGGCAAATCTTTCCAATAGATGTTTTTGCAAGTTGATGTGTGTCAAAATCTTTTGTTATGCCTTATAATTGAAGTACTGCTAAGAGTTTATCCCTTTTCTTTTGCTTTACGTCATAACTGCTTTCTGAAATTGCAGTATCATTACTAATGTGAGCTTTTTTTGCTGGCTGGTTTCTTAGAAAGGCATTCTGCTTTTTCTTTCCCTATCTTTTCTCGAGTCAAATATGACTCTCCTGCAACTTCGAGCTGGAATCCATTGTCTGTTGTGTTTTTGTTCTCCCTCATATGGGGAATCATCCCTCGTGTTTGGCATCCTTCTCTTCTGAGAAGACTTATGTTGGGGACTGTACTTGCAGGATTTGCAGAGAACAAATTCCGCAATGGTGACTCTGAATAATCTCTTGCAAATGTGAAGCATCAATGGAATCAATTCTCAAAGGTGGAACTTTTCAATGTGGATGTGACATGGAGACTGAAGCAGTTGCGATTTTGGGTTAATCTGAAATATCCATCAGTAACTGCTGACGGCTTTTGTTTCCCATGCTTCACAAGCTTTGGTCCTGTACATAGAGAAACCCCAAGATATTACATTATTACTTAGGCTTTTAGTGGTAGATTCACTATTGGAACATTTTTCTTCCAAGCTCTAACAAATAATTTCTAGGGTTTGTTTTACATGTCCCGAAGTTGCATGTTGCCTGTTTTATTTCTGAGATTTCTATATTAATCTTTTGTTTGGCCGAATGTAACATTTGCCCTGGGTGGCCTTCGGCGTATACTGGTTACTCTGTTGTACTTAAGATTCTTTGAAGTATCCCTGAGACATTTTGGAAGCAGTGATGGTACTTCTTTCTCTGAGGTTTCTTCTGCCTCTCCTGGTTTAGTTAATCATGAATGATGATACTGAGGAATGCTAAGCAACATTGGAGATTCAGTTACTTTGTTTACATTTTGGGTCCGATGTGTGTGGGTAGGACTGATGAAACTGGTCCTGAGGCCCATGCTTGAACCGACCAAACTCAATGAACATACTTGAAGCTCAGTTAGTACGTTAGAAATTCAAATTATTATTGGGCCATAGCCATTTCAAGGATAGTAGTCATTGGACTCGTATCAGATGCAGGAGAAAAGGGAGTTGATGATGTTGATGACTTATGGTGAGAGAAGCGGGGGCGCATATTACGTCATAAGGGGACCTAAGTCCTATCGTGCGTGCGTGCAACTATATTAATACAAAAGAACAACTCAATTGCTGAAGAAGATACAGAATTTATCATGAGGGTAAGCTTAAATTTTTCATAATGGAAAAAAGGAAAAAAATAATTAAAAGAACTATATTTGTGAGGTCAACTGTATATTTCTTCATATTTTTTTTGGATATTTTCTTCAAATCACGGAATGTTAATTTATTACTCCCTGTGTTCCACAAAAATAGTCTAATTTCAAAAGGTATAATTTTTTTAATTTAGTCAACCCCATCAATATACAACTCATTTTATCATTTAAACTTCCATTTTTATCCCTGATCGAAATTAACCCAAAACCATTTGTACTGTTTAATCTCTTTCATCGCTCAACTCTGCCCAACTTTGAATTTTCTTTCAATTTCAATTTCCAAAAAACTCAATCTTGAGGATAGTAATCGAGTCAGAGGATGTCCACTTTCAAGAACGAACCTCAAAAAGAACCAGAAACCAAGCTACGGTGACGATACCAGTGGGGTTCCAATTTTCGGTCTATTTAAAGAATCTCGAAAGAGTACACCATCGTTCGAAGAAGAGTGAGAATATTAACGAAGTTCCAAATTGAAGATGTGACGAGTGTGACGAGTCTATGGCCATGACGTTGTCGGGGAGGGGCTTGGTTTGTCCGATAACGTCGAGGTGAGTCGGTTGGCCGGCGAATCCGTCGAGATCCCCCTTTAGCAGCATATATAGTGTAGATTATGTGACTGAAAGTGAGAGAGAATGGTCGAAAATCATAGATCGGGCCGGCGACGAAGTGGAGAACGGTCTCGATTGATGCCAGGTTGTGATGGTTTTGGCCGTGGCGTCGGCTCTATCGGTCAACTTCCAGTGTGACTTCCTGTTATCAATGGCTGTTCTATTAACTCTTGATCAAAAAGGGCAATTAAGCCATTTTACTTGTTTCAATTTTGTCTTTTTTGAAACTGAATTATTTTTGTGAGACAAAATTTTTTATCAAACTGCATTATTTTTGTGGGGCTGATGGAGTAATTAATTAATTATCGTCAATCAAGCAGCAAGTGCCACCTGGAACAAAAAACCGTCATTCAGTTTCTTCATCGTATTTGAACAAAAAACCGTCATTCAGTTTCTTCATCGTATTTGATCACTAACTGCAAAACACGATGCCAAAAACTGTATATCCCCATCACCCCCGGGCAGGAAAAAGTAGGCGGAAAAAATTGAAGATTTCTGGAAGATAGAGATTTAAGAAGATGAAGAGAAAGTCGTCATACAGAACGTTGCAGAAGAAATTGAAGGAACTTAAGACGGAAATTTATTTCGCCTTCAGTTATCCTCCGCCAGTAGATAATGCAGACATTACCAACGCCCAATACCATGAAGTCATCTCAGAAGACATTCAACAGCGTATTAAGTTCGTTAAGAAGCTCTTAATCGCGGAAAAGGCGTCGTTTCGGGATCCTTCAAAGCTTCAGCACTTACGCCACATTGCCAAGAAACTCGCACATTTGGAGTCCTTGTTCCACCAATGGGATGATCACCGAATAAGCACCGTTACTTCAACCGATCATTATGACGGCGTCAACCACTTCGGCGATGCGGCGGCGGAGGCTTCTGTATGTTCGTGCGACGATGATGACGATGTTGAATCCTGCCGTGACGATGACGGTGACGACGTTAGTGGTGAATTGGGTTTTTCGTCGGTGGTTTATAATGAAGTTGATCGATATGATTTGGGTTCTTTGGACGGGCTTGTGGATGTGAAGTTGGAAGAAGACATGGGCAATGGCCGGGAGAAAAACAGATGTATTGGCGCTGATGATGACCAAGTGGGGCCAACTGTGATTGGTAACAATCCGAAGCAAAAGAAAGGGAATAATATCGGCGGAGGTTTTTGTGGTGGGTTGATTACGGGGATGATTTTTGGGACGGTTTTGACGGCTTCGATTATGCACCGGTTTCTTAGTGATCGCCAGTATATAGTTATTGGAGATGCCTTTCTGTTTCCTACTTGATGTCTTGATCAATTTGAATTGCTTCATATTGGTCTGTTTCTGTCTTTGATAATGGTGTTTGTCATTCGTCTTTCGTTTTGCATTTTGACCAGACATATATATATATATATATACATATTTTTTTAGTAAATGTAATTATTTCATTTGTATTCACGATTGTTACCAAGAATGTTTAGGTAGGTATATTTGATATTGGTATCATTTCCTCCGTCTTAAAATTATTGTTTAGTTTAAATTTTTATTTTTAGTTCAAATTGTAATAAAATTAAAAATACAAACAGGACAATAATTTTGGGACGGAGGGAGTACTTATTTGGTAATTGCTGAACTTGATTTAAGGTTTATATGAATGATAATCTACCGGATACGGTAATTATGTTGATATATGCCTAGTTGCCTACTCCCAGAATGTGAATGAATAGGTTTGATTTTTTTCTGAACATTGCTTTATAAACTTTTAAAGCTTCCTAAAAGCTGGTTTTATTATACTTTTACCATTTCAAACCTTTTTGGCTGTCCGTTGATTTTTCAGGGTACAATACACAAGGGGAGGAATATTATTTCTATCCTATATATGCGTGACACTGACGTGGCTTATACACTTAAAAAGTTGCTCATGTGAATTAGTATTTTATTGACTGAACTTAATAGTCCTTAGAAAATTATATACTCTTCGTAATTGATAAAGATTTTGTATTCTCTTTATTCTAAAACAATTATTTTACTGTTTAATTTGGAAGGAAAAGAATACCTGCAAAGCCAACAAAGGTAAAAAAAAGAAAAGAAAAGAAAAGAAGAAAGTGGAGGCAAATAATTGTTTTACTCTGTTACTGTTTACTGGTGACAGAAAAGACGTCAACATTGTAGTAAATAATTGAGGGATTGAAGTGGGGTGAGAGAGACAGAGACTGCAGCAAAACTGGTGAAGTCAGGGAAGGCCACATGACATTGAAACTGATTCCAATATGGGTCCGATACAATACAAAGTCCCTAATCGCCTTTAGTTTTTGAGTTCCCATCAAAGATTCTTTGGTCTATGCCAATTTGCCCAATAATTTTGTCTATATCTCATCCTAATCTTTGTAATCAATACAGGCATCTCACACCAATGTTATTGCTCGAAATAGTTATTTTATTTGAATGTAAAAAAAAAAAAAGAAGATAATTTTGGAACAAAAAGATTGCAAACATTTCTGTCAACATCATGATTTTACGTTATTAGTTAACTAATAAAATAAGAGTACAAAGTTTGGATTAAGATTTAAGAGCATCTATTTATTATTATTTGATTTATTTCTCAGTTGTCCCACTCGCTCTCCAGCTGGTCACCATATTAAACCAAATCCAATTTCCCCAGTATCCCTTATCTTTCCCTTTTCTGACATTTTGACTATAATCGCCGCTATGAGTTTTCAGTGTTCACGTTTTACACCTGTATTTCAATCAATAATGATTTCTCTAATTTAAACCAGAGAAACCCCCCAGAAACTTTTATATGAAAAATGCACTTTTATAGTACACTGATATTTTGCATAAAAACCCCCCAGCCATCTCTCCCTGTATCGTCCCTTCCTTCTTTCAATTTGGTATTTCTCCGACCCGACCCATTTTGATTTGACAAATTCTCCCCATTGTAGCGTCTCCTACGTTGGCAAAGAAGAAGATGAGCCGGTTCAAGAGATGGGAACTCGTTGAGCACTCCGCATTTCCATGGGAGACTTCTCTTCTCTCATTCCCGCCCAACTCCATTTCCTTAAACCCCTGTTTCCCTTCCCTCTCTTCCATTGAAGACGAGCTCGATTTCACCCTCGATCTCCTTAACCACACCACCACTAAGCCTCCTCCGGCTCTGTTCGATTTTCCGTCGCCTTTTGACGGCTTCGACACCCTCACCGATCTGATCCAGGTTGAGAAGACCCCTTTCTACACCAAAACCCACCGAGTCCAGCGGCGCGTTGACCGTGCCGCACTCAGGAACGAGCTCTACCTTCAGAGCTTGTGCGACCGGGTTTCTGCACTGGAGCTGAGCTTTGACCGGTTGGCCGGAGCGAAGAAGTCCAAGATCGGAGAGAGGAAGTACACGTGGACGACGGAGATTAAGGATCCTGAAGAAGACGGCCTCGATCGCAAGTACAAATGGACTACTGAGATCAAGGATGGCAAGAAGAAAGGGCATCTGCACAAGAACTTCAAGTACACAGCTGAGATCAAAGGCAAGGGCGAGGACTCACCATTCTCTCGTAAGTACACCTTCACTGCATCCTCCGGCGATTCCGATGACAGCAGCGGCCACAAAGAGAAGGAGAAGAAAGATGTGAATAAAGATAAGAAAAAACCAGCGGGATCCACCCGTTTGGTTGAGATCCAGGATCACTCCTCCGATCATGGGGCCCTCGTCTTGAGACAGGTCAAAAAATTGAAATCCCAGTTCTTCACTATTCCAAACCATCGTTATCGCTTGTGTTTTTGTTAATTAATACGCACGTGAAGTGATTGATTTTTTTTTTTTTTCATACTTGATAGCGACGTCGTTTTTGAATTCTGTCATTTCTGAAAATGATGATGGTTTTTGATCATGTGTGTAGGCATTTGCTAGGAGGGTGGAGAAGTTGCGCGGGAAGAGGAAGGAGTTATCTCCCCAAGATGCGGCGATGAAGATACAGTTGTCCTTCAAAGCTTATTTAGTGAGGAGGTCACAGGCGTTGCGTGCACTTCGTGAGTTGGCCATTGCTAAGACCAAGCTCAAGGAGATCAGAGCTCTGTTCAACAACTTCTCTTACCGTCGCCGCCTCACTCGTGATGCCGAGGAGCGCCAGAGGTTCTCCGAGAAGATCATTGTGCTGCTTCTCACTGTTGATGCCATTGAGGTTATTTCCTGATACCTTGTACCTCGCGATCATTCATTGTCTGTGCATTTCTTTCCATTTTAAAGTAGCGGATTATGCATGGAAATATTTTCGTTGATTCAACGGTTTGTAACTAGTAATAAGTACTCCTAGTTTTAATTTCTGGATTAAAAGTAGGAAGAGAGGAGTATAAGAATGTTGAACTCGCTGTTAGTCCACTAGTGACTAGTCTGCATCAATGGTTGTTTCTAAAAAACATTTGATCTCATAACTCATGTACTAGTCTAGCTACATAATAGATTTAGATTGTAGAAGATAGTGAAACCTCTAGATGGTGTTATTTAGCAAGTTTGAAGGGTAATTCTCCGACTAGCTTCATTTTACGTTATTCATTGGTGATGCTGGTGACCTTAGTTCAAAGGTGCGTTGCATTGCATTTGTAACAGAGCATCAATGTTGGTTAGAAGCCAATGCTAGGGGGAAATAGATTTTGGTTTGAGTTGCTTGTGAAATCTTATGTTCTATCCGCAGGGAGCTGATATGCTCGTGCGGGCTGCTAAGAAGTCGATGGTGGATGAGTTGGAAGCCATGCTAGATGTGGTAGACCCGCAGCCAGGTGGAAGATCACAATCCATGAAGAGGAGAACATTTGATATGCCTGATTCAGTGATTCAGAAGGAACTTGCCGCTGGTGTAGCCCAGGTAGTTCAGATGCTGGATGATGAAGCTAATGTTTCTGAAACCCTCGAAGCCAACTTATGATTCTCTGTCACTGTTGTGAAATTACCACTTCTATGCATCTTCTTTTGTTGTCCCTTTTTCTAAGCAAAGAGGTTAGATTATGCATATGTGGACATGTTACCACCGGATGCGATCTTGCTTGTGTTAGTTGTCTGCATAGGCCTTTCAGGCGATTTGCTTTGTGTTGGAAGAGCTTGTTTTCAGCCCCATGACTAATGAGGGTTTCTACTCGTTAAAAGTTATTTAGACTCTGTAATGGTTCAAGTTAAACTCAATCCTCTGCTTCTTAGGCTAACTTCTTGTTTATTTATATAATGTTGTCATCTCTTTTAAGATGATACATTCTGGCATATCTTGCTGTGTTCTTTTCCTTTGCATCGCCTGCATGGTATTTCGAGATACACAAATGTGCCTTGACCAGTTGTTGGGTCAGTCCAGTTTTACATTAACGTTTAACTTCAACTGCTTCATCTTAGCATATTGAATCTCCCTCGAGTCCAGTGCTATCGGTTGTTGTTCATTGAATTTGATCAAGTTGTCCGAATTTGGGTGGGTCTTTCGTCCACTGATTGTCCGTGCTGTCATCAGAGACTCAAGAAATAAGCAAACAAGTTTACGTGGAAATATATCTTGTAGGTGAAACAAGCTAAAAAAATAGTATATAGAATTTCAAATTTATTCCTCTTAAATTCAACTTTAAAATTCATCATGGTGTATTTTCCCCGCCGGAGATTGGGGGCCGCAGTAAATGACTAAAAACGGTTAAAAAGACAGAAAACTATAGAAGAAGAAGAATTTGCATTTCTGCACCATTTTCCTGGATGCTTTTCTATGAGTCAGCAATTTTGTGGGCTCAGTTACCTGATAGGACAGGACCAATGGTAACCTTCGCCCAGCGGTCCATGTAAGCATTTCATGAGTGAAACTATTGAGCGGGTAAGGCTGATCCAAGGTCCCATATATTCTTAATTCCGAGCCCATTGATTAAGGTGCGTTAGTCCCTCCTCTCTCATATATTATGGGTCCTCGTCTTAACCCAAGGGAAGAGGAATGAGAAAAAAACACCAGCATAAGGATTTGTCACTATTGACAATGTTGACAGTGTATCATATATTAACAAAAAAAGAAAAAAATCACCATCATGTTAATGAAAATACTGGAATGAGTAATTCTAAGTTGCATCTAGTAATCATTAATTCTTTTTTTTTTTTGTTATTTTAACTTTTTTTTGGTTATCTACAATACTCCTCATTTTCTCATACAAGCCTAAATTCCAATAACTTGTGCTTCATCGGTCTCTTGAAATATATTTAGGTCATTTATTACTCACTTACTATAACTTAAGGAAGAAAAAGTTTGATAGTCAAAATAACTAAATAAGTGAGTTACATTCAACATGCCGCCAAATTAGGCATGTTCATTGGGTCGGGTAAACCGAGATTTGACCCGACCCTAACTCACTTTGATATTTCGGGTTCATTTAAATCGGTTTAACTAGTTGCTATTTGGTCAAAACTGAACTAATTATTTGGTCAGCGAGTATTGTCGGGTAATTCATTATACACCCAAATGAGTCAAACTCAGTCTAATTTTCTTCCAACCTTTCATTCGCTCCTTCAACCTCATCATCAATTACCTTCAGATTGACTTCCACCAAATTTCACCTTCAAATCCATGCGGGCAACGTCTTTCAACATCGGATCTAAGTTCTTTGTGGGTTAATCTAATATTTATCAAAGAGATCTGTGTGGGTTTAGTCGTTTATTTGGCTCGAGGCTTCGGCTAAATTTATACCCAAATTCTCTAGATCTAACGGACTTCGGCTGACTTCATTGAAGCGGCAAACTAATATCAAAGAAAGGTTTGTGTTAATTTCATCCAACTTGAATTATTTCCTCCCTTTTCCGTTTCACCTCTGCGTAGATTCTCTTAAAGGGAAGAGGGGCCTAATTAGGCAATTTTAGTTTTATCATAACTCTTTCCTTTTTTTTTTCTTTTTTTTTTTTAACTCTTTTACTTTCAATTTAATTTCCAACTATTCTCTCAGGAGTTACTTGGTATGTAAAACTATATTCTCTTGGTATGGAAAAAAATTTGCAACCAAAACTCTGTTTAAAAAAAATTAATATTTTACTTCCGGCGAAAAAGGAAAAAGTTAACTTCGGGATATACCCGAAACCCGACCAAGAACCCGAATAACCGAACATGTTATTCGGATTTTATGAAAGGAGAATGTGTGTTTAGTTTGGGTTAACCTGATTTCACCCGTGAGTCCGAAAAAACTGTACCCGTGAACCCGAAAATCCGATAATTAGACCGATGAACAGGTCTACGCCAAATTAAGAGACACTAAAACTTGAAGTGATTTAACCAGTTGATGTAGACCGTGGATAGTATAATAATTAGATCATTATAGCTAATCTTTAATAAAACGAAAGTAAAGCTACAAGTTGGGCATCTAGAACCGGTGGATTATATCATGTAAATGGGAACCAAGAGATTATAATGGCTGATTCCTCTTTACGAGAACCATTTTCATTGTATTTTTCTTTTTTCTATTTTGTTCGTGTCGGCAAAATAAAAGCTGCTATACATTTCATTTCATGTATTTCCTTCTGTCTTATAATTATTGTCCAATTTAAATATTTCACTTTTAGTACAATTTGAATTGCAAATGAAAATTCAAACAAGATAATAATTATGAAACGGATGGAATAACAAGGAAAAAACAAAACAAAATGCACGCTCAAGAACTCAAGTGATATATAGTGGTTGAATAATGCAAGGTGAGTAAATAATTCACGGCCGAATCCAACCCACCTTCGCCTTCCGACTTTCTTACGGCTGCGCCTCAACCCACAGACTTTCTGTACTTGTACTACTATATATTAGTAGTATTACTCTACCATTTCTGTTTGTACTTTTCTGTTCATGTAGTACTACTCCTACCATTTCCTTTTAGGGGATTTTTGAAGACGAGGGAGGGAGTGGAATTACTGCATGCCCCTGCCGCAATTCTTATTCAATTTGCTGACTAAGTACCGATTAAAGTCGTTTTGAGAGTTGTGAGTTTGATTAATTAAAGACTAAATTCTTCACTTTCTAGACTTTTTTTTTTTTGTCGGCTTGACGGGATCTCGAGTGTTGTTGATTCAGTACAATGTCAGAAAATCAATGTTCTGAGAACTTTCCCAATCAAGCTTATCATAGTACTCGTAAGAATATTATTCTCAACAATATTATCGATCCTTGACGCCAGCGATTACGCCAACAGCAGCTTCGTATATTTTTCTAATCAAGCAAGCTATATACATAGTTTATTATATATATACTTACTCCGATATTTAATGTAAGATATTTTGATATGTCTTAAATTTAATCTAATATACATTTTTAATTAACAAGAAAATTTTAAAAATATTTTATAACAATCAAGAGAACACATTGATTGTGAATTTTAAATTTTTTTATCAATTAAAAATGTGTACCAAGTAAGATCTATAACAAATCAAAATGTATTATATTAAGGAACCGGAGGAGTATTATAATACTCCAGGTAACGTTGGTACTTATATATTACGTATCAATGCACATTTACGTCGCCGAAAACGTACCCATTTGGAGATAGCTGTAAGCTGTTCTCACGTAAAGCAATAATCCACCTAACATGCCCTGACCTATTAGTCTACAGTGTAGATGTCTATATACACAATTACACACCATTTAAATTGCTGGTGCTCGTTGTCTAATTTCCATATGCTCTTGTCGCGTGTTGTGTTATGTTGGTTTCAAGTTTCAACATTTAAAGAGGTGTGGAAAAGTTTTTATACGTGTTCACTCGGGATGTCTTGTGATTCTTGTACTAAAAAGTCAAAAAATAATGGGCTGTAAGCACGAAATGTTGCAAATTTAATTGGAGAAATTGGAATAGTGACTGTAAATATTTACTCCATCATATATCATCACGGTGACCACTTTCATTAACTTTGATTAATCACTTCAAATGATTTTTTCGAAACATCACACAATAATATATTCTTCTTGTATCAAAATAATTGTCCAGTTAGATTTTTTACTTAATAATATTAAAAGTGAAAAGTCTAACTAAACGATTATTTTAGAAAGAAGAGAGTATATAAATTAAGCTAAAGTATCAAACTTTGATAATATCATTCAGTACAGTGGCGGTTAGATTACGGTCTGCCCAAGCAAAGTCCGGGAGAAAACGGTCAACGTTGGATGATTGGAACGATCCAAGGTAGGTTAAAAAGGTGGGAACCTGATGCCGTAGAAATGTTGCGGGGGAAGAAAAGACCAATTATTTAAGGGATCTGGCTTAAGTATCTTTGACTGGTATGGATTCTCAGTTTCTAACTAGTATCGATCGTATCTATCTTAGATTACAAGAGATCGAGAAATGGTCCTTTTTGCTCTTTTTAGCTGTTTCGTAATGCTATTCCTCTGTGGATCCACGGGATCACTGACTCGGATTCTGTCCTTTTTCACCTAGTTGTATATATAAAACAGTCACATTTTTACTAAAATGGGTAACATGTCTTTTCCCGGAAAATGTACATTTCTCCACTTAAATATGTCAATAAGCTTTGATTCTTCCAATCTAAACTCACAAACTTCTAATAATGATGTTCACCTTGCTTAGAGAGAAAGTCCTTTTCTTCTTTAGATATGCCCAATGGCGCTTAAAAATAAATGTAGACTTTGAATAGTGACAAACAGGGTTTTTTTTTGTTTTCTTCTAGAGACATCATGAACATGACCCGCATTCAATTCAATTCCAATATATCCTACCTACCAATTTTACTTAGCTGTTGTGAGTCGGTCATGACACATCCTAGTACCGTACCATGTCCAGGTTCATCATCAAGCTACATAATGAAAATGATTAATGACATTTACAGTACATACTAGATTACTAAATAAATTGTTGAAAAAGTCTGAAGAAAACATCAAAAAGAGGAAATGCTGACAGGTATAAGATGACCATAACTTAATCATTAATTTCCCAATTAAGGTTAGCCTTCATGGTAATATGGTATATTGAGTCAGTGGGATTATAGGATTTCTGAAAAGACGAATCTGGTGTGGAAGCCGGTAATGTGTCTGGCTATGGGAGGTTTAATTAATATTCCATCTGTATCGAAAATAATACTCTCCTTGTTTCATAATTATGGTCCAATTTTAAATTTCACTTTTAGTACAATTTGAATTAGAAATGAAAACTCAAACTGGACGATAATTATGGGACGGAGGGAGTATCACAATTGTAAATAATATTTTTGTTAGTCTCACAAAAATAATTGAAAATGTAAATGGTCCTAGAAATATTACAATTCTAAAAGGAGTATAATAGAGGATTGAGATTGAAGTGTTGAGTGTCGACAACTCGGGAGGGAACCATCAACCAAGTGGGCAACTATGTTGGCTTTGTTAAACAATTTAGCCTTCTTAATCTCGCGAGCTCTTTTTAAAAAATCAGACTTTGTTTGTTTTGTTTTTTGGATAGTTTTTCATAATATAAAATAATAAATGTCTTATGCCAACATACGTTTTTACATTTTCAATACACATTTTTACATTTTCAATACAAAAAATACATATAAATACACACTAAAAAAAAGAAACAAAAGATTTTTAAAACTACATTTTTCAATGGCCGCATGGCCAGCTCGATTGACGGAGAGGATTAATCAATCAGTTCTTCATTATAACTGGCCTTATAAACCATGAAAAGCAGCATACATTGAAAAGAACATCTAGCCCTACATACCTCCAAAAAGACAATTTTCCTCAGCCCATTCTTAATTTTTTTGCCCTTGGCATCCTCAAAGTAGACATCCTGGTAGCGCCGCTGCCTGTTTACCATTTTCCCATTCCCTTAAAAGTTTAAACAGAATATTCCAACTTAGGATTTGTTTATTTCATTTTTTTAGTGTGCGTTTTTAAATATTTTTTGTATTGAAAATGTAAAAGAGTGTATTGAAAATATAAAAATATATGTTGAGATAAAATAGTTATTAATAAATTAATTTAAAAATACTATAAAAAAAAAAAACAAACAAAGCCTTAACGTCTGAGTGAAAATGATCAAAATTGTGATTGAAAAGATTGATGGCGAATTTATTTTTTTCGTTTGTTAACACATCTTCTCTCGTTAAACAGGGAGGAGGAAGCCGCACGAGGAAACAAAGATCTGTCACACGTGAAAACCAGGGGGTGAGGGGGGGCGAACCACATGCCACGTGGCATTTCTTCAAGCCAGTATTATTTCGTGACTGCCGAAGCGTCATTGTAAACCAAAACAAAGCATGGGGCCCATGAGAAAAATCACCCAATAGGCAACACGAAAAGCTGGCTGGTTAGCAAGTGGCCCACCACAGTTGGTCCCACCGCGCCTCCCCCTTCACCTCGGTTTTTCTCTCTCCAAAAATTTCCGTCGAAACCTAACAAATTACAAAAGGGGTCCTAACCGTCACCGACGAAGACGACCAGCCAGCTCTGAAGGGAAAGCGACGGGACGACTCGGATCCGTCCCGGAACTGACGTGGCGGGACCCGCCGTACAACGTGGACACGTCAGCTTGACACAACCCACAGGTGTCCTCACGCGCATGATGGGAAGGCGGGGAGCTTTAAAGTCATTGTTACACGTGTCTCTTTTGAACTTTTCGGAAAGATTTTCCTTTCCGGTTGATGCGGCGGGGCCAACCTGGCTGGCTGGCTCCTGGGGGTATTTTTACATTTTTAGTTAGTTTGGCAGTTTTTATTGTTATTATGAGGTAATTAAAAAATAATTTAAAAAACCTACTTATATTATTAGTCTCTAATTGCAGCCGCAGGATGCTTCCGTTAATGACTTCATCATCACCGTAACTAAAAGTCCAACCGTGTTTCACACTATTTCTCAACTACCAGTAAAATAGTAGTAAAACGAACCTAATATTAATCCAGGCATGTGTGCATTTGTTTTCCTTCTATTTTATGTATAGCTATATAATAATCTATTGTAATTTACTAATACTATTATATTTTTAAGTCTCAAGCGTCCTCTAAATTTCTTAGCTATTATACTGTAATTAATAGCCTAAAAGACGAATTAGAGAGACTGCAAGGTAATCTAGCTTTGAAGGAGTCAGCTCGATTGGATTCTCCTTTTTAATATCTATACAATCTACTCCCTACGTCTCACAAAAATAGTCTACATTGAGTTTTGAGTTTTATACTATTTTTAATATAAATTTAAATACTCAATGTGGACTACTTTTGTGAGACGAAAGTAATATTTTTTTTTTACAAAGAAGGAGGCATAAGCCGATGATACCAAACTAGTACACAATGTGGGTGTAAAATACATATTACATCGTGTTCCAATCAAGGAACTATCTGGCGGTTTAGTAAGTTTTACCAAACCCACCGGTAGAGTAGAAACTAAAATAACAAAAAAGTCGGCCACAAAGTTTGCTTCTCCATAAATATGTACCAACTCCACAATCTCTTCAAAAGATTATGTATGCATTTGCATCGTCCAATGCTTATGATATTGAAAATTTAACGTGACTTTGAATTCTTTAATCAGAAACTTTATAAATCGGAAATTTTAAAAAATTCAAAATAAGACTAGAAACTAAGGTCAATTTGAAAACATACTCCAAACCTTAACGGTAATAACTGATCCCCCAATGTTCAGGGAGATTTTTTTTTTCTTTTTTAAAAATGAACTAGCGAGGTAAGAAAGAATTAAGGTAACTCGTGGAGAGTAAACATATTTTCTTGGACAAAAAAATTCAACGGCCGCAGGTAGAAAAATACACGCGTGCTTCAAACGTGGTCAAATCGCGTTCGTGGAGGCGTATTAAATAATTCATGAAAAACCCGTTCTTAGTTTAAAAGCAACACACCTTTTCTTGTTATTTTATTGTTCCACCCACAAATAGCCCTCAGTAAATTACTAATAAATTCATTTGAAAATTTAAGAAAATTTTGCCTTCTGTGGCACGTCTCTTTGCACCCCCAATTTCATAGACTCAGAAGAGACAGAGTGCCTATATATATATAACCCCCTGTTCTGTCCATTAAACCCTTCTTCTCTCTTTCTTTCTTCTCTCCCATTAATCCCCATTTCATTGTTAGTTTCCCAATTTCAATCGCAAATTGCCCACTTCCTCCGACGTTACAGAAAATCGACAAAAAGAGGAAGTCTTCTTTCCTCTGAATTTCAGTTTCCGACAACACCACAGGTATATATTCCCTCCAATTGAAATTGATCTCCAATAATTACTTCTTGAATTTTGCATTGTCGGAATTGAAAATTGACACACATCCTCGTTCTCCACAAAAAGATTTTCCCCTTTTTTAATCAGCCCGTAACGTAAATGTGACATCATTGTGTGTGTTTTCCCGTTCCCTCGTTTTGTATTTAAAAAGCATGGTAAAATTGGTAACACCCGAGTAACGTTTGGTTTGTGTGATTGGTGGCTGTTCCCTTTGAAGGTTGGTTGAGTACGCAGTTTCCAACATTTGTTTTCGTTGAACGTATAAGTTTCTTTTCAATCAGGTTCGGGTTTTTCACCGTTCGTATCTCCTCAATTTCTGTTTTGATTCTCCCCAGCTTTGGTGTGAATTCTGGTGTTTCTCTGTCTGTCAAGAATTGTTTTTTTTTTTTTTTTCCCCTGAAGTGTTCGTTTCTTACATTTTTGTTGCATTTTGATTAAAATGATGAGTTTTTGATTCCGAACAAAAGGGTTGGTATTGGAATCGTTTTAGAACTTTTGATGCTGCCAGGACAATGTCGATGACTCCCAAGAATTGATTTTTATTTGGGTTCAGTTATTTCCCTTTCCCCCAGCCATCCAGACAAATACATTTGAAAATCTTTGGCTAAAATGCCTGCCTTCAGAGCTGTATCTAATTGAACTGCTGATGTGATGGAATGAGACAAATAAAGCTTTCATTTCATTTTCCATTTTCATTGTTATTTAAGCATTGATATTAGGTCAATTCTCACTACAACGACAAGAAAGCGACAATGATTTTGTCAATATATCCACCAATCACTTTCATGGGGTTCTCCACTAGGAAGGGGAAAAAAGAACAAGTGAATTGTAAATTGCATTTCTATTTCGATCCCAGTATTTGTTATCAATTTGCCCTGTTCTTACTGGTGTAATGAAACTGAAAGTTTACTGATGTTATCACTAACTTCCAACGGCAGTCACATTGGATTGCGTGATGGCAACTACTGTATGGGGGTGTTTTTAATTTTAATCGATTATTTTCCATATCACGGTTTTGTTTTCTTTCTGAAATTTATTGTTCTGGGTCCAATGATTTAATGTCATCCCATGCCAGTGCCACTATGTAGGACATTTATGTGTGGTTGCATATGCTCCTGCTTTTCTCCCACTTTCTGGTCTTACATCTTCAGAAGTATATCTCCGTCGCTATACATTTTACCCAAAATAATTGTTGCTCTTTCATTATTTTTCAGAATGCACTCTAATAAAGTACAGAAATGTCTGTGGTCTGCTTCAATACTGTTATCATCTTGCTAGTTTTGTCTTTTACCAGATAACTTGCCCTGTTTTGTTGCTCTTCAACATCAGTGCCTAGTAAGAGTTTATTCATTTTGTCCATCTTTCCAATATGATGTTCTTGATTGATTGACATATAAAGCTATGAACCTTTACAGGTTTCTGAAACTTTCCTACTGTTTACGTATTTGTCCATTGAATATCTTGCAGTGGTAGACGGTGTAGGGAATAATGCATTTTAATTTATGCTGCTTATAGTTTCAATAACTTGCACTGGTTATTAGTTTGTAATTTAGTCGCTTTCCCATTCTTATCCCCTTCTAGGCCCATACGGAATAGGGACTTGAGAAGCATTAGGTGGTTAGCATTACTTCTCCTTACCCCCCTTGCTTTCCCATCTTCTTTGTTTAGGTTTCAAGTATTTCTAGGAAAATATTCCTAATGGTTCTGTTTCAGAGAACTAGTTTCAAATACTTTTGCAGCTTAAAACATTTGTGATTCTAGACTTTTTCATAGCCCAAATTGGTTTAACCACTCGACAGTTTTATTGTGTGATGTGCAATTCTTAACATGGGCTTCATTTACCGAGATGGTAATTTTTTTATTTGGTTTCAAACTTTTCATAACATAGTGTTTCCAAGTATTTTTGACAGTCATATACTTATGTGCAAGTGGTAAAGGGATTTGCGACTTCTGTTTTCAACCTATAAAGTCAAAACCTTTGCGATTCCTTATTCACTTCAGGTTTTTCCTTATGTTTCTTTTGATTCCTATGTTAGGTCAACATGTATGCCAGTCAAATTTGGCCTTCACATGCATTGGGCTATGTGACCAACTTGCAAAGTTGGCACACCTGTTTTTTCTTTAATATTTTGCTCTTTGCCCAAACTATAGATTTGAGGCCAAGTTGCTGCAGTACTTAATCTAGACCTCAAAACTGTTTTTGCAGTGATTACATTTTTAATAGAGTGCCTCGGCCTGAAGTTATGATGTTCAAGTAAGCTCTTATGTTAATCAATTCGTGTTCTTCTAGTTTATTGTCTTTGCTCTATTCACTCACCCAATCATTTCATGATTTTTAGGCTTCTGCTGCATTCTGTTTGATGGACTACACTCCAGCTAGTAGTGACAAAGAAACTCTCAAGAAGTGGTTTTTCATTGACAAAAGAGTTGGTTAAAGATAACTTTGAGGTTCAGGTAGCAGAAAAACCTGCTTAATTTGAGCCCAGTTAAAAGTTCAAGAGCGCCGAGTCACTTTAAGCCTAGTACAGCATCTCTCGGGACAATGGACCTGAAAGCAAATCACACTTCCCCTGTCCTTGCTGATCCTGCTCCTATGAACGAATCAATGTTAGGCTTGCATTCTGCCATGTTGCCATACTCCCCTAATGGTGCAACTTTCTCACCAGCACTCTTCCTCACAATTCCGAGGAAGAAGACTGGTATACTGGATGATGTAAAGTCTGTTTCTTGGCTGGATGCCATGAGGGCATCGTCTCCTACTCACAACAAAGTGGCTGCTAAAGATTTGAGCCATGATCAGCAGTCATCAAATGATACAGACATTGTATATCGTAACTGGATGGTACAGTTTCTTTGACCCAATTTGAAACATCAGAATTCAATGCATGAGAGAGTTGCATCAAGGTGATGTGTTGCTGAAATGTATTTATTCATTTTGCAGCTCAAGTATCCGTCAGCTCTTGCATCTTTTGAGCAGATTACTAACTCTGCAAGAGGCAAAAGGCTAGTTTTGTTTTTGGATTATGATGGTACTTTATCGCCAATTGTTGACAATCCTGACAACGCCTTCATGTCAAGAGCTGTGAGAATGCCACTTTTACCATTTTTCAGTTAATAATACTTTGAATGCATTTTCACTTGTGTATTGTGTTTGCTTTAACAGTGATTTTCTTATTTTCCAGATGCGTGCTGCTGTGAAAAATGCAGCAAAATACTTCCCCACGGCAATAATAAGTGGTAGAAGTCGTGACAAGGTATGAGAGATCTACCAGCCAATCTGTCTTGTTTTGACTGAATATACACATGATTTTCGAATTTATAAATTTCAAATTTTCATAGATTCTTCTTACCTGTACTTGTTTCAGGTATGTGAGTTTGTAAGACTGACTGAGCTTTATTATGCCGGCAGTCATGGGATGGACATAATGGGTCCTGTCCAACCTGTTTCCAAGGACCACAAGAAATGTATCAGGTCCATTGACAATCAGGTAAAGCTCCTAAAACACTGATCTCTGACACTTGCAACAAATTGCATGACTTTTTGAATTTCTGGTGTGATGAACTTTGATGTAAGACAGAGTCCATTTTCTTTGTGGCTGTAGGGTAAGGAGGTTATTTTATTCCAACCGGCGAGTGAGTTCTTACCCATGATAGACGAGGTATATTATATGACCTATTCAATTTGATTGCAATGTAAGTTTTACCTTGTTCTGTCCTTGACCACAGTTGCTTCAATTCAATTCATGTTTTATCAGGTCTTAAAAGCTTTGATAGAGAAGACAAAAGATATCAAAGGAGCAAAAGTTGAGAATAATAAATTTTGTGTGTCGGTGCACTATCGGAATGTTGAAGAGAAGGTATAATTTGTCGAATGTTCTCAATCTGAATCCTGGAAAAAATAATTTATTAACTTTCATGTAGCTGATGCTGATGTAAAGTTGTTTCCTGAATGAATAATCTCAGTACTGGACAACGATTGCGCAATATGTCGAAGAAGTTATGAAACAGTATCCTCGATTACGTCTAACGCACGGTCGAAAGGTAATAATTGTTTTTCTATCATTTGAGTTTTACTCTTAGATTAAAGTTGTACATCATAAATAAGATCAGATGGAGTATCTTATGTTACCCTTTCACTGATGGGATGCTTTCTTTTCTCTCTTCCAGGTTTTAGAAGTCCGACCTGTGCTTGATTGGGACAAGGGGAAAGCTGTTGAATTTTTACTGGAATCACTTGGTATGCAGATTTGCTGCTTCATATTGGATTCTAAACATTCTTCCTCTACAGTCTACATTAACTTTAATAATGTCATACGAAAGTAGTCAATTTGACACTTTGATAAATTATGTAGGCTTGAGCAACAGTGACGAAGTATTACCAATATACATTGGAGATGACCGAACCGATGAAGATGCCTTCAAGGTAAAACCAGTAACAGAAAGAACCTCATTGTTTCCGTGGATGATTAGATATTTAATAGGTTGGTTTTCATTGTGAATATGAACAGGTTTTGAAAGATAGCAACAGGGGTTATGGAATCTTGGTGTCATCTGTACCTAAGGAAAGTAATGCATCCTACTCCCTCAGGGATCCATCAGAGGTAAAGAAAAAAATAAAATAAAATTTCTTACTATTGTACGGTCAATGTGAAATGAGATATCTCAATTGGTTTTCCAGTTTCAGAGAACTTCTTTTGGCTGCATTATTGAGTTATGGTATGTATGCTTTTTTCTTAGGTGATGGATTTCCTGAAGCGTTTGGCAAGATGGAAGATGTCAAGTGCTCTATAGTCGGGGAGATTGAAGAAGCAAAAGAAGAGTTTAACACATTGATTAATACGTATACCATTAATTAGAGTACAATTCCGGGATTTAGCTTAGTCTTGTTTAAGAATAATAATAAATAATATGATTGGGGTTTAGGAGCAGAGGTGCCTCTCATATGTATCCAGCAACTTGTGGAGCAGGGACAGTAGTTTTGTTGTGTCCTGCTCGTGACTTCCCCTGTAAATCCCCCCCTTCTTTTCTCAGACGGTCTAATGGTGCCAGGGATGCCCCCATTCCCGAGCGTGGTGTAAATCATGCTTTGTATTCTTATTTCAGTTCCCATTTATATTTTCATTTGTTGATTTCTCCCAAAGGGGGTGCATATCAACATTCATTTATTTCTTGTATTCACTTTTTACAATGAAATTCATTGTTAAAGTTTATTCTTGAATTGTTTACATACTCCCTCCAGCCTAAACACGACAATCATTTTGGGTAATGAAACGCTTTTTATATCTAAGGTAGAATTTGTATTTGTTGTGCGCAATCTTAGTTAAAATGCGGTGCCTGAGACACACAATTCAAGTATGTTTGATGATTTCTTTGATTCTTTGGATCAGAGTTTGTCATTGAGATGCGAAACTAGTTTTTACTCTCTCCATTCCAAAATAAGTGTTGTTTTAGCAAAATGGAGAAATTCTAAAATAAGTCTCATTCTCACATTTCAATGCACTTTTTGTCAAAAGTTTCCAAAATTACTTTCAAAAGAGTTGATGCTATTGGTGGACAATTTTATAATAGGATTGGTTAAGGATATTCAAGTAATTTTATTACACTATTTAAGAGTTTCTTAAACTATGTGCAAAGTATAAGACGACACTTATTTTGGAATGGAGGGAGTACTTTTGAGGGTAAAAAATGGAGATACAAAGGGATAACTTTAGCCCAAAAAAGGAGCACTTTTGTCCGGTTTCAGCTTACTGGTGGCACTTTTGGCTGTTCCTTTCAGCTCGACTTGGAGATAGGGATGTCATCCCCGATCTCCCAATTCCAACCTATATACGTCACCGGTGATGTTGCCACCTGCATCCTGCAGCTTTTCTTCAGAATCCGTTACAAAGAGATGAGCTTTTCTCTCCATAAAGCTGGCCAGAAACTCGAAAACCATAAAACCCAGACAACGGAGAGCCGGTGAGTTTAAATCAGCATTATTGTAACCCCTTTTCGCCTATCTCCATTCTGAAAATGTCTACGGGATTGATATTGAGTTTGCCTACTCGTTTGTGCTGCAGGTTTGGATTGCCCGTTTGAATGATTATGCCGGTCTCTCTTCATTCCTGAGTTCCCTTTGCTTGCCTCGTTGATAAGCTTTAACAGTAAGCTCGAACTTTCCTTTAACTTGCGGTGGTGTTCAGTCCTTATTTGCTATTGCTGGTTAAGTTGCTTCTTGTTCTATCACAGGTATATGAATAAAAAAACGTAAAATATAAATCATAGAAGTTGGATCATTGTTCACCCTGAAATAGTGGAAGCGAACGCTAGTTTTCATGACAGGACAGATGATGGTAGCAATCGTTATATGACTTGGGTTGGAAAATGCGGATTAACTAATTTAAAAGTTGTTGAATGATGATTAGTTTCTGATTCTTTAAAGGAGGGTATATGGGTATGCATTAGTACTCTTTAGTATTCTTGAGTATGATTGTATGAGAAAGAGTGCTTTTCTGTGGACCTTTTGGGGAGTTTCTTTGGTTGTTTGCCTCTTCCTGGTGGTTGTGACTAATTCAGTGTTTAGAAGAAGGATTTAGCTTATATTGAAATGAATCTTGCAGATCCATTGTTGAGAGAGACACTTGAGGAGTGATGATGTTCCTCAGCTCAACTATACGGATGAAGAAATCAAGCACCGTTGCACTTCTTCAATTTACCTCTTTTCTTTTATATGCCATTTTCTGGGCAGCTTCTGCTGCTGATGCTCACAAAGAAGACGACTTTCTTGGTTGCCTTATGCACCATTCCAACGATCCTGTTGCATTTTCCAAACTGATTTCTACACCCCTCAGCACTTCCTACTCCTCAATCTTGAATGTATCCATCCAGAACATGAGGTTCACACTGCCAAACACCCGGAAACCTCAACTCATCCTTACTCCAGATCATGAATCACAGATACAAACTGCAATACACTGCTCCAAGAAGCACAATTTGCAGGTTAGGATCCTGAGTGGCGGCCATGATTTTGAAGGCAGTTCTTACGTTTCTGATGTCCCCTTCTTCGTTCTCAACATGTTCAACTTCAGATCAGTGTCTGTAGATCCCGAAAGCCGAACAGCATGGGTTGGAGCTGGAGCAACTCTTGGTGAAACATACTACAACATTGTCAAAGTAAACAGTTCCTTGGCCTTCTCAGCTGGATACCATCATACAGTTTGTATCGGCGGGCATGTCAGTGGAGGCGGGTACGGACCCTTGCTCAGAAAATTCGGACTTGCAGCTGATAATGTCTTGGATGCTCGCGTTATCGATGCAAAGGGAAGAATCCTTAATCGGAAATCCATGGGTGAAGATCTCTTCTGGGCAATTAGAGGAGGAATGGGAGCCAGTTTCGCGGTGATTCTGGAATACAAAATAAGATTAGTTGAAGTCTCAAATCACTTGACAGCATTTCGTCTCAAAAGAACTCTAGAACAAAATGCAACAGAATTAGTCCACAAATGGCAATTCGTTGCACCCAAGTTGCCCGAAAACCTGCTTCTTGAACTCCAATTAACGGTTGTTCAGTCAAATGAAACAGGCAAGAGAACTGTACAAGCTTCATTCGTTACCCTGTTTGAAGGTGGAGCTGATGAGTTAGTTGGCCTAATGAAAGAACATTTCCCAGAATTAGGCGTGGCTAAAGAGGACTGCGTCCAATTGTCAAGTTGGGTTGAATTCATAACGTATTTTTATCACCTCCCCATCGAAGATACCTACAAACTGCTAAAAAGCAGAGTCCCTCTGTCCCCTAAAAGCTTCTTCAAATCCAAAGCAGACTTCGTTCAAAAGCCTATCTCGAAAGCAGGGCTTAAGAAACTATGGGATCTTGTAATTAAAATTGATTCCCCGCCTGTGGGAATGAATTGGACACCTTACGGGGCAAGAATGGCTGAGATCCCAGAATCAGAAATCCCATTCCCACATAGGGCTGGCAACATATTCATGGTGTTCAAGAAGATCCAGTGGCATGAAACAAACCCAGAGGTAATGAAAGAGCGTCTTGCTTCAATGCGAAAGCTCCATAGACTTATGGGTGAGTTTGTGGATAATAATAACCCTAGAGCTGCTTATGCAGACTACAGGGACCTGGATTTGGGAGTCAATAACGTTGGGAAAACAAGTGTTGAACAAGCTAGGATCTGGGGAGCTCCGTATTTCAAGAATAATTTTGATAGACTTGTTAGGGTGAAGACTATGGTTGATCCTGATGACTACTTCAAGAATGAGCAGAGCATTCCACCTTTTTCAACTCATTCATCCCGGTCGAACCAATGAACTTCTTTTACCAATTTTTTTTGCCATATGTGTGAGTTTAGATTGAGAATCTCTTAAAAAGAGTCTTTAAATAAGAAGAAAGTGGCTCTTTATGTCACTAGTTGCAATTTGGTTTGCTTTAATGTCTAGACACTGGTATTCAGTTTTTCTTCGTCGGGTTTAGATGTTACTGTGATCTTTTGCAAATTGCAAAGAGAGAATCAAAATGAAGTTTTAAGGTGAAGAGGTAGGGATTAAAGAAGCTGAAATTAGATGTTACCTGGCATCAAAATTCATCCGCGATTTAGCCGTTCTATTTGACGAAAGGAAAAAAAAAAAAAAGACCCAAATAAAAAATCTTTACACTAATTCGAAGTAGTAGTACATGATTCAGTGCTTTTTATTCTTATTTTAATGGTAATCAATTTTCTAGAGTCTAATAGATGATAATACCTCAATTATCAAAATTGAGACGTAAAAGAGTTCTTTTTGTGTTCATTCATGTGGTGGGTGTCCGGGTGGGACACCTTGAGCAGAGTCTGGTCAAGATTCGAGCCAGAAAATCAAAATTTTGTATTGTTAAAAACCTTTCTAGTACATTTCTGAATTTTGGCTTTACATTTGGATTAAATTGGACACGTTATCTCCCCCCGCCTTGGCATTTAGCCTCCCAGGTCCAATCACACTATGTCACCTGTGACGTTGCTTTGTACCCGCTGCACTGCTTGAGAATCTGTTATAAAATCTTCAACTCCACAACGGAAAGCGCAAGGTTCAACAGCCAGCCAGTGGATCGACAAGAAAAGACGGATTTGTTGGATAAATGTGATTGAAGTTTTGTTGCATATGATTTAACTCATTTGGTATTTTTCTGGGAATGTTTCAGGATTCACTGTGTTGTTTGACCAATGACTACCATGATGTAGCAGGTTTTTGATTTACACACTTGAAGGAATTCCATCGTTCGCCGGGCTGATTAGCTTAATCCGTAAGCTCAATTTTTCTCCACTTTTTTGTTGTTGTTGGTCCAGTTCAGTTCTTTACTGGATTTTGCTAAATTTGCTCTTTTGTTGTTGTTGGTCCAGTTTAGTTGATTATTTCAGCATCTATTCTGAAAATACTGTAACTTGTGGGTTTTGTGACTTGCAACAAGTTTGATCTTGTTGAGATTGGATTGAGATTGTTGAAATTAATCTTGCAGATCCAACATCTGAATCTGCTAGGGCAACTTACGGCTGGAACTCAAAAGTAGAGATGAAGTCAAAGAAGTCTCTATTTCAATACACTTGTATTTTTCTGTGTGCCATTTTGTGGGCAGTTTCAGCTGATCCACACCAAGAATTCATCAGTTGCCTGCTGCATAATTCCAGCGATTCTGTTGCCGTTTCAAAAATCATTTCTACACCACATTCCACTTCCTACGCATCAATCTTGAATGCTTCCATCCAAAACCTGAGATTCTCGTTACCAAACACTCCAAAACCTCAACTGATCATCACTCCATTTCATGAATCCCAAATACAGACGGCAATACATTGCTCCAAAAGACATGGATTGCAGATGAGAATCCTAAGCGGCGGCCATGATTTCGAGGGCAGTTCTTACGTTTCTGATGTCCCCTTTTTCGTCCTCAACATGCACAACTTCAGATCAATCTCGGTAGATCCCAAAACCCGAACAGCATGGGTTGGAGCTGGAGTTAACCTAGGACAAACATATTACAACTTAGTCAAAACAAACAGTTGCTTTGCATTCCCAGCCGGATATTATGCAACAGTTGGTATTGGTGGGCATGTAACCGGGGGAGGATACGGGCCGTTGCTCCGAAAATTCGGACTTGCAGCCGATAACGTTGTCGATGCTCGCGTAATCGATGCGGAGGGAAGAATTCTTGATCGAAAATCAATGGGAGAAGATCTCTTCTGGGCAATTAGAGGAGGAATGGGAGCCAGTTTTTGTGTCATCCTGGAATACAAAATCAAAATAGTTGAGGTATCGAATCATTTCACGGTGTTTCGACTCCAGAGAACGCTGGAACAAAATGCAACGGAACTTGTGCACAAATGGCAATACGTAGCCCCGAATGCGCCGGCAGAGCTTCTTCTTGAACTGCAATTAACGGTTGTTCCGTCAAATCAAACAGGTAAAAGAACTGTACAAGCTACATTCATTACTCTGTTTGAAGGTGGAGCTGATAAGCTGCTTAGTTTCATGGGAAAGAAATTTCCTGAATTAGGATTGGTTAAAAAGGACTGCATTCAATTATCAAGTTGGGTTGAGTTCATCAACTATTTTTTCCAGCTTCCGATAGAATCAACCTACAAATTGTTAAAGAACAGTATCCCTCCGACCCCGAAAAGTTACTTCAAGTCCAACGCAGACTTCATCCAAAAGCCGGTCTCGAAACAGGGGCTTCAGAAAATATGGGATCTGATGCTTCAAATCGATATTTCTCCACCTGTGCAAATGAATTGGACACCTTTAGGAGCCAAAATGGCTGAAATCCCTGAATCAGAAACACCATTTCCTCATAGGGCCGGCAACATAATTCTGGTGTTTAAGCAGATTCAGTGGCAGGGAACAGACCCGGAGATGATTAAAGAGCGTTTGGCGCAGTTCAAAAGACTCTACAACCTGATCGGACAGTTCGTGGATCACAATCCGAGAGGGGCTTACGCCGATTACAGGGACCTAGATTTGGGAGTCAACAACGTTGGGAAAACAAGTGTCGAACAAGCGAGGATCTGGGGTGCTCCGTATTTCAAGAACAATTTTGATAGGCTTGTTAAGGTGAAGACCATGGTTGATCCTGGTGATTATTTCAAGAATGAGCAGAGCATTCCACCACTTTCATGAGTCCATTTCGCCTTTATGGTTGAACCAATAAATCTCTTGAACTAATTGGTTTGGTATATGCCCGAAATTGTAGAACGAGTACTGTTTTTCTTATGGAACAAAAAAAAAAGAAAAAGCCCCTAACCCTAATAAAACAGGAATACTTTATTTATGTTTCTCAGTCTCAGACGGCTTATTCATTAACTTAGAAGGAATTGTTCAGAAATATTTCTTTTAATTCCCTCGTGTTTTGGAGTTAAAAGTCAGTTTTAGGAGCCAAGAGCATTCCCTTTGATAATTTTTTAGTACAAAATCATTTTCTTCCCTTAACACAGTGGCCAGATTTAAACATGCAGGGGCCAACAATATTCATAATAATAAAAAAGAACCTATAAAAACAAAACAAAAAAATAACCCAACATTCATTAAAAAAAAAAAAAAACCATCACTTTAAAGTTTAAACAGTGGCGCGGAATTAGTTTCGATGCCAAAATATAAATTACACACAAGAACTAAATATAAATCACTTTTGGACTTGATGTGGCAGGTAAGACAAAAAAAAAATGTGGCAGGTAAGACAAAAAAAAAATTTGGTCTGGGACTTCATTTGGTTTTAATAAGAAAATTATAAAAAAAAAAGAAAACAATATGGGCCAAACAAAAAGGGCCGAATGAATTGGGCTTATCTATAATTGGAGTAATTAAAAATAAAAATAAAAAACTCAATTTAAATATAAATACTCGTAACCAAAAAGTTATAGTGGAGTGGTAAGAACTTTTCCGCCCTTAACTATAGGTCGAGGTATCGAATCTCGCCATGGCCATGGAGTAATCTTAAATCTTTTGGCCAACTCTCACACCCACCGAAGTATTTACTATAAGTGAAGGAAATTAGTTACTGTTGTCGACGGTGGACACCTTACAATATGAAAAAAAAAAAAAGTATAAATATTCTTCATCTTCATTTTGCCGGACGGCCGGAGGGGCACCGCTGAAGACTTTAACACCCCGGCACCACTTTATAAGTCCGTCGATGCCTTGACAAATTACAATTACTGGTTCTTTATTCTCCCTTACCGTTTACTAAAAATCTATTATAGGTCATCTTTAGCTGTGACCTGTCCTTGAGGTTTGCATTGGATGCCGCCATAAGTAGGTTCTTTTTAAAGTATATATGTATGGTTTACCAACGAATACGAAGAACAGGAACAATTCGGAGAAAGCGGCCAATACTTCTTGGCCCTCTATTCACATTTTAAGGTTTGTTATATAGACAATTTAACGATGATGAGATCACCGTATAATAAAGTAACTATTCTAGGTCTATGTTAATTACAAGAATTACAACTCAATTAATCAAACCCTTGGTGAGTCACCAAAACCCCCCCTTCAAGTTGGAGTATGAGATCTCGAATGCCCAATTTGTCAAGAAAATATCGAAGCTGAGATTTACCTAAAACTTTAGTAAAAATGTCAATAAATTACACATGTGTGGACACATAATTAGGAAGAATAATACCCTTCATAAAAAACATGATTAGCTGCGATGAACAAAGCAGCAAGAATATCACAAGAGTTTCGCATGCGAAAATTTTATTAAATTAACTTTGTAATTATATTGAAGGAATATCAAAAATCAACCAAAAGGATTTTAAAATTATGTTGTTGAAATCTCGATAAAAATGCTGCGGAAACTTTAGAACTATGTTAGGAATTTCAAAAAATAACCACAAAGATATTAAAATTATATTTGTTGGAATTTAAATAAAAGTATTATAGAAACTTTATAACTATGTCGAAGTAGTTTAAAAAAATAACCACATATATTTCAAAACTATATTGCTTTGAATTCTAACATATAATTTCAAAATTTTATAGTTCTTTTTTGAAGTTTCAACATTGCAGTTACGAAGTTCCTATGGTTATTTTTTTATAGTTTCAAAATTCCCAAGGTATTTTTTATATGATTGACATATAGTTTTAAAGTTCTCACATGCTTAGTAATTAATGTTCCTGTGGTTTTATTTTGATGTTTTAATAATATAGTTCCAACCCCGTGATAATTTTTAAAAAATTACAACAATGTAGATGAAAATAGACATGTCAAATTTATAAGGTAGATCCATAAAAAATTCAAAACTATAAAATCATAATAATAAAATTAGAGAAAAATATTTAAGATGAATTTCATTGGATAGATCTCAATCGACAAGCACTAATAAATTACATACATGATCTGTTTTAAATTTTTGACAAATTAGAAAAATTATTTTAAATTTTTGGATGTTTTTTAAAAATTTATTTTTAAATTAATAAAAACCTCCCAAGTAAGTGACAGAAATTATAAAAAATTTTCAAAAAATCCATTAACTTTTTAATATCCCTATGTGGTCCTCCAAATTGTGATACATGTCACATTTTAGAGCGGTTCCGCCACTTCTTCTATAAAACCGGTCCATGAAAGAATTTGTCTCGTATGATTAGATAAATAATGTTTTCTTTTGGGTTTTTATGATCATTGAGAATATAGATGTGGAGTGTGAGCTCAATTTTATCTTGACATTTTTTTTTAATAACTCCATGTGGAAATTATTCGTGGGAGATGTAATTCGTTCTCATGACTTTAACCTCACAAAAGTTAGATCTATATAGCCTTCTTAATACTTTTTAGCTCGGTGAATTAAGATGAATATCTATGCATGGGATATCTGTACTAAGATAAGTATTTTTATTAAAAAAAAAAAATCTGAAGATTGCAAGGATCATAGTTTTATTGCGAATGTATTGGAATTCTTTAATTAGTTGCCAACTTGTATTAAGAATACACTGCCGATTAGTATAAGTCCACTTGAAGTTGACTTTTTTAGTTGCCAACTTGTATGAAGAATTGAATATGGATTGCAGTTGTAATGAGAAAAATCAGGCAAACTCATGAAGACACTAAAAAAGGCAAGTAGTAGACTTAGGATGAAGAAAAATATAATGCTCTAAAATGCGATCGGATCAATAATATTTTTTTGGTTTACAATATTAAAGGGGGTGCCCATGCCTTACAATAGATCAATAATACTACCTTTTCTATTGGGTTTTATGATCGTTGAGCATAGATGTGCCATGTGATCTTGACCATTTTCTTTTTTTAAAAAAAAAAATAGCTCTAAGTGGAATTAATTTATGGCCTTTATCCAAAAAAGGAGCAACATATTATGCATGTTATCCACACCGGGAAGGCCTGCACTTCTTCTTGAAGTACTTACTAAAAATGGACAAACTTTCCCTCTTTAGAATCCGAACTCGAGACAGTGTAAGATCTAACATTGATCAGTAGCATTGACCCGGTGCTATTCTTGCAACTTGTAAGCTCCTTTTACTTTTTTGCATAATTGTTTCTCTCTGGTCATTTATGCTTTTGTTTGCATGTGGCCACATTATTATTATTATTATTATTATTTTACCGTCCGAAATTCTATTCAGTTTTTCAATTTGGATTTAATTACTCATTGAAGTCAGTAAAATAAGTAGCTCCGTACAAGTGAATTATTGAAGTGCATGATACTGTTGCTCCACTATTATTTACCTCTATGATCAGTTTTGTACTGGTTGAAATGTCACCCACTTGAAGACTATAATATAGATTGATTGTTGAAAATATTTCATTTGTACTTTTGGGATAGAAAATGCGGATTAACATGATCCCATTAGGGTATTTGGATTAAGTTGGGAAGTTGTGGGAATGATGACTGATTGCAGTAATTTTCATTATGGACTTACTAGACCTGCATTACTCTTGATCAGTTTTCGTTTCTATTTAAATTTGCATGAGAAAGTGGGTCTTATTATATATGTACACTTAAAAATATGGCCGGAGAGTTTGTTTAACGAAATATTGCAGATCCATTTCTTTTGAGGACCTTAAAGCTTGTGATCTTCCTGAAACCCCCTTCTTGGTCAAGATGAAGAAACCAAACAACATCTCATTTCAATTTGCTTGTTTTCTTTTGTGTGCCATTTTATGGGCAGCTTCAGCTGATCCCCAGTACCAAAACTTCATCAACTGCTTTGTTAACAATTCCAGCAATTCCGCTGTCATTTCCACCCCAGATACCTCATCTTACTCCTCCATCTTGAATGTTTCCATCCAAAACCTGAGATTTACTCTGCCAAACACCCCCAAACCACAACTGATCCTGACTCCACAAAACGAAGCCCACATCCAAACCGCATTGTATTGCTCCCAAAAGCACAAACTGCAAGTGAGGATTCTCAGCGGGGGACATGATTTCGAAGGCAGTTCCTACGTTTCTAACGTCTCGTTTTTCGTCCTCAACATGTACAACTTTAGATCCATCTCGGTGGATTCCATAAACAAAACAGCCTGGGTTGGAGCTGGAGCAACACTTGGTGAAACATACTACAACATTGTTCAAGCAAACAGTTCATTAGCCTTCCCAGCGGGTTATTATCCACAAGTTGGTATTGGCGGGCATATCAGCGGAGGCGGATACGGCTGCCTGGTTAGAAAATTCGGGCTTGCAGCTGACAACGTGTTAGATGCTCGGGTAATCGATGCGGAAGGAAGAATTCTGAATCGGGCTTCAATGGGGGAGGATCTTTTCTGGGCAATTAGAGGAGGAACGGGAGCCAGTTTTGCAGTCATTCTGGAATACAAAGTCAAATTAGTTGAGATCCCTAAAGAGCAACTCACGGCATTCAGTCTCAAAAGAACTCTGGAACAGAACGCCACGGATCTCGTCCACAAATGGCAAACCGTTGGCCCGAATTTGCCCCCGGAATTGCTCCTCGAGCTCCAATTGACGGTTGTTCCGTCAAACCAAACGGCCGACGGAAAAACCATTCAGGCCACCTTCGTTTCCCTGTTCTTAGGTGGAGCTGATGATCTGGTGAGCATAATGAACCAGAATTTCCCCGAATTGGGTTTGGTCAGAGATGACTGCATTACTTTATCAAGGTGGGTCGATTTCATCACATATTTCTATCAGCGGCCATTGAATCTAACAGATACGATACTAACAAGCAGAGTCTCTCTGAACCCGAAGAGTTACTTCAAATCCACATCAGAATTTGTTCAGAACCCAATCCCGAAACAGGGGCTTGAGCAATTGTGGGATGTGATGCGTAACATCAGCTCCCCGCCGGTTCTGATGAACTGGACACCATTTGGGGCAAGAATGGCTGAAATCCCTGAATCAGAAATCCCATTCCCTCACAGGGCTGGCAACATTTACATGGTGTTCAAGAAGATCCAGTGGCAGGGGACTGATCCAGACCTGATCCAAGAGCGCTTTGCATCCGCCAGAAGACTCACCAGTTTTTTTGGCAGTATGTGAATAATAACCCGAGAGGTGCTTATGCTGATTATAGGGACCTGGATTTGGGAGTGAACAATGATGTCGGGGATACAAGTGTTTTACAGGCCAAGAAATGGGCAGCTTCCTATTTCAAGAATAATTACCTTCGACTTGTTAAGGTGAAGACCATGGTTGACCCTGATAATTACTTCAAGAACGAGCAGAGCATTCCCCCACTGATTTGATCCATCAGCTCCGGCGCCGTCTCAAACTGAAGCAATCATTAAGCTCTTGAATGTTTTAGTATGTTTTAAAGTTTTCCTCTGTTTTCTTCTTGTTTCGTGTTATGCACCGTGTCCCTGTGAGAAAGAAGAGGCAATTATATTTGTCTCTCGTTAAGTGATTTCATCAATGTCTAAATAAAAGTGTCTATGTGTTTCTTTAATCCCATGTCTTTAACAACAAAAAGGTAAAAGTCACTTTCTGGACAAATACCACTTTAATTATGTTACATATTCATGGGAGATGTGATTCGTTCTCATGACTTTAAGGTTCGAAAAAGTTAGATCTATATACCATAGTCTTCTCAATATCACTACTCATTATGTCTCAAAATTATTGTCCAGTTTGAAATTTTAATTTTAGTTCAATTTGTACTAAAAATGAAAACGCAAATGAGACAATAATTATAAGATGGAAGGAATATTACTTTTTTAGCTTGGTGAATTAAGATGAATCGTATATTTTTCTTATTTTTTTTTCAATTTAATTCTTTTTACTCTTAAAGTAACATGTTACTGTGCTAATCCACTTTCAAAAGGTAAAGCAATCGTGAAAATATGGAGGCAGTCATGAGTATTATCGAAGTGAGAAAAGAACTTACCACACATAATAGGTATAATGAAATGAATAAAGCATATCGAGTTGTGTTTCGGTTCTAATAGAAGTATAAACTTTCTTCCTCATGAAATAACTATCCAACTTAAATTCCATTTTAGATATACGTAACTCTTTGTATTATATTGTGACCTATGTAACTATATATCCGTAGAGTTGCTTAAGAAGATTAATCTAATGATATTAAGGACTTAAGCGGCTAAAGTTTCAGACATGTCTCTGTATTTCATTATTTTGCATTTAGTATATTCAGCACGCGGCGTGCGCATATAGCATAGTATCGTTAATGACGTCGACTGAGAATCCCCAGTCCCTTTCACTCTTTCGTCTCTGTTTTTATTCATTTGTCAATTTAGAAATTTAAACCAAGAGCTTTAGCCTTTAGGTAAAGGTAAGGTAAAGTCAACGGTATGCCTAAAAGCTTTAACAGAACCAATTTATAGTGTGTGCCGTTTACTTTAATCAATCACATGCGCGGCTCACGTTATAGTCTTAATATATAGAGTTCGAGCCTCCTCCGCCGGAGCAGTTGGCTCGTAGGTCACCCTATTCGTCACCGGTGACGTGGCCACCCGTCGCAATGATTAAGCATTTTTTTTGTATAAAATCTGAACCTCGAAATGCAAAACAAACTTCAGAGTTCAGACAAAAACTGGCGGTGGGTCTGCAAGACTGCAACAGAAGGCTATATACTACCGGCAGCCAGCATCGAAGCATCGACTACCGCCACAGGAGGTATTCTCTTAAGTTCATTTCTCGTCTTAGGTACCACTTTCTCTGATGGACCTTTAGTATATTTACCAGTTATTACTATCTTTTTTCCTGTTTGATTTCTTATGGCATATCTGTATTAAGTTACGTATTTTTTATAAAAGAACTTCTGAAGATTGCAAGGATCTTAGTTTTATTTCTTTAGTTGCCAGCTAGTATGAAGAATACGCTGCCGATCTGATCTTTTTCTTTTCTTTTTTTCTTTTTTTTTTCTCACGAGATGGAACTCCCTAGTTAATTTTCCTTGCTCATTATAAGCTCCATTTTTCGTCTCTGATTGGATTTGCTTTAGAAAGTTGCTTTGTTACTGAATAACTCTGACATACTATTAACATGGAATGGATCTAGTTGAATGATGATTGTTCATTTGTTTGTAATGCTCCTTTGGGCTTCTATAATACTACAATTGTAACTTGCAAGACAGCAAGAGAAAGAGTGTGATCTCATATATTTGCATGAATCTTGCAGATCATATTGATTACTGAGATATAGGGCCACTTGATGTGATTCTGATTATTCTCCTCGACCAAACAACAGCAGAGATGACGAAATCAAACAACCTCGCTTTTCAATTTATTCTTTTCCTTCTGTATTCCTTTCTCTGGGCAGCTTCAGCTGATCCTCACCAAGACTTCATTACTTGCTGCTTGCAAAAATCCAGCGACCCTGTTGCATTTTCAAGAGTCATTTCCACACCACAAACCTCTTCCTACTCGTCGATTCTGAACGTTACCGTCCAAAACCTGAGATTCACCCTGCCAAACACCCCAAAACCTCGAGTTATCATTACTCCAGACCGTGATTCCCAGATACAAACAGCAATACGTTGCTCCAAAAAGCATGGATTGCAGATTAGGATCTTAAGCGGAGGCCACGATTTCGAAGGCAGCTCTTATGTTTCTGATGTCCCTTTTTTTGTCCTTAACATGTTCAACTACAGATCAGTGTCTGTAGATGCAAAAAGCCGAACAGCTTGGGTTGGAGCTGGAGCCACACTTGGGGAAACATACTACAACATTGTTAAAACAAACCGTTCATTAGCATTCCCGGGTGGATATTATCCACAAATTGGTATTGGAGGGCATGTTAGTGGTGGAGGGTACGGCTGTTTGCTCAGAAAATTTGGACTTGCAGCTGATAATGTGTTGGATGCTCGCGTAATCGATGCAAATGGAAGAATTCTTAATCGGAAATCCATGGGTGAAGATCTCTTCTGGGCTATTAGAGGAGGCATGGGAGCCAGTTTCGCTGTCATTCTTGAATACAGAGTAAGACTGGTTGAGATCTCAAAGGAATTGACAGCATTTCGTCTCCTGAAAACTCTGGAAACAAATGCGACAGATCTTGTTCACAAATGGCAATACGTTGCTCCCAATTTGTCTGAAAACTTGCTTCTTGAACTCTCGTTGACGGTTATTCAATCAAATCAAACTGGTAAGAGAACCGTCCAAGCCACATTCGTTACCCTGTTCGAAGGGGGGGCTGATGAGCTGGTTAGTATAATGGATGAACAGTTTCCAGAACTGGGTTTGGTTAAAAAGGATTGCATCCAGTTATCGAGTTGGGTTGAATTCATCATATATTTTTATGGGCGGCCATTGGAATTAACGGATAGCTTACTAACAAGCAGGGTGTCTCTCAATCCAAAAAGTTACTTCAAGTCCAAATCAGACTTTATTCAGAAGCCCATTCCGAAACAGGGGATTCAGAAGCTATGGGACATGATGCTCAAAATTGATTTCCCGGCTCTCCTGATGAATTGGACACCTCTGGGAGCAAAAATGGCTGAAATCCCGGAATCAGAAATCCCATTCCCACATAGGGCTGGCAACATAATATTGGTTTACGAGAAGATTCAATGGATGGGAACAGACCCCAAGTTGATGCAACAGCGTATTGCTTTGATTAGAGAATTCCACAGCCTTATGGGGGAGTTTGTGGATAATGACCCTAGAGCTGCTTATGCAGACTATAGGGACCTGGATTTGGGAGTCAATAACGTTGGTAAAACAAGTGTTGAACAAGCTAGGATTTGGGGTGCTCAATACTTCAAGAATAATTTTGATAGGCTTGTTAAAGTGAAGACCATGGTTGATCCTCATGATTATTTCAAGAACGAGCAGAGCATCCCACCGCTTTGATCGTCTCATTTATCATTTTCGTGAAGGTTTAAACTTTAAGGCAATAAAACTCTTGGATCTTTTGGCATGCCTAAATACTCTTCTCCCTTCTTTAGGATCACAAACTACAAATAAGTACGAGGCGGCAGAAATTCTTGTCCCGCTTCCTTGAACAAGAGCAATCACACGGTTGTTACCAGTGTGGTGGAAAATGTGGGCCTTTTTTGCCAAGTGGAAAATATTAACCTTACATTTACTTACTTTTATCCTTTCTCCGATGGTGTTACTCAATCATGGTAACAAATGTGACCCGCAGCCATTTTTTTTTATTTTTTATTTTGAAACACTACAATTACATGTATCTTGTCTCACACAAAGTGAGGTAAGATTTCCACAATAGAGTATAATTTGTACCTATTCTAAACTAGAGGAGAGAAAATGCGAATGGAGAAGGGAAAGTGAAGGTGCGAGAATTCGATCCCTCAACCTCTGGCCTAGCATGACATGCTAGTGGGTACTGGGACAAGTCCCAATATTTAGCCTTTTTTTTTCTAGAAACAAAATAAATTATTTTTTCAATATAATGGAGTTTTATTACAGGCTGGCTCTTGTTTTGCAGCATTTGTTAGAAAAAAAATATATATATGATTTTATTTGTTACGCGCTGCAATGTGATGAAATAATAGTGGTAGCAACTGACATCTATTACGGTTGCTCTTATGATTTGCTTATGTCTTAAATGAAAGCGTTTGCATTTCAGACTTACGTTATTCCTCTAGCGTTTCGGAGCTAATAATGTTCTTCTTTAAGGCTACGGACCTAGGGGGGAGTGAGAGGGTGGCGGGCAAATTTTTTTAAAAAAATACTTTTAAATTTTTTTATATTTTTTGAGAAAAAAATTTTAGTTGTAGTCGATCCTACAAATATTCAAGATTGGTTCCGTCACTACAAGTCTGCAAGTAATGATATAATCTAGTGATAAATAATACATCTTGGAGTGAGAGAATGATGACAACAGCTTATTCTTCTTCCACAAGCTGGAAATTCCTCATCATATTTTTGTTAGATCGTGGTTAGGCATATTCATCCTCAGTAACAAAGTAAAAGACAGAAAAACAGTAACATCATTAGAGGAGAAGGTTGAATTAATTAACTACGATTGCGGTCCACATGAATGAATACTATTGCAGTGAAGCCCAAAACGTGGGACTAGTAACTTGCCACGTACCCAGAAAACTTTCAGCTGCTGCTCAACATATGGGACCTACCTGAGCAAACCCCTTTTAACTCCATTTCTTTATTCCATACACGTGATTTATAACTCATCCAAACACATCGGCACATTGCGAGCACTATTTTCCGACATTTCCCTGATTTTTATTTTGTTTTTTACTCTACAGGCCGACTCCTAACGGAATAAAGAAAAAAAATTGCTTCTCTTTTTTTTTTTTTATTTAAATTTACTTTAGTGGACTCCACTCAAATGTGGGTAAAACCCTCATTACAATTACGGGTGAAAATCCTTGATCTATTACCAAGAAGGACAATAATCTAACCACTAGGCTGTCATTCAATTCCTCAAAAAGAATTGCTTCTTTCTTTTTCCACAAAACTGATGCACCCAATCACCCAGTTCTAGTTTAATACTACTTCCGTCCCAGAAAAATAGTTCATATTGAATTTTTTAATTTGTACTAAAAATAATACAAAAATTAAATTTTAATATAGACTTTTTTATGAGACGGAAGAAGTAAAAGAAATAGGATTGTTTTTTAAGTAGAAAGGAGGGAGGGAGTACTAAATTAAATTTTAATCGAATGCATCATGCATATATGATATTTAGAATTTCAATTCAACAATTAAATCATTCAACAGATACAATATTTGTAAAAGTATGATTAGAATTTAGAACACATCATAGATGATGGAGCACTAGGGTACCTTCTTTGTACAATTCTCCTCCTCCTCCTTTTTGTTTTTGGTTCCATTTTTAAAAATTTGGATCAAATGAGGAGTATTATTATTATATTTTGGATTCAGTCTTATGCTAGTTTATTTTATACTTTCTCTGTCCTATAATTATTGTCCAGTTTGAGTTTTCATTTTTAGTTTAAATTATACTAAAAGTGAAATTTCAAACTGGACAATAATTTTGGGACAGAAGGAGTAATTTTTTATCTTCAAAGAAAACGCAATAGATGTAAAACGCTGTCCAAGAAGTTATTGAATTATTGTTATCCCCAATTTTTTTCTGAATATTGGAGGAATTAATAATTTAGTTTTTGTGTCAATTAATCAGTCTGGGTAGGCACTAAATAATTGTTAGAATTACGTGTCAACACGTGGATTCCCTATCTGACGGAGGACTTGAGGACACGACACTACAATGATTTAATTTTATAATGATACCAAAAATGTCAAATCTCAGAGTTTTACCAATTGGATTCGTAATTTTCATTTGTCCCATCCTTTGTTTAAAAAAAGAAGAAGAAGAAGAAGAAGAAGAAGAAGAAGAAGAAGCTGCTCTGGAGTCAGCAAATTGTTTTGCTTCTAACTAATTAACGGTTCCTCGGTACATCCCTTAATTTGATAAATCCATTATATTTCCCCACGTAAAATGAAATATATGCTCTCGTGTCCCAAAATATTTGTGTACTTTGATATTTCACTTTTAATATAATTTAAATTAAAAATAAAAATATAAATTAGACAATTATTTCGAGATAGTATATTTTTTCATTTAGATGGAAGTGATTAATTGTATCCAAATTTGAGAAATGGAAAACTCGAATCAACCTGAAAGAGATCCATAGCCTAATCATTGAGGTTTTGTACATTTCCTTTACAGTTAATCATTGATCAATACACCTTTTCTCCATAAACAAATTTTGTTTCAATTCAAAGCTTATTTTAGTTTTATTTTTATTTTTCTTTTTGTTACAGAAAGAGAAGCAACAAGTCTAGTTTTAACTTAGTACATTTTTAGGATATGCAACACTTATTATATCATGCTTCAATCATGGTCTGATGCCTGACGGCGAGTCATCAAATCTCTGTAGTCCACTCGGTCCTTGAGCTGCTCATGCAGCCATATAATCAATTATGAAATTCGTCTTCCGAAACACATGTTTAAGCTTCACAACCCATTCTCTTTTTAGCAAATCACGAATTCCATAAACGATACCACGCCAGCAACAATTGTTCACTCTTTAATTGTAATGTTACCATTCGGAAGGCTGATTGTGTGGATGTATATGCTATTATGCTCTATATTATAGGTATGGGGCTTTCAGGTCTTATGCACACTTAATTACAACTGTATCACACTTTTATTTCTAAATAAAAAAGGAAAAAGGTACTCTACATTTTATGCAATTTTTTATTTCTTGGTTACAAGTTACAACATTTTATGTACCTTTAATTACAACATTTAGAAAGTCATATGTACCAGGTTCTCGATTGTGGTGATTATAATTGCATAAACAAAGTGGATCTTTACAAAACAAGTAAGGGACTAGCTTTTTAACCATAAGAACTAGTGTAACCATTTTCTCCATGATTCTCATGTTTTCCTCTCCTTTCGAGAATCTTGACCACATTCTGTACTTATTGTTTGGTGCCAACTCTTACATGAATGAATGTATGTATGAACCACTTCTTTCTAAAACCTTAATCACAACAATATAGTTGAAGATCACCAATAAAAACGAACTCAAAGAAACTTAAGGGTATGTTTAGATTTTTTTTTAGTGTGATTTTTTGTATTAAAAATGTAAAAAATATATTTAAATATAAAAAAGTACGTTGAAATTGTAAAAAGATCTGTTGAGATTTGACATATATTTATTAAAAATTTTGAAAAAACCAACAACAAAAAAAAAGTACACTAGACCATTTACGTTATAGCTCGAATTTTCATGCCTTTTTGTTTTATATCTTCCCATATGCGAAAGTGATGTCCGAAACTTCGAACCTAATAAACCAACTGTAATTCATCAAAACTTCCAGTCTTTTAACAATATTAAAATCTTCTTGTTTTTTCCTCCCATAATTTTCCAGTAAATTTTAACATCCCTTCCGATCATGCCCCACCAATTGGAAAATTCTGGATAACGAAAATTATAAAATTAACCATGTTTTGGACCACCAATCCATGGCTTATATTCAAAAAATTACAGTATGAAATTTATCCACGGTCCCACCTGCTTAATAAGGTTACTTCTGGAGGAGAAAAAAACAACCCAGATGCTTATATATAAATTGAAATACTTTGCTATTGGCCAGTGCCTCATATATTTCTGGCCACGGCATATCCAGCTCTTCTCCAATCTTACCCAAAATGGCCCCCAATAATTCTTCACAACCGTATGATCCTGAACTGGCCGTATCCTATGCTCCTTTACTCGACCAATCTACCTCCGATCATCCACCGTCAGTTCCTCATTCAAAACGGCGGGTTAAGGTTTTGGTCGGCATTTTCATTTCCTCTTTATTTTTACTCACCTCAGTTCTTACCATTTTTCTTGGAAGTCCTGAAGAATCTCAACTTAAAACTGAAGGGATCAATGCTGGTGGTCTAGGCAAGCCCTTCCCTTCATCATCATCGGTTTCTCCCCGGAGTTTGAATCCAGTTTCGACCGGAGTGTCTCATGGGGTCTCGGAAAAAACTTTCCGGGGAGTCTCCGACCCGAATGACGTGTACCCTTGGACCAATGCGATGTTGTCTTGGCAGAGGACATCTTACCATTTCCAACCGGAAAGGAATTGGATGAACGGTAAGCTAAATTTGCAAGTTTCAAAAGTCAACTATTCTTTCTTTCTCGTTTATTAATTAATTGTTAAAAGAAAACGAAAAGGCTTATTTGTTTTGGAATATGAAAAGAAGGGTATATTCATACTGATCCGACCTTTTTCTTCCTTTTTCTCTCATTCCTGCGACAACTTTTGCTTTGTGCGGGGCAATCTGGTGGTTTTTCTTCTGCTTCAGATCCTAATGGTACGTTTATTAATTTCCAGCTAACTATTTTTTTTTCTTTCTAATTTTTTCTTGCTGCCGGCGATTTTCTTCCACGTATTTTGACCACCTGGATTAGTGTTTATCACGAATTCATTCTATCCTCATAGGTTGTGTTTTGGTGATACAAGTCATTGTTAACAGATTAAATTTGACTGGATTAACTTGATAATGGTTCAAACTTCAAAGTAAGTAGGCTGAAGAGAAATGCGTGGGCATTTGTGGGTTGAACATGTGATTCATGCCGTGTAAGAAATAAGGATTACATGTGGTCTGACATTGGGCGGTGGATTAGGAGTAAATTGATAGGAATTTTTCTATGTTTCATAACAGTACTTTTAGATTCAATTCAACGTGTGGTGGTAAGAGGCGTAATCTTCTCATAATGATTTGAAATCCAAATAAATATAGACGTTGTTGCAAAGCCGGGTACGATAATTGGAAATGTCATGGTTAATGGTCATTGACTTTTCGTACATTTCATTACTAAGCACAAATTGTCAGTTAAGTACTAATACTTATTGAAAAATAAATAAATAAAAAGAGATTAGAGCATATAGTATTAAGAACACAAGGACACAATTTTAGGACGTGATCGGAATATGTTTTTTTTTTTTGTTTTGTTTACGAATTGTAAATACACATAATGTGATGATTAAACGAATAATTGCGAAGCATCAATTATTTTAAAAATAGAGAAATGACGAAAACTATTTAAGCGTTATTTTGGAATGATCCTACTAAAATGATTGAGTTAGAAATTAATTATTTAGAGAGGCGTGGACCAATAAAGGAAGAGATCTTTTTCATGAATTATTTATATTACTGGGGTCCAGCTATGGTACTTCTTCTACTTGTCCCCGTCATTGCATTATGATCTGTGGACAATTAGTAGCCAAGTCGGATTTGATTAGATGGATAAAGCTAATCAGGCCTCTCAAGTTTCATTCATTTCCCTCCTCTTCCTTTTGGCATTATTATTTTTTCTTAGAAATATAAAAACCCCAATTATGCACTATCGTTAAGGAATGGACTGAAAAATGAGGAATAGATTTATGGCAAAAACAATATCACACGATTTTATCATCGTGATTGGGCTTCAGCATTTATTATTAGTATTACAAAATCGCGCAGCCTAGGATTAGTAAAAACTGAAAAGATGGACATTCGTAGTTTAGTCCATCCAACGGGACATTTCATTCATTCATTGGCTCCTAAAATTTTGGACAAATACAGAAGCATTCAATTTTTAACTTTTCGAATCTTTTCTCTCTGTAAAGAACTTTCTCTTGCCAACAAATAGCCACCTCAGTACCACAAACTAATCTTGGGACCATATTTTTATATAAATCACTAGTTTACAAGCAGTAAATTCGTAAAATCGAGCAGTTAATCTTTTAATCCAAGAAACAAAAGACACCTGGAACAGCTAAAACCGCAGTTTCTTTTCCAATCACAGTGGATTAAAAATGATAATGATTTGCGGCGAAAATAAGAATTTAAAGAAACATTTCACGTTTGTGTTGGTGCAGGTCCATTATATCACATGGGTTGGTACCACCTGTTTTACCAGTACAATCCGGATTCAGCGATTTGGGGCAACATCACATGGGGACACGCTGTCTCCGAGGACCTGATCCACTGGCTCTATCTTCCCTTCGCCATGGTTCCGGATCGCCCGTTTGATATCAACGGAGTTTGGACCGGGTCGGCCACCATCCTCCCTGATGGTCAAATCGTGATTCTCTACACCGGGGACGATGCTGATCTCGTCCAGGTTCAAAACCTTGCTTATCCTGCCAACTTGTCTGATCCTCTTTTACTGGATTGGATCAAGTACCCCGGAAACCCTGTCATGGTTCCTCCTCCGGGTATTGGTTTGACCGACTTCAGGGACCCGACGACGGCCTGGCTTTCCCCGGACGGCGAGAAGTGGTTGGTTACACTCGGGTCGAAGATTAATAAGACGGGTATTGCGTTGGTTTACGAGACTGAGGACTTCAAGAGTTTCCAGCTCTTGGATGGGATCATGCATGGAGTCCCGGGTACGGGTATGTGGGAATGTGTGGACTTTTACCCGGTTTCTACCGTGGAGGAAAACGGGTTGGATACGTCGATCAATGGACCAGGCGTCAAGCATGTGTTGAAAGCTAGTTTAGACGACGACAAGTGTGATTACTATGCTTTAGGGACCTACGACCCGTACACGAATAAGTGGACACCCGACAACCCGGAATTGGATGTGGGAATCGGGTTGCGGTATGACTACGGAAAATATTACGCTTCCAAGACATTTTATGACCAGAACAAACAGAGAAGAATTCTGTGGGGATGGATTGGAGAGACTGATAGTCAAGCTACTGATCTCTTAAAGGGTTGGGCATCAGTTCAGGTATAATCTTTCATACTAAGAGCATTGTCTTCATCACCATAAATTGGCCCAAGAAATTAGACAACTATTATGTTAATTTTTGTACCCCAAAGGTTATGAGTTGTGCGGCCTAATAACTTGTGTTTTCCACAGAACATTCCGAGAACTGTGGTTTTTGACAAGAAGACGGGAACAAATATATTGCAATGGCCAGTTAAGGAGGTGGAGGAATTGAGAAGAGATGTATCAGAATTCGAAAACATCAAACTTGAACCAGGATCAATCGTGCCACTGAAAATTGGCTCAGCAACTCAGGTCCTTTAGTCAACACAGTTCTCTTTCTCCTTCTTAACAAAGCGAAAAGTTAGGACATTATTGTTTCAGTTAGCTAACATTGTGATTGCTGGTAATTTTTATTGCAGTTGGACATAATAGCTTCATTTGAAGTTGATAAGGATGCGTTGGTGGCAACAGTGGAAGCTGGTGTGGGATACAACTGCAGCACAAGCGGTGGTGCTGCCGGCAGGGGATTGTTAGGACCCTTCGGTCTCCTGGTTTTCGCTGACGAATCCCTCACGGAGTTAACACCTGTATATTTCTATATCTCCAAGGGCGCTGATGGAAAGGCAGAGACTCATTTCTGTGCTGATGAAACAAGGTTTTTAGCTCTTTCCCCCACGATAAATTTGAAATAGGAAAAGCGTTGTTGCATTTTATGATGCAATGCCACATACTCCCTTTGTCCTGAAATTATTGTCCAGTTTGGATTTTCACATTAGTACAAATTGAACTAAAAGTGAAAATCTAAACTGGACAATAATTTTGGGGCGGAGAGAGTACATGATAGACCTTCTGTTTGAAAGATCATCTTAAACCGTGAAGCTTTAATCAACAATGCATGATGCAGGTCATCAGAAGCACCTGATGTTACCAAACAGGTTTACGGGAGCAAAATTCCAGTTCTGGAAGGGGAAAAGTTGTCAGCCAGGCTATTGGTATGTCAAATGTTCTCAAGTCCAACCGTATTAATTTGTTATTATCGTCTTTTAAGCCTCAATTCATATTTATTTTGTCCCAAAATCATGAATATTACACATTGCACATAACCAAGGTCACACCTTTAGGGAAATGCTGATAGATGGATTGATCGTCAATATTAATGACTGTGATCATTTCAGGTTGATCACTCCATTGTAGAAAGCTTTGGTCAAGGAGGAAGGACGGTAATTACGTCGCGAGTGTATCCAACGAAGGCGATTTACGGAGCAGCCCGAGTGTTCTTCTTCAACAACGCCACCGGGGTGAGTGTGACTGCATCTGCCAAAATCTGGCACATGGAATCTGCAGATATTCGATCCTTTCCTCTTGAATCAGTTGTAAATTAATCCATAGGGACTGAAACCGAACTTGATGGTTTTGTTGGGGGCAAATAGCTATTAGAATGAGCCCAAAAAACACGCATTTGTACCATTCGTACGTATTGTTGTCCACATTTTTTTGTGTAGAGTCTGCCAATCCAAGCCGAAGCATACAAGGAATGGTGTGCTACAAGCCTACAATGTATTTATTGTACAACATGTACTATAATTTATTTAATGTTAATTTGTTTAATAATACAGGGAGCTATACTGCTATACAGCATATTTCAATGTTTTTCCCACTTACTGAAATGACATATATGTTCCTTGGGGTGGTTGTGGTTGTATCAGCTTAAAAGTGAATTCGAATATATATCAAGGGAAAAGTATTTTACTAAAGGGAAAATTAAAACTTAAATTAAATTCGTCGGGATGTACTTGTATAACCTTTGAAGCTCAACAAATTTCGGATTTCCAAATATGTGCGGAAAAAAATGAAAAAAGAATGCTGAAAACTATGGTGACTTCTATTATTCGGACTTGATCAAGGTTTCATACATAATAATAATAATAATAATAATAATAATAATAATAATAATAATAACAATAAATCATACTTGTAGCCAAAAATCATCAAAATAATGCAACATTCTTACTGGGATCAAAACAAAAGGCCCAAAGTTATGAAGTATTTGTCTTGATCTCTTGGAGCCTCTTTCTATAACAGAATGGCGGTCTTCTTCGGCCCATTCGGAGATTCCGGATCTCTTTTTGGAACTTGGTGATGATAAATTGATAATGGTGAATAATCAAACTATTCCAAGTAGATTTGTGGCGTGTGATGCAATTTTAAGGCCATTCTTTTGATGAACATGATGCCATAATCTTTTCTGGGGACAAACATTTTTAGGTACTAGTAAACTAATCTTTCTTTTCTTCCGGCGTTTTTTGCTTTGGATACTCTCACTCCATTACCCATACTCTTCTTCTCTTTATCTAATCTTAATATTATAATTAATTTGCTTTTGGTTTGTTCGTTTTTTTTTTCCTTTTTCTTTTTCAGAAGAGAGATCGCATAATTATTGTTGATCAATAGCCTCCTTTAGGGGATCACTTGTGGCTTTTCCAACCAAAGTTAATTTTATTTTTTGAATCACTTGAGTTTACGACCTCGTGTAGTTCGGTTTGAATCCGAGTAAAGTACCGGCAACATAATGCTACATTATTATCTGTTCCAGAAAACATATAGTTCATATTGAGTATTCCCTCCGGTCCTTCTAATAAGGCATTTTGATTTCGTCCTAGGATTAATTTATGATGTCTTTTTAATTGGAAAAAAACTTAAAAATATATTTTCACATCCGTTCGGTTTTCTTAATTATTATGAAATATTTTTAAGGTTTATATTCCAATTAAAAAGACATCTTTGGTGAAAACTATGACGAAATCAAAATGTCTTATAATAAAGACCGCAGGGAGTATTAAAATTTGCCCTGTTTCTAATACAAATTTAAAAACTCAATCTGAACTATTTTTTTTTTAAGAACAGATAAAATAACAAATTATCATTACTGGGGTTGAAGATACAAGACATGATTCAGACAAATGCCGAGTTGCAGCAAGATTATTCGTAAACATACGTATTATTGCTACCCAGTCTGGAATATGTTGTCGTCTAAAAAAACAATAGGAGGGGTTAAGTAGGTGATTGTGATGAATGACCTTAATTTAAAGAATTATTGCGTTCGGCTCCAATTTTAATTGGCGTCCTGGTGTTTTTCATGTCGTTTAGTCTCAATATCTCTTTCTAATTTCTTGAATAATGTCGACATATCTCTGAACATTGGATTGGATTTCTGCGTAATTTTCAAGTAAAATAACTACATTGTATAGATAAACTATTGATGACATACCTGCATAAAAGTGAAGAAGACGATTCAATTTTGCTGTGGATTATATGATGGCCATTGCCTTCATGAAATCAAAGTTGTTAAAGAGTTGTACTAACTCTACACAGTTCTGTTTGTGGGGTGCGACATTAGTTTTATCTTAATGTAATTGAGATATGACATCATATATAGCAAATTTGTGAGTTTATACCGGATTTAAAACCTCTTTCCTGGACCCATGTAACTAGATTCTATATTTTCAAGAAACTTGCATAGTGCTAATTTATAAGGCTCACAGCCTCACACCCATGTGAGAATACCAAATCAATGTGCAAGTAGTTAGAAGTGGGGTCACCAGAATTTTATTCATTTCCTTCCTTTGTATTTTTGGTCTCTAACTGGATAGAGTTAGAAATATAGCCAACGCGGAATCCTTGCATCTCTAATTGAAAATTAAGTAATTGTTTAATATACCTCCAAAAAAAAAAAGTCACAAATAATTAATTTGTACTCCCTCGGTCCCATAATTATTGTCCAGTTTGGGTTTTCATTTCTAGTTTAAATTGTACTAAAAGTGAAATCTCAAATTGAACAATAATTTTGGTAGCGAGAGTACTTATCACAGGCTATTCTATAACTATAATTGAGAATATTACCAGCGATAAATATGAAAGGGACCACCGCTTGATTTTAGTAATCGCTTATTAGCTGTGTGCATAATGTGAGTTGGAGAAAAGTTAACGTTCGTTCGTTTTGTCTGTGCATTCGTGCTTAATTACTTGCAATAATAATTAACTCTCATGTTGACCAATTCGCACAGATTTGATTGATATCCGGTATTGGTAACTCTAATAAGAAAATAAATCAGTTTCGAACAGCTAATTAACACCTGTTTTGAATAAATATATGAAAATTTTCATATAGATTTAGCTTATGATATGAAATTTTGAATCCATTCTTTTTTAACCAATATAATTATTATCCTAATTATAAAGTGATTATTTCATAACGAAGAATCATGTAAAACTGCTAGGTATAAGTTTATATCTTCAATCCTTAGTCCTTACAATAATGTTTGGTAGATCACTGACGGTGGATCAAAGCACATTGAATTAAATAAGGTTTGGTAGTGAAGCTCACTAATTGATGTTAATGTTTGATGCTGCTATAAATGAAGCTCACTAATTGATCAATTTGTAACTCTTGGACTTAATCATTTAATAAGACTCTAAAAGTAACGCTGATCTGACAATAAATGGAGTATTTGCTTATTTCACACGTTAAGATTAGTATATTTTTTGGGTCCTTTAGAAAAACAAACAAAAAACAATGTAACTTGCTCCACCTTTTATTTTATTTATTTATTTATTTTTGTTTCTTAAATCCCTTTTGAAACGTACAGATTGATCAGAAAACATGGCCACCGTTATTCAAACCGCATTACATGAATTCAATTCTGAAATTGAAATTGTCATTTTTGTTATTGAAAATGAAAATCAACTGTAAATTATTATCGTAAATGACCACAGGCTATAACAACATGCTAGTTTGTTTTCCTTTCTTTCATCTTCAAATTTAAAGTGATTTGTTTTAGTTTTTTTTTTTTTTTCCTGGAAATAATTTTGTCGACAAATACTAGTAATTTGTTTTTGAGTTAGAAAAATGTAGAAAGTAAAAAATAGGAAATGCCAGATGGCGAACCCGAGGAAAATTGAAAGTGGATAGGAGGAGTAGGGACCACACCAGCTGCTGGAGCCGCATGTGAATACGAAAAGGCTGTTATGGCCTTCTTCTGGCTGGGGAAAATTTGAACGTTAGAGAGAAAGAGAGAGAGACAGCAGAAGAAATGGCGCAGACGGCGTTTGCCAAATTCACACTCCCTCTCTAAACATTCTTTTATTCTATTGGACATTTGGACCCAATTGCCCCTTTGGCTGTCCCCCACAAAGTCTTTCCACTAACCCCGTACATTTACCGGCATTAGCAAGTAGTTCCCGCTGACTAAAAAGGAACGTTGACTCAACCACGAGTATGTCAATTGGCACATTACTCTTTTTTCATTTTTGAATTTATCGGGAGATAATGGTATAAAAAATATTTACAAAAGTAGTCTTCTTTTTTTCAGAACTAAAAAATATTTTTGTATTATAACAAACACAAAACACAAAAAAGTATTATTTATTTTACATTTTTCAAGCCAAAGAACATGATTTTTTTCCCCAACTCTCATCTTACCTATCAATTTTAACCTATATTGGAATTTTTAACTAAATCATAATAAGGAGACTATGTTATATTTTGTTTCTTCAAAGAAAGTTGCAATTTAATAATTAGAATCATATAACGTATAACAAAAAATAACTGATTAAAAATTATTTTAGAATCAGCATTGATATTCAAATTAATTTTCGACAAGATCAATGTACGTATGAACTATGATGTGTTAACTCATGCCTCAACGGTATCCTTTACTTATTACTTCTACTCCGAAATTGTACAAACTACAAAACCAGTTCTTTTCCCAAATTTGTTGATGGGAAATAAAGAGATGGAACCTCGTTTAGACAAAATAAAAAAAAAAAAGAAAAAAAGAAAAAGTAGTCATGTAAACTGGTCAAAAAGGTAACCGGTGAGGGAAGGACCGGATATCACGCCACATGAATCTAGTTGTGTCGAGAAATTTTAAAAAGAGCCACATTTAGGGCAAAACAAATTTCAAATACTCCGGTTCATTGCCCATAACTCATCCCCATTTGCTTATATCCTTTTTAATTTTTGTTTTAACAACTGTTGATCCCTTCCCCCCCCTTTGGAAATACTCCGTTTTTGGAATTCTCTTCATTGCCAAAGCAGTTCACACTCTCTTTCCCACACTCATCCTCTGCCTCTGCAAGAAAACTGAGGAAAAAAGAAGAGCCCTTTTGGTTACCCAACCGCCTCTTTCACACCATCTTTCCAAGTACTCTCCTCACTATTCACGTTTTGTCATGTAAGCAAACGCACCACAAAGGACCTCCTTTTTCTTTGCTAGGTTGAGTTTAATAGCGCGTAAAGGGCAGCATTTTAAAACAGGAATTATTGTTCTGTGGAGCAAAATCGAGATTGCTACAATGGCTGCTGGGTTGGGTTCCGCGGCTCTGTTCTTGGTTCACATTGTTTTGTTCTTTAGCCCTTCATTTGCTACAGACCCTTTTGCTTTTTTCAACTTGGAGCTCTCTTACATCACTGCTTCTCCACTTGGTGTTCCTCAGCAGGTTTATTTTGAATCTATTACTTCTTCTCGTATATGCGTTTGTCCACCTTTTTCGTTTGCTGGTGGGATTTTGGGGATGGTTTGGGTTGATTGGGTTTCGTATATTTGTGTATCTATTTCGTTTTGGGGAGGAGGGTGGTGGGGGTGGGGGATGACGGTAGAACAGAGCCTATTTGTGCATCTATCTGCTGGGTTTTTGAAATTCACCTTCTTTTCTGGTACCAAATTTCTGTAATTGCTTCTGAATTTTTTTAAGGTGACTCTCTTGTTTAGTCTGTCTAGTTGTGATTATTGTATTTTGCAATTTTCTTTTTTCAGGCTAGAAGTGTACTGTAAAAAATTGGCCCTTTGGAAGATTTGAGTAGAAAAATTATGTAATTTTGCCAGGAATTTGATGATAGCTGTTGTTTATGCATTCCCAAATTCAAAATTTTTGCATTTGTCTCTAATTTGTATTAAGGTTGGAGTTGGGGACCACAAATCAGAACACTATTCTTTCTCCCGTGTATATCTCGTCCCCAGTAATATCTAACATGGTTCATTATGAAATGCTGCTTTACTATCTCAAATTTCAACAATTTGGCTGGTTATAAGAAGTGTTGGACCAGTGTGGGATTTTCTATTTTTGACCTTATGATGGAGATGTCTAACATGGTTTATTGCAGGTGATAGCCGTTAACGGCTCATTTCCGGGCCCTGTTATCAATGTGACAACGAATTACAATGTTGTGGTAGATGTTCGGAACAAATTGGATGAAAATGTTCTCCTTACATGGTAATTTTTTTCTCACTATTACTAAAGATGAACTTGTTTTGCTTCTCAATAGTTTTCATTTGAATTCTGAAAGTTTCCAGATCATGTTTATTTAGTTCCAAAACAGAAGTTACCTTACTCTTTAAGTGCTTATTTTTGTGCGTCTGAGCAATTCAAATTTCATGGTTTTAACAGGAATGGGATTCAAATGCGTCGTAACTCTTGGCAAGATGGTGTTCTCGGCACCAATTGCCCAATTCCTCCTAAGAAGAACTTTACTTACCAGTTTCAGGTGAAGGATCAAATTGGTAGTTTCTTTTACTACCCATCCCTCAACATGCAGAGAGCATCTGGTGGCTTTGGTTCTTTCGTGATCATGAATCGTGATATCATACCAATTCCCTTCAATACCCCTGATGGAGATATTGTTATCTTGATTGGTGATTGGTATCTTCGAAATCATACGGTAAGTGTGTTTTGGCTTTCCTTATTGTTCTTATATTATAAACCATTATTCAGTTACCTTTCTTACATGGGTCTTAATTTTGATTAGGCTCTGCGAAAAGAACTTGACAATGGGAAAGAACTGGGAATGCCTGATGGTGTTCTCATTAATGGCAAGGGACCATACAAATACAATGCTTCTGTTCCAGATGGCATCGATTATGAGACCATACATGTTGATCCAGGTAAAGTTTCTAATATTGTTTCTGTAGATGTGTTCCCTCGAAGTAGTAACTTTTTCTTATCACTTGGCTATGATTACATCACCCAGGTAAAACATACCGAGTTCGTGTGCACAATGTTGGTGTTTCAACTGCTTTGAACTTCCGCATTCAGAACCACAATTTACTTCTAGCTGAGACAGAGGGTTATTATACATCGCAGCAAAATTACACTAGTTTGGATATCCATGTCGGGCAGTCCTTCACTTTTCTGGTTACCATGGATCAAAATGCAAGCAGCGACTACTACATTGTTGCCAGTGCTAGGTTTGTAAACCAAACTGTTTGGCAGAGAGTCACTGGAGTCGCTGTTTTGCATTATTCAAACTCTAAGGGGAAGGCTTCTGGTCCTCTTCCGGATCCACCAAATGATCAGTTTGATAGCTCCTATGCCCTGAACCAAGCTATGTCTATCAGGTACTTAAATCGCCATTTTATGATGTCTGTATTACTTCAAGTGTTCCTCAATAGGAAGCTAAACTGCTTGTTTGACCACTGATTCCTTGGTGTTTAAATTTTATATAAGTTTATAACTTTAACCAGACCTCAATTGGAAGCTAAAAGAATTTGGAGAAGTCATTCTCTTGTGAAAGAGAAATGCAAATGCTAATACGAATTCTCTATTCACGATATGACCATAGAATTTCTATTAGGAGTTAACGTTTTCAGTTTTCCTTGCAATGATCAACCCATAATCAAGTTTAATAAGTTAGCTTCGCATGTATTATGAATCTTGAACGTAAACCAGCTTTTTTCTAACATTTTGCCATAGATTAATAATGAATTCTCCATTGAATGTAGCTGATTTACTGTTAAATTTTCATGCTTATACAGACAAAATGTGACTGCTAGTGGCGCCCGTCCAAACCCACAGGGTTCTTTTCATTATGGCCAGATAAATGTAACAGAGACATACATAATCAGAACTCATCCATTGGTGACGATTGATGGAAAACTTAGATCAACATACAATGGAATTTCTTATGTCAATCCCGACACTCCTCTTCGGCTTGCAGATGATTACCACTTGAAGGGTATCTACAAGCTTGATTTCCCAAGTCAGCCTTTGGACAGACCACCCAAGTTGGACCATTCAATTATCAATGCCACATACAAGGGATTTATCGAAATTGTATTGGTGAACAATGACAGTATTCCACATAGCTTTCACCTAGATGGATATTCGTTCTTCGTCGTCGGGTATGTTTACTTTTTGAGCATTTTGGTTCTCTGTGAAAGGATTTAAAGCTAACATTATGAATTCAAAATGCAGAATGGGAATGGGAAACTGGACCGAAAACAACAGGGGAACATATAATAGGTGGGATGCAATATCTCGTTCCACTGTGCAGGTAGTAAGATGCTCTATTATTTCTTAGCCTGTTTCTGATTTTAGATTCTTGGGCAATTGTTCATTCATTTGGTGCATACCATCAGGTATTCCCTGGAGCATGGACAGCAGTGTTGGTATCCCTGGACAATGTAGGTGTATGGAACCTCAGATCGGAAAACTTAGACAGATGGTATCTTGGGGAAGAAACTTATATGAAGATTGTAAATCCAGAGGACAGCGGTAACAAGACCGAATTGCCAAGGCCTGAAAATGTTCTTTATTGTGGTGCTCTTGCAAAATATCAGAAGTCTTCGACAAGAAGTATCCATGAAGGTTCAAAGATCTATCTGACACTGATGGTGTTGTTGTCTGCTCTTGTTTCCATCTTATGTTAGAACTCATTATAATTATTCTGTAATTATGCTTCTGGAAGGATATATTTGGGTTGGGGATCGGGAAGGAGCCATTGACTTGTGGGGTTATCCGGGGCTAGATTGATTAGTTTGATTTTTCAAGCATTCGAATTCCTGCATGGTAGCCATTTTGTGGGAAGTCTTAGTATCAGAGGTTTGTGCAGAATCTTGAATAGTACATTGTTTGCCGCTTCCTTAGCTGACCCACTTACAGTTGATTTGGACTAGACCATTTGGTATACTAATTAGTTTTTGGGCATTTTCCTGGTGCCAAATCAAATGGTTGTTTTGTAATCGCTTGCATCGAATTATAGGGAACATATGGATTTTGGTGCACTTTGATTTTCGTTCTTTCATAATCCATGGAATTGTGTACTAGTATGATAGAATGTATTCTATAGTACTTCCTCCGTTTAAAAAAAATGGTCCATATTGAATTTTTAAATTTATATTAAAAACAATACAAAATTTAAAACTCAATGTGAACTATTTTTGTGGGACGGAGGGAATAGTACGTATTCTTACGTCAATGGAAGCATCGTAAGTTGTGCACGGATCCTTAAAATTCACTGTGTTTTTGGACCATTCCTCGAGTTCATGTGTGTGCTTCTGCTTCGTTCTTGCAAAAGGACCAAACTCTTTTCTGCATTGTTCCAATTTTATCTGGGTTCTTAAGAGTAACAGAATATTGAATTCTACATATAGTTAGTCCCTTGTAAATATGACAGTAGATTAAAAATATAAAAGCATTGAAAGTTAAGTAAAGCACGTAATAATTTAAGTGCATAACGTTGCCCGAAGAATTGGAACAAAGTAATAAAGCTGTGACTAAAAATCAGAATAAACCAGGAAGCAATCCCAGTTCCGAGTTGTTCCTCGAACTCAAATAAAAAATAAAAAAAAAGACACCTGGTATTTTAGTAATGTGGAAGTGGTAGGAAGCATGAACTGGGTGAACAGAGGCAATGGATCTCGGAAGTAGGCCTAGGTTAAACAGAAGTCCGCGGGCCCTTTGAAAATGGGGGCCTTGGCCTGCAATTTGCTTTACACTCTGTTAAAAAGATGTCTTTAAGTGTATTTCTGTTATATTCCTGATTCCCAAGTTCGGTCTCTGACTGTGTTCAGTGTTCAGATAATGGGTGGGCCCAACAGCTTAGAACCAACTCATTGATCCTTGTGGGCCTGCAGATATGGATAATTAGTCCCAAACACAAACTAAAGAAAAGATAATAAATTTGTGCAAGAAATTTTTGAGAAAATTTTAGCATTGGAATGAATCATAACCATTCATTTAACACTTTTTACTTTGGGGTTTAAATATTTAAATTTAAGACATAGTTTTAATGATGAACACATCATCTTCTATAATTTTTTTCTGTAAAATTTTCCTACATGTATCACCATTCTTAAAGAAAATAAAAATTGTCGTCTTTATTTTTGCTTATTATTGCTCTGGGAAGAATTATCCTACAGAATTCTAAAACCACAAAGCAAGAGATGAAACAACATAGAAATAGAATGATTTTAGTAATCCCAAAATACTTTTTTAGTTTGGTTTTTTAATTTTGTTGTACGAATTGTACTAAAAATTAAAAATTTGAATTGGACAATAATTTTAAAAGAGAGTGAGCACTAGTCTACAGCCTATGGGGTATTTACGTGATGTAGGAATTTTCATTGTTATGTAACGCGTACGGGTATTCGGTTAAAAACCCAAGCGTGAAAGAGGCAACTGCATTGCGACTATCATTTGATGCAGAATGCCTCGGCAAAGTGAGTGGAACATGCTGATCCAAAACGATCAAAATGGAATCGGGAAATGTAATTTTCTGTAACAAAATGCTGGTCACTCCTAAGGTACATGGCAGATTTTCGTGTTTGCTTGTCGGTGTAGTATTTGGTAGTAAAATTGTGATTTGCAGGCCAACTAATTAATCTTTTTAATTGGCGGGACTAATTGTTTAAGCCTTAAGGAGGCGAATTACCGAGTCACTGTGGCTAAATTAAAGTTTTATTAGACAAGGCGACATCATAAGTGCAATATAATGGCCAGTCACATGGTATTTCTCTTGCAGGCTGTTAATGATGGTAACTTCTTTTGCACACAACCTATTCATCTTTAGGAAACCTCAATCATGTCTAAAAGTTCAGGTGCTCCTTCTGCCCTAATGTCACGCGGATGCCAACTAAGCATTGACTTGGAACAAATTAAGCTTTTTTTTTTTTGGCTTCATTGGATTCTATTTTCTATCAATCAAACCCCGAATTCTCTTATCCACAATTCCTCATCCTTTGGAAGTTTCAGTCAAATAAGTTGGGCAACAGAATAATGAGTGTTGTTCCTCTCGATTAACCCCTTAAAATAATAGTTCTATATATATATAGGAAACAAATTGTAGTAGCGTTTCGTTCTTCAGTATGTTGCTCCATCCCTTCCAATCATGTACACCCCAATAGCTCAAGTTCCGTACAAATGGAGAAAATTATCACTGAAAGTTTCTTCTTAGTTTTTTTTTTTTTTTGTTTATTCTTTGGGTGCCTTTGAAGCCATGCAAAACATCCTGCAGTGTTTGTGGTTCTTTTCAAAGCCCACAAAAAAAGAGCTTCAATCCCAGCCGCCAAATAGGCATATTCATGAATAGGTATATATTGCTGATCATTCAAGCTACTTCTTCTCCGTAGTTTGGCCAAGTTCTCCAGCTTCTTCAATATGTATGGTTGGTAGCTTAGTTCATGAGTTATGGGTTTGCCACTAAATTAGCATTTTTAGCTGTTTGATCATAAATGGTGGATGGATTCGAACGTCTTGATCATGCATCTGTCGTCATATTATGCCTCCAAAACGAATTTTCGTTCTGTTTGCATCAACTTTGCTTTGGTAGAAACAGAAGCAGGCCTTAAATTAATCTCCAACTTGCATGTATACATGTTAATTCTCCATTGACTGTGATTGATAACTGTCCTCTCTTTTTTTATTTTTTGGGGTTTACTCTTCTTATCTTATCCAGATTTATGAGTGGTGCTTAGGTTTAATTGTTGTGGTTGATGAACTCTATAGCTTTCCTAGTCCTGATAGCAACTCTGCTTTTAGTTTTATATATATATCTTCATCGAATAACAATGCCACATATGTGTTTCTCCTTCTTCCTGATCTTATACAGCTTGTGTTTTTATAGAGTCTAGCTTCCTAGCAAAGACGATGTGTATAGGCGGCTCAGATCATTATTATACTTACCTTCCGGTTAAAGATGACAATGGAAGTTTCTCCTTCAAGCACTTTTGAGCATCATGTATAATAATGCACCAAAGCCTAGTCTTCAAAGTAACGTTGTCTACTATATATATATATATCATGGACCATATACAACAAAAAAGAGATTCTTTCGGGATGTTTAAGCAATCTATATATAGCTATTGCATTCGTGAAAAATGAAAGTAACGAGCTTAACGTGATTTATTCATTGCATCTTTTGCTTTCGTGAAACCATTAGTAGCACTAAATCCTCTTAAGTATACAAAAACTTTGCCAAAACCGACTTAATTCATAGAAGAAGTCCATTGAACTTAGCAGAGAATTTGTAACCCCCTTCCATTTGAAAAAATTGAGACAAAATTTTTGATCCTGTTATTTTCATACTTCTAACTAAATTAATATAAACTAGAAAGATTTTTTATAAACACCGAAATGTTACAAGATTGTACTAGTTCTGTAAGAAACCCACAGGTTACATAAACTCCACCTGCAGGTACCAGAACAGCTACAACATGACGACATACAGGCCAAGGCTGCAAGTTCAAACTTATGCAGCGCAACAGCCAGCTTTTTATACATAGTAATCCAACTATATATAACACAGTTCCCTTTTCTGGCTAATTAAACATCAATTTTTTTTTTTAAAAAAAATAACTTCAAGCTAACTAAAAGTTAAAATTTATGATCCATTAGTTTTATTATGTACAACACAATTGGAAACTGGTAGTATCTCTCTCCCTTCCAGTATATACTTCTTCACATATTTGCACTTCCATGATATGATGTTGAGGCCATCTTTTTTTTTTTTTACTCCCAATCTTGCTTTTCGAATTGTTTGACCATGAAATTGGAATCATCAGAAGTAGTAGTAGTAAATGTGTTTGTAGTATTTGAGTATTCACTTTCCTTGGAGACTTCCTCTTGACTCATGAGTTGGGAAGCCACGAATTTGTCGAGTACTCGCCAATCGGTTGTGACTTGATCCAGCGTTGATTGTCCATTGTTCATCAAATAATGTTCCTGCTGTACTGAAGACAGCATTGATGAAGAAGACTGCAAATTGATCCCGTTGACCATGCCGAGTTGACCGTATCCAGACACAGAAGAAGTACCGGGTTGAGCTGGAAGCTGCAGCTTATTAGGATTAGCTGCATTCTCAAGAAAGGGAAGCTGAAGAAAGTGGTCATGTGGTGGGATTTGATAGTGCATATTGTTGTTGATCTCCTTCTTGCAAGGATATGGATATTGGCAAGCCAAGTTGGAAAGAGAAGGTTGTTTTGGAGAATCCATGTCAGCCATGAATGAAACATGGTCGTCATACCAAATAGGTGATTCATGCTCGCTTACTTTTCTCATGGTTGCTATCCTTTTCTTGAATACTCTGCAGACAACCCACCCTTCCTCCTGTTTTAAAACAAAAAGATAACTTTATTATAATCAGCAATCTATAAATAAATTGGTTTCTCTTCCAATTGGTTACACGAATTAAAGAGTAGTTAATATGTAAAATGATTCAGCAATTCATATGTCATATTTCAAAAGACACCAATACTGTTTTCAAACATAATAGAGAGTGAAATTACCATCCGAGTTTATTGAATGAATTGACTGTCTCGAGCTATCACTAGTAATGTCATATAACAAGTGGAATGATATGCATGAAGTGGTTTTACTTGCCTGAGGGGTTCCATTCTCGTCAGTTTCAAGGCGGTATTCATGCATAATCCAATCTGATTTCTGACCATTTGGAGCCCGGCCCTTGTAAAAGACTAAGGTTTTCCTCATGCCAATCAAGTCATGCTTAGAGTAAATGGCCTTGTCCCTTCCGGTCGCTTTCCAGAATCCAGCAGCGGTGGCTCTATTAGTCCGGGTTCCGGTTGGGTACTTCTTATCTTTGTGGCTGAAAAAGTACCATTCGTTTTGTTCCTCTGTGCCTATTCTGCAGAGCTCTAAACAAACCAAATTTTGCTATTACGTGAGAAACTGTTGAAGTACAAATCACACATGCATGATGCAAGCATCATGAATTAATGATAAAAAGGTTTAATTAATCGTTACTTCATCATCATACCTTGAAGGTCCCATGGCTCAATCTTGTAAAGATCAACATCTTTGATAACATCCAGGTCGATCCGTCGAGAGTTAATCTTCTTCCTCAGGTAATAATCAACAAGTTCTTCATCTGTAGGGTGGAACCGAAATCCAGGGGGAACATGTGTAAAAGTATTCATTTCCCTCCCCTTGTGGTTAATTATATGTGTATAACCAAGAACCTGGTTCATGTAAAATTTTCAACATCAGAATTCCAGCGGTTTACCAAAATAATAAATAAAAAAATGCATCATATGCAGCAAAAAAACGTTGGGTCGTTAGGATTTTAGGGCAGGCTCCATTTTTAGGGCTTTGGCTGGGAAATAATAATATAATAAAGCGGAATACTCTTATTCTACGCTTTTTTAGAAAGTAATCATCAACCTAAGTGCATGTCACATGTATGTCGAACAAGTACGTACAAGAGACAAAGTTCGCAACGAAGCTCTTCTCTGATTCACTTGTTAATGGATGTCTACAATCATGAAACACATTCACCATGGTTTCACATTACTTTGTCCTGAATGGACTCACTCTTTATAATTATGATTATGATGAGTCTTTGTGTTTCCTAATTGACGAATCATATCAATATTCAGTTGAAAAAATTAGAAATACCCAAACACGCGACCGTTTTGGAAGATATTCTTCTCAAAAATATAATGAGCTTTAGAAATGACTCAAGAAATGTTTTCAAGAAATCTCAGAGATGAATTCCTAGAGACTCCATAACCGGTGCCACTGGTTATTACTAAATTTTTTTTTTCTTCCCCTTTCTTTTTAAATCTTTACAGAATTGACTTCCATGAAAAAAAAATGATCAATATATAGCTCTATTACAGATCTGAGTCAAACTTCTAGTATTACTTGAGTAGCTAATCCTCACTTTTCTAGAAGTTTGAGCTTTCTACTGCAAAGAGTAAAATCATACCTACTGATGATCATTTTTCTGATACATTTCTGTTGAGTAATTCGTCAAAAGGAAAAAAGTATAAATAGGATGGCAGTACTAATAATGAATTATGCCATGTAACTTGAACGCCATCATGAAATTAAGAGTACAAAATCAATTAATGGGTGAATGTTAAGGATGCATACATCACAGAGAAAATCAGATGTAATTAAGTGTGTGGTGTAACGTTTTCTGTAGCAGCAACAAATCATGAAATCTCATGATCATATTCAAGGAAAAAAAAAAGGAAAAAGAAGGAAAACAACATGAAATAATCGATCATCATATATAAAAAGGAAAAAGGTTTTAATGGTACCCCTATGTTAGTAGTGACAATCGATCACTTAGCAAGCATGAAAGTACTATTGATCATCAATGGATGAAATGATTGGAAATGAACATTCCCTTCATTTTCAATTTCTCTTAAACAGAAGGATAAAATGCAGGATATCAACACTGAACATGCAAATTCATATGTTCTCCACTTAGCTGGATTACAGCAAAATTCAATCAAACAAAATTTCTGTAGAAAACTTTTTCAAGAGGATCCCGTAATTTATTAGGTAGCTTGATTTATCAGCACTTAGATACACAATTAAAACTCCAGCTGAACAACCAATAAGCAAAAAAATCCTGAAGTATATTTAGATATGAAATACGGCTTTTCTAAAACATTTCCTGTAGTGGAATACGGCAAAACAAAATATTCTTCAACACTAGATAATCAAATTGGGGATGAAAAACAGATTAATTCAACTCTTGTGCGACAGATCAAGCCAACAAGAATAAAATCAAACCTTTAGAAAGTCTATGTACTATATGTATGTATGTATGTATCAACAGATCTGGATCGATGTTAGATCAGCAATCTCTTCAGGTGAAAAAGCAAGCTTGGACGCTTCAAACCGGCTCCTGGATTTGTGAAATCAGACAAGAAACCGACAGAACTGAACAAAAGGCTTCAAAGTTTTTTGAGGGTTTTCGCTCCTCGGGACTTGAGTCGTCGCCGGATCAAATCCCGAGAAGTTGAGAAGTCCTTGTCTTCAAAGATAACTCATGAGGTAGAGCTAGGAATGAGAGAATGAAGGACACCAACAGGGTAAAAAGTGTGTGTGGTATATATATAACCGGTGAGAGGGAATGAAAGAGAAAAGAGAAAACCCTAATAATGAAAGATAATGTATGAAATATATAAGTTTAGTTAGATTCAATAATATTCAATTCATTACTTTGCCACTATTTTTGGCTCTCTTCCTCATCGATCACAGTAAGCTGGATTGTTGGCTAAGGCGCCCAAAAAGGTGGCGAGAATATGGCACACAAAGAAATTATAAAACTCTCTTAAATTTATAAGAGAATTTAGAGAAAAATAGAGCACTGTCTGGGGAGCTGCCACCTCCGCCACCCGCCACTGATAAAGACCTTGTTCCAATCGATAGATCAACATTAATCCTTGTCTATATAATTTCCCCTCATCAGCTTAATTCAATAGTCTCTCTATTTACAACATATTATCTTTTCTTTTTCTTTTTTTTTTTTTGCGGCGGGGGAGTCAATTACATTAGTATATATTAGTAACAATAAAAAAAAAAGGAACTCTCTTGTAGCATTTAACTAGCGGTGTCACCAATTTATAACACATTTTCATTTCGTGATGTCAATGTTATTTTCACAAAAATAATTTAACATATTAAATTTTTTTTATCGTGTTCTTCATTGAGTAAACGTATCGTGTCTGTGTTACAAACACCAAGAACGTGTAATATTTAGGAATGAATTAGTCCAATTGCTCTTACAAAGTGTTGCTACCATTTTGTGCATTTGACTTATGTAGCAAGCTACAAAGAGAAATTGGTCTCCCGCTTTTTTACATCTTTTCTTTTTCTTTTTTGTGTGATATTTTGGGTGACTTAACGGAACAGACTCCGCCAGAATTGTAAGTGCAGAATTACAACATTAACGACAATGGAGGGGAAATGTGGCCCTGATTATGTATAAATATGGTCCCAGAGAAGAGAAAAATGTGCTTGTAAAACTGTCCCGTTCATCTTCTTTTTGGGTTCAGTAAATCGGTCGATATATGTATCTATCGACTGAGTGCTATCGCTAAAAAGCTTCTTATTACTGGGACCAGGGACAAAGGGAAAAATATGTAAAAGTACTGTAACCATCCCTCTCTTCGTGTGGTAAGTCTAATTGATGCACTTAAGTGGGGTTTTAATGATGGTAATTAATGTTTGTCTTATCTCATTGAATTCATTTCGATCGAGTGGTAGTTTGTTAACTGTCTTAATAATTACACTTCGGAATATCATAATTACCCCTTTTATTTTCAGTTGTTACACTCACCATCACTACTTCATCTTTTTTACAGCTCCACTTTTTTTTTTTTTCAAGGATCAAGAAAAATCAAGAGTAATTAATCCGCGTGATGTGGCAATTACCTGAATCTGTGTCTCACTTGGGCTAGATCGCGGTGACGACATTATTATGTCATTCTTTCATTACTTATGAACTGACAAACTAGTGAGTTAGTAATTCGATTTGGACTCAGACAAAAAAAAATAAAATAAATAAAGCTTGATGAAGTAGCCTTCTTCCCCCATTCTCCGCCCCCAACCAAAAAAAAAAAAATTACAAATATCAATGAAATGGTTTTTCCCTTTTAATTTGGACCAAAATGTGGTATTACTACTTTATATAGTTTCGTTTCATTTTTTTCCTTTTCTCCGGTCTCTTTTGTCAAATAAATATCTTCAAGTTGGACAAAAAGGCAAGATTATTAGTTTGTTTAAACATACATGTTCTTAGGGATTGGGGCGTGATGAGCAGTAACTTTTTAGGAAATGGTCGAGGACCGATCGGGCATGACAATATTTCCTGCCCGTGAAGAGCACACTTCCTTACCACCACCGACTGTAATCATTGTATAAATATTTCTCTTTATTACGAAACCAAAAATTTACAACAAAAAATATATATACCTTTAGCTATATATATATTAGCTACTTGTGTTTAATTATACCCATCATTCTGTGATTGAAAATGCGTTTCAACTTTTACGCAGACTGGAAAAGAAGGGATTGTTAATAAGATCGTCCCCTGCGCCACCATTTCATTGAATTTTGTTTTTACCGCACGGGTGGCTAACTTTTGGATTGGTTCCTCCCAAAGTAAGTATATATCCAATACCTTATAGTTCGTAGGACCAAGTTATTATGCCTTTTATCTACATTTTAAAACGAAATTCTGTTATTATTTTCTCAGTCTCAAAATGATATTAAGTATAGATTTTTATTTTTAGTATAATTTGTTATAAAAATTTTTAAAAATTAAATAATATAATCATTACGGCAGAAAGAGTACTTTATTCACCCAATTCCTGCTTTTGAATAATTTTTACATTTATTTTCATATCGATCAAAATTAAATTAAAAAAAAAAAACGAGATACTAATATACATGAAACCTGATTCCTTTGGGGCTTTCCTTTTTCCCCAATCCACGAGATAATTATCTAGCCATTCTTTCTTAGGTTTTACATGGGAGTAAAAACTAAATTCAAAATGCTCATTTTGTGTTAGTTTTAATATTTTCAATTGATTATTGATAATCCATTAATGATTAAGTTAAAAAGGCTCTGTTTGTTTCCATTTCTACACTCTCTCCGTCCTATAATTATTGTCCAATTTGAGTTTTTATTTTTAGTTCAAATTGTACTAAAAGTGAAATCTCAAACTGGACAATAATTTTAGAATAGAAGGAACACGTTTTTTCAAAATTAAATATTAATAACTGTCTTATCCCAACATATCTTTTTATATTCCCAATACGTATGTTTACATTTTCAATAGAAAAAAACACTTAAAAAATACACACTAGAAAAAGAAACAAACAAAACAACCAGACACATAGTCTACCAAGTTTTAGCTCGAATGGCGGGCTTGGCTCGGTGGCTTAGCTAACAGCAAAGCTGCCTAGCTGGTTCAAAATTCATCAACATCGTATTTGTAAGTAAGGACCAAATTAATTAAAGGCTTTCTTATGTTGCTAGACAGTGCTTTTTTCCCTTTATGTGATGAAAATACAGAAACATGTCAGCGATAGAATGAATGTAAAGTTTGAGTATAAACAGAAAAAGGATTAAATATTTGATATATATATTATATATATGTTCTTTATTGAAGTTGAAATCTTTGACTAATTTGTTTGGGAAAAATAGGAGATTAACATGGAAACCGGATTCAACAGAAATTCAGTCAGTTGTGACCGAACAAGCTGATGAAGGAAGAAAGAGAGAATATGGGTCCTTATTGAGAATTCCAATCCCACATTTATGTTGGGAGAGATTAAATATCAATATAAAAGTATATTGGTTTTGAGTCAATAAAAAGGACTCTGATGCATTTGATTCATTGAGGAAAATACAGAAATGTAGTTCCTTCATTCACTTCTTCCATTTCTCATCTATTTTTTATTTTTAGATCTAATACCAAATTTCTTCTTAATAGTCCTAAGGAGAAAAACAGTAATGATGGATGATGGAAACTGTGGGAATGTTTTCAGTTCCAGTTTTTTGTTCTAGCTACTTGGCGGCTCTACGGTCTGGCGTGTTGGTGCCACCATCATTAAAAGCTCTCTACCTGTGGGTATGTAGAGCCTCAATTTCCACGTGCTTATTACATTACATCCACTTTCCTTTACTTTCTTTGTAAATTGTTTCCAATCAGGTAATTAAATAATACTCTCTCCCTTCTAAAATTATTATCTAATTTATATTTTTATTTTTAATTTAAATTATAGTAAAAGTGAAATATCAAATTAAATAATAAACAGAGTGAGCTGAAGAAGGTAGATTAATTGAAACAAATTTGAAATTAAGTTTACTGCAAGGATATATGAATATGGTAATAATGGAACAATGCATTTCATAAAAGCTCAACAATGTCACTCTCGACCAAATGCATTGCATAATTCCTTTAATCCTTGTCTTGTTTTTACTATCAAACATAACATAATTAAAATTCAGATGGGTTTCTCTTTTCCCACCTTTTGTTGAGTATAATATAATTTTACGAATGATGACAAATGTGTCGCACAGACAAATAGGGTAAGACTACTCTCACGCCAAAACCAAATGGATATAGAGTTAATTACAAAGTAGAATGCAACTAATTATTAGCCACTGATCAAATATACTCTCTCCATCCCATAATTATTGTCCAGTTTGGATTTTCATTTATACTTTAAGTTGTACTAAAAGTGTAATATCAAATTAGACAATAATTTTGGGACAGAAGGTGTATATAGTTACGATAACAATATTTTGATCACTCAAGTCAATGATGGTGTGTACTCCGTATGTTCCACATAAACAGTCAACATAATAAATCATATATTAATTTTTTTAAAAAATAATATTATTTGTAATGTATAATGTATATTATTTTTACAGAATCAGAAAGTATAACATTTTAGAAAGTTACTGCTTTTATGGAAGATTATTCATCCTTTTGGAGCAAGTAATGTTGAAAACAACAAAAGTTTTCATCCGTGGCGAACGGAAGATTGATCTCGTCGTATTCTACCCCGGGGGTGATGTAGAAAACACAGCAGTCAATTGCAGTCCCCGACGGTTGGGCCTTGGTAGAAAAGTCTGGTCCAATACTTAGATGTAGGAGCCTCACTGTCTCAGCGTATCACGTAAGAAATGGACTCTTGGAGAGATACAAGAGGTGGAGGTGGGCCCAACAGAGATACATCTGGTGGGTCCAGATTTTGCAAATTATGACGATTTCTTACATGATTGCTTCGGGCCCAAAACGTCCTGGGAGAAATACGGGAAACTCCTCTAAATGGCGACGTGTCGAAGCTTTGTTGGCTGAAGGAAGCAGCAACCAATGACATTGCGGCATCTATAATACTCGAATGGGCCCATAAACGTTGCTGTTAATTGCCCCTTATGCTATGCTCTCTCTCTCCTTCCTGAGATAATGACCCTGTTTTTCATTTCTTTGTAGTTTATTGATTTGCTCAACTTTCTATCCTATGGAGTGAGCTAATGACATAATTTATAGTTTTATACCGAACCTGTGTCTGTATGACAGAGGTTTTATCAAAAAATATGATTCACTTCTGATTTTATAGTAGAAAAAGTATAAAATCGTACACAAAATGTTAGAAATTATGTTTAGACGGGAAATATGGTATCGTATTGATGTATTCTACCTGGCTGCTTCACAAATAGTACTACCGTTTTTACTATTGCAGCTTCAATAGTCAGTCATTGGGAAGTTGGGGTGGCAGTTCCCCTTTTGTACAACGTATTAAAACCAAATTGAACCTTCATTTGAGCACATAACAAATATTCGCAGGGAACTACCGACTAAATTCTATCCTACAAGCTATGAATCAAGTAAAACAATTTAATTATTTTGACAAAGTTACATTATTCAAATGAGATCGTTAAATTATAATGGCAACAAGTCATCTAGTTAAATTTCTTCTTCTTTTTTTTTTTTTCTTCAATGACCCTCCATGCTAGTATATATTGTTAGTTCAAAGTTCTAACGGTTGAACCTGATGGTTTTTCATACACTGTCCTGTATACATGTTTTAGGCCCTTTACCTGCTTTTTATTTGTTGTTTTTTTTTCTTCATTTTCATCTCTAATTGGCAGGCATATGAGTTAGAGACATATTGTAAATTGAGGATCGATAGCTTAAATAACATCAGATGAAATAACTCTCCAATATTAATCCTTCCCTTTATCTCGAGTTGTTGCGGGCGCGCCATAAATATCAGTGCACACAATACTTCCTTTTCCGTACGTATGGCCAGCGAGAACAATAAATAAAGAAGACCAAAAATATCTAGGAACGCATTATACCAGTAATGAGTATGTATACTCACTTTCGATATGCATGGGTATAAATACAGGAGGACCAGGAGCAGTATTATACATATCTCATCATTTTGTAGAACACCCTCCTTCATACATATACATCATTCAATACGGCCAAAAAAATAACAACAAAAATAAATAAATATCTATATGCATGGTAAGACCTAAAGAAAAATTTGTGAAATGTAGAGCTTTTAGCCTCTCTCAAAGGCCGTCTTCTTCCGGTTCTTGATGTTAGCAAATCCTGAACCATTCCCATATCCTTTTCCATGAATCGTAACTAAATCTGCCATCTTGCCCCAAGAAGTAGTATCAACTATGTTGTCACTCACTTATGTTACTAATTTCAAGTCCAGGGGAAATATGAATTTCCTATTTGCAATTTTAGCACCTAATTCCAGTACTAGAGGACTAATGATGGTCAAGTTATAGACATAGGTTGTACTTCCTCCATCGATTTAAAAAATAAAAATCATTTGTATATTGTACAGTTTAAATCCAACAATTTTTTTTTTTTTTTGAAGTTAGAGGGAGTAAGAGTTTTCCGTAAATCTACAAATACAATAGAAGTAATCGTACACGAAAATGTAACAATTGAAAAAAATTGAAAAATGAAAAATATTATCATTGCAGTGATCATTATGAATTTATTACATGAATACCATTACTAAATTAAGGATGCGTTTGTTCAATTTGTAATGGGTCAACATACAAGGGCACTATACTACGTAAGTTTGCAGAAATCAAAAATAAATTTTTGTCAATACTAGCTAGTGAATTGAGAACTTACTAGTTGGAAATGTGAAATCATGTTTCCTTTACTAATTATTCTGTTTATAATATGCAATTCATGTGTTATAAAATGATTACCCCATTTGAATTTTAAATTTTAGTTCAAAATAAACAATCAGATAAGGGCGAAAGGAGTATTTAGTACAAGAGCTTGAATATCACTAAGGGGTTAAGGATGTTGTGCTTTTGAGAGCAGACTAAGGTTAAGTGGAATATTGAGATGGATTTTTTATATATATATATATAAAAAAAAACGAAAACAATAATAATTATCAGAATGTTGTATGTCTAGAGTCTATAGTCTCTGCAGAAGAGGGGACATTGGGCATCCATTGTACTGTGGTATGGGGAATTAGGGATCAGTTGCTTCGTTGATTGGACTTATGGAGTTAGTAGCTAGTTCTTGTTTATCGTGTGATTCGTGAATCAAATTAATTTTGTAACTCTTCTTTTCATTTCACAGTCATTAGTTGTTACAGATCCTTGTGGTTGTCACCTTTTAGAGAATTTCTTACTAATGTTAAAGTCAAGCAGATAAAACAGGACATAGATGGTGTTCTTTACCATTATGTGTGATGCTAATGGTTTAGGATTTGCTTTCTTCCCCTTGTACAAAAAAGTCCATTTTAGAGAACATTGGTGTGCCTAGGTTAAAAATGGTGTAAAATTCTTATATAAAATGGATTTATTTAACAGGTGAATGGTTGCAAAATGTGCAATTTCAGGTTTCTAGAAACGGCGGATCTCACCTAATGACAGATTAATTATAGTTATGTACTCCAATAGAATATAAATCATTACGTGCGTAATTAAGAAAGAAAAGAAACGAAAGAATCACTCAAAAGTGATCCAGGTAATACGTTTAGTTAATTCATATATTAGTTCTCTAGCGGTCGAGCCTGTGGTATTGATTAATATATTCTTGCTCATTGTACCAATATATATATATATATGTATATATACATATATATATATATTCTTGCTCATCACGCATTAAATCCGGAATTTACGCCAAAGTTGAATAATGAGTTAATTTTGAAATAAATTAAAATTTATATATTCTTTTTGTCTCAAAATAAAAAATAAAAAACACAGATTAACATAGTCTTGTTGCCTTTGTCATGATAAAGGTCCGCAGTCACTGTTGGAAAAGAAATGCACAATCTACAAATATAGAAAATGGACATGCACTATGTCCGTCCATGGAAGCTACTGTGTGTGAAGTGCATTATGTCTCCATTCAGTCTATTGTAAGTTGTGACTGAAGTTCCAACTATGTTACTCTGTCAGTCCAAAAAAAAAAAAAAATTCACATTGAGTTTTAAGTTTTGTATTATTTTTAGTATAAATTTAAAAATTTAATGTGTATTATTTTTTTGGGACGAAAGTAATATTATTTTATGTAACATTGTATAGTACTTATTTTAGAAAGTTAGAGTGCAGTGCTACAAAATGTATTGTTCACGTACTCCAAGACATGAATGTTTCTATCAATTATTAGCTGAAACTACATATTACGCACATACTTTCTTTGGAATAGCTACCGCTTGGAGTTATGATCTTTCTTTTCTGTACTATTTAATTACGTTTTGAATAATGTGTTTTTCTTTTCCGTTTAGTAAAGTTTCAAATCATTTTAAAAAAAAATCTAAAATATATTTATGGAGCAAATTTCATTATTGTATGGAATACTCGTATTTGATATGTGCATGAATTACAATATGAAGACATATCGATGAATTACATAATCGACAGAAGAATATTACAATTTACAATTTTGAACCAATGGATGGAAATCAACAAACAATAAGAACGGGAGAAATTGACAAAACCATAATTAATCAACAAAATGAATGAAATGGAAATAATCTGGTGGGCTCTAGCGAATCAGAGACCTGCAGTGAATGGCACATTGGTAGCAGGTAGCCAAGAGCGACCGGCGATGAAATTTTCAACGGAGAAACGCGAGGCTTCAGACGGACTCGTTATGACTCGGTAACCACGCCATTGAACCCTTCTACTCGTAGAAGAACCCGGTCCATAGTTCTTATACTCACCATAATACAACGTGTTGAGCGCAAAATCACCGTCCCATTCAAGCCAACCAGCCGGGTCGACCAAAGATTCAAAATACGATTGAAGAAAAACCGTCCGTGAATACTGCTTCCATGGTCTACCCAAGTACGTTTTGAATGAGCTGAGCACCGGGCTGAGGTCGGGTGCGGCCATTACTCGGGAGTTGTGGATCGAGATTCCCGTGTTTTGGTTCGGGTCGGTTCGGCCTTGGGCTGTTACGGTGTTTTTCTGTCCGGCCATGGGTCGTCTGGAGTATATCATACAGTTTTGGAAAACCACAGCCGCGTTTCCAAATATGTAGTCTACGGTTCCGTAGATGTAGCATTCTTTGTAGAATTGGCGTTGGGAATGGACGTAAAGAGTGTCTTGATATCCTTCGAAACCGCAACGATAAAATACGGAGAGATCTGATCCGGATCGGAGTGCTACGGCTTGGTGATTTTGTGGGCCTGCCGTGTTACGGAAAGTAATGCCCTGGGCAATGAACCCTTCGCCGGTCACAGCTGAAATCCATAGTAAGAGGAAAAGTGAGCAAAGTTCTCTTTATAAATTAGTGTGAAGAAAATAAACGTTTATTTACCATTGTGGGTAAGATGAGGAGATGAAAGGTTGGTCGAACTTAAGGTCAATGCTTATTCTACTACTTCTCTTTATAAGCATAAATGGGTTAGGCATTATTAGGAATAATAGAAGAAATTTTAATGTCTATGTTACGTACACGGATTTAAGCCAAAATGAACTGATCACAAGCAAAGTCAAAATGTCCAAATCTATAACTTTATTTCTTCCTTGAAACTGATTACAGTAAGTTAGGTTCATGGAGACCAATGTATTCCGGTTGTAAAAGATGAATATTAGGATGATGCACACCCTCCTAGCTATCTCCTCTTTAAATTGTCTAGATTTTTCATTGGTTCACATTTGATTATGCAAATATATTGTGCTTTAATTCTACGTGTTTTAACCCCATTATTATCAAGATATGTAACACCCCTAGCTTTAATAAAAGTAGAAAAAAAATGTATACTATTGAAAAACGAACACAAGGCAACTAATTTTTTTTTTTCTGGAGGAATCAATAATAAAAGCAATAAAATTGAAGTTGAATGAGCTAGCTTACCAACAGTAGCAGAATTGAAGGTGGTGGATCCTCCAACAACACTTCGGCTGCCAGTGATAATAGTATAACGCAATCCATCTCCAACCAACATGATATTCTTCAGGCTATTCCCAATCTCAAGGTTTTCCCTGTAAACTCCCCTCTTTATATGTATAACAAACCTGCCGCTTCCGCTTCTTTTCGCTGCGGCATCAAGCGCAGCCTTTATAGTCCTATAATTTCCCGTACCATCTTGAGCCACCACAACACTGGGCCTAACAGTAGACGATTGTAGCAGCTTCCGGTCTCCGGGCTTAACCCAAGTCGGGAAACCGTTTTCGTAATCGGTTTGCATCTCCGTGGACCCGTTGTTGTTGAGGGCCAAAGTGTTGCATATCAATTTGGACACGTTGTTGGACATGAGGGGCAAGAAATGATCGGCAACCCCGAGCTCGATCAGCCCGGTTCGGCACGTGTCGAGGTTAGTCAAGGCGGTGCTGAGCCACGTTTGTGTATCGAAATCGGTACACTTTGTGATTGGATCGACGGTCCGGTTGAGCTGGAGAACGGTGTTCTCGTAGAGCTCCACGCAATCGGCCCACGCGGACTTTTCGCGCTCGGTTTTGCATCTGGATTTGAGGTTCTTTGTATGAGCTCCGGCTTTCAGTGCATTCTCCAAGGCGGTTTGAATCGCCAGCTTGCGGAAATCGCGTTTCTGTTTCGGAAAGGAACGGAAATGTTGACTATGATCTTTTGCCACGTGCTGTTTGCATTCGTTTGGATAAGGAGTTTTGTCGCACCACCAGTTGAGGTCACCGGAGGAAATGGCCAGTGAGAAGAATGAAGAAAGAGATGAGAGAGCTATAAGGAAAAAAAGGAGGAACTCGAGTTTGGCTGCCATTGTTTTTGGTATTTGGATGGTGTGTTCGTGGTTTGCATGCTTGTGACTTGGGAAAGAATTCTCCTTTAAATTTATAGAGTTGAATAGAATAAAGATTGGGGGGCGGGGGCAAAAGGTGACAGGTTGTCCAGTTTGAATGGAGAATTTTAGTACTCTTTTAGTATTACAAAATTGACAGTTGACAATTATCAATCGGTAGCCAATTCAGATGCAACAACTGGGTTTGAAGACTCTCTTTATTATTAAGTGTTCTCGTGTATATAGTATATGTAATGGAATTCCATCTAATCTTGTGGTATTTTACCCGTATTTTCGAACTTGCTCCATTTATAATGCCATAATAATTAAACTATCAGGAATCCTGTACCTAATTGTACAGTTTCTCATTGACTGAGAAAGCATCAGAAAATTCAGAATTTTTAATCAACAAGCCGAACAAGATGAACGAAATAAACATGAACCATAATGCAGCTTCAATTTAAAAACTACTCCCTCTACCGAAAAAACAAAAAAATCATACTATTTCCGTCCAAAAAAAAATAGTCCACATTGAGTATAGAAATTTGTACTGTTTTTAGTACAAATATCAAAACTCAAAGTAAACTATTTTTTTTTTTTTGGGAGGAAGAGGTATTAAATTTTGAGATTTGAATGATTAAATTTATGTTATATTTTGACACAATAAGAGTAATTAAAGGTGTTGAATTACACGCCTTAAAAAACATGGTTAAAGGGAATGGGCTGTAGTTCTTAGATGATATAGTATAATGAGAAATGAGTCATCCAAGGGTATAGGTTTAAGTATCAGTATACGACAAAAGCAGGACGTTGAATAACTTGAGTTTATAGCGACTCCATATGATATCGTTTTTTTCTCCAAACATAACGAATCAGTAGACTTTCTCATGTATTAAGCACCGTTTATTGATCATCTATACATTTAGTAATTGAATTGGTATACATCAGAAAATCATGGTAGATGCATGCAATTATTAGTCAGAAAGAATGTATTACTAGTTTATAGTATTAGTATTTTATAGCATCTGCACCGCCAAATACCAGTACCTGATCGATAATCCACACGGTAATGTGACTATATTAATTCGGTTATCATTGTAGAAGTTGTATCTAGCTAAGATTGACAAAAGAGAAAATTTATATTCTGTTAATTTCAACTGGAGAGGGTACTTATTTTTCATTCGTCAATTCATCAAACTTTGATAAGGAGTTTGCTCGGTTAATTATGACCATCAGCGATCACTAGCTGCACAACAAAATATATGCCCCTCACCGATGATTCAATCAAAGAAAAGTTTCGGCCTCATTTTCTTAGCAAAAATTTCCTTCTGTCTCGATTATAAAACATAAATTAACCTAAAAATCAGTTAAATTTGTGATTTATAATTAAAATCAGAATGAGTATTAATTGAAGTAAAAAGTGAGGATGAGTACTAATTGCATGTGAGATATATTTTTCACACAACTTTGATATCTACCTCAAAATTTACCGATTGTTCTGAAATCTGAAATTTGAAACACAGTGCTGCACATCTGCTGCTTACAATATCAGACACCCTGATTTAAACCTTTAAACATATTTCCTTCAATGCAAATACACAGTACACAGATGGAGTTAAATTGATGGCCAAGGAGCAAATTTCTTTTTCCTTTTTTGATCCTCGCAACGAATATACTAAAAATATTCAAGTTTTAATCGTGCCCGTGAACGGAATGCAGGTGGCGTCTAAGAAGACTAGGCGGCGGAAAAGCCAAAAGCTCAAAGTTAGACGCGTTATATCGATTATGACTTAAGAGACGTGCACAACCGCCCAACATAGATGCTCATCGAACTAAAGTTTCACAGAGATAAGAAAGAAAATTAAGCAAGGGAAACACTGACTTTTCTTATTCGCTTCTTTCCTTTTATTATGCCACATTTTTAAATCTGACTTTCAATTTTATTTATTTCTCCATTTTTTGGGACTTGCATTAGATAGCCCACACGGAGTATGACTGCATATACTTGGTAGTATACAAGTGTTGTATTGTACTCGCTCATTTCTGTGTTTTCCAGATGCTTGTGCTTGTGCATTTTCCTCGTTACCAACGTTTTCTTTGTGGCACATGCCGCACATCTTCTTGATTTTGATACGGAGTAGTGCTTATCTGTCTTCTCCCGCTAGCACATTATAATGTGAGACTTGCGCATGAAGAGGCGACGAACATTATTGCGAAGCTTCCTACTGTTTGTATTGTCTTCCTTTTTTTCTAGATTTTCCCTTCCCGTCATTATTATAAGACATTTTAATTTTATCTTAATATTCACTTAGTATGTTTTTTCGATTGAAAAAAGAATTTAGAATGTAATGAATATAAAAAATACTTTTTTAAACTTTTTTTTCAAGTGAAAAAAACATATTAGATGAATCTTAAAACAAATTAAATTGACTTATAATATGGATAGACGGGAATATATATAAGTTTTCGAACCAATTGTACCCCACAACTTGGTTAGATTGTTTCTGTCAAATTTGAATCTATTAAAAATTAAGTGCGGTTACATAGTCAACGGGTATTTATATGATGATCATAAGCTGTCAAAAATCTCTGGACTGACAATTTTCTTTTCCCATTTTTTGAGTGGGCTGGCGCAATAATTGATGGCATCAATAGTTTCCACACGCTATCTTCATTATGTACTGATGTTTAGGGGAGTCTCCTCATTGTTGATGTTGTAATTATTTTATTTTTATTCAATGAAACTGAAATTTCCAAAAAAAAAAAAATATATTCTTCCGTTTCAAAATGTAAGTCACTTTATACTTTGCAGGTAAACTAAAGAAACAATCATCAAACAAATAATTTATATGTTAAATATCTGTTTTACCCCTCATTAATTACACTAGAACTATAAACCAGACTAGACAAAAATATATTGGGATCATTTATTGAGGGTAAAGTTGGAAAATTAGTCAGTAATTTGCCTAGAATTTATAAAATGACCTACATTTTGAAAAATCTATTTAAACCTAAAACGACCAACAAATTGAAATGGAGGGAGTAATATGTAAATTTTATAATTTTTTGTGCTAAAATGATTATTTATCATTTCTACTGGTTCAGAAAATGACAAACCCTGGAGGATGTCACATATTTGGGCCACAGAGACAACCCAAGTTGTTCCCTATATGTTGTTTCACAAAATGTACATTATCATTCTGGGCTTTTTGTCCTGGACACTGGCTCGCGTTTATCGAAGTCCGAGGCCAACATTCTTATGATAATGTTACCCCTCGCATCAAGAGATTTTTCAAAACCAAACCAGGGGAAAAAAGAAAGGCAAATTTTTTTTTTTAAGGAAAACAATATGAATTATTCTTCTATTTGTCATAATGGCATGACATGTACAAAATTAATCAATAATTAACAAATATAGGGAAAAATCATGTATGATGACACCTCAGAGGCCCGCAGTAAACGGTACCCCAGTGGAAGGCAACCAAGCCCGCCCCGCAATGAGGTTTGCAACCGTGAAATGTGAAGCTTCATTTGCACTGGTTATAGTATGGTATCCCCTCCACTTCACTCTAGAATTCGTGGAAGCACCGGGCCCAAAGTTGCTGTATTCCCCATAATACAATGTGTCAAGTGCAAAATTGGACTTTTCCCAGGGTAACCAGCCCGTTGGATTTATCAAGCTACCCAAATAAGTCTTGAGAAATACTGTCCGGGAATATTGCATCCAGGGCCGTCCCAAGTATGTTCTAAACGACGTGACCACCGGAGCAAGATCCGGAGCCGCCATTACACGTGAATTGTGGACCGAAATTCCGGTGTTTTGGAACGGGTCGGCCCGGCCTTGGGCTGTGATTACATTAATCTGCCCATGCAGGGGCCTGCGGACATAGATAATGCAGTTCTGGAAAACTACGGCCGCATTTCCAAAGATGAAATCTATGGTTCCATATATGTAGCAGCTTTTGTAGAACTGACGTTGTGCGTGGACGAAAAGTGTGTCCTGATATCCTTCAAATCCACAAGCATAGAAAACCGATAGATCGGAGGCTGATCGGAGTGCCACTGCTTGACCATTTTGGGGGCCGGCGGTGTTTCGGAAGGTAATGCCTCGAGCCATGAATCCTATTCCGTCAACTCCTGAAATGGTGTCATAATAGAATTGAAGTTAACTTTTACTATGTAATTTTTTTTTCCTTTAAAAAAGAGGTTTAAAGGTCTGGTAATAATTACGGAACTATACATTTTATATGAGAGTGCCAAAAGAAATGTCAACTCAAATCCTTAATATCCGCGCCAAAACAGCATTAACCTTCGATGCTGGAACATGTTTTTTAGAGAAAGATTCCATTCAAATTTATCTAGTTGGACAGGCATTGCTACCAGCTTAAGTATCGGCACGTGAAATGTTGTTGAACATGCAAGAAAAAAGATGGGCTGCACTCTAGCGTTGACTATAAGCCTTTTCTGATAAACTTTTGCTACCCGGAAAAAAAAAATGGCGCTCAATCTGAAAAGTTCTAAACATCTTCATCAATTGAAAAATCAGCAAATTTTAACTGGAAAAAATTATTTAAAAAATCACCAAATAACCCATTGAAGTTTAAAAAATAATACTCCCCCAGTAAATTATTGTCTAGTTTAAACTTTTGATTTGGCTAAAAGTGAAAATCCAAACTGCATAATAATTTTTTGGACAGAAGGAGTACATAACATTGTGAACAGTGTTTTGCTACCCAATAAATGTGAAATAATAACCACCATGTTCACTTTAGTATGATTATCTCCGGTTAACTGGGGTGAAGTAGCAAAACTGAACAAGAAATCGGAGTACAAATCACATACCACTACCGTGAATTAGAGTAGTACATCTTTTAGTGCATCGAAATCACTTGAAACTCTAAAAACCATTAAATGATCATCGTCATTTCACATGTACGTATGGATAATTGTGCAGTTATTACTTCTCGCGCGCATTATGTGTATTCTTAAGCAGTTTGATTAGTACCGAAAGCAATGCTAATAATAATAATACCTGGAAGGAAACAGCGGTTACTTACCAAGAGTTGCGCTGCTGTAGGTGGTGTATCCGCCGGCGACACTCCGGCCGCCGGTGATGATAGTGTACCTCAACCCGTCACCAATCAGCATGACTTTATTCATTGCAGCGGTAATCGCAATGTTCTCTCTGTAAACACCCTTTTTCACATATATCAAAACCCTCTGATTCCCGACTCTCCTAGATGTTGCAAAATTGATGGCCGCTTGAATGGACCTGAAGTGACCCGACCCGTCAAGCGCCACGACCGCATTAGCCTTCCGGGATAATTTCGCGGACTGAAGCAATACCCTCTCCCGGGTCGTGACCCAATTCGGAAACCCATCCGTGTAACCCTGTTCCTCCATCAGCGCCCCGTTCACCGCCAGAGAATTGCTGATCAATTGGGACACATTATTCGAAACAATCGGAGAAATAAATTCCGTGACATTTAAATCCAGGGATCCCGTCCGGCAAACCTCGAGGTTCGTCGCGGCGGCGCTGAGCCAAGTCTGGCCATCAAAATCACTGGTTTGGTTGGCCCGGAAGCTCTCTATTGAGCGTTTGAGTTGGAGGATTGTGTTTGAGAGAAGCTTGGTGCAATCCTTCCAGGCCACTTTTTTCCTTTTACTGTGGCATTCATGCTTGAGATCCCTGGCATTCTGCTGGGCCGCGTAGACTTGCTCCAGGGCCACTTCTGCCGTCATCATCCTGAATTCGTCTCTACTGTTGGGTTTATAACGGTCCGGGTCTTGACCCATGTAGTATATACACTGATCCGGGTGAGGCGTCTGATTGCACCACCAATTAATATCTCCGGGATTATTCTGTTGTTGTTGTTGATCTCCATCATCTGTACTGTTCTGTAATGATTTGGAGCATAATGGAGACAAAATCAAGCACAAAACCAACAAAACGAACTCCTTCTTCGCCTCCATTGGTGGTTTACTAATCTGGGATTATTCCTCAGTATATATGTGTATATGTACTGTTTGATAAAATGTGTTAGTGATTAATGAGAGGTTTCATGTATGAGGTTGGAGAACTAGAAGAAGGAGGTGAAGGGGTTTTTTCCTCAGTGGGGTTTTGGAGGGTTTTTTTATGCCAGGAGGACGAAGAAGATGGAATCATGGAAGGATCTGACGGAATTGAGAATGGAGAATGGCGAAGAATGAGGGCAGTTGATCAAAAAATTAGAAAAAAAAAAGAAAAGATGGTACTGAATACTGATGTGAATGCATGGGAGGTGGGAAGATATGGAGAGTGGGAAAGTGAAAAATTTTCAAGTTTCAACTGCCATTTTTTTTTAATCAAAATTCTGGTGTTTTGAAAATTAAGAAGCGTCAGATCCTTGTTTTGTGGATCATTGTAATTAAACACACTCAAGCGTGGAGAGAGAGGGAGAAGGAATTCAAGGCTCAAGGCAAACGACCTCTTTCTGGTTTTATTTTATCTGCATCATTTTTAATAATTAATCTGTGTTCAATTGATAAATAAACCTACTACTGCTGCTACTATAAGACCTCAAGCATCTTTATGCTGATCGGCGATGAAGAGGATACAAACTTACTAAGGGAGGCGGGTATCGATGCAGTTGCATTTGCAGCATCCCGAGGTCAAAACAAATCAAAATCCCCAAATATTCATTTGTTCTTAATTTGTTCCTTGTTCTAAGAAATTCTGATTCTTTTTTAACACATATATAAATATGTGATTTTTGACAGCTGTAATAATGCAGTATTACGTTTCTTAAACGTTACATTGGATACACTCTACGAATTCTTTAGGGGAAAAACAAAGAAAGTATATACATAAGACGTAGGAAGTAATCGTGAAATTAAACCAGAAAGAAAGTACTTGTCATGAGTATATGTATTGGCTGTATAGCATATTAATAGTAAAAGAATATGCAATCTCGTGAGATGGGATGTGTATAAATTTTCTTTGTTTATGAATTCAATAGTCTCAAGATTGGGTTTATACTTTATTAATTTCTTCTTCTTAAGTTCTTAATACTATTTCTTTTGTTTTTATTTTCCTTCATATGTTGATTGACCTTTTCTTTTTTTTTTTTTCCTTTTGTTTGTGCGTAATGGCTTACCTATCTAGCCAGAGGATGATATCAAACGTGTAGAGTAGAGTAGGATATGTGGCGGGAAATCTGGAAAAATTTCTGGCGGCTATGACATGCATACTATGTGTCTCCATTAAGCGACGTACCAATAACTCAAAACAACATCCAGAAAAACATTTTGCTTGATCACGGTCCATCTGATTCTAAGTTTTCTGTTTCACGACTTTCTTGTTTCTTCACGTACAAAGTTTTCACCGTTACAAAAAGTAATAACTAATCATTTCATTGAATTAACGAGTTAGAATATATGCGTATGTCAATTAAATTGAGTCTTAGGGTTGATGATCGATGATGTTGTCGATGATGATGATGATTAGTGAAGGAGGCTATTGGTAGTTCACTGAACGTAAGAAGCCTCGTCTCTTGATATCGATTATCAGGTCTGCTGAAAAATTAAATTAAGCGGCCACAGATTGACCAACGCGATGGGGTTGCCGGATGTTAACACAATTACCGCCCAAGCGAAGCAAAGCAAACATTGGGGAAAAAATGGAACTTCAGGTCATTAGAATGTCACATGGATCCAACCAAATAAAAGTAAAATCAAATTATTATTGAGTGATTTCTGTATATCATGTTAGAAATATAGTTATTTATATGTGTGAATAAGAAATGTATTTCTCATCTAATTGAAAATAGAGTATAAGCTGGTTGTTGCTTGACTCCTGTGTAAGGCAACTTAAGCACACGAACCCGCGGACCTAAACAACAAGTGTTTTACAATTCGTTAGGAACTTTTTAATGCATTATTAAAGAGGTTATGACCGGTATTTAGAGGGTCATTATTGTCATCAGTTTTTTACATTAATTGGTGAATAATGAGAATCATAAGTTGATCGCTTTTATGACATTTAATGTGGATTAAATTTACTGTAACTAATTAATTTAATTTGGAAAATAAATCCAACAATTTTAAATATTTTTTTATGAGTACTGATACACACAGAAAAAATTTACAAGGAATGATTTGTAAATCATATAAATATGTCCTAACCTTAACTACTTAAACCTTACATGGAAAGTGTTTAAAATGGATGGCTATGATTTATTCCTTGTAATTTTTTTTATATAATTTTTCCCTATACGTATCATTATTTTTTTTTATGCCTACAAAGTGCTAGTAAATATCCAAGAATTCTTATACCAAGAAAATGACCTAACATTCTTCATTCTCCCATTAGCCAAAATCCTCCTAACCTCCATTGGTGATTTAGTCCAAGTGCAAGACCAGATCATGTTAACCGTTGTATCCTGGAAGACAAACGTTCATTCATTCTCTAACATTTTGTGAGATGGAACGAGTCTGATTTAAGGAAAAAATGTGTTTCTACATAATTTGGAATTCTTTTTTCTTGAATTGTAGTTGATATTACAAATATTTCCATATAATTTACCTATAATCTTAAAACAGACTCATTTGTGTTTGCGATGGCAACCATAATGATTTTTTGATCATTGAATATCTTGAATAATGATGTGCAAGGACAAGATCAAATTCAAATTGATTCGAAAACATATTAAAAATAGAAGTTTGTCGGCTTTCGTCAAGATCTATGTCGGCTTGTTTCTAATTGACGAACAGATAGACGAAACCAAACAGAAAGGCATAGTGATCGACGTCGACTGCCTTGTCGGGTTTTTGATGATCGACTCCAAAGTCGACGAGAATGAACAGAATTCAAAGTTGATAGTCGTCGAGTTTTCTGTCAACTTATTTGTCGGTCGACGAATAGATCGCTGAAACTTGCTAATTTTTATTGTCCAGTTTTATTTTTATTTTAGTACAAGTCAAACTAAACGTGAAAACTTAGACTGGACAATAATTTTAAGACGAAGAGAGTACTTAATAAAGCATGGTTCATATTCATATTAAAAATTGAAGTTTGTCGTCAAGATCTATGTCGGCACATATTAAAAATAGAAGTTTGTCGTCTGTCGTCAAGATCTATGTCGGCTTGTTTCTAATTGATGAACAGATAGACGAAACCAAACAGAAAGGCATAGTGATCGACGTCGACTGCCTTGTCGGGTTTTCGATGATCGACTCGAAAGTCGATGAGAATGAACAGAATTCAAAGTTGATAGTCGTCGAGTTTTCTGTTGACTTATTTGTCGGTCGACGAATAGATTGCTGAAACTTGGTAATTTTTATTGTTCAATTTTGTTTTTATTTTTAATACAATCGAATTAAACGTGAAAATTTAGATTGGACAATAATTTTGGGACGAAGAGAGCACTTAATAAAGCCTGGTATACATTCATATGTATGTTAATTTAAATTTTTAAGAAAATTTACCGAGCAAGCAAAACATCTCGATCATTTACATGAAAATAAGGATGTTTTATCATCTCCTGGTGAATCTGGTTTGTTAGTTGTAAACTTGCTACTACATCAATCTAGGCGGATTTTTTCGACTACATCCTACAAAATAAGCTTATGATTTTGACGGAAAGCCTATCATAAACATAAGTAAAGTTCCTTTCCATTGTATTTTGTTGCAGACACCTCTCACTGTTCAAAAGAAAACCCATGGAAACTACTTACTCCCTCTGTCCCAAAATTATTGTCAAATTTCAGATTTGATTTTTAGTACAGTTTGAACTAAAAATAAAAACATAAATTGGACAATAATTATGGGACAGAGGGAGTAATAATTTTTTTTTTCTTTTAAGAACTACTACTGATTAGTTTTTTGGAATAAAGATTGTTTTCATTCTATTTTGCAGAATAACCATTTCAAACTCCATACAGAAAACTCAAAATTTAGGGTAAATATCACCTATATGTTCTTGGACAAGACAAATTACACCACAACCTTACCATCTATTACAAAAATACAACATTGTTTTATCTAGAGAAAATTGGAGTAGTCCCCGCCACAGTAGTAGTAGAAGGTCAAACAGATGGAGAACAACTAGTGATTACTTGATCACCGTAAAAGGATAAGATCTCATGTGGTGAAATAAATTGTAAGAAAACAACAGTCTTTCCTTACAAGAGTAATAAAAATTATACCCACTAGTTTATAAATTTTAAAATTCAAATTGGATTAACATTTGAGAGAAATTATTAATTGGTTCAAGTGTTTTATCAGACAACATTATTTTTGGGTATAGGAAGTATGAAAGTGTAATTCAGTTAAAAATGAATAAATTAAAGGAAAAATGACAAGAAATGATGTGTCAAGATCTTAACCATACCCTAACCTTAAATGAATAAACCCTGTTTGAAAAGTTTTTTATAATAGATGAGTGAGATCATTTTCTTGTAATTTTTCCTCGTCATTTTTTTCCTTATACCAATCATTATCCTAAATTAAATACATATATTAACATTAATGTTTATAACAGTTTGGGCCAGTATTAAAGCCCAAGAGAGCTTTCAAATTTGTACTTCAAGTCCAGGACCAACATAACCGCAGATATCAATTTAACCCAAAAGTTCTGCTAGTCCAACAGTGATTTACTTTCTTTCTCAGCCCAATTTATATAATAAGATTCAACTTGTTTCGTTTCCTGTCTCCCCCTTCTGACAGAAACAACATAGGAAAATCACCACCACCTCCACTTTCCAATCGAAGCACCGACCAATCTTTTCCGTTTCTTCATCGTATCAGCAAACATCATCACCTCCACCTTCATCGAATCATTACCTAAATCAATTGACGGATTTATCTTAGCCATTTTCTGAACTCTAAAGCGCGACGATAAAAGAAAACCTAACTGGCCGGTTTTCAATTTAGCCGAAACCGGAAGTAGCTGAGAATGAGTGCGCAAGGTAGGCCGTCGGGAACCGATGGCTCTGATTTTTCCTATCGGATGGTTGTCGACTCAAGTAAGTAACTTTGGTTTCCTCTCTTATTGTCTTAATTGTCTAATTCCACCATTGGGGTTTTTATTAATGTGGGGTTTTGTTGATTTTGTTCTATTTTTTCTGATTTTGTACAATTTTATTAATGTGGGGTTTTATTAATTTTGTTCTAATTTTCTGATTTTATAAATGCTATTGGTTCTTACCAGGGTACACAAAAGTTACTAAGTACAAGCGTCAACTTGCTATATTATTCGTGATCCAGGTACAGAATTTCATCCTGGTGGTAGCTATGCTCAATCATCATATAGTAATACCGTGCTGGAGAATTAAATTCACTGAAGTTGCTCTGTTATTTTAGTATGCATGACATTGATTATCTGTCCAAACTTTGTTGATCTTTTGAGGAAGTTTAGGTTATAGCGGCCTCAAGGTTGTTGCAAATTTTAACTAAGTTGCTAATACTAAATGCTGATTTATTGATTCTGTTGGTCGGTTGATGGGTTGGATTTGGTTTGGACCCACACATGTTGCACATAATGCATCTTAGACAAGCTATAATCTTATTGTTAAAATTTTGCTGCTTCATATTCTCGGCTTCTAAGTCTGCCTTTGATTTAAAGTTGTTCTCAGGTTACATGGTACTTATTACTTCTATATTGATTTATGCAGACAATCCTCCAGTCACTTGTTGTTCTTTTGTCGTTACCTCTCAAGATCAGTGGGCGTGTTGAAGATGCTGATATTATTTCTAGTTTCCTTTGCTTGATGTCGATTGCAATTGGAGAATATGGTACTCACTGGAATCATTTCCTAATGAAATTGTATTATTGTTTCAGATGTTGAAAGTTAATAGTTTCAATATTTACTTGGTTTTGAAGGGAGAAGAAGGAGCCGGGAGAAGTTTTTATGGATTTTTCTCGTATTATCTTCTATGGCTGCACCATTTGCCATCCTTGCTTTCTCAAAAAATAGTTATGTCTTACAGGTAATACAATGTTCTTGTCTTTTTTTTTTTGTTGTGTGGAATGGAAAGTTTATTTTCTCACAGTTTCTCTAGATCATTAGTGTTAGGGAATGATTTGGAAAAGAAAGTTTAAAAAATATTGTTACTGTTAGAAATGAATGGATTATAATCTTCTGTAGTTTATAGTCACAACGGATTTGCATGAGATTGAAAAGTTATTTGAATACTTGTTTCCAAAGTCCTAAATATGTTGTAGGTTCTTGATGGGTGAAATCAAAATCGGAATATTATACCTAGTTTTATATCCTCCTTTTGTGGGTTGGCAGTTAAAAGTTTTGTTCTTGTGATACAACCACATTTGGGTGGATGACTAGATGTAGAGCTTGTCTTTTGTTCTTGTGATGCAACCATACTTAGGTGGATGGCTTGATGTTGTATGCGTTATTTTGAGCTGGGAGACTTTGAGAATGAATGTATGTATAATCCATTTGTATGTTTTTTCCCAAAAAGGTTATGAAAGACTTTGGCAGCTGGAAATCATCACCGGTTGATCTTATCAAACCCGCTGCGTTGCTATCTGGTAATTACAATCACTGATTTCATAGAAATTTTTAATTATCATTTTAACATTTTAAACTCCCTGCAATCTCAATGTTTTATATTTCTTTTTTGGAAAAAAAAAATACAGGAAATGTGGTCAGGGCTTTTATGATCAGTACCGGAAAATCACTCATCCATAACATGTCTCCTCCGAAAAAGAAAGTTGCTTGAGCACTCCAAGAGTGGAGTCCAAAGTATTGCTTGTTATATGATGTTGGGCCATTAACTTTAGAACACTTCAACTAGTTATTAGTTATTTGTTGCTAGGCTGTTAACTTTTGTGTATTCAGTTTGAGGATTATCATTAAGTTTGGGAGTTTTAGCTTTGTTTTCGTCGCACTTGTGAAATGAACAGACTCTTTTTTTGCAGTGTCTAATGTTAATTATTTATTTCTGGCTCCTTGTTTTGAGATTCAAATGAAATGTGTATACAATTTGCGTGAGATAAAAGAGAATACCGTTCAGGCCTTTTGAGAAATACTTTGGGCAGAGGAAACTGCAATTTGAAGCTAGGTGATATGCTTATATTTTACCTATTTATTATATCCCTAATTTGTGATTTTTGCAATATATTTTGAGTATAAATATGCTATTTATATGATTTTATCTTTATTTGTAGGTTTTGTACTTATATGGAAAAATTGTTGAGATTTTGGACTAAATTGAAGATAAACGCAACTCAAAGGAAGAAATTGAAGCACTTGAAGAGTTGGCAGAGTTTTAATTTAAATTGGCTTAAAAAAAATAACTTTCTTATTCCTGAAAAAATAAGATTTGAGGAAAACCTATAAAAAGAGGACTAGGGTTTTATTTTTGGGGATAGAACTTGACCACCCAGCCACCACCTTAACCCACGCCTAAAGCCCAATTCCTTCGCCACCCCATTACCTTTGCACACCAGCCATCACCTTTCTCCATCACCACGCATCACCCTCCATCTCTCTCTCCCATCATCATCACATTAATCATTATTGCATCATCACCCCCCTCCATTCCCATGCACCACCACACCACCTTGCTCCCTTTGTCCACCTTCCAATCTCACGCCTCCAAATCACCCTTTTCCCCCATGCACCAGCCCTTCTCACGCAGCTCCCTTCTACGCACCAAACCCCACGCGCAACACCATTATCGCCAAGAGGAGAAAGCATTGAAGCAACTTCGGACTCAACTTTTGGCCAACTTCTCCCAGATTTCATTGTTTTATTTATTTTTGAGATGATGTGTAGCTAAATTATTTAATCTAGGGTTTTGGATGTAGCCGTCGTACTATTTAATTTAATTTAATTCATGATTGTGACTTTTTCATTAATTGATATTTAATATTCTTGTTTTTATTCCATGTGAGTATTTGATCACCACTTGCATGTTTTAAAGGTGTTTAACTGAAGGAACGACGGTTAAAGGTTAACATTAGTTCATGAGAATATTAAACTTAGGTAGTGAGCCACGACAGTAGGAACACCGCCTTTGCAGCTAGAGATTCTAAAGTTCTTAATATGCTTTTATTAATCCCTATAGTCACGACAGTAGTCATAGGGTTAGTTTGAGTAAGAGAATTATATCACGACAGTGAATAGTTCTTAAATAGGTGAATCGTTGTGAGATTAATGAAAGTCCAAAGTCACATATCTATAAGTTGAGTTAAACTGAGTAGTCAGTAGGTGAACCCTTTGCCCTAGGTTTTCTTTTATTTGTGTAAAATCTTAAATTAATTGTAATTGTTAGTTTTAGGTTTAGATTAGTTTAAATTGATAAATTGTTAATCTAAATAATAATAAGAAATAATTTTAACTGGTACTTGGTAACCTTCTCTGTGGGATCGACCCTGCTTTCTGCTTTACTGCTAGTAATTGTATTAAATAGGTAATTAGTTATTTGACTAGTGTGACGATTGTCAAATTTGGCGATGTTGCCGGGGAAGGCATAACCAATATCAAAACTAGATTATTTCTTTTATTGATTTAGATTTGTATATAGTTTCCTTTGTTTTATTAATTTATTATTTTTATTTTTATTTTTATTCTCTTTTCGTTCTTGTGTCAATATTTTTGTAGGATATTTGAGCTATTATGGAGAATTTTAACTATGGATATAGAGAGACTCCTTATTATAGTCATGATTCTGAACATGGAGACTGTCCTACATATCAAGAAGATCTGTACTCTTGGAACAATTCGTCTGATCCTTACTATAGTTGTGATTATCAAGGGTATTCATTTGATGCTGGGTACAATCCAAAACTTTTTCAATTTTTCATTTTAGTCCCTGTTTTGGTTTGGCCAAACGGGAATGCAGCATCAATGCTGGAATTTCTTCTCTAAAGCTCAATTTTGGACTGAGATTCGTGTAACCACACGAGAATGTGATGTCATTGCTCCCTTTTTGTGCTTCCTTGTCAAAATTCTCCAAAAATGTGTGTTTATGGAACATTTTGCTTCATCTCATCTCTAAGGACTCCTAGGAACCAAAAACATCAAAATACATAATATAAGTGCACAATCTAATCCAAAATGCTATACAAATACCCATAAATAACATGAAACTTCAAGACCTATCAAACTCCCCCACACTTAGATTTTTGCTTGTCCTCAAGCAAACACAACTCAAAGTAAACATGATAATATCCTTTCCTACTGACTCTAACATGCAAAAACAACAAAGAGAATTGTCAAAACTTGTCTCAGATTCTAGTCTCATTAGAGACAAATAATGTACACCACGATTTAGTACCCCTTAATCAAGTCAGAAACTCACTTCCGTGAGTGTGTGAAACAGACCACAAAACAAAGTGTTGCTTAACCTAAGATTAGATTCAATTACTTTCAAGTGGACATCCTTGTGATCAGTACCTATTTCCTTCTTGTCTTCAACTAGGGTATTCTTACTGAGGTTCCGATTTAAGGGCTTCCTCTCATTTTCTGCAAGCATCATTGGCTGCATCTTTCACCCTCGTACCTTTTCATCCATTTGTCCAAATTGGCTTTTCTTCTGGATCTTTCCTACTCAGGCCTATACCAAGTATATTTTTCAGCAACTATGGTAATCTAAGCATTTTCTATTTAAACTCACCAGGCCTGAGGACACTCCTCTCTTTGGTGCCATACCTCACCTCTCAAGGGATTAAATGCCACATTGGACACTCTGCCTATACTCCCTCATTAGATAAAGCATTTTACCTCATATTCAACCGCCAACTTTCTCTTTTTTTTCAAGGTATTTAGGCTAATACAAACCACTATGGGCTCGATTCGAGACTGCCATAATGCGTAGGGTTGCCTTAGTCTAACTCCCAGATTCACAGTTCTCCCAGGTTTCAGACAAGTGGACTCCAGTATAAGATCACAACAATGTATTAATGCATTCAAGATTTTAAAAGTTTAAGCCCAAAGCAAACACATTGTCAAGTGGAATGTTGTGCATAAAGATGTGGTCATGAGTTTCTAATATGCTTATGAGTGATCTTGAACAGGTGTTTTTAAAATCATATGTAACCCTCAAAATTGAATCGTCATAGACTATTGACAATTCTCAAAGAAACACAAATTCCTCCCCTACACCTAAAAGATACATTGTCCTCCATGCATAAAACATACAAAGACAAACAAGAAAAGTATATACAAACTCCCACATAATGTTAAAGAAAAAGAAACGGTACTTCCTTGGGATTTTGTAGTGGCGAAACGAAATTTGGTGTGAGTAAAGGTCCACAGCTTTTGATGCATTCGCACATGGGTTGACCAACCATAAAAATAATCATTAAAAGCAAGCTGCCACGCTTGAACAAACCATTAAAATAAACTAACACTACGCCAATCAAATGATTAAGAAAAACCACAAAATCAAGAAACCATAACTCTCAAGATCATCAGGAACAAAAAACTTAACCACTCAACTGATTTATTCAAGAAAACAAATAACAAAAATCAAACCATTGGGTTGCCTCCCAACAAGCGCCATTCTTTAATGTCTTGGGCTAGACACAATTTTGGTGCATCACGGTGGAAATTTGCAAGCTCCACACATAACTGAAATTTGTGAAAATCCTACAAAAATCTCAACAAAACCAGAGTAGGTTGTTCCAAATTTATATACAAACTTTAAATCAACATAAGATGGTGGAAAGTGATCTCCTCTAAATGTTTCCTTAAAAGTACCACACTTTCTCCACACATATACCATGAAATCATGCATTAAATTCATTCCACAATTATCAAGAAATTTTAGAATTACATTCATCTTTATCCCTAATTTAGGAGGTCTAGATAAATGTCCATATGGAAACTCTATATGCATAGGCACATGTGTTAACTCAAATTTTTGAGATAGCCATTTCTCATACATTTCAGGCACAAATTCAAAAACACAACTACTAGAAAAATCAACTAGTGGAGCACTTTTAACATTCAAATTCACATATTCCTTTGATAATGATGTGACTTCATTTATCATTTTTACCCTAGCAGTTTTTCGAAATAATCTACCTAAGAAACATGGACTTGAGTTTAAGACTAAATTTTCTTTCACATTAATCGCATCAAAATTAGTAGGAAAAATATTTTCACCACATCGGACTGATAAGCCATCTTCAACATGCACAAGACTAGCACAAGACTCATCAACAAGTTTTATAACTTCATCAGTTTCATTCAATGACACAAGTTTCAAAAACTTAAACACAGACTAAGGAATGATAATAACACCAACTCCAAAATCTATGATAAATTTATCACTTTTAACATGTCTAAAAGTACATGAAGGAGTAGGTATATCATGGCATTTGAAAAGTAATTTCGGTTGGATTATATCAGAGAGATGTTCTTCCACTGAAATTACCTCATTACCTTGGAGTGTAGATTCATTAATTTTGGTGCACAACTCCTCTTCAAATTCATCATCACAAGGGAACTCGTCAAATACTTCCGAAAGACGAACATGAACCTCTCCATTGGAAGATGTATCTATAGCATCTTGTTCATCCTCTTCTTCTTTTGGTTCTTCTAACATATCATGAAAAGGAGTGACAACTGAATCAGTCAAACTAGATAAAGGAAAATTATCAGTTACCTCATTGGTAACCTTTGAAGACTTTTCTTCATCTTCCATTACTCCTTCGTCCTCTGAATCCCATAGCTCAAAGTCTTCTTCACTTGGTGTTTCTAACTCACTAT